AGCTGGCCTAGAGCCACTTCAAGGCCATGGGATCAGGATTGGGTCAACACTCGAGTACCTCCTGAGGGGGATTCCATTCGATGTGATGAAAGCAAAGGGAAGGTGGGCAAGTGACGCCTTCCTCGTCTACCTCAGGAAGCATGCCCAAATCCTCGCACCATACATGCAAGCAGACCCAGTCCGCCAGGAAGAATTTATCAGGCTAACCATGCCTCCACTACGCCGCCACTAATCAGGTAAGCAACCCCTGTCATGCTCCTAGCAGAGTGGGCTCGAGACTCGCTCGATGCGTCGCAGGACTCCTAACAATTGGGAATCGCGCTCATCTTGGCTTCTTTCACAGACCAGGAGCTCCTGCCGGGCACGAAAGCCTTCGGGCTTTCCGCCCATATATTACATCCAGCACACTGCCATTCCATACACCTATCCCTCTTACCCTAGTCTACCATTGTTAATCTAATGCTGTCACTCGCCAGACCTGCCTCAGCGCCATTCATAGATATTATTCAGCGCTCAGTTGCGACTCATAAGCACATCCTGCTGTTGCAACATCAATCCTTGGGCTTCGGCTTCTGCCGATTCGAGGGCCGCGAAAGGGAAGTTCTTTCCACGCTCCACCGCCTGTGACAGAAACTCATTTGGACTTGCCATGACAGCTAAATGCAAAACGATAGAGCTTTTCGCATAGCGTTCTTCTTCAGCAAGTTGCAGTGCCTTTACTGAGTTGGGACGAGTTCATGACCTTGCCGACCATGCCGAAGGTCTGCGTCGGCACCTCCCGACCTCAGCCAACAATGACCGCGCTGACGTCCACCCGGTGCCTTCCTTTCCCTGCTTTGAAACTAGAGAGGCACTACGCAAAACACAAAAGATATTGAATCTTGTAATTTCTGTCAGAATCCCCTGCTCGACAGGTGTTGAAGTGGTCGGTGGTAGGTGTTTGGTCTGGCCCCATCAAAGTCCAAATAGACGCACTGAACATGAACGCGAGGCGAAAAGCTCTATCGTTTTGCATTTAGCTGGAAACTACTCAATACCTCTATCCCATCTTTGCAAAGCCCCCTCTTCACTACAACATGCCATGCGTAAAGCATGTCCAAACATGAGAAGACGACGCCAGTGAGAAGACGACGCCAGCGGCGGTGCCTCGAGGCTTACCTGGGAAAACTGAGCACAGCTTTGTGGAGGCATGGGGATAAGATGAGCGTGCTCATCACGACTACTGACTTCTTCCCTCCCCGTCGCGCCTCGTATTGCTTTCAAGAGGCTGTTGTGCTCGGGCGACCATCGACGGTCAAATTGTGGGTTGGAAGCACCAGGGGGCGCAACAGTGTGCGCAACCTGGACACAACTGGTGAAAAATGGTGTTGGTGCGTCCGTAGAACCTTCTATTCTTTTTGTTTGCACTCAAGATGCGATCTGACACTCGTAGAATGACGCAATTGTCTCCCTGTTTGCGCGACAATATGACCAGATACTCCAGCAAGAAATGCCCAACCATGAGCTCAAATGCTACAATCTCCCGTTCGGTGCCTTAGGCTTCATTTCGCACGTTCTGACCTACTACACAATCGCCTGTCTCTGGTACGGTCGCAAACCTCTCTGGCCCTTCAAGCCGATTACCAACACAAAAACAGATCTCATCCTCGGCTTCGTCGGGATTTCTGTCTGCATTGTCATGTCCGTCATCACGATGATCAAATGCAAGAATACATGGCAGCTGCTCGTCATTGCGGTCTGGAAGTTGAGCATGTCCCTGCTCAATGGGCTTACCGGCCTCACGGTGGCAGTTATGGTGGTCAATCAGAAGGAAGGGGAGGTCCTGAAATCGAAGGCGGCCATGTGGTGGGTTTTACTCTGTAAGTATTCCTTTCTTCTTCGAAGGATTTTTATTCACGTTATCTGGGTCATTTGAACAGATGTCCCCGGCATGATGGCGGGCATGACGGGCCTCATGGACTTGGTCGTGAAAGTCGCGCCATTTATTCCGGATATCATGAGACTCACTATCGCCTTCTACCTAATTGTCGGTGCTGGCCTCATAGTCGGTATCATCGCCATGATCATCATCTGCTGGTGGGGAGGTGGTGCACCTGGAAAAGTTGCTGCAACGGGCACCGCTGTCACATTAGGCCTATTTCTTGTGCTCAGCGCTTTCTATTCCGATTGGTGTTTAGGAATAATGCTCGACAATCTGATAGGAACTCCTTCATCAGACTCCTCCGCTTTCTATTGGACATATTTCGTAGCAAAACGGTTAACGATGTTTAGCTGGTAACAAGCCTCGGACCCAAGGATATATGATGTACTTCTAGAGTATGTTGTAGAGTATACAAAGTAACTGATACACGATGCTGGTCTAGCAGGTGATTGTCGAAAGAAACCTCTCACACTCTACCATAGCATGAGTGTCAGCTATCTCTCTGGTCCCCTCGAGCTTCAGTTAAAGTTCGAGGGCAGCTTCTTGAGTTGAAGGCTCAGTTCAAGTTCCAAGGAACTTTCTAACCTAGTTATTATTACTACTGAATCCAAAGAATGGCTTGACCGCCGACATATGTCTTACGGCATCCAACGTCAAAAACGAGGGCCCGAGGAATCGCGAAAACCTGTGGAAACCTAAGGGCGAACGGTTCGAACCAACCCGGGTTCGATTCGTCCGCTGGATTCAAATCCCTTTAATTCCCAGCGCGCCCACCTCCCATTTACTCTGCCTCGATGCAGAATAGAAGCTGCTGCTGACCACGTTGCTGATAGCTGGGGATTGGGGTACACCTACATTGGTAGAATTGTGAGAGCACAAGGCGATGCAAGGACGATGATTGCACCATTTGGACAGACACGATGATCGATGGATACAAAGTTCAAACTACATTTACTCTGTGTCCAGGAATGGACAGCAGATTGGAATGGAAGGCCTACGAGCGCTTATTTAATTTACAGCTTATTGCAGCCGTAGTTCCATCTCTATCGGAGCACAGCATAACCTAACCTTTTGTCTACCCGAGAATGGAACCTGAAGATGGGCTGCTCAGGGGTGTGAGTATATCTTTGAAAATGGGGGTAAAACAGATCCAAGCGATGTCACCGGCGTGTCCGATCTATCGATTAAGCGCTCAAAATAGGCGCTTATAAGGGCTCTCCGATCACAATGGTGGAATCGGTCCGGCTCCTTCATTTATTTCGTGAAAACCCTTCCCACAGCGACCGGTTTTTCCGAGTTAACATCTTTTCCTCCCCCCTGACCGAGAGCCAGAAAAAAGCAAATGGGACAATGAGGCACAAGACTGGACTCACTGGAGCCCCTGCGTGTGCAACTATCGGTAATCTATTTTGCCTGCCTCGTTTTATCTTGAGATAATCGGTGTAGACAGCCACATAGGGCCTATATCTGAACTGAAATACGCAGGTAGCTTCGTCCCTCAATAGTTGAAAGGTTCTGAAGCTCCAAGGAGGCTCCTATCTCAGATTCAGTTTCCTGCTTATCATGATATCAGCCTCTCCCTTCGTCCAAAGGCACTACGTCTCTGGGCTCCATAAAAAACCCTCTTACTCACCGGGGGAAGAGCTTGCGATGCCCGTACTCTCCGACCCGCGACAAGTTGGCTTAATCCACACCAATGTCCGTTAGTGACCAGTTCTTACCAAGCCACATTTCTTCGTGCATGCGGTTTTCCTACCGTATGGTGCGCCAGAGATTCTACATGTTCCCGAGAAATGAAACTTGAAAGTTGACATAAGTTTTCCGCTCATATGGTATAGGTTTCCTAGAACTCTAGACGATGGCGATGGCATTTGTCACTGGATATTTAGAGAACTCCGCGAACTTGTCCAGCTTGAAAACTGCAAGTGGTGGATACTCATGGAAGTGGGCCGGTCTTTCATTTTGGACTTCTGGCTGGAGATGCTTCTCAAGTAATTTCGGTAAATATTTCTATACCTTGCGTGCTTCAAACGCTGATATAATGCATCAAGGAAAACCGTTAATTGACCGTGGATACGCCTTCCCGGTCTCGAATGACATTTCTAGGAAGCCGTGTACCGCATGCTCTCCTCATATCTCCGTTCATGTTGGACATCGGAAGCACACGAACAATCGTCATTGACCCACCAGTGGTCACGGTCACCGACGCCATCCGATTTACACTCGATTCCGTCAAGCTCAACTGTCATCCCGCCATTCCATATAAACTTAACAGTCCGCGGCGCTTTGGCCCATGAGGTTTCTTTACGGTTGGAGAAGGCCTCATGGCTGCCTCAAGGCTGTTAGACGCGTAGAAGGTACGCGTTGTATGCGCATGTTTCCCCTGACTAGAAGAGAAAGGGGAAATGGTCACGAGATTCACTTCCCCTTGTCCTTCAACCAAACGTTTCCTGGCCCACGACTAGCACCGGTTGCTCGCCGTCCATGGCATCCTCCAGCAACCACAGAACGTCAACGACACCGCCTTCCGCATTCTCCTCGCAGTCCAGGGCAAGACCCATCTCACGTCGGACAGCTAGTTCATATGACGGCCGGACGTTCCAGGACGTAATTCAGCACCATAGGACTCCTTCGTCGGCGGCGGGGCCCTCCACACGCCCCCATCCTTTCACCCGCCCTGTATCTCCCATGGCACCGACACTATCCACTGCAAGTGATCCCCGCTTCTCCCGACTGTTTAACACCGTCCTCGGTTCACCGTTCTTGACGACTGCTGAACCGTTGCCTCACCTCGAGCTGGAGGCCATGGATTCCAATGCACCCGCTTCTGATCATAGACCAGCCTCGCCTACGCCAACAGCGGATTTCTCTATTATCGATATGGATCCTGAAGATATAGATCCCAATCCGTTCATCCCGGGAAGCTATCCCACAGGTCATTCCAGACTCATATCGTCGTCCATCCCCTCTCTGACCTTCTCTCGCGGACGCCAAATGTCGACGTTGGCAGGAACATCTTCCAGCTATGCACAGACCCGCGATCGGCAGACCCATCCTCAGCATTCTAGTTCACTTAAGGCGCTTCTCCCACGTCTCTGGGATGCCCTATCTTCTCCTGGCCGCACCATGCTCAGCCTTTCTCCTTCGATGAACGTAAACTCTACGTCACCCTCGTCATCACGTTCTTCTTCCAGAACTGCCTCTCCATCCGCACCACCTCATCATCTCCCTCCTCAGTCGTGGTATGCGCAGAACGGCACTCCAAGTGGCAGACACTCACCTGTATATTGGTACACCGGCTCGAACGGCAAAGGGAAATGCAAAGCGAAGGGAAACGACCGCACTGGAAGTCGGTCAGACCTCGACGAAAATATCAACTACTCCGAGCTTCCTCCTTTGGACGGAGAGGAGGGAGAATTAATCGATGAGGCTTGTTTCATCGATCCACCAGACGCTACTGGGATCGGTGAGTCCTGCTAGTTTTGGGTATAGTGATGACTGTTGACACGTAAGATAGATATTCTCTCCAAGCTTCCACCAGAGCTTGCGTTGCATATTCTGACCTTTATCTGTCCCCCTCCTCTCTCTCCTTCCACGTTTTACCTAAACACCTCAGCATCTCCCGGCAGAAGCAGAGCCATCAGTAATGAAGGTGATACCGCACCCCACGAGGCGTTGAAAGCACTTCTTTCTTGTCGCTTAGTCTCGCATACATGGTGTCGTCTAGCAAGCGACAACGCCGTCTGGCGCGCCTCGTTTCTGGGTCGGTGGAATATCGATTTGAGACGCGCTGTTGACACCGCCTCTGGGACAGAAGGGCCTGAGAGGGGTGTACGAGCCACCATGGGCAAGACATGGGATTTCAACCTCCTCGACATCACCCCGAAAGCGCGGCGCGTCCTCGGGCTTGGGTGTATCGACGCACCTCCTACCAGTGCGCCTCTCCAACTGGACTGGCGTGTGCTATATCGCGAGAGGCTTGAGCTCGATAGGCGGTGGGCTGGAACAGCCCGTGGTGCTACTTTTGGCCATGATTATGCTGTTGCTGCGCAGTCCACGAGGCGGATGGGTGGCGTTTACAGCGGCTCGTTCTTGGGTACTCCATCTTCTGTATCTGGTGGCAACTTCGAAATGGGCGACACTTGCGTGCACAAGACGTTTGAGCCTAAACTGCTGAAAGTTGGTGGCCATACTGACAGGTATACCCTTCCACATTTTTGTTAGCCTCCAAGCCCCGCTGACTCTGTCCACAGTGTATATTGTCTAGAGTTCGATTCGCGGCGTATCATCACAGGCTCTCGCGATCGCACGATCAAAGTGTGGAGTCTGCGGACCGGCGAGTGCCTTGGAACCTTTGGTGGCGCGCATCGTGGCAGCGTTCTCTGTCTCAAGTTCGAACAAGACTGGGATCGCAACTGGGAAGATCACTCGCTGTCTGATGTCCCACGAGACAGCCGAGGCAATCCAAAGGCCAAGGAGGACGCGCGCCAAAGAAAGGGCTTTATGGTCAGCGGGAGCAGTGACTGTAGTATTTGCGTCTGGGATCTCCACCTCGGTCCCCTTGTCGAGTCCGATGATGCGTCGGTAATGAGTGATGAGAAAAGGAACCGTAGAAGGGATGACGGTGACAGGATGGTTGAAGCAGAAGTTAAGACCGTCCTGAAAGGACATTCTGGTGGTGTGCTCGATCTTCGCATTGATAGGCGTTGGATCGTCAGCTGGTACGTCGCGATCCCTTGCTGTCAAGTTTTTAGTCCTCGGCTTCCTGACTGGTCTTTCTACATCTGCCAGCTCCAAGGATGCTGTTATTCGGGTTTGGAATCGCGAAACTCTAGAATTGCACCGTACTCTGCGAGGGCACGAAGGTCCTGTCAACGCTGTTGGGCTGCAAAGTGGGAAAGTGGTATGTCAATCACACTTCTCTCTCATTCTGGACTCAATGTCATCTAACTTTTCCTAGGTTAGCGCAAGTGGTGATGGGAAGATGATTTTGTGGGATATCGAGAGCGGTGAACGCCTCAGAACGTTTGAGGGTCATGATCGAGGATTGGCATGCATTGAATTTAAGGTAAAAATACCTAGGCCTCTTGTGCGGGGTTCCCATGGTCTAACTCTGGCTCTGTTAGGACGACTTCATCGTGTCCGGCTCAAACGACTGTAAGATCAAGGTCTGGAGCGCTTCGACAGGTGAATGTCTTCGCACTTTGGTTGGACACGAAGCCCTTGTGCGAGCGCTCTCTTTCGATCCCCGGACCGGACGTCTTGTCAGCGCAAGCTACGACAAATCCGTGAAGCTATGGGACCTCGGTAGCGGTATGTTCTTCCCCCAAATCAACCTAACTTTATCCCCTCGTGCTCATGCCGTATGCATACGACCCAAGGCAAACTGGTGCGCGAGTTTAAAGGACCGGAAGTACACACGAGTCATATTTTCGATGTCAAGTTCGACGTTGCGCGAATCGTCAGGTATGTTTTGCTGTCTTCGTTCGTGATTTAACTCATTTGATTATCCTTGTAGCACCTCGCATGATCAGAAAATTGTTGCCCTGGATTTCTCTGTAGGCCTCGACGCTGCTCTCTTCGTATGATTATTATCTGTCCCGGCGTTCCAGTCAGAAACGCTATCGCTCGTTTTTTGTCCGTTCATTTCTTGATCTGGTGTATTACTACTACTTTCACCCTTCCGCTCTCCGCATCTATACCGTACTTTATATCAGCATAATTCTTGGTCGTTCACCAGCGATTACCTGTAGGATATTATTTTCTTGTACCCGTCGCGTCACCTTCTGATTTCTTCTCCTAATCTGAAATGTATTATTTACGGATTTGCACGGCCAGGGGAGGACATACACGCATCTTGGTTTCCACCATCGGCTTTTTCTTCCAGTTCTGTATGGCCACATCTGTAAGATGGTGCCTTGGTATCATGTGAGTCGGAAGAGTGGTTCACCTATTCTACGATTGGACTCCATATGTAAGTACGACATTGACGTTGACAGTTTTTACTACTTGACTAGGCTCCCATCATGTGTGTGGCGTACGTGCTTTTCTCCTAACCGATGGAGGCCCTTTCGTCGAAACACCTCAGTTCAGTTAATGCCAAGGTGTACTAGAATAAAACCGCTTCTCATGATACGTAAGACCAGCCACACATAAGTGAGTAAATATTCCTGTCGATTATAAGGGTATACCGGTACGGAATTCTAAATCGCCTAGGCGCGAATTTGATCAAGTGAGTTCTCAACTCGCCAGTTTTCTGTGAGATCAGTCTCGATGCTCAAGGTCGGTGTAATGCCTCTCCGACGCTAGGTTTGGCTTGAAACATGCCAGCGCTTGTGTCTCGACATATACGCATAAGATTTCCCTGAGTAGTTGAATAGTCGAAAGCTCACTTGTGGCGCGGTTCGTTGCTGTTAGCAATTACGAGGACAAAGTAATCAGGGCGATTATGACTGGATTCTAAGAAATGAGAGATGTACGTGCCATGCAGAGACAAGATGGGATTTTAACCTAAGCAAATTTCCGACTTCCCTCCAGCAGCCTGACTTTCTTGGCTTTCAGAGGGCTATTTATAGAACCTCCGGCCCTCAGAACAAGCGTTCGAAGAAGGGGTCCTATTGGAAGACTCGAATATATTTCATTTCAACGGAATAAGCGGCTCTAAAAGTGTGAATGCACTACACAACAAAGCAAAGAAAGCGATGCAAGGGACACGGTATGATGTACAAATTCCAGGGTTTGGATTAGTGCTGACAAGTGAGATCATGAGAAACTGAGGCGTTTGAGAAATGTTGCTCTAATGACGACTAACCGAAATTACAGTGAACGAACAAGGTCCAAGTGGAGATAATAAACGATATGTGGTTGGTGATCACCGGGAATCTCGGTGCTCGCTGGGACACAAGGCAGGATCAACCCCTGCAGCGTAGAAGTCGAGGCCAGCGGCGAAGGGGCTATAAAGGTTGCAATGTTGCTCCATGAAGCACGAAATGGCTACAGGAGTTGCCTATGATTGGAGTTAAACTTTACGGTGAGCAGGCTGAAGGAAAATTGCTCACTGTATGGGCGGGGTTGGCGATCCACTGATAGACATCATTGCAGTCTCTGTGCAGGCGCGACCATATCGAGAGGAAGAGGCTCAAGCCGGATTCGGATGTGAGGAGCTCATCCAAGAGGAACGCGCATAGCATCGCCTGTGCAGCCGCGAGGGGATCAGTCCGGCTCTGTCGTAGTTGGGCGGCATACTGGGCGTGGGCGACCTCGTTGCGCTTGCCTATAGGAGGGTTATGTATGGGCACATGGTCTCGAAACGGTGGCGGGAACATAGCGTACGATCAGTGTGTTCATACGCCCTCCCAATATTGGTGAGATCGCCGTCGAGCACCTGAATAGGACGGCTGTGGTTAGATAGGCATCTCGAGCATGCTGTCGTACGTACAACGGGGCGGCGAGTGACCTTGGATCGTCCAGCGGGTCGGCCAGATGAGGCAACCAACCTAGAAGAAGTGAAGGCGAGGTGTGTAGCGTCTGCTGTGACTTCATACGACTGTGCAAACCAATTAGACAGGGTAGCACAAACAATGCCTCTTCATACCGTCTGGAACAGCCTGCGAAGCAATGAAGTTAGTCCTCGAGGTATCTCACGACGGGCATTTCGACGTACTGTTGCATCTGTGTTTCGAGCTCGGATAGCCTTTGTGCCAAGTCGCTCATTTCTTTTTGCCCACTTGTTGCTCTGTGAGTGGCAAGCCTCGTGAACTCAGTCAAAAAGGCAATGATTTGGGCGCTGAGCCTGAACACGCGTTCGATGAGGGATCTGCTGAGGGCGGCTTGTTCTGCAGATATCTAGGGCGACATTAATTCGGCAAGAAGGGTCGAGAGAGTGAATATGCTACATACCGACATATATGTTTGCAAGACTTGGAGGCTTTCGGCCTGGTATGGAGATCTCCCTGATCTTCTGTCGACATTACGCGCCGCCATAGGTAGGACTGTCGATGAGAACACTATGCATGGGTGTAAACCACCGTCCGAGGCAGGAGGAAGGAAGGAGAGCTTACGCTTCAGGCGTCCAGATATAATGTTCGAGTTCGTGCGAAATTGCCACAGTAGATCTGCCAGGTCCTGCAGTAACCATCAGCCGTCGGCGCTGCACGCGACAACGCGTGAACTACCTTTCTCATCGAGTCCCACCTGGGCTTGAGGGGAGGATTGGCTCGGAGGAGATCAATTGTGTGCACTTGTTTCGCGATAGAATCGAACTTGTCCATCATCGCGCTCATAGCTTGCGCGAGTTTACTGCATGCGTCGTTGATGTCGTCCTGGACCTCTTGGTCATTGAAGGTGCGAACGGCGTCGGCGTAAGAGATAGGCTTCGATTTGGAGGGTGTATGAGCCATTTCATCAACGGACTCGAAATTTGAGAAAGCACAGGCGTACATCCTCGCTACTTATAGTTCTCTTCAATTCCCGACGGTCCAGGGATTTCGCTGCAAGGAGGCCAAGGTGACCCGTTTCGGTCCTGGGTCAGAAATCGTTCCGAACCGGCACCGGCTGCCAACTTGGGAGATGAGAAGTCGAACTGGCTGTGTACGCGTTCACGAGCCACTGACATAATGGAGATCTGGGATTACTCACCGGTGAGCGCTAAACCCGCATATATGCATGGAATCATGGGCTCGCAAAATCGATTTGGCTTCGAGGGGTAAAGAGATACAGTTTGCCCGAGTCCGATATAATCCACCGCCGGCGTTAGATTTGCGGCTTTTTCAGTGTGCGCTTCTCAGGCTGCCCGCGGGAGGCATGCCACGTCCCCGGTACCATGTGCGCTCGCTCTTCGTATCTAAACCGTCGAGATAGCCCCCATCCTCCTCCATCGCACACCAAAGAAGCCAGAAGTACCCCAGGGTATTGGGTCGAATCGTCCGAGCTGCCGATCCTTAAGCGCGCCGGGGTACACCCTGCATCCCTCATTTTTTGTCACGTCAATGTGTATCCTGCCTGTTGTGAACCCTGCGCACACCGTAAGCAGGAGATCTGTGCCACTGTCAGGAGGAGGCCACATACATGCTTCAGGAACATGGACCATGTGATCCGTGGCCAATCATCAGTGACCAGAAATTCTTCGAGGGAGTACGCGCTACGGAAAGCGATATCTGTGGGCTTCCGATCATTGTTGTTCCGTCGAGCAATGCCTAAGCCTAGTGGACAGCACTGAGCAGATCAAGCGTGGAGGTGGCGAGGTGGCAGAAAGATGGCGTATACAATGACCGTGCACAGCTTTCAATTTTGCGGCATCATACTCCGGTCGGGGCCAAAAATATTTATGATCTTACCTCCGAGTTGGCCCTGGGTTCTCTGCCTCGATGAGGTCAAGTCTTGCACACACTGTTGCTTCATCTTTCTGTGCATATGTCACAGGCTCGGTTGAAGTGTTCACTGTTCGAAATTTTCAGGATGGACGGGCTATGTCAGGCGTATAAAAAATAACAGCGGCAATTGTCCCCCTCGCGGGCTGATTTCATTTGTGCCTTCCCTTCCGATAGGTATCAGATTTGCTCGACAGATCCGCCTTCCCGGAGAAAGTGGGTCATCTTGAAACGGAGAATGTGAGCCAACGGATCGCGGCGATAATCCGGCGGTATGGGCCACAGACAGTTCTCGACACCTTGTGAGACAATTGTCAAAGCTTGATGCTTGTCCAAGTCATGTCCTATGGAAAATTGTGTCTATGTCACTTAGAGGTGCACTAAATGCTGAAAAGGTCATGGGCGCTCTTTAGAAGCCTGTTGATCGGCGAGATTAGTAAGCGCACAGACAGATCGACATCGGCGAGCGCTTAAATGTACATGCCAAAAATTTGTTCCTACTGCATTGTGGATGACCGAGAAAAATGTTGCTGCTGGATGTGCAATATACCACAGCGAAAATAAAATTCAAACCGAAATAAATAATGGCCACCTGAGAAGGCACCGGGCCCTGTTTGTATCAAACCCTTCGAGGTGCTTCTTCCTTCTGAATCCCTCATCAGAACGCACGCCAATTACATCGTCGGGACCGGCTACGGCATCTTCAACGTTTAATAAAGAAAGATCGCGTCCCAAGGATAGAAAAATCTGCCATAGCCAATAATCAATGCTATCTTAGTGCCCAGGATAACTCTACAAAGCTCCAATAGAATGATTCCTTACGAGTCCTGGCCGTTTGAAAGAAGGAACACGCCGCCACTCCAGTCGCGACAGTCTACACGCCTGAGAATTTCCATGCACCCAACGGTTCCGACATAACACATATCAAACATTCCATGAACCGCAGCTGTGCTTCTACGTGACTGCTCGTCTCACTTTCTCCCGTAAAGGCATATTCAGAAAAGACAGGTGTCATTCCGATGGGTATCACACGTCCAGTTGTGAGATTAGTGGCTCCTTAGCACACTGTTTTACTAGTCTGAAAGCTGAAGCACGAGACATTTTCAACGCGACGCAGGAGTGGCGGGTCGTATACGCAGACAGGCCATTGAAATTTGAAAGTGATGACCATACTTATGACAGCATTGGCAGGGCAAGAAACTTTAAATTAACATCCCTGTCTTGCCAGTGAAACGACACGGGCTGGCACATAAGGAGGAGAGTTTAATATTTTGTAGGCGATGCCCTTACGTTCAGAGTTCAGAGGAACTGTCCGGCGTGAAACGCCCCGTGAGGGCCAGCCAGTATCTTAAAATTCTGAAGTTCTGAACATGCCAGCATCTCTGCTGTGCTGCAGTAGCAGCTAACGTTCACCACTGGGCAATTCGCCGGTGGAGTCGGGAAATCGACGGAAAGGAGGCAAGAAGATTTCAAGGCCTACGTCAAGGGGGCGGTAAAATTTCGCTCCTGCGTACGCCGGTGTGACAGATCTTTCTAGTCGAGAAAGGAAACTGGCGCAATGTAGTCTGCCCCTCGCGCAAGACCGCACTAGTCAGATAATTTGTGTGGTAAGCAACCCATAAATCCGGAGAAATCTTGACCTGATAAACTTACTAAAAGGCAACCCTTGCGAAAGAACCTCAGATCTCATATTCTTACCGGAATAAAGAGCACTCGGCCGACGGTCGAGTCAGACACGGCCCAAGTTTCTATAATTCAGACCTGCACAATGATAACGGTAATATCATCTCCAGGCGGTGTGGCTTCCCTGACTCGTGCGAGTAAGTACTTGGCGCAGTGACCTTCATTACTGGCAATTCCCTGAAGAACGATGGCGGCGGCTTCTTCACTGGAAATCAAATCCCAGAGGCCATCCGTAGCGAGAATAGCGACATCCCCTTTCTCAAGCTGGTATGTGGCGCTTTCCGGAGCAGCAGTGATGTACGGCGGTGTCTTGTATCCGTAGAAGATAGAAGCATATTGGTCAATCATAGATATCTTGCCTTTTCGCTCGACAGATGATATCGTCTCGATATACTTTCGGTGTTGGTTGAAGTTCAAGATGTCATTATTGGTGGAGTATGGAGGCGCATACCCCGCGTACACATGAGTCTCCCGAAGAGACGATCGCCGACGACGAGGTCATCCTCATCAGGATGCTCTCGAGCTAATCTCTCCCGCTCGGAAGAGGTTTTCACGTTGAAATCTTGCGTCTGGAGCAGTGCTGTACTTCTCCCGTTGAAGATGATCAGTCGACAATCGCCTGCGTTCGAATAGGTAGCCAATAAAGACCTCAAATTGATATCAAGGACCAAGGCGGTGCTCCCCGATTTCATTAACAGAGCATGGTACGCCCATTCCGGAGACCGACGACGGAACAGAGAGTGATCGCGTCTAAATTCCGAGAGCATTTCATCATCCAGGTCCTGGAATTGTTGGCCATGACAGTCCGCAGTACGCAGGAGCAGACGGGGTGGAAGGTTCTGGCTGACATGGACCGCTGTCTCAGGACCGCCGTGTCCTGTAATACAAGCTCTGTTCTCAACGGAAGAATTCACAGCGGAGAGCGGACGCTTCTCACCGTCGTATACTCCAACAATCAGACGAGACTGATCAGAGCTGTGGTGAACAGAGAATCTGTCCTCTATGGGACGCTCCGTAGGTTGAAACTGTGCAATGTGAACAGACACTTCAGGTGGCGATTCGATAGTCGGTGTCAAGATTCGCCCGACGACATTTTCCATGAGATTTGCGAGACTGTAGGCTACTGAGATGAGGTGAACCAGGGTTGCACTACAAGACTCGAGAACAGTCAAAGAAATCACCATACCTGCGGTAGTAATGCAATCTCTGTGAAATACGTGTGATTATTCTTAGTGGCAGAACGGGATAGTGGGGTTTGGCCACGTTCAAGGCTGGTTTCAGCTCATGAGCACAGCCCGCTTCGGGGCTTAGAAAGGTAGTATTTACCCACGGCTGGATAGGGGCACCGCATTCTTGGCGCGTTCCAACTGGCAAAAGAGGCGCCCAAGTCAGAAAAAGGGCACAACGTATATAAGGTAGAAGAGGAAGCCGATAAGTGCCCGCGTTCTGATCCCGTCATCCTTATTTGTAATAACAGTTGCTTGATAGCTGCTAGTTATTAGTGACGAACTTTATTTAGAAGGTGCAGTTGAGGTACAGGGAATGTTCAAAATGTAGAGGCGATTGGTAAAATTTAAAGCCTAGTAGAGATACTAGATAGAGGCGTTTTGAACTCTTTTCTTCTTATATTCGGTGAACTTTTTGGATTGTATCCGACAAATTTCGCACCTCTTCAGAAAGATCCGTGATTACGAAAGACAAGAGGGCAAGCATCCAGATTACTACAGGTTACAAATCTACGCATACAGTGACAGCAAGGAAAAAGCCTGATGCAAAGCGTGACGGAAAGAGAAATAAAGCACGGCAGGAATTTAGGAATAAAAAATCGAGCAAATGGGATATGACAAGAAATGGACTAATGACGAATTCGCTTTCTTCGCACTTGTATATCAACCTCTCCTCCTCCACTTTCAGATTGTTGAGCAGAAGCAGCAGGGGCAATTCCGTTCGGCGCAGGCTCATTGCCGTCCGATTCTTCATCTTCGGTTCTAGCGCGTTTCCGAGAGGCTGGCTTGGGTGTTGTTGGTTCAGGTTCAGGTTCCGGCTCTGAGTCGTCCATTGGAGTGAGCGGTTCCATTGGCGAAGCGGGAGGTGATGGCTCTGGCTCTGGTGCAGGGCTCTCCTTTGATGGTGATGGTGATTTACGACGATAATTAGCCCGAGGACGAGGACGAGGCCGGGCTTTTGGCGTTGCTTCCACTTCATCGTCGCCTGTGCCTTCGTCAGCCGCTGTTGCTCGTTTCGACCGAGTGGATCGTCGAGGTCGTTGCGGACGAGCCACATGTTCCGCCGCAGGCTCTTCGTCGTTGGTCCGTTCGCCATCAGTGTCCTCTCCACTCGAGCCGGCAGCGGCGCCTTTCTTCCTTGATTTCTTCACCTTTGGTGCATGGGCTGCTCGGGCCATATGAGACTCAATATATCACGCAGGAAAATTAAGAGAAACAAACCGTTATCCTTTGACATAATAGCACTGAGACGTTTCTCATACGCCCGATGGGGTTCCCAGACTTTTGACGTAGCGGAAACTTCGACCTGAGCTTCTTCCAGAACTTGGCCCATATGCGCTTTTCTATTGAGATACATGGCGATTAGCGAGAAGCTTCGAAGTGCCGTATACACCTAGACTTACATTTTCAAGGCATCTCTGCTTGGGACTGCACTAAGGAGGGGTATAAGGACGCGGAGCAGAGCAATGGCGGTCTTGAGGCCCCTCTTATTTTTGTTCTTTTCGTAGGTTGCTATCCGTTTACTAACCCAAGACAACAGGTTCGTTTGTACTTGAACAACGTACTCAGTGCCCAGGCGTCGGAGAACGGATAGTTGGTTTCCTCGGACAACGAAGCATGTGGAAAGAAGCTTGGCCAGCTGCACAGCGTTGGTTTCGTCACGGACAACACCGTCGACAACAAGAGAAGAGGACTAAATAAATGCTGTGAGCATGCATATTTGGTAGTGGACGACGGCCATGGAATCACCTCTTGGATTGCTTGTGTGATGGTGGCTACGACAGTAGTGGGATTGTCCTTCAGCATGTGCTCTTCCCGAAGGAGCTCGACGATCTTCTTCGAACACATGTCGAAAGCAACTCCAAGGCGGCCGTAATGAGCGAGAACGACAGCTCCGTGTTTAATATGAATGGCTCCAGCTTGAATGGCTCGCAGGAAGGTGGATAAGACGTCAAGGAATAGGTGCTCCCTTTCAAGCACATCACGGGAGCCGAGGTCGGCTACATCAGAATATTTGTGAGTCATATGTTGCGTAGACAATACGATGGGGGGAAAACCTTCTTGGTGCGATTTCTTCGCTCTGGGTGATTTTGCAGGTTTGTCGCCTTCGTCGGCCCTAGCATCCTCTTGCTCCTCTTCGCTGGAGCCAGCATCACTCTTGCGCGACTTCTCTTCCTCGTCCTCATCCTCAAGGAACTCTGCATAACGCTCAATCTCAGCCTGGATGTAGCCTGCACAGCGATATTGCAGCTCATCATCCAGGGTTAAGGCAAGTGAAGCAGCTGGTCGTGGGGCGCCGTCGTCGGAGTAAGCCTCAGCTGAGCAGAACACGACATGTAAGTCGAGGAGATGTTTGAAAGCCTGCATACATTCCTGTCAATATTCTATGAGAATATTTGGGCTATTAAGAGACATACTGCGCGTTTCACGCCTTCGACAGTGTTTGACTGGGTACCGACTGCGAATTCAACGAGTTTCTCAAGAAGGGCATCTCGCTGTTCTTGTAGGACTTCCTTGCATCGAATATCTTCGGGTGTAGGGTCGTTCTCTGCGGACAGGCCCTTGCTTTTCCATAGAACATGTAGGTTGAGGACATTCAAGGCCTGCTCGACCATCTATTTGGAACACGATCTTAGATTCACCATACAGAGACTTAATGAATGCTCACCATCTCTTCCTCCTTGTAGCCTAGCCTGCCTCTCTCAACAAGAGCATTGATGATATCCCAAGCACTGCTTTGCTTTCCGCCCTCGTCTTCTTCTATCCAAGCAGTCATGTTTCGCGCACCAGTGACCGTCGAAAGACGAGTACACCAGGCAATCAAAGCCAGCACCTCGTCTTCTGTGAATGTCGCAATCTCGATCTCGTCTCGTCCGGCAATGGTGTCGCGTAGCTGGGTCGACAGTTCGTCTTCGAGTTCGAGGATCTTGGTACTGTTGGTATTCGAAAGACTCGTTGCTTTCATGAAGTATTGAATAGCAACCATGGCATGGGATAGGACTTTGGCCGAAGAATGAGACATAAACTGCTTGATAACGTCGTCCCATAGGCTACTGTAGGCCTGCTTCGAACGTAAGTTACTGGAATACGTTGGGATATCAAGATACTTGCCGTTATCATGCGCATCTCAAGGTAGAGGTCCAGGTTCATAAGCGTTGGAATAACCAAAACCTCAGCAATACGATTCTGGTCGGACTGATGCTTAATGAAGAGTCGAGGAAGACCCTTGATCAATGCACGAGTGATATCATTGGAAACATTCTCTTCCTCATCCTGCTAACAGAAATAAGAGACGAACATGCACAGCAAAAGTTTACGAAGGACGAACCTTTCTACCGCCGACTGACTCCGCTTTGGCTGTGCGGATAGCGGCTACAAGGACCTCAAGGAGGGTGCTTTCCTCCACTTCCTCTAGCCTCCAAGCTTCGTCAACGACGAAGTCATCTGTGTGCTTCTTGCCGTTTGCCCTGACTCTTGGTCGTGGAGATGAAGTCAGTTGGTTGTCCTCCTCCGATGCAGAATGATCCAGAAGTAAGAGTTCGAGAAGGCCCTCCCAATCGCTCACAGGCTCTAGGCCCTCCCACAGAGATTCGACTGCCAATGCTACGCGGCCTTGGCCTTCAGCTCCGACGAGAGCGATAACCTCTCTCCTTCGGTTTGCGCGAGGACGTCCATTGACGGCATCTTCTTCGGCAGCATCTCCCATCTCCGACTCTTCCACATCTCCAGACAAAGTGTCTAATGCTTTGCCCCATTTAACGAGCAGTACTGCAAGAGCCTTGACGCCTATCCTCTGCTTGTCCTTGTCGCTCGGTTTGTCTTGCGTATTCAAACGTGCAGCAACTTCGTCTTCCCATACACCGCGCACGAATGAGCTCACTGCTCTCCGAACCTTGGGTTCTTCATCAAACAAGAGCAAACATAGCTTCTCCTTTTCTTCGTCCTCCAGCGTGAAATGCCCTTCAATATCTGCGAGCACCTGTATTGTTGCAACACGAATGGAGAGATCTATGTCCGAGGTCGCCATTTCGAGTAAACGAGCTTTGAACCGCTCCGTGAAGTTTGTCAGAGCAAGGATGTGATCAACTTGCTCGTATGCCCCTGAAAGAGACTTGACGGCCTCAAGACGAACATGATTGTTGGAGTCGGACAGCACCCAGCCTACGTAACGAAGGTACCGGGCATCGACAAGGAAGTAGTCTGGGTACTTTCGTAGCCACAAGCCCAAGGAGCGTACGCACTCCGCACGAATACTGGGGTCAAGGTCTCGGAATCGATGGATAAAGACACTGAAAAACAGGTAAGCCTTGCGAGAGCACAACTATAGGGGACGCACCCATCAACAAATTCCTTGATGAACGATGTCAGCTTCGCTTGTCGTCGCTTCACCTCTTTCTCTTTGAGGATAAGTTCCTGCAGCCGCGGATTTGTCCCTTTGGTCTTCCTCTTCTTCTCGCCTTCCCGTTGACGAGAAACCACATCTTTCTCCTTGTCCACAGCAGCAGCGACGTCGCAAAGAGCCGTCTCAGCCTCCAAGGCAATCACAGTAGCGGTATGTCGGAAACTTCGAATTTGTGATGATGACATCGATACAACCCATTGCTGGAGGGTCTCCATGAGCTGAGATGAGTACAAGAGACCGAGGTCGGAGGCGGAAATGATAAGCCGTTCGATCCATTCTGACAACGACTTCCGGAAGCGTTTGAAGACGGGCAATTTGGATGTCAGGGGATAAACAGGGGAGTTTTCCTGCAACTTGATTAGAACATGACGCTCAGAGTACTGCCGCCATGCAACCTTTTAAGTGAGCACAAAATGCTTCGAAAACGTAATTGAAATCTCCCATTGCCGAAACGACAGAGAATACGCATTGAAAATGTGGCCATTAATGTCGGTTCATCACATTTCTCAGCAAATTCATATCGTCCGAGCAGCGGAAAATTTTTAGAGCCATTTTCACGGCGAAAGGCCCTCCTAGTTTCGTTTTTTCATGCTCGGTCCGGTCCTATCTGACGTAAGACTTGCGAGTCCCTCGGCTTGCCGCCATAGTTCCTCTAGCTCGCCGAGTGCTGATAAGACCGACAGAAGCTGAACAACGATAAGGAGGACCCAACGTCGCGAAATGGCTGTAAAATACGTTTGTAAAGTATTTTGTTGCAGACAACACGGTTGCCAGCCAGCAGCATGATGGGTGTTGACATACCTGTTTGAGAACCTCTGTAAAATCATCCAGCGCGCTCACAATCCCATCGAAATCAACAACTTGATCCGCATCAACTGAGTCGTTGCATCCACATGAACGGAGGACAAGGTTTATTAGCTCAGCTAGAGCGGCTTCTGGTGATTGCTGCAGGGATTCTAGGAAGTCTTCGGCGCTCGACTGTAGGGGAGAAGCTGGATTCATAATTGCATCTGAGAATGCAGGTCAGTCAGGCGTAGATCACATAAATAGAATGCAAGACATACTGAAAAGCGGGTTGTCCGAGGAAATTTTCGTGTCTTTTGCGACCTGATCAGGATCATACGCGTCTTCTCCCTCTTTGGGCCTTCTTCCCCGACGCGCGGCGACTTTGGGTATCTTGCGTATAGCAGCTTTCTCCGCGCGTGGTTTCTTTGCGGCCGGGGCTGATTTGGACTTCGGAGACGTTTTGGCTTTGGTCTTTCGCGCCGATCCTGGCTCTTTTGGTTTAGGAGCCTTATATCCCTCGTCTTCGTCATTCGCGTCGTTTTCTGCCTCGCTTTCTTGCTGGTTCAACCCATCGTGTTCCGCGTCTTGAGACGCGTCGCCTTCGGTATCACTTTCGTTCCGCTTGCGCTTCCGGCTGCCACCAGTGCTTGCTAGTTGTTGGAACGCCAATTTAGCACACGGCCTATATATCTCGAGTCATAAACATACCTGATGCGAAAGGCTTTACCACCTTTCTCTCTCGCTGGGAGCGCCTGGGGCCCGGAGAATCCGCCTGAGTGTCCGACATGGGGGTAGGGGTGCAAGTCGCGTCGCGCTGGGACAACACGAGACACGAGGTCACAGCCCCCTTCCCGTTTCGGACAATGAACCTCCGGCCCGGAGTCTGAATCCGGTGCCGACACCATTCTCACTAACTTTACAGATCTGGGCAGGGTACCATGGACTCGACATAATATTTCTACCAGGAGATTACAATCCCGGCTGAAGTGATTGTCATCATAATCGAAACAATATAACGAATGACGGATGGGTATGACGAATAAAATAAGGTATTAAATACTGTAAGTATTATGCCAGGAAATCCACATCAGTCCGTGGCAGATAGCATATCGATAGTGGCAAGAACTGCATTACGCTGGAGGAAAAAGGTTCTGTCAGATTCGAGGAAACAAGCACGAAAAGAAAGCAACAGTTACATCGGCAGCCATAGCATTATATGCCTCAGCTAGTGAAGAATCTCCGGGTAGCGACGAGCGCCGAGACGGGTTGATATCGGAAGGCCGAACATTAAGGAGCGCGGTAACCGGAGGTGGAGAAAGTAGCAGACCAGCAGCAGACCGAGAGCGACGCAGGCGGCGATCTGGGTTCGTGATGCCCAACATAGCATATAGTTCATCTTGTGCCTCTGCCAAAGCCCTTGTTTCCGAGTTCGGCGTAACCCCTCCAGAGGAAAGCACCTGCGAAAAAGAAAAGTCAGACAGGGAGACATGCGGGGTTAGCTGGCATACCGCTGAGCTCCTTAATGGCGATTCAGTTGAGATTTGGAGGGGTCGGCGCTTCGGTATAGGAGGAACAGGCGGGCTCTTTTCCAAGCGGGGTAACGGACTCTTTGAACTTGACGTAGGCCCACAGAGTGAACTGCCCAAAGATGATCGTTGGCTGAGTCGCTGGCTGGGTGTGCGCAAGCCTGCCTTCGACACGCGAACACTTGACTTGCGAACGGCAGAAATCCTACTCGAGCGCTTCGACGAAGGACTATCGATCTTATCGTTCATTCTGTCAAACTCGTTCGCGACGACCTCGGCTTGCGCCCATGCCTCGTCTCGCTCGGCCTCGAGGGCCTGGTTCTGATTCCGGAGCACTTGGTTCTCCGCGACTTGCTTCAGGAAACTGGCATTTAGCTTCCGTAGGGCCATTGCAAGTGCACTGCCAGTGTGAATATGCGTCAAGGACTCGAGATGGGCGAGCTGACCATCCAGGCTATGCAACTCTTCAGCGAGTCTGTCCAGTGTTACCACCATTTCTCTGATCTCCTCCAGCAGGCGAAGGGCATAGGAAGAGTTGTCTTCCTCGTTGCCCGTCATGTGTGCCGTTAGAGCGTCAAGCAAAGTGGCTCGTCTCCGCGTCAGCACCTTATACCGCGTCTTCAGGTCCGTCCGCTGAGCTTCCAAACGCCTCATCTCCTCGGGAATTTCGGTGTCAAGGACATCAAGCCGTAGCAAACGAATCGACGATGCTTCAGCTGACTGTTTGATAGCTCTGGACACGATAGCCTGGAGTTGAGCGGACGTAAACGTCCATTTGGCAGCTTCCATGGTGTAGCCTCTCCACTTGGGCGGCGGCGTTTGGAATTTGGGCGAGAAAACGGGAGCGGACCGGACCCTTGACGTATGGGGTAGTGCATTGCTCGCCACGGATGAGATGGAGCCCGAACGGTCCCGAGAGGGATGGAATTGGCCAGAGGGTCCACCCGCCGCCATCATCTGTTGCTGACTCGGTCTCCGAGGGCCCTGTGGCAAAGGAGGTCGCATCCGCGAACGCTGGCCGGCAATCGAGTTTTCTCTCCCTAACGTCGACCTGCCATCCATGTTGTTGCTCCACTCAAGGTTGGAAGGCCCCGGCGTACCAAAATTCGGCTCGGAGAAGGAAAACGACGCATTATGGGAGAAGCTGCCATTCGGTGTATGCGAAGGATGACTTGGCGGGGTACGTTGTTGAACCTGCGGTAGCGGTGTCTCGTTAACAACAGTGTAATAGGGCGGAGGAGAACCCAGGGACGTCGCTCTGAAAATGTCAGAAGCCCGGCCAGTAAATGCATCCTCGTATTTGTGACTTGACGAGCTCTGAGTGCCTGGGGCTTGATCATGGTCGACAGCACTTGGCGCTGGCGCTGAGGCAGATGAAGCAGCAGCAAAGACAGGAGGATTCGATGCTGGACGTGATGATGATGCTGGCGAGTCTGAGCTGTCTGTCGCGTTACCATTGACAGCCACCGCTCGCTCGGCGACAGGATTGGAGCTTGAGATGTTCAGAGCAGGTGGCAGACGTCCGCGAGCAGGTGATGGAGCAGGAGGTTTCGGTGCCAGTGTCGGCGACGGAGGAGGGATTGAGGGGGCAGTAGGAGGAGCAGGGGCGCCAACAATAGCTGTCGAGGACTCCGGTGCATTTACCGGAGATTCAATGGTCGTCGCCGGCGAAACAGCACGCGTGGAAGGAATAGGAGAATTAGGAATGGGCGGCAGTGACTTGATGCGTGGCTTGGACGAAGAGTCGGAAGTGTACATGGAACTTGCATCTGAGGTCGTGATGACCGTTCCTCGACTGGGGGATCTACTCATTTCGTGAGCCAGGACCTGATTGCTGGGCGACTCTGGCTGCGATCCAGCTGCAGACATACGGCGCGACGCAATGCCGCCGTTTTGGTCAGCCGGACTCGCCTCAGTCTCCACGTCTTCAATTATGTCTGCAATACGCCGACTCGTTGGAGATCCTGAGCGTGCTGCTAAACCGGACGTCTTGATCTTCCCAACGCTCGTTTGCTTCGTGTGTTGGCGGCCAGTCGTCCCGGCTCGGTTCAACAAGAGCTGTTGAGCAAGACTTGGCTGGGTTCCCCGGGAAATAGTAGCAGAGGTGGGTATCGTTGCCATTGGCGGCACATCATGTCCATCTAGCGATTGGTGTAGGGAAGGAGGGGCGTCAGTACCGCCAGTTAATAGAGGGCTGAAAGCACTGGGCGTTTCAGGGAAATCCTGGGTGACTATGCCTTCATCTGAAGTTGGAGTATCAGAATCGGCATTACTAGGAGAAACGGTAATATTGTAGGTGATTGCGTCTTTAGGATCACGTATGACCTTGATAGGACTGGGGGCGCTGCCGGACCTTTGGCGACTGAAAATATGACTAGGAGGGGGTGCAAGGGGTGCAAGCAGGTCCGAGCCTGCCGAAGCTAAGGACGAAGTTTGAGAACCAGAAGGCGATGGAGGTTGAATGGAGGATAGCGGCCGCTCTCCCATTGGGGCTAGCAACTGTCGTGAATATGGACGTGAATCAGAAAGCTTTCGAGGTAAAGGTACGGAATCGCCCCGCACTTGACGTAACGCATGTCAGTATCTGGAAGAGACGAAAAGGAAGGTAAACTCACCGCGTATACTACCAGACAAAGGACTACGAGCACCAAGTGGAGTGCCGGTACTTCTTTGTGATTCCCGTCTATCTCTATACGGTGTCGGAGGAGATAATTGGGAACTAGTCTCTTCACTTATAGGTGAGACACCAGGTCGATACCCGCCGGTCATAAGAGGCTCTGGCGAGTCAGGATGTGAATAGTAATTCAAGACATCGTCTGACTCCAGATTCTTGCCAGACGGTAGGCCATCAGAGGAAGGAGCGGGGGATAGAAGGCTTAGGAAGTCGGAAGATGGGGTTTGAGGACCGATAGGTAAAGGCCTGGCGGCGGGGGTCGGGGTTAGTTCAACAGTTTTGCTTTCTTCGACGCGTTTCGGTTGTGGAGTAGGAGGCAAAGGAGAACGGGGTGGAGGCGGAGGAGTTTGGACGAGCGCAGGAGATTTCAGTAATAGAGAGTTTAAGTCGTTTAAATCGAATTCGGCGCCGGGGCTCAGGAGAGCACTGATCGGTCTGTCGTATGAAGGTGTTTCTGGTAGGATTTTGGGATGCAGGCTACCAGTACTTGATCGCCTCTTCAATTCTTGACGTTTCTTTTCTCTCCATTCCAGTGCGGCACGCGACTTCTTAGGTGGTTCATACAGGAAGCCGGCGTTGGATGGTACTGGCGGCGCATCTGGACCCACCGAGAACCGGTCATGATATGAGGATGGGCCGGCATGGTCACCGCGAGGAAGGGTAGTCGAATCTGAGCGCGTAAGGCCAACAGTGCTGGTGCGGAACCTCGATAAACGATTGTCGTTGGGCAGTACGAAGGCATTCGATAGAAGGGCGCGAGCGAAGTTGGTCCCAGAGACCGCCGAAGAAGCCGGGGTATCCAAAAGGGACATTGGTCGAAGAGGCTTTAGGTCAGAGAGGGCCTCGGGACGCGATTCTTGACTGTTGGTGCTTTGTGACGAACCCGCTGGAATTGCTAAGAGGGTTGCTGAAGGCTTATTCGAGGATGACGAAGCTTGATCCTGAAGCGCGCATGAGGATTGGATCCGTTAATATTGTTGCGAACGAATACATACCGAGCGATTGAATTCAGAGCCGTGCATTTTCCCAAAGTGCGAGGCCTACAGAAGTATCAACGACAGTCAGATCAGTTCCGAAAAGAGACGAATAACGCACATTCATTGCCTTAAGATTCGAAAGGACATCTTCTGATGAAGTCGAAAAACCTCCTTCATCAGCCTCTCCCAGTGCACTCCTACTCCTACTACTCAGCGTTTCCGTGCTTCCTAAACTCCCCAAAGGCTTCGCTTCATTCCGCAATCCACTTCCGCTAGTCTGCCCTTGTTGCGCCTTCTCGGACGATGGTTGAGCGTTTTCTGGTTGGAGGAAATTCGCAGCGAACCAGTCGGTCAATCCCTCTGGCGACAAATCGATATCCAGTTGGACCTGAGGCGTTGGAGCATTATTCGGTCGAGGATTCCGCAGTTCTTCGTCGATGATGTCTGTCTCGTATTCGTCTATGGGTTGCCCGCCATCGAAGTCCAATGAATAATGTCGCGCGTTTCGATCATTGATGACAAGGACCTCATCTGCGAGAGGATGTGGTGGGACTGCTGGAACTGCTACTTGAACCGATGCGGGCGTCGACTGTTCTCCGCGTAATAGAGTAAACGGGGACTTGAAGGCGACCTTTCCTTTGCGACTGGTGATGAAGGACGGCAGTGCAGGCATGCCTTCCGAGTCGTAGGTATCGCAAAGCAGATAAAGACGACGCAGCAGACCTTTGTCCGACCAGCAGCGATCTGAAGAAAATGGGAGAGTGGAATGGATGGCAACGAAACCCGAGCTGCATCAGTCAAGTGTTTGTTGATGCGTGACAAGTCCATCACTGAATGGACCCATCTTATCATAGCGCTCCGGTCTGTGGGCCAACAGCAGGCGACATCCTCGCAGGGCAGTGTAGACTCTGTTCCAAATGATCCGCACCGTTGGAGTCTCTCTCTAACACCCACTTCCTCCACCTCAAAGCGCAATCCATGTCCCCAAATCCACTCGAGCGTCCTCGAAGCTAGAAACCCCAGTGAAACGAGTCCCTGATCGGTCATGTCGGCAGGGTGTGCGTACCTGACGTTTGGGCGGTGCACATCCATGACGTCCAAGATTCAATTTGCTGAGCGGATTGACACGTCGTTGTTGTCTCCGAGCGTTCCACAGAGGCACTTGCTGCACCTCCTCGGCTTAGATCACGCTGCTTCTTGAAGGATACGTTCAATGAGCCTCTTCAGTGTTCAGCAAAGCCTTCAGGTCTTCATTTGGCGGTCAGGACTCAAAGGGGCGATTTTACGTGTTTTCGCAAGCTTCAAGGGTATTCCTCGTGCTGGGGGCCGTGTGTCGTTGATGAAAGCGATAAAGGTTGTATGAACGGCAAATGCCTTCCCTTTGACGAAGCAGGTCCGTGCGCAGATCATTTCCTAATTACATATGCTTCCGTTCCACATTCTTTCGTCTTCCAAAGCACTGAGCTCTTCACCTAAATTCCAACGACTTCCGATGGGACCGATGCGCTGCTCGGGCGCCTGTGCACAGATAGGCTTACTCCATCGAGCGCCCAAGGGGGCTAGGCTAAGCAGGGCTGAGTCGCACTGCATGTTTCATCGCATCAACCGAGCGGCCTCGGTTGGCCGCGTTCCGGGCCCGTTGGGGACGTACAGTAAGTAAAGCACCCCTACCCGCCCACCAGCACGCTATAAATAACACCTAGGTATCACATCCCTGTGCAGTCCGCAGGCCAGCAATGCGAGCTATGTAAGTTCTTACTCCCACAGAACATTTGCTTTGGGTTTCTGAACTGAGCTATCGTCTCATATACGCCGTCGCGGCGGCCATGGACGTGGAGAATCGGGATAAAAAAAACTCCCAAAAAGCCTGGTCACGGTCGCCACGTCTCGTTTCCGTGAAAACTCAAACAATTGAACGGTTAATCGTGGAAATGATGGATTTCCATACAAGCGCTTAACGGTTTCCACCGGCGCCTAGATACGTACGCTTGTTAAGCATCGAATACCATAGATTTCGGGCACTCGAACCCTCTTTTTCAGCACAATATTCACATCGCCTGTATAACCTGCACGAACGTGGGGTTAGGAACTGAATGTGGAGAACCGTCATGCAGACCACGAGAAGGTCACGTAGGATCGCCGCGACGACGCCGTCGATACCCATCAAATGATATATCCTGGAAGTGTTCTAGACACAAGCAAGTTAACTTGAACATTCCATTTTCTGGAGAGTCTGCGTTGCTCAGCAGAGTCCAAAGTTCTCGAAGGGGTGTCTCCTTGGAGGTGCCTAGTGGGACAATCACAGAGTCTGATATCATTGCCACTGACATCTTCCCACTGTCGGCACTGCTCAGGAACTGATATATATGCGGTGTGCATGAGCATTGCGCAACTCGGACAAAGGGACCTCTTGCCCTGGATAAGCATTCACGTATAAGGATAGTCTTCCTTAACAAGTATTTTCACCAGAATCGGAGGCTCTACTATATTAATATGACTTTTACATGTTGCTCGATCATGAACGGTGCTTGAATATTGCTAGAACAGATCAGCAACTGCGGGTCTCGAGCCTTGTCAACCGGGAGGTACATTCCATCGGTGTAAGTACAGGTTGGAACATGACTGTGATGAACGACGGATATGATAAAGAGGGAGACTATGACGCAGAATCATTATTGTCAGCGCCTTCACGAAGGTGAAAGTATTCATAAACAAGTGACATATCCACCGCACTGTGGGTTGTAGGCGTGAACCCCGAGGTCCAGAAATCATTCCACCAATTAGATCCACGGCCTTGAAGGCAGTCTAAAGCTGCCTATATCCACCTGCTCAAGGAGATTGGTCGCCTCAATATTTGACCAGTTCAACCACGAAAGTCCTCGGGCAATCACGCAGCGAGTACGGTCGTTGTACGCATTACTTCAGAGTCAAGAAACAGTCCAAGGAATACCCTCCGAGTCCGATCGAGAACCCAAGGCTGATGGATTGAACGCACCAAAGATCAACATTTCGTGTGCTTTTTGTGCTACATATGGTCCACGAATTGCTTCTCCTGGTCACTCTATTGACTCTCAGATAGTTCAATCATAGGACAAGCACGACGACATTGTGCGAGCATAGCGTCCGTTCCCGCACCAGCGGCACCACAACGCAATTGAATACGAATTTACGAGCACTTCTAATCCCGCTGGTGGTAGATGTTTGGTGTTTTGATGCCAACAACAGGGTGTTAAAGGTGAACGAATGAGAGATAGAGGGTATACAAAAGCAGGTTGGGAGCCTCGTGTTCTGCGTCCGACTTTCCAGGAAAGTGTGATGATAAGGGCGGAGGTTTGGCCAATCAGAGGGATTTCTGATGCGCCACAGTCATCTGATTACGTGCTTACCTGCACAGCGTGGGCGACGTGTGAGGCGCGCCCGCCGTAAGATCCCTGACGCGTACGATTCGTCAGCCTGCCTAGAGTGATGCCGAGATGTTGACAACTTCTTTTCGTCAGCCTCTTTACAATATACTTACAGTGTGCGCAGAAAACGGGATTTGTCCAGAACGAGCAAGTTCAGAATACCATATGAACTGCTTCAGATCCTTGCAGGAAGCCATAAGCAGCCCAGGCGCTTTTTTGGCTGGATACATATGAAAGAAATCTGTTGGGAGGCTTAGCCGGTAGAGGGGGATGTCGTAACCCCGAAGCGGTCGGGCGCTGGCCTCCTTTGTCACTTGTGTGCTGTGATACGCGGTCGATATCACAATGCGAAATAACGGTGTCGTCTTGGAAGAGCACAACGCGGGTGGGCCCCCATCACAGCGCTGAGCTGTGCGCTCTCCTGTAGCCGAGACAGCATTTTTCTTCTTCAGAAAAGAAAGCCTTCCATCGACTCCGAGTGCTGGATGATGATCGCAGCACGAGGAGGCAACGAACGTGTGGATTGTTTAGAGGAGGTAGCGAACAAGGCTGCGTCGCCGAACGACGAAGGTTCTGTGGATCCGTGTTGCCATAAATGGGTGTAGGCGCTGGCTCGCCACACAGGTTTGAAGGATGAGAAAATGCACCTGGACGCCAGACCCCCCAATTTTTTGATCGCCTTTCGACGGTCGAGGGAGGCCAAGGCTCGAGTTGATCGACGGACGACAGTTTCAATTGAGCTCTGCCCACCGGACAAGACGGGTGCACTCTGAAATAATTTGCACTGCACCCTCGTTCCGGAGGATCATTACCGTGCCGGCCAGCGTTGAGTGCTTCCCGCAAGAACGAAGGAGACTTCAGGTCTTTGTTCTAAATTCGATCCTCAGTGCGCCGCTGAAGATAAGGAGGAGGATGAAGACAATTAGCGAGGTCTTGTGGACGCATACGGGCGCTGTGGCGGCCGGAAACTTGGAAGATGGACGAGGATTAGGATTAGGTTGGCGCCAAACTGTCGGGATTGGCAACTAGCGTCTCCCCGATTGGCAATTTGAAGGGATTTGCCGCAACTTTTGCCTTTTGACCATCAGTTCCAGCCACTGGGAGAAGGAAGTTGGAAGAAAAACGGCCAGCGTTTCTGTGAAAACATACCCTCAAGGACGAGCAAGCGCCGATAGGACGCTCCGAGGATTGGAGAAGCCCATGGAGGCGGTTCGTTAGGAATGTCTTTCGAGGACCATGTCGTGTCATCCTGGCTTACCCTGGCTCTCCATTGACCATGACGGTGAGTTCTATACCCGCCCTTGTCATGTTCAAGAGAGATCAATAAATGAATGTCCCGAACTCTTGAGCCCCATTAAATAACACGCAATATCCGAAGATGCCGTTGGTGTTCAGCGTGAAACGTTTCTTCTTCAAGCGCATACAACGACCACCGAGCCGGAAGCTCCCAGAAGATAACTCCTCAATTTCTGCATGCGATATATGCCTGGATAATATCATGACGCCGCGGCGGTGCCTATACGTGGCAGGATTCGAGACGGAGGCAAGACCATGGGGATTTTGGGTTTCAATAAACTCTATCCCACAGCTCAGGATCGCCCCGACTTCGGCGTTGCAAGGCAACGCGATGCACAAACAAGAGTATATGCAGACGAACGACCTTGCCTCCATCGGCGAGGGCTTTGAAGCAAGACGCGCCTCGGAAAGTCTTCAACCATCCTCCAGCGTGCTTGAGAGAGCGGGGACGATTAGGATGATCTGTAAGGAACAGAACCCAGACGAAGAATCGAGATGAAGAGCTTGTTCAGGTAAGCAGATCGATAAATCAATACATTTCCATCTGTAAGATGCAGGGTCGGGGTTCGCGTATCGAAAAGAGGTCGCGGAGAGATCTTGGACAGATCTTTGCGAATTTTCATGACTGTGGGATGGCCCACGCTGCACGTTTTGCGACTTCAACCCTCCCTTCTCTCACGACGACTCGTTGTCCTATGGTTGGACCCGCCCCCCATCTTCCTCTCCGTCGACTCTAGGTTCTCCGCGCTCTCTCTGCCCAGCTCCATCATTGTACCACTTGACTCAGCGCTATTTTGGACGCCCAGTTCATTTACGGCAACGAAGGGCAGCCTGGAAAACCACCCGGGGATCTATATAACCCCACTACACCGTCTGCGACACCGTGGATTCACATCGCCGTCGTCTTCATTGACGGACGCGTAACGCTCCTTCCCTTCTCTTCAGCGCTAGACCCTCCATTCTCTTCGCCTCTTTCACCCATGTCTGGCCTTTCTCCTGCGCGTCGCCTGGTAAACAAGACCTCCGACATCACAGACTTCTTCCGCGGCCACTCTTCAAACCAGACCCAGAATGACGCGAGCACACCCGGTAATCCTACTCTGGAGGTCCCTCATAGTGACAGCGAGGCAGTAATGGGCAAGAAGAAAATTACGCGTATCCCACTGTTCGGCCGATCCAGGAAGAAGTCAAATCAGTCAGCAGCGTCGAGTCCTTTTACTGCATCCCTCAGCGAGCGTGAATCGGCGGATTTGGGGGGACGGTCGAGTCGAGCGCCGAGTACGTCGACAGACCGGTGAGTGTCGGCAATTTTTCGCGCTATTTCCTTTTTGGTCAAATGTATTGTCGCGTGAAAGCGCGTCGCGAAGCTTCGGTATTTTTATTCACCCTTCCGTTCAGTCAGTCTCCTGGATATCCCACTAGATTCTGGCGTTTCCTTCATTCTTTCGCTATATTCTATTAAAGTCTGATGTACTGACTATAGAGTATCGCAGACGACCGCCAGAGCCTTCGCCAGTCGTTGAGCCTCCTCCACTTCCAACCTCAAGCAAGGTTCCTTCCTCATCACTTACTTCCAAGTTCGCCGCCCACTTCTCCCATTCTCGATCATCGAAGGTGCCAGTAACCGCCCAAATCATTTCAGCACCCATCCCGTCATCTTCTCGTCAGGCCTCGGGGCTCACCCCACACAGTCCTCGGTCAGGCTCGTCCGACTCAGGTTCTTCAGGTGGTAGTAAAGCGCGATCCACAACGCCGCGTCCCACGCAGCCTACAATCACCGTCTCACTTTCTCCGGACAATCCCGACGACTTGTTTACACGATCGACTAGTACGACGGCAAAACGAGCATCGGATGTTGCGAAACCCCGCATAAGGGACCGCAATGCAGGCCAGACCTCAAGTACGCCTCCGACCCCTAGTACCTCGACTCCGGAACCATCGATATACAGGCGTGGGCACACTCCTGCATCCGCGATAGCCGCTGCTGTACGCCATCAGCACAATCCCAGCAATGGCAGTGACCGACCGCCAAGCACGTCGTCGAAGAACTCAAATTCGAATTCGAACTCGAGGAAAAACTCTGATTCGGATAAGAGTAATGACAAGCACGATGGATCCTCTACTCCCCGACTATCTGAACCTCGTGAATCTCCTCGGCCTGCGGTACCTGAGAAAGAAAGAGGACTCCCTCCATCTCTTCAGCGACGGGCTTCTGTGGCAACAGGGTCGGTCCAACCTTCGGAGAATGGCTCATCCAGTATTCGCTCACGGATGAAGCAACCGGCTCCTCCTGCCCGCACCAGACCGCCATCGATGCCCCTTCCACTCCCTCCTGCGCCATCTACTCCCCCGCCAGAAGTTCCCGCTTCTCCTCGCATTCCATTTACGACGTCCATCAGAGCAGAAACTCAATCAACATCACAGAAAGGGCACGCTCCACGTCAAAGAGCCCATACCCTTGCTGGGTCGGTTGCTAACTCGTCTGCAGCTGCTCTCCCACCGTTGTCGCGACCAGGAACGACGGGGCCACTCGAGGTTCCCCCGGTCGTGGAAGGAGAAACTATGGACGTCGACACAGCTTCAGTGGAGCAACTCCGGCACGCGCTGAAGACGCGCAACCGACAGTACGACGAGCTTGCCACTTACGTCCTCAAAGTGACCGAGGCACACGTTGCGGAAATACTGGCCCTTGAGAAGAAGATCCACGCGCTAAGCAAGGACGTCGCACGACGTGACACCGAGATCAAAGGCTTGAAGTACATGATCAACGATGAGGAGCCACCCAAGCGTACGAAGACTCTGCCTCCTGGACTAAACGTCTCCCCACGCCTTTCTCCCGCGGGTGTCAGGACCGCTGTCGTGGACTCTGATCAAGAAGTCCACAACAGTCCACCAGCAGGTCCCTCTCGGCGATTGTACTATCAAAGTGATTCGGGGACAGAGTCGCACGCCCACTCTGGTGCAGAGTCTATCCGTGCTTCAGGTGCGTCAGGGTCGGAGTCAGTGTCATCCTCTGTCCTGCGTGGCAAGAAGATACGGCGGCCGTTCCAACTTGCTGAATTTGGTGCTAACCTCACGCGTGCGGGCTCTGCGCGGCGCTCGTCCAAGCTCGGTCCAAGTAGTGCAGAAGAAGTGCCTTATTCTAAGCGTACATCCCTCAGCTCGACTTCGCCGTCGCCTTCATCGTCAGCTTCTTCTCTTTTACCCCCGAGCCCGAGCATCACCATGTCCTCACTCTCTGCGATACCCGAAGGGCCCCCTTCCTCTTTTTTGCGATACGAAAGTTCCGACCAGCAAGAAGAACGACGGGCCCTGCGAGCCTCTAACCGCACTTCGATGTCTTCCATGACGTCGTCATCCTCTACTGCTGCCAGCAGCAGTGCCTACTCCATCAAGCGCAGTCGCCCGACGTCGATCGCACAGGTGCTTGAGAAGTCTCCCAACATGGATGATGTACTCGAAAAATTGCGACCGTTCGCATAACACGACCTCCCCGACCTTCCCTGTTGTCTGATACATAATATATCCTGCACTCGCTCTTATCGCATCATGACGCATTGACTCTCGCATCCTCGCATTTTCCTTTCGCGCTTTATCTTATCATCGCATGGTTACCCTCATTGACATTGTCGGTTTTGCTCTCATCTCCTCACTATTACTTTATGACCGCATAGCTCCGGCCTCCCACACTCCTTTGGTGTTACTATTCCCTCTCTGGCATCTACAGCTCGTCTTTATTCTCAGCCTATCATTGCTGCTAGTACTTATTTTTCGTTCTTATTTTACTTCGTCTTGACCGCAATGGTTTGGTCAGTTATTTTACTCTCCTTTTGCGTTGGACCCTCATACCTATCTATCATCTACTGCATTCTGTGTGTATATCAATCATATCCTCCCGCATTTACGCCACTAACGTTATTTTACTCACTGATAGCTAGAGGGCTTATTGGTCATCGATTGCAGATACTGTAATATACGTTCCTCGTGGAACTTTCACCCCATGCCTTCCGGCCTCTTCAAGCCTCAAGTTCGAAAACTCAAATCCTCATCGACAGGACGTAAGCGGTGCACTTACAATCTTCTAGCGTGGAGTACTCAAATACATCGTTATATTTGAGGGGATATTGTCAAGAAAAGATGAAGGCTGTTTTGCTCAACCCCCAAGATCAGCCGCCCGCAGGCCAATGCTGCACCCCCACAAGTTCGTGTATCCGTCCTTCAATATAATTTATAAGGCCTCTTGCGTTCACCTGAAAATTTCACAGGTTCTGGGCTACTGTTCCCTTCTCTCCACCCCTGAAGACAGATGGCACCTCATCCTTCAAAGACGGCACGTCACAAAACTTCTGATGGCACTGTGCCAGTCCAAAATTTAAAAGCTGCTGTTCTTGTTATCAGTTCTCTACGAAATATTCTTAACTTAAGGAGACTTTCATCCGCCTATCAAAGTTATCAGGCTAAACCGAAATCGTCCGCTATGACCGCAGAAGTCATTTTACACCCTGCTGATTATCGTTTCTCCATCATCTTCCCCTCTCGGAGATGAATTGATTGCGTCGTCCTGACAGAGAAGGATGGACGGATGGATGGGCTAATCCGTTCATGGTTCATCCACTCCAATCAGACAAATTATTAGTCTTCTACCTGTTCATTCTCCTAACCAAAGGTGACTGCACCATGCGGATTCTTGCATTCCACCCACTAGGTGATCCGAATACATAAGAATACCCTTCATTGCTTTCGCTAGTTCAAAAAAATTCTGAGGATCTATTCGCTATCCCTGGGGGGCGGCCCCGGAGCAGGCCTTCTCATAACCCCAAGAATGGGAACATTTCCTAGAACATCAGAACGAAGAAAGGAGAGTTAGTCAGCGGAAGCTATTTCAAAGAAACATTACCCACACTCCACACCTTCCTTGGACTTTGGCAATGGAAATCCCGGTCCATGTACCGTGCCCGTTTGCTACAAGCATCATACCCTAGCAAGTTTATCTTCAATGATCTTCCATTCCATAATTCTGTGACCGGTGTTGGCACTCCTATCCCCACTTCCTTCAAACGAGAAGGAGGTCAACGAAGGCCACCCCGATATAAAGCGGACCTAGCTTGCAAATCCAAGCTGAAGCCATCCCCTGTGGCGCTGGCCTTCTGAGGCTTCGAAGTACATTCTTCGCACCCTGCGCAGAGGTAAAATCTGATATGATCAAGCCTTTCTTCCCAAGTTGGTGTCTAACATGATATTGCGTTCTTTGGGCTCGGTTCAATCGAAGCGAACTTCGGTGCGTTTCTGTACATATCTTGCGGCAGCACTTAGCCGACAGTGTGGCGCATTGCATGGACGGATTTGGAAATGTACGGTCGCCACTTCAGCGTAGAGGCTAAGAGTCATCAAAAAGATGCAATCCAATGCGGCCCTCGTATGTTCCGGGATCAGTGGATATTTGCGGGCATGAATATAGTTCGGTACTAACGTCTGACACCTGGCACCTCTTTTATGTAGACGCACTAGCGGGACACCCAGACAGATCCTGCGTTGTCCGCGCGTCCAGTGACATTTGCAATAATTCTATGATACAACTTGTTGTCCTTTCATCGACGTCTCTTGCGCTACACGCCACCAGTGCTAGCGCCAGCACCACCTCCAACCTCCTTCGGTACAACGCTCTCTATAACATTTTTAACTAGGGTAATATCGGCCTTTTCCACATCTATCACTCGCTTTTCTTTCTCGAGCAAGCCCTGGAATTCTTCAGGAAGCACATCGCGGTCGAAGTCGAAACTAGGCAATCCTTGAAGTGCACACGAGACGGCTTCTGAAAATTTGGCGGGATGGGCTGTCGAGAGCACGATTTGATGTACGTTAGGCGCGCTACAAGATGCGTTTAGCACGGATAAATGGCTGCTGGACAAAGACTCACTTCGACAGCGCAGTTATACGAGCTGCAGCAAGTCCGACCGCCGTGTGAGGGTCTGCGACGTACGACGGCTCTCCCTCGAAGTACGATTTAATAGTTTCTAGGGTCTATCAGAAGAGATTAGCCGTCAAATGTGCGATGTAAGGGTAACGAGAAAAATGTACCAGCTCATCTGATACCCTCTCAGCGACGAAGTCTTTTCTGGCCGTCTCCAAAACTTCCACAGGAACCTCAACACGACCATTCGCCTTCATATGGCCCATCCAACTGTCCAACGTGCTGCACGCAGCCTCATGTTTCTCTGCGCCCGTCGCGCCAGGAGCGTTCTCATACGCAAGATACCACAGCAGCCGCTCGAAGTTACTCGAGACCAAGATATCCATTGCCGGGCTCAGCGTCTCCTTCACCCCACTCGAATCGGTCGCCTGTTTGCCGTCCGATGATCCTTGAGCCGATGCAGCGGCGCCCTCAGCTACAGGCACCGACGAATCAGCCTTCTCGTATTTTCCACTCTTCCAGAACCGGGCGAGGATGTCGTTCGAGTTTGTGGAAACAACCAACTTTCCTATGGGCAACCCCAGTTTCTTGGCGTAGTATCCGGCAAGGATGTCGCCGAAGTTTCCTGTTGGCACGACGTACTGGATCTCGACGTCGTCGGGGGACGTGCTAGCTGGGAGTTGGGATTGGAAGTGGAAGAACGAGAGAAAGTAGTATACAGTCTGTGCGAGGATACGTGCCCAGTTGATGGAGTTGACGGCGCCTAGGCGGTGCTTTGCATTAAATTCCTTGTCAGCGAAGAGGGCTTTGACTATATCCTGTTCGTCGTAGGTCAGAGAGTTATGAGATCATGGTATGCATGTCTCAATACCTGGCAGTCGTCGAATGTCCCTTTAACGGCAACATTGTGCACATTGGCGTCTGTGACGGTGGTCATCTGAGCTTCTTGGATAGGTGAAACCCGTCCTTTGGGGTGGAGAATGAAGATGGAGATGTTGGCTTTATTTCGGAGACCATAGATAGCGGCACTGGGTCGGAGTAAGGATTAGTAGAGACAGGAGACGCAAGTATCCTCACCTGCCCGTATCACCACTCGTTGCGCCAACAACGGTCAATTTCTCCTGCTTCTCCCCGACTGCCTTCCTGGCATTCCGTCTGAGCAAAAAGAACTCGAACAAGTTCCCGAGTAGTTGTAGCGCTACATCCTTGAACGCAAATGTTGGCCCATGGAATAGCTCCAGAACAAACAACTTGTTGTTCAGCTTTTTGGTCGGTGTAACATCCGGATGTCTGAAAGTCGCATATGACTTTTCAACCAATGACCTGAGCTCCTCTGTCGAGATCTCGTTCGGCGAGATGAAGAGGGACAACACTGCAACGGAGAGCTCAGCGAAGGAGTAGTCCCTCCACTTCGTTCTCCAGCCCTCGGGCAGCGACGGAATACGTTCTGGAATATAGAGACCGCCATTAGGGGCGAGACCAGTGAGGACAGTCTGTTTAAAGCGCGTTACAGATGTGTGCAGATGAACAAGGTGGTCGGGTAGGATTAACCTCTTCGAATGACAGTCTTTGGTCTCCTCCTCTTGTTGAAAAGTATTTCATGGCGACGTGGTGAATGCGAGAGAGATTGAAATTTTGTTTCTTGTTGACTCGACGAATGCAGATGATCGCCTTTAAATTATTTGGCGAGCATCTCCAAAATAAATAGCACTAATCCCGATAAAGCCGAACGAGAGATTGGGTGCCTCGACGTCGCTTCTGACCATACCAGCGACCAGCTTCTGACATTGAACCAAGTGCATTTCATCTACTTGTAATATGTACGCAGGACATCACGACCCAGCGGCCTCCAGATCGCAAAGAACAAGAACGAGTCCTTACTTATGTAAGAATTCGTACGAGTACACCTCTTGATTCGCAACTGGCACAATGGCGCACTCAACTCCCACCAAACCTAGCAGTCGCACTTTCATTGTGGACGGTCAACCCTCCTATGGAGGCTTGTCATGAACAAGCCTCATCAAAGACAAATTTAGTTATCAAACATGGCAGTTCAACACCAAAAGGGTCTCCTGCATGCTTTCTCCTAAATGTCTCAAGCCTGGGAGGGACTATCGCTTTCTGGACAACTACAAATGCGACGTCGACAAACCTTTCTTCAAGATGGCTTTCGAGCAAGCCATATCCAAACTTGCAAAGAACCAACCCTCTGAAGCAAAGTTTCAGTTGGCCACTCGACAAGTCGAAGGAGCCTGATTACTATGAGCCCCTCGCCCTGTTCATGAATATTTGCCTCAAAGCTTGTCAAACCGCCCTCATCCATACGGCACCGGCTCCCAATTGTTGGTATCATGACCTCAACTTTATTAAGTATGACAGAATGACAGGTGATGGCATTCACAGGGTGGAAGCAAACTAACCAGTAAATCTCTCAAGAACCCCTCAATCACGCTCTACTGGAGTCCTGTCGATAAGAACCACCACTGACATACCCATGGAGATCAAATCGGACGAAAAAGACATAGTCACGCAAGCAGCATCACATGCTCGTTGCCTGTTCAGCACCAGTTCAGCACGTCTATTTGCCCTCATACTTTGCTTCAACCAGAGAAAGCCTTATGTTTTCTCATCTTTCATCATGGGGGTCTGACGGCTTCCATGCCTTTTTTCCTTGATACACCAAAAGGCTGGCAAGGCACATTGGAACTCTTCCTCACCATTGCTTGTTGGACATCTGCCGCCCATGCTGGATTCAACCTGTCATGCAACGACCTCGAGTACATGATCCCGTTGAATACCACGGGCACAAAGGGGGTGTGAGCTACTATCATCACCAATTTGTACAAGGCGGTATGTGTTCAGGGCTCCTCGACCAAGGTCTTGCATGTACTTGTTGAGGACGTCCCTGCATCTTCTGATGCAATGGTGCGGGAGGCACCTTTGTTGGTACTTAACCTTTACCACTGCTCCTCCCGGCCGATCGGGAAAGCTTGCAGCAACTGCACTCCAATCGAGTGCACAGCTTCTGAGTCAAACTAACAAACCACCTTCGAATGCAACCAAGAAACCGACCTCGAATCCAGCCAAGAAACGACGTTCGAAGGCACTCGCTTATAATCAGGTGAAGTCTATTACCGCAGAAGGTGCATCAAACAAAGGTGCAATGGAGACTAAACACTGTGGGAAGTGGAGTCGGTTAATTAAGCTGACATGGCCAGAACCACCTGGAAAGAAGGTCCATTTGGGCAACTTCTTTGACATTTTATTGACATGATCTAAAAATACCTCAATCTGGCTGTCCCCAAAGGCAGGTACTCATCAGAGCTGCCCCGAGAGGCAGGCTGCCTGTTACTTATCATATGGGAAGCCAACAAAATAGGCCATGATACATTTATTCATATGTTCCATACACAGTTATGAGATGTAATATCTACATGTCATTAAATATTTATGTAGACCTTGTCAATGTTTCTCAAGGCAAGAACTCCGAGCATTGAAGCATTTTTGCAGTACTCCCACCAGACATGTACAGAACCGCAAGTGTTGGCCATGATCATTTTCACAATGGCCAAACTCAGAGGGGACAGTGATCCTCATGCTACATGGGGACAGATTCAGATGATAAAAATGTTGTGTGTGAGATGCTAGAGCGTGACGGCGTGTTCAACTTCAACTTGAGTGGTAGAAGGAAATGAATCCCGGGGGCGCAGGGCAGAATGAGTTACCAAATTGCTGCAACCAGTGTGTCTCTGGATGTTGATCCCTATAGACATGCAGCGAAAAGGCGAGGGCTGGCGAGTTGGACTTCGCTGTTCAGCTGGGTGATAATGTTTCACCTGTATCCGCTTCAAATCTATAGTAATACTAGGTAATATCCTAACTAAAGAAGTAAGCCCTGGTGGGCAATAACCTACCTGCCCTTTTAGGATGCCCTCGAGACAAGAGGATGAGTTGCTGGGTGTCTGGCACCACTGATGAGGAGCAGGCAATGCAAACAAGGAGCCAAACATTGCTTAGAGCAGCGCTCGGGGCCTCAAACAGCTCTAGCTCATTGTGTGGCATGTGTCGGGTGTTGGGGACACCACCGTCGGGTTCCCTAAAAAATTTCTACCTGACTAAGGTCTTCCTGCACCTCAGGGACAGCGCGAAGGGGTGGATGGGCGGTGGGGGCTTTGGATGATGTTGCAAAATAACCCACCCACCGTGCTGGATGCCTGTGATTCCCTCACTTGTTCAGCACCATTGACAACATCTGTCAACAACGCTCGTCGTCGTCTGTCACGATGACCGGCAACTTTGGGCATCTCTGTTTTGCACAAAAGAATTTGCAAAAATTATGTATTAATAGCAGATAAATTAAATGCACATTGAACAGTGGCAATAATGACACTACGTAGATACATTAATGAGAAATGAGCATCGCGAACATTTTTCGTGACACTCCCTTCCTTTCCTCTTCATACCCGCGCTCCACCAGCCTACACAGACCCTGAGGGGGAATGCCCTCTCTCGAGCTTGCTGTTCTCCGTCCTCGCGGCCTCTCGCCTTCGTCATGGTGCCGGTCACGGTCGTGCTGCTGCTCCTCTTGCTGTTCTCGCAGCTGTCACTGTCCTGCGGACTTTGCTGGGCTGTCTTCTTTGCCCGAGTAAACCCATCACGGTCATCCTCGCAGTCATCGTCTCCTTGTTGGCGTGCTGTTGTGCTCGTATTCGGCCCATCCTTGCTGATCTCTTGTCTGCCTTGTCGCTGGTGTCCTTTGACTGGGGGTGGGTATAGGGGTGGCAAGAGCTGGGGTTCCGGGTGGGGCAGATGGTGTCGACGTGTGCGGTCGGGTAGACAGCCGGGGTAGGTAGGTGTCCATGGTTGAGGTCGAGGTTGCCATCTCGCTGCTGGCTGTGTGGGACACTGCGGATAGAGGTGTGTGTGGTAGCAACATGGCAAGGTGTTGTCTTGTCGCCGTCGTGTCATCCTCATCCCGCCGTCCTCTCCGCCGCACCATCCTCATCCTCGTCATCACCTAGCCATCGTTTGTGGTCACCCTCGATGAGTTGGTGTCTCCGTTGCCTTGCGTTGTGTCGTGTGTCGTGCTCATCCCCATTCTGCCCCGCCGCTGGTGCTTGTTCGCTGTCCTCCAGAGAACAGGCTCTGGCTGAGGGCCTGCACGAGGACGGTGGGTGCACGCGCTTGCACCGCCATTGCCATTGTCTTGCTTGCATGCCCTCGTGGTCCTGTCCACCGTTCTCGTGACCCTCCACCGCCTCTGCCTCTTTGTCTGCTTCCTTCTTGCCCATTCTCCTCTCACTCTCTTCGAGCTTGCACATCCCTTCATGCTCAAGGTTGTTACGCTCGTATTTGTGGTGTCCACCATTCATACTTGGCCCAGTTGAGCTGCTGGTGCCCCTGGTCGTCGTGCTCGTGTTTGGTGAAATGGGGCATGGTGTTGCCACATTGGAGGGACGCCCGCTTCTTGTCCTCGATGCGGCGGCCTGTGCTCGAACTCCTGCTCCTCCTGCTCCTGCTGTTGTTGTTCCCAAAGGTGTCGTGCCGTTCGTGTTCGTGAGTGGCACTGCGATTGGTGGTCGGTGTGCATGCCAAATGGTGTTCTGCATGTGTTGTGCCCATCCCCAGCATCCCCACCCCCATCTGCGAGTCGAGCTCGACCTCAAACCACAGGTGCCCAAGCTCGCCACCGCCTCATCTTTGCCAGTCCATCAAGGCTTCCATTTTTCTGAGTCACAGTCGAGGGAGGGGGGTCACAACGGTGTCATGGGCTGAAAATGGGAGTGGTGAGCAGCGCAGAGGGGGATGTTTTGCAGAAGGAGGGAACAGTGAGGATGAACTCGCCCCAGGTTTTGTGGATGTCTTGTTGTAGGTCTGAACGACCCCACTTGCAGACATCAGGTAACGTGGAGTGGGTGAGTACCCACCAAACACCAGCAGAAGGGCAGGTGGAGTGCAGATGGGACAAGATGGGTGGGGACGTGGGCGGGTGGGCGAAGCAGTGGAGGGAGGTCGGGTGCCATGGAGCTGGGGACTGCAGCCGCTGCGGATGGGTACAGGCAAGCTGGGGTGTGTGGCGTGTCCGACGTTTGCCGGCCCACATCCCTGTTGGAGGGGAGGGGCTCACGGCGGCAGCGGGATGTTCACCGAGACATCATCTTCGACGTTGCAAGGACCTAGAGAGCGTAGAAGGTATCAATAAGGCAGGATACTTGAATGAAATACATTTACTTACCTGTGAGACAGGCTTTTGGGGCTGGATGGCCAATAGGCACAGTGCTGGTGTACTGGTGTAGCGGTAGAAGATGACAGTTGGCGTGTGCTGGTCATCGTCTGGAAATTGCCAAAGGGAGCTCCCTCATTGTGCTCAACGCTCTCCAGGCTCAAACTATCTGTTGGATCTTTGAATCTGCCTGTATTATTGACTCGGGGTTACTCTATACAGGTAGTATTGGTATTTTATTTCCAAAATATTGCTTACAAGGTACAATCAGCCCAAATTAGGGAATTTTGAAATCACCCCAGTTGGTGATTTCAAAAGCTATCTCAGTATTCAATGAGAGTCCTTGGACTTGAAAGGTTAGGTGCAAGGATTAATGTATGCCATACCTTTGTTTAGGAATATTGCAGCCCAATTGTGGCCCATAGTTACTGCAAGACATGACAGGATGACTCTCATCTACCAGCACAAAAATAGGCATCAATTAGAGGGTTATATATATAAGTACCATTACTTGCATATTCATGCGACAATACAACTATACAATAGATGAGTTATAGGACCTTAAGTGTCCTGTATCGAGGGCTGACAGTGTGGACTCCATTTTCCTGATACGAAATCTGCGGTAAAGATTGTTTTCTCATAATTGAATCATCATATAGTCTCGATTTTCTCAAAATAAAACGGTCATAAATTAAACATAGTATCCTCCTATAGATTCCGATGCTTTAAAGCCTGTTCCGGGAGCTCATTCGTGCATCACCATTATTCCGTTGTTGGGGGATGGGATGTTGACGGGGCACGGACTTGACGGGCTGACAGACCAACCAATAGGAACACACTGTTCAACAACGCCCAACATGCCAATCATCATGTCCTCGACACCCACCACCCATTGCCCACGGTCCCTCCAGCCACAGAAACCCAGCAAACAGGTGAGTAAAAACATAAATATGCATGTTGTATTGGCTACTAACACACAATCCCTTTGCAGGTCCCTCGCTCTCGACGATGGTGTGTCAAGATGCATGATGCCTGCCGTATGCCCCTCCCCTAGCATAGGGATGTGGGCCAGCTCTCTCTCGCCCTCCACCCACACACCAGAGCACATGCCCACCCACAGCATCTCTTCCACCCTCTTGCTCTCGCCGCTTCCCACCTGTTTGCATTGTGCATGGACCACAACATGCCAATGTCCACCATGCCACCTTCCTCCCCCCCTGTCCAACAATCAACCCCAACCCACCACCCCTTGATCCCGGCGCATCCCACACCTCTCCATACAACATTTCTTATGGCAAGAACACGCTCAAGGGCAGAGTGAGGAGATCAGCACAGCGAGCTGTCTCCTGTTAGTCCTTTCCAAACCTTGCCATCTCGCACGCACACCCACTCCTTCATGCTTGCGTCTCGCCCACCGTTCTTCGCCCAATTCCACCCTCTGCGTGCACCACCCCAGTCGACATCCCCTGTTCAGAACCCAGGCCTAGAATCAGGGTGTTGTCTTACACCAACACAACAAGTTCCCTCTCAAGCCCTACAACTACACTGCACACCTGTGCGAGATGATAGGGCAAGCGCAAATGTGCTGGGATTGAGCTTGGCAGTGACGAGGAGGCGATGCGGGCGGGATGACCCAGACAGCGAGACAACAGTGACAAAGGGCTCGCCAGTGGTGAAATGAAGACACCAACATGACAACGACAATGAGGCGACCCCTACAGCGGTAGCAAAGCACATGACGTGACAGCAGGCTTGACAAACAATGGGCTAACTGCAGGAAGTCGACCAGTGAGGTGAAGGGGCATGCACGGGCTCATGTCCTCACCCTCATCATGACCTGCAACCGCCACCATCATCGATCACCAGCTCGACACCGACACCTCATGCAAGGCCGGGGGTGTATAAGGGGTGCGGCGATGGAACCACAACGAGGATGGAGGCGAAACCGTGATGACAGCTGCGGCAACTCCCTGGCAATTGGGACCAGATGAAGACAGCGACGATGAGAAGATAAGGAGAGCAAGGAGGAGGTGAGGATGGTGGTGGCAACGGCAAGACCAATCCCCCAGGTGGGCTTTCCCTTGTATCCCCCTATGAAATGATGGCCCACGATGGACATGGGCAGGCCGACGTACTGTCCCGATCCTTGTCGCCGTCCTGCTCGCCATGTCGACCCAAGCTTTGCTCATCAATAAGTCGAGAGACGTGAGCTGGATGGGTGCTACAAAGGGTCTGCACAACAGGCAGGATGACGGTGAGCAGCACAGCAATCAGGTGGATGACACACAGCACAACGACTCTACCATGCCTTGGGCATGACGAGGTCCGACCACGGCCACACAAACACGAACACGAACACGAGCTCGGTGAGGAGGGAGGCAATGATGGCAAGGGAGTGGATGGAAAGAGGGACAAGGGCAAGGAGCGCAACCGGAACGGCGGTGAAGTGGGGCAGAAATGAGCATCGCATTTTGCGACCCTCTTCTCTATCCATTCACTCGCATAACCCAGCATAGATCTTGCATTTACATTATTTACTAATAATACATATATATTTTTTCTGAATTTTGTGAGGGATGGAAGGTGTGCCCGAGCTTGCTGAATGTTGTGACAGACGATGACAAACAGAGTGGAGGGTGCTGTCAACGGTGAGCAGGGAGTGACCGCATACAGGGGGAATTTGGCGCAGTGAGCAGGGTATTTTGGATCATCATCCAAAACCCCCATCATGCATCCAGCCTTTCCCGATGCCCCTGAGGCATGGAAATACCTGATATAGATAGAAAAAAAATTGGGGAACACCATGGCGGTGTCCCCAACACCCAACGTGCGCCCCACAATGAGCAGGAGTCATTTTGCCGCCCTGAGCACTGCTGGAGACAATGTTTGGCTGTTTGTTTATTGTCCCGCTCCCCATTGGTGGTGCCGAACACCCAGCAACAGCTGACTCGTCTCAAGAGGCATCCTAAAATGGCAGGTAGGAAACTGCCCTCCAGGGCTTACTTTTTAAGTTAGGAAACTACCTAGAAATACATAAAATTCCAGCCTACATGGCTGAATGTTTGCCAACATTGTGTTTGTTCCAATAGGCATTGCCAAACAAGATGCAGCCACATGATGAAACGTGCCTCCAACTCTGAGTCGGCTGACTTGTGTCTTCACCTCCTACCTCTATGTCCTCAATGCAATCTATCTTGATCTCCCATCTACACCAACAGATGGTCTTTTACTCCTCAAAATCCCCTACCAAGAGTGCCAGCAAACACCCTGCATGCCCTGATTGTCTTGATCAGGAATCTAATGCTCAGATCGCAACATTGCAACCCACAGCCTTGACAGGTAGTTCACACTGTAAGCCTCTATTTTGCCCATTATATGCACTCATATATTTTACTTAGCACTTCTAGGACCTTATCTCTGCATGCATCCACCTCTCCCATACATGCCATGTCGTGTAGCATTGCCAGCATGTGTGCAAGATGAAGGGACAGGGTATCTCTATGGGTGTTCATGGCAGTCTATGAAAGTTGCATAGAATTAACATGGAGAATAGAAGGCAAGTCTTAATCAGACCCCTCCTCTTTGCTCTCACTCATGCGTGACATGACAAAGGGCATGCGATGACCACATGCAGTGTTCGCCCATGATCTTGCATGATAGTGTCTACGCCCATCAATCCTCCTCTTCTTGTGTGCCATCGTTGTGCAGGTCCTCCACAAGTATAGCCTGTGAATGATAGTAAGTGTCACCTATGCTCCTGGTTGATCATACTGACTCATCCAGCCCATTGGGAATTTCAAGGCAGATGGACCTAGTCGTACCATGAGCGAGGTCCAGACCGCATATACGACAGGTATAAGTTAAGTCTTCTGCACCAATACTGCATTCTCCCTCTTCTACTGTGCTGATGAGATTCTGTGTTTCGCATGATAGCAGTGGGGACTCTGCACTTCTTCCAACTGAAGCATGTTTGTGCCATGTATGGCAGGTGTGATTCTTTTGTTTGATGGATTTGCGCTCATCCAGTGCCCCTAGGCCACGAATGCCAACAAAACTGCTGCTACAGCCACCACTATATGTATTTTTTGTTATATTTCCTCTGCATAGATACACATTATTTGTGCTCTCAGACTTATGCAGCAACAACACGGTCAGAGACATGCGAAGATGGGGAGGAATTGTCCATGATCAAGGCCGCAGTATGTATCATATTTTTGTTATCTCCAAAGCAGGGAGGTAATAACAAAACATACAAAGGGAGAAGGAAAAGGAAGACTGGAGAAGGTGGCACAGGCAAAGAAACTGCCTTTCCCTGTCATTCTCGCTAATCCAGTTGCGACTCTGTCAGGACGAGAGAGGCAAAACTGAGTGATAGAGAGTTCCTTGCATTGGCAAGGGGCTCTAGATCATATGTAGCCTGCTTCTCCCCATATGCATATTTGTACTTGTAGGCTCCAGAATTGTGGTTGTAGTTGTAGTAGTGAATAAATGGTGTTTTACCCAACTGAATAAAGATGCTAGTCTGGTCATGAGGCAAAATAACAGCCCCTCAATGGACTGCCAAAAACAGCTCAAAAAGCTGACAAAAGGGTGCCATTTACAGCTCATTGAGCTGACATTAGGTGGTTCATCTGACTGACTTGGGGGTGGTCTTATAAGCTGACTTTAGACAGTTAATTCTGATGTATGCTAGGGCAGCTCAATAAAATGTAACAACTTCCTGCAGTGTAAAACAGTGGCATGGGTTGGTATGTTTGTCTTGTTTCTAGTTGCTCCTTTGCTTTCTGACCATATCAAAGTGCTATGCAAATGACAAAATGACAGACAAAATGACATTCAATACTGCCAATCAAACAGATTACTCTGGTCAGACCAGACACAAAATCTCCAACACATGCCTCAGAAAACTCTGGTTACCAAGATTTCCTGGTAACAGGATCACCTCAAAAGCATCAAGTCAAGGATGTACAAGGCGTCAAACAGCAGGTTTGGTACCGTTTCCCATCTCTGCTCATACGAAGAGTCGTATGAGGTGGCCAGCCTATCTTGAATCACATTTTCCTTGCCCAAGAGGATGAGATCAAATCGGCGTTCTGGTCAATTTTCGAGTCAAATCCTCTGACTGCAGCGGAGACCCACACTATGTGTTACTCGTTCTTTTCACTTGAAGGTTCAATGCTCCTTGTGGAGGCCAAAAGCTTGGGTGAGCTCTGAAGCACTCATTCACGGCCTGCTAGGTAGAATGATCTCACTCTTTGTTGCCTCACAATCTGCTGACATGTTTTTGCAGGATGGCTTTTGACCTATCAGGTTGGATACCTGCATCAGGACATCAGCATCGGCAACTTACTTCTCTGCTGTCAAAAAACGTGTCTTTGAAATTGATACAGAGTTCCATAAGGAGGCTACAAAGTCTAACATCAGGAAACTGGGTCTTTACTCCCACGATTTGCCAAAGATTGATGGCTAATCAAATTGACACACAGACTCTCAAAGACAGCCAGAGAGTCTGAGAGTGCTCCAGTAACATTAGGGCTCATTCAGAAGGACGAATATATACATAGACTATATGTTAAAGCAAAACCAATAATCAAGAGACACCTGTGATCCGTATTCCCCCCTCCCTATACAGCAGACAGACTGTTCCTCTTGAGTTAAATATTTCAGGAAGTACTAGAGCTATGCTCTTGAAAATTTGCACACTTTATCTCAGAGTATAAATGAACAATTCATCAGTAGTTCAACATTTTAGAGGGAATATCAAAGGAGGAATAGCCTGTGCGCTTTTTGAAAAACCCACATCTCCATACACTATGGGCATTTGTGCATAAAAGTGGTGTCAAAATTGCAATCTTAAATTAGAAATAACATTATCCCCAAAAGCGGTCGCTAAATTTCAAATTTCTTTGAGCTCACAGTATGCAAGAAAATCTGCCTTTTAGACATCACAATTATTTCAAATTCTATCCTCATGTTCTCGTCGAGGAGATGGTGAAGAGTCCGAGTACCCAGAGATAGGAAAAGCTCCTTTTACGGTGGTCACAGGTCCTCAAGACCATTGTTTCGGGGCAGAACAACCAAAAATTGGGTAGAATTGACCAATCAAATTGCTGGGTCAGCTCTGTCTTTCGGTGAAAAACCTTACTGGGGAAAATTAATGACATCTGCCTGTCAACTTTTGAAATAAAATCCACAAGTGGCACCAAGATGACATTTGAAATAAAAGCGCTGCAGAAAATACAGTCGATATTGCAGATCTTATTTCTAATCCCATCAAGATTTTCTTGGCGAAGTGACTGGGACTAAATTTCAAATAGAATCGGTGTAAAATCAAAATATCACTGTCGATTATATGTGCAAATGCCCGCAGTGATATCTCGCTCAATACTTATTACAATAACATACTGCTTTACAAACATCATCAGAAATATGTAATCTAGTTGCCTGTAAAATTTCAGGGCCATAGCTGTAGCGGTTTTTGAGATATTTAGCTTCCACCTCTGGTATGAGTGTACAATGGCCATCAGGAAAAATCCCTTTATGGAAAGTGTTGATTAGTCGCTGAACACTGATCCAATGTGATCTGATGTGACTCCAAGCTATCCAAACCACTCTAAGGAGAGCAGAGAAAAGAATTAAAGCCATATGAGTACATGAAAGTATTCATTGCAGTATACTTAATACTCTAGTGGTTTGTACAGGTCAGATTTACAATGTAGTATCTTCTTTGTGGTTCCCAGTTCAAACTGGGCCTTCCTGTGCTATTTTTCTTCTCAGACACAAAGGGTGATTGGATGGATACTGGATGACTTTCCTTAATGGATTTGAGGCTCTAAAGCAAATGACGGGGTGCCAGCGTTGGGGATTAAAATGGAAGATGGGAGTTTATAGACGTTGGGGTTTGGAATCACAGGGAAGGTTGAAAGGGCAATGAGGCACGAACGAGGAATGCCAAAGGTTGCTGTGGTCAGGAACATACCTAAACGAGAGCTTTTACACCTAGAATGAGGCTTTAGAACTGGGAAGGTGCAGTTGTATAAAACATTTGCACCAAGAGAAAAATGTCAAATACCTTGTACTGGCTGCTTTTTTCAAGAGTAAAGATGAAATATCTCAACAACTGCTTACTCAATTCCTCTCAATTTTTGTACATTGCTGTGCATATAGTATGCATACATAATCTGAAATTTCTGTGGTTTTAGGTGCAAAATCCATTGAGATATAATGGTTGCGCATTTGTGAAAACCCGCATTTGAATATCTCAACAAATAAAAAAGATGAAACCACACAAGTCAAGATCCATTAACAAGGATACTATATGTACATGCCCACCAAATTTCAGCATCATAGCTTCAGTGGTTGCTGAGATATTGCACCAACACTGTAAATGAGTGCACTGTTTTCAAGCTCTAGTCATTTCAAACTCAGACAGGCTGGACGCTCATACCAGAGGTGGAAGCTAAATATATCGGGAACCGCTACAGCTACTGCCTTGAAAATTTACAGGCAACTAGAATACATATTGCTGATAATGTCTATAAAGCAAAATGTTATTGCAATGAGTATTGACCGAGATATGGAGATGCGGGTTTTTCCAAAAGCGCACAGGCTATTTCTCCTTCATTATTCACCCTAATTTCCTGAAACTCTACAGAACTGTTCCTTTATATTATGATAACAGGTGTAAAAATTTTTAGAAGCATATCTACAGCAGTTGTTGAAATATTTAGCTCAAGGACAACAGCTTCTCTGCTATACACTCATATCAGAGATGGAAGCTAAACATCTCAGGAACTGCTACAGCTACCACCTTAAAAATTTACAGACAACTAGATTACATATTTTTGATGATGTCTGTAAAGCGAAACATTATTGCGACGAGTATTGACCGAGATATAGAGATGCAGGTTTTTTAAAAAGTGTACAGGCTATTTCTCCTTCATTATTCATCCTAAATTTCTGAAAATCCACAGAGCTGTTCCTGTATATTTAGAAAATAGGTGTGCAAATTTTTAGAAGCATGTCTGTAGCGGTTTTTGAGATATCTAACTTGAAGGGAACAGCATCTCTGCTGGTTGCTCATATCAGAGGTGGAAGCTAAATAGCTCAGGAACCGCTAAAGCTACTGCCTTGAAAATTTAAAGGCAACTAGACTACATACTTTTGATAATGTATGCAAAGCGAGATGTTATTGCGACAAGTATTGACCAAGATATGGAGATGCAGGTTTTTTAAAAAGCGCACAGGCTATTCCTCCTTTATTATCCGCCCTAAATTTTTGAGAAGTTGCAGAGATGTTTATTCAAACTATAAGTACCAGTGTATAAATTTTCAGGAGCATAGCTATACCAGTTTTTGAGATATTGAACTTGAGGTGAACAGCCTGTCTGCTGTATAGCGGTGTCACATGTGGGAATAAGGCTCATAGGTGGACTCATTTCCCATCCGTCTCTTTCTTCCTCCCTTCATCGTTGCATTCCCCCCTTTGTCTGAACAGCCTCTATACTCCTATGTTATAGTCTAGGAGTGAAATAAGATAAGTTTTATAACTGTTTCAGTTTTGTACTGATATATTCAACTGCCAGGTCATCACCGTTCACATTGAGAACGTCTACCTTAACATTGAAACCAGGTGAGTAATTTGTTAGTACTTCTAATTTTGTTTACTTATTCCAAGTTGTTCCTCTTTTATAGAAAACTTCTACTATGTTAGACTCTCTTATGAGGGTCTGACCTGCTTATCTGCAGGAAGCCAGGTGTGCCGTATTTCAATTTGAACATTAAACTCAAGTCTGCTTATATGATCACAATGTAGAATGACTCAGTCAATAGGAGCAAACATAAACACCCAGGTATGTACTGCAGTTGAATGTCTACTGTGTAGCTAACAGTCAATTCAGGTCTGTTGAAGATATTCCCTGACTCATGCTGTTGACCATCGCCCGCTCGCCCCACCGACCATCACCAGCTCTCTCCCTCAACCATTGCCCGCTCTCTCCCTCAACCATTGCCCACTCGCCCCACCAACCATTGCCCGCTTGCCCCACCAACCATCACCAGCATGCTCCCTCAACCATTGCCAACTCACCCCACCGACCATTGCCTGTTTGCCCCACCGATCATCGCCAGCTTGCTCCCTTGGCCATTGCCTGCTCATGCCACCGACCATCACCTGCTCGCTCCCTCAACCATTGCCCGCTCACCCCACCAACCATCACCAGTGCACTCCCTCAACCATCACCAACTCGCTCCACCAACCATTGCCCACTCGCCCCACCAACCATTGCCTGCTTGCCCCTCTTCCATGCAAGACTACAAATGTCAATATGACCATGACTGTCTACAGCTTCATATAACTACAACTGACTGCACATCATGTATGTAATTTACTATTAGATATAAATATATCAGATTTCAGCCTCTCAAATAACATGAGCTTATGCTTTGAGGAATATCATCAAGATTATGTGCTCTAAAAATGATACATTTCCAACACTTTTTGTTTCCTAAGTGTTCAAAAGTGTTTTGCTAGCAAGAGGACTTGTGTCAAAGTGACGTTTAGTGTACAGATCATCCAATTTGCCTTATGTGCCCAAAGTCAAACAAAGTGACACTTTGGTATGAGGGCCAGATTGGGGAAAAATTCCCCAGTGATTTTGAATATATGAATTTGTATCTTATACACTTTGAAGTCAAATTTAAGATATTGGCAGAGGCAATTTGATATACACACACAGGAATTTTTAAACACACACACAGCAATTTTATACACACACACACATACACACACAACAACTTTACATACACACACAACAATTTTATACACACACACGATGATTTTATATACACACACACACCAATTTTGTATACATATACGCTGATTTAATACACATACAGGCAGATTTTACATACACACACAGCAATTTTATGTACACACATGTGGATTTTATACATACACACGTCGATTTTATACACACACATGAGACATCCCACGACACACTCAGCTATCAGCATTTCCCTTGCTGGGTGGAGCTTCAAGCCTCTTGGCAGACTCAGCAAGAATTTGGTGCCCTGGGACACCAAAATTTCTCCCATGGGTCTGCTGGGGCAGAGTTGACGTCCTTAAAGGTACCTGTGATGCGCTTTCACACGCATCTGATGCATGTCAATTTGGCTCTGCTAGTAATAATGCTGGTGTATTTCAGGCAATTCTGGACCAAATTTCATGAAATAAAAACTGTAATAAATGGTAGAATATTGGGAGCTTTCAGTATATACTCTTTATGTTCAAAATTACCCACATCTGGCAGCTCCATGGCCAAATCAATGCACCTCACCACAAAATTATAAAAATGTGGTCTCACTCCTCCATCCCCTAAGCATCTTGATAGTCCAGAATTGCCTGAAATACACCAGCATTATTACTAGCAGAGCCAAATTGACATGCATCAGATGCGTGTGAAAGCACATCACAGGCGCCTTTAAGGGCATCAACTCTGCCCCAGCAGACCCATGGGAGAAATTTTGGTGTCCCAGGGCACCAAATTCTTGCTGAGTCTGCCAAGAGGCTTGAAGCTCCACCCAGCAAGGGAAATGCTGATAGCTGAGTGTGTCGTGGGATGTCTCATGTGTGTGTATAAAATCGACGTGTGTATGTATAAAATCCACATGTGTGTACATAAAATTGCTGTGTGTGTATGTAAAATCTGCCTGTATGTGTATTAAATCAGCGTATATGTATACAAAATTGGTGTGTGTGTGTATATAAAATCATCGTGTGTGTGTATAAAATTGTTGTGTGTGTATGTAAAGTTGTTGTGTGTGTGTGTGTGTGTGTGTATAAAATTGCTGTGTGTGTGTTTAAAAATTCCTGTGTGTGTATATCAAATTGCCTCTGCCAATATCTTAAATTTGACTTCAAAGTGTATAAGATACAAATTCATATATTCAAAATCACTGGGGAATTTTTCCCCAATCCAGCCCTCATACTTTGGTCACACTTCTGGTATAGGGATGCAGCAGATAAGCTGTTGCCTTCAAGCTAAATATATCGACAAGCGCTGCAGCTATTCTTCTAAAAATTTACACACATTTTCTTACAATATAAAGGAACAGTTCTGTCAAATTTCAGAAATTTAGGGTGAATAATAAAGGAGAAATGGTCTGTGCGCTTTTTGAAAAACCTGCATCTCCATATCTCACTCAATACTCATTGAAATAACATTTTGCTTTACAAACGTCATCAGAAATATGGAATCTAGTTGCCTGTAAATTTTCAGAGCAGTAGCTGTAGCGGTTCCTGATATATTTAGCTTCCACCCCTTGCATGAGTGTCCAGCCTGTCTGAGTTTGAAATGACTTAGAGCTTGAGAGCAGCGTGCTTATCTACAGTGTTGGTGCAATATCTCAGCAACCACTAAAGATATAATGTTGAAATTTTGTGAGCATGTACCTATAGTGTCCTTATTAATGGATCTCGGTCTATGAGATATCACCTTTATTATGTGTTGAGATATTCAAATGCAGGTTTTTACAAATGTGCAACCTCAATATCTCCGTCAATTCTTGACAAAAAATCTCCAAAATGTGGGATCATCTGCACTCATACTAGGCATACATGTGTGCAAAATTTCAAGGCAATCAGGCAGGCGGTTGTTGAGATATTCTGTACTTACTCTTGAGAAAAGTGCCCACTATGTGGTCTTTGCTATTTTTCTGTTGAGACCAAATCTTATAGATGTTTGCTATTCTGTGATACTAATACAGTGTTCCTTCAAATATTCTTTATATTATTTCATAAGGCTGCTGTGGAAAAGTCCCAGTCAAAGACAGTGTCCTTGACTGGGACTTTTCCATGATCATGTGTTCTGCAGAGAGTCAGTGCGACGCACTTGTTAAAGTTGTTTGTTTGGCCACACAGGTCACATGGGTGGTTGAACAGCACAAGTCCCACTTTGACTTTAACCCTCAACCTTCCCAAACTCTCTCACCAATGCACGTGTAAGTACACAAGGACAACGCACATACACAGCAGCCACCAGCAAATGTGACAACCTGTAACGACCGTGCCGGATGGGGTGGGGACTTGGCTTCAGCTTGATGGAAAGGGCAGCTGCGCCACCACGCAATGTCTGGGTGTCCCTGATTTTGGATGAACAGGGAGGAGCCAGATTCCGGCAGTGAACTAGAGCAAAGAGGATGTATGTCGAGTTCGATATTCCGACTGAGGAATCTACTACTGTACATGGGTATTTATGCTATGTAGGATAATGGACCATGATTATGTAATAGATAACTTAGCTGGAACAAGGAGAACAATGAAGGACAATGGGACAATGGCTGGGAGACACAATGGAGTGAGCTGGAAACATGGCTCACCTTGGAAGTGCCTTGGAAGTGCACGGCTCATTCCCAGATGTCTCGGAAGTGTCCCAGAAGAGCACAGCTCATTACCACAAGTCTTGGGAGCCAGATAATTGTGCCAGGAGCTGGGGATGGGTCATGACACAACCACCACCAGCACCACCAGCATGAAGGGCAATGCCTATGGTAGGTACATTGGATGCAATGAGTGTGATGGGTGCAGCAGAGATGATGGGCACAATGGTGAGTCCCTCTTCCTCTGCTACATGCTTTATCATCTCTCACCATCTGTTCTCCTCCCCTCACCCTCATCACCAACACATCCCTCTCTGCTGCATTGCTTGTCTCCACCATTTGTCTCTACCCTTAACAGCAGCTTTGTACACCCTTTCCCTCCTCCTTTTTTTTTGTTTTACTGATGAACTACTACTTTTATTGTAGTTTAATTGCATGGGCAATGTCTGAAGAGTATGAGGAATTCCCATGATGAGGACAAGTAGATAGTTAGACGTTCCATAGATGCTCTGTATTTACCACACATTTAATATACTTATTGCCTTAACTCAATATGTGTGATATCTCTACCAGTAAAACCCTATTCTATGACATTATTCTAGTGCTTTTGCTGTCTTTGTAGAACTCTCAGAGTCTGCCAGAGAAAATCTGACTTTGGAACCAAAACTCTGAGAGACATGTGGTGATCTTTGAGTCTTTGAGTCTTTCCATGCTCTCATGATCTCTGGCAAACTCTGACAACAACCAGAGCATGACCCTGGTTTCCTGATGCTGTGACACATGACGATGGAGTTCAGTGGGACTTGGGTACGGTTGAGCAAGCCACAGATTACATTGGTGGGGAATTTAGTGGTGCTGAAGAACCAAAGTCAGCTCTCTTGTATTCAGTGAGACTTTGTCACATCCCATTCCTGAACCCATTGTTCCATTGTTCATTGTTCTGGTTCATCAATGGGTATTACTTTCATTGTTTCATTCATTATTGTTCTCTGTCATTGTTCTGCTGGCATTCATTACATAACCTAGATCTCTCCATTGTTCTCAGTAGTATAAGTATCTAGGTAGTGTACTGGATTCCCCAGCTTGAATCTCAACCTTGACATCCCCTCTGCTCTATTGTTCATCCTCTGTCTCCTGGGCCTTGGCCAGGATGACTTCTTCTTGTCTCTCTCCTGTCAAGACCAAGGCAGTTCCTGTAAATTGGGGACAACCAGATGATGTGTAGGGGCACAGCACAAGAGCATGCTGAGGCCAAGTCCCCCCCTCTGTTCAGGTCATTACAGACTTATACCAAATATGATCTATTTGCAGCCCCACCATACAGAAGAGCCCCCATGAACCAGAATACTGTGGTGGGATTGACGGTGCCCTCGTCAACTCATCTTTTCCATGGTATTTCAGCTTAGATTAGATTTTGCACCTGTATACCTTTCTCTTTATCTTGCATCCAAATTATTATCTTTTATCCTATTCAGTCTTTATCATCAAGATTCAACGTCACCGAACTACCCAGTACCCAAGCCCTCGACAGACCGGTGGACTGTGTGACTTCGGTCCTCTCAGGAGCTAAACTCCCACACGTCACAAGTAAGCGCACAAGGATTGCGCACACGCCATTCTGAGTGTTTTGCAAGACCACCGCACTCTCTGTTCATCAAGAATCAATCTCAACATCACCTTGAAGCCATACACAACATGTTTCGAAGGAAGGGCTGGTTTCAAGTTCGTAATCCTGTTTATTTCATTTCATTTCCTTTTTCTGTTGTTCTGCAATTCATCTCTTCTATCTTTTTCATCCCCAATCCCAATCTGCTGTGTCGGGCTTGTGAAAGTCCTGCTGCTGACAAGTCCTGTGCTCCTGATTTGACAAGAGGATGGTTGCAGCACTGTGTGGGCTCTGGTGCAGACTGTTGCCAGGCAGTCAATTTCTCATCCTCACACCATCTCTCGTTTGTTTCAACGTCTATTGGTCAAGCTGCATCTTGGGAGGAGTCAGCAGTGTGGCAGATCAAGCTCAGTGTCTTCTTATCTTTATTTTATTTCAAATAATGGACTCTCTATGTACTATCATGATTGTGTTTTATCTTTTCCTCATGGTTGTCTCTGGGCCATGGTGACACGAGAGCACATGTGTGCCATCAAGTGTCGTTTGTACTCATATATACATCCACAGACATGCTGCAGGAATCGATTCTTCTCCCCACCCTTTGATTTTACTCTGCACTGAGTGATTGAGCGAGCATGCGTTGAGCCTGAGCTATTCTTACCTCACCATCACACTTCTCTCTCTCACACACTGTCATCCTCCTGATTCGCACTCACACACCTTGCCAGTGAGTATTGTGTTGGATTTGGAGAGGCAAACACGCCCGAGCAGCGCACAGGTTTCACGTATGCAGCTTGTGTCAGCACGGCCCGTCTCATGCTTGGAGATAGGTATTTTGTCTTTATGTTAACTTTCATTTTACTTCCGTCTACTCTACTTCACATCTAGAGTACATATAAACATTCTACGTTATCTCGTTGCCGTTCTTATCATGCATCGGCTGCTCTTTTGTGTTTTATCTTCACATGGCTCTCCTGGGCAGTCGAGCCCATTTATACCACGCCGTTTTCATTAGCGCTCCCTCAGCCGTTTTTCCAAACGCTGAGGTGAGCTTTCTAGTTTATGATCTACTATTCATATGCTTACATCCTGTACCTAGCTATTCTTAGGTACTGGTCAATGTTATTAGCCGTTTTTCCAAACACTGAGCTATTCTTAGTTGGTTCACAGGTTATGGGCCCCGCTCCCTACGCTTAAACTCAACGATCAACCTCAGCATTTTATTTTTGCCTACACACCATGTCTACTGCCACGACTTCTCTCTCCGACACCCTTCCATCCTCCGTACCCAAGCTCGATGCGAGCGGCTTGAATTGGGCAATATTTGCCGTCCAATTCCAAGATGCTGTCGAGGCTAAAGGCTTCTGGGGTCACTTCATTGGTACCGACCCTCGCCCTGTTCCTGTGGCCACTCCTACCCCTGCCCCTACCCCCGCTACTGTTACTGCCGGTGCCGTGACCGTGGCTGTTGTGGGCGCTGCCCCTCCAACCATTGGTGCGACAGCGACTCCTACTGTGGCTGAGATAGCTGCTATGGAGAAGTGGGACAAGGACGAGCGTGCGGCGAAGTCTTTACTCACCCAGAGGATTCCCGATTCGACGTGGATGTGTATCCACTTGAAGAAGACCGTCTTCGAGAGGTGGTCCACCATCGTCAGCAAGTATACGGAGAAGGGCGCTTATGCGCAAACTGAGATGCATATGAAGTTCTTGGGGTCGAAGTGCCCCAACAAGGGCAATGTGCATGAGTTCCTGGATTCCTTGGCCACCAAGAGGGAACAGCCTGCTTTGGTTGGTGTTGACATTGATGAGAAAGACTATCGCTCACCCATCCTGCAGTCCCTTCCTATCCCACTCTCAAACTTCGCATCGGCACAGCTTGCTGCTGCCCGAATGTTCTCCCCAACTGGTACCATTGCTCCTGACACCCTCATTCAGCTTATCGGCAAGGAGTATGACCGCCAGAAGTCCCAACGTTCTGGGCACTCAGGAAAGGCGAGGGAGGATGACCGCGATGAGGTGATGGCAGTCTCATCAAACACTTTGAACAACACAGGTGGTGGACAGGCTGCGAATGGTGGAGGTGGCTCAAGCAGGGGGTGCTGGAAGTGTGGCAACCTTGGTCACCGCAAAAGTCAGTGCCCGAAAATGAGGAAGATTGTCGACAAGTTGACTCAGAAGGCAGCTTCTTCAAAGGCAGGTGGGTCTGTGAATGTGGTTGAGGTTGAGGAGGGGGACAGCGATGGTGTTTTTGCGGTCATGGTCGAGTCTGATGATGAAATGTCAGTGCATGGTTCAATGCCAGGGCTCCAGTCAAATACCAACATGGTGATGGGGAGCAACGATTATTCCGACGCCGACAGCAACTCCCTTCCGGTGCCTCACCAGTCTGATGCGCTGATGGACAGTGACTGGTTCTCAGATGTCGGAAGTGATGCTGGAGACTATGACGACCCATTCTGGAGCTCTGAGGATGGATCCGACGAGGAGGAGGAGAGGTTGATGGCTGAGTTCTACGCCATCATCAACACCGTCAAGGAGAAATTTGACGTTGAGAATGCCTTCCTTGAAACCCCTCACGTCGAGATCTACGACTCGGCTTCAACTCGCCACATCTCCCCTTACCACAAGGACTTCGTCAACCTCATGGAAATCCCACCACAAACACTTTGCGCTGCCAACAAAAACAACTTCAGTGCTACTGGGGTTGGCAAGCTCATCATCGACATACCTAGCGGTGTCAACATGAAGCAGCTCCACCTCACAGAGGTGCTCTACTCTCCCGAAGTTGGCTATACGCTTGTCTCCATTGGGCGGCTTGATGAGAAGGGGTTCTCCACAACGTTTGCACATGGGAAGTGTGTTATTCGAGGACCAAAGGGTGAAGAGGTTGGCGAGGTGGCAAAGAATGAGAAGGGCTTGTACTGTGTTGAGCACAACGACGACACGGTCAATTCAGCGATCGAGACAATCACTTTGGACCAGTTCCACCGTCGCATGGGCCACATATCGCCTGAGGTTGCTCGTCGACTTGTATCCAACAAGTTTGTGACAGGTGTTCGTCTCACAACAATGTCGACGTCTGGTGATCCTTTCTTCTGCAAATTGTGCGTTTATGCCAAGGCAACGAGGAAGTCGGTGCCGAAAGAGAGAGCTGGGGAGAGGGCAAGCGAGTTTGGTGGTGAGGTTCATTCGGATCTCTGGGGACCAGCGCCTGTTTCTACACAGGGCGGTCGGCGCTACTACGTCACCTTCATTGATGACAAGACGCAACTCACTCACCTCTACCTCATGCGCAATAAGTCTGACACTTTTGCCAAGTACAGGGAGTACGAGGCGTGGTGTGATGCACAGCTAGGTGCTCGAGTCAAGGTTTTGCACTCGGATCGAGGGGGAGAGTACACCGGGAAGGAGTTTGTTGTCCATCTCAAGGCTCGCAGCATGGCGAGGAAGCAAACCGTCCATGATACCCCTGCCCAAAATGGTGTTGCGGAACGTCGTAATCGCATCATCATGGAGCGCGTTCGAGCGCTATTACACAGTTCTGGTCTGCCAAAGTTTCTTTGGGGCGAGGCTGCTCGCCATGTCGTTTGGTTGTTAAATCGGACGTCGACGAAGGCGGTGGATGGCAAAACCCCCTACGAGGCAGCTTTTGGGAAGAAGCCTGACCTCTGCGAGGTATGTGAGTGGGGCGAGAAGGTGTGGGTGCACATCGAGGGAGGGAACAAGTTGGGTGGGCAGGTGCGAGAGGGGCGTTGGATGGGTTTGGATGAGAAGTCGAAGGGTGTGAGGGTTTATTGGCCTGACAAGAGGACCGTGACGGTGGAGCGAAATGTCTATTTTGACAAGACAGCCTCATCAGTCAGCCGTCTCGAGGGGGAGGACTGGGAATTCATCGAAACGACGCCTGATTCGACACCGGATGGACTTACCAGCACCCCATCTGTCAATACACAAGCTTCTACATCCGCACCAACTCCTCTCGAGACACCTGCAACCACTATCCCTGCTCCCACAGACCCCATGGACTCAAACACGTCAAATTCTAGCAACCATGAGACGCCCTCGGAGCCCGAAACTTGGTCGAAACGCACTCGGAAGCCTACACAACGTCTCTGTGACATCCTCGAGGGACGTGCCGTCTCGTCCAATCGTCCTGGGGCACCAAAGGTTACACCTGGGGTGCAGCTCCCTTCGGAGATCCTCTACGCTCTTTATAGCGAGGCTGGTTTTGAGGGGGAGAACGAGGATGGGTGGGTGATGGTGGCAGACTTCATTGATGAGTATGCAATGGCGGCAGAAATCAGTGAGAAAGAGGCTTTAGAGCCCCGTTCTCTCACCAAGGCAAGGACTTGACCTGATTGGCCATTGTGGGAGAAGGTGATCCTGGAAGAACTCGCTGTTTTGAAAGCTGCAGGTACATGGGAACTTGTCGACGCACCTCCTGGAGCCAATATCATTGGTTCAAAGTGGGTTTTTCGGGCAAAGAAGGATGCCGCTGGCAACGTGGTGCGCTACAAGGCTCGTCTCGTCGCGCAAGGTTTCTCCCAAGTCCCAGGGATCAATTACTTCAACACATTTGCACCGGTCGCACGCCTTGCTTCTATTCGGGCTGTTCTCGCGATGGTGGCTGTCCATGACTACGAAATCCATCAAGTTGATGTCAAAGGTGCTTACCTAAATGGCATTCTCACCGCCGACGAGGTTATTTTTATGCACCAACCCCCCGGATATAGGATTTCTGACAGCGCGGGAAAGGTGTGTCGTCTTCTCAAGACACTGTATGGACTGAAGCAGTCAGGGAGGCGATGGTATCAGAGGTTGGTGGAGATCATGGTGCTGCTCGGTTTTGAGCAGTGCGCGGTCGACCAGGCAGTTTTCTTTAAGCGCCGCGGCGAGGCGCTTGTGATCATGCTTGTGCATGTTGACGACTGCACAATTGTGGCCACTGCACTGCCACTGATCAAAGCCTTTAAGGCCGAGGTCGCCAAGCACGTTGAAATCACCGATTTGGGCGAACTCCACTGGATCCTCGGCATCGAGGTTCGGCGCGATCACGAACGCCATATTATCTTCCTTTCCCAACGCTCGTACATCGACTCGATCATTCGCCAGTACAACCTTCAAGACCTCAAGCCTCTTTCCATTCCCATGGACCCCAATGTTCGCCTTTCGAGCGCTCAGTCTCCCTCTACCACTGTCAAGATCGCGAAGATGGCAAATATCCCATACCACGAGGCCGTTGGTTCTCTCATGTACGCCTCGCTCGGTACATGCCCGGACATCACCTTCGCTGTCCAAACCGTCTCAGGATACGCCTCAAAGCCTGGTCCCAGAGCACTGGGAGGCCGTCAAGCGGATTTTTCGCTACCTGAGTGGTACGAAGGAGTTGTGGTTGAGTTTTGGTGGGGACATGAAGGGGCTGGTTGGATTTGCGGATGCGGATGGGAGTATGGCAGAGGATCATCACATGATCTCGGGGTATGCTTTTTTGCTTCACGGCGGTGCTGTTTCGTGGAGTGCTAAGCGCCAGGAGATCATCTCACTGTCCACCACGGAATCTGAGTATGTCGCAGCGACGCAGGCCACAAAGGAGGCTCTCTGGCTCCGCTCCTTGGTCTCGGAGCTTTTTGCCATCGACCTCGACACGACCACTTTATTTTCGGACAACCAATCGGCCATCGCGCTCACAAAAGACCATCAGTATCACGCCCGCACTAAACACATCGACATTCGGTTTCATTTCATTCGCTGGATCGTCGAAAAGGGGTCCATTCGACTCGTCTACTGTCCTACTGGCGAAATGGTTGCGGATACTCTCACCAAGGCCCTCCCTTCTGCAAAGGTGAAGCATTTCGCTTCGGAGCTCGGACTCGTGCTCGTTTGAGGGGGAGTGTTGGATTTGGAGAGGCAAACGCGCCCGAGCAGCGCACAGGTTTCACGTATGCAGCTCGTGTCAGCACGGCCCGTCTCATGCTTGGAGATAGGTATTTTGTCTTTATGTTAACTTTCATTTTACTTCCGTCTACTCTACTTCACATCTAGAGTACATATAAACATTCTACGTTATCTCGTTGCCGTTCTTATCATGCATCGGCTGCTCTTTTGTGTTTTATCTTCACATGGCTCTCCTGGGCAGTCGAGCCCATTTATACCACGCCATTTTCATTAGCGCTCCCTCAGCCGTTTTTCCAAACGCTGAGGTGAGCTTTCTAGTTTATGATCTACTATTCATATGCTTACATCCTGTACCTAGCTATTCTTAGGTACTGGTCAATGTTATTAGCCGTTTTTCCAAACACTGAGCTATTCTTAGTTGGTTCACATATTGTCTATTCTATGTTGTACTGACATACTCTACAGGCTTTTATCTATGCTTTTGTCAACCTTCTTACTCCACAAGCGGCAGATTCCTCCCACCACAATACTGCATACTGAGAATGGGGCTTAGACTGTTGGGAGTGTCCTTGTTGGTTGGAATTACATTTATGCTGTGCTCTTGAAACACAAGAATCTGGATAGCCTGCAGGGGGTTGAGAAGCGAGAAAACAAGGGATTTCTGGAGCAATGAGATACAGCAAGACTGTGCACAAAGTTTTCTGATGTTCATTCAAACATCAAGGAGTCTTGAATCATCAGTCTGGCAATGGGTGCCCATATTTGGAATTCTTGAGGAGTTTTTTTTCTCAGCCAGTCAGCACAAAGAGAAGCTAGCAAGCAAGATAATTTGATTGTCTCCAGGGCTCCAGAACTATAGTCAAGTATGTGAGGGTAATATTTCTGGCGAGATCCTGTGCATCTCATTGATTACTGGAGAGTCTAGAGGCAGCATACTGCATGATTTTGACAGGAACAGCACTCGAGGGAGGCAAAGCAGGCATCAAACATTGAGTGATGCATCCTTAGGGGCTTGCAACACAGTTTGTTGACTGGAACATGACCTGGGAGTTTAGGGTCAGTCAGAGTCACCTGTCTGTATAGGGAAAATGCTGTGCAACCTGAACACTACGGGAATTCAAACTCAGCTCTACCAGCCTGAATATTGATATTCATATTCAGGCTGGTCATGAGCTTAAGAGAGAAGTTTTACGATCTACTGTTATCGCTGATGGTCACATGTACATACAGAAAAGGCTGCGCGCTGTAAGACTGGGACACAAGGCTTACAAATTCAGTGGCACTGAAGAACCAAAGTCAGCTCACTTGCTTTCAGTGAGATTTATACCGAATATTATCTATTGCAGCCTATCCATATTCCCTCTCTCTGCTATGAAAGCAGAAGAGCCCTCACAATCCAGTATCAAGCATGTTGAATAACTTGAAAGCTAGCATACTTCCAGGAATTACAGCTGAGTATGTGTGCGGTGCCATTTCTGGGTATAATTTTTGCATCTCCTGGATTGCCAGAGAATACAGCCAAGGTTTATTACATGGATTGACAGAAATGACACAAGAGAGAGGTAAATTGGCCATCAAATGTACTTAAAGCGACACATCCTTAGGGGCTTGTGACGCGGTAACATGACCTGACTTTAGGGTCGGCAAGATACTATATTGGGTAAAAAGCTGTGCAACCTGAACGCTACGGGAATTCAAACTCAGCTGTACCAGCCTGAATATCGATTCTCATATTCAGGCTGGTCACGAGCCTAGCACTGGCTAAAGACATGCCTCACTGGTTTATGTAAAGGATTTAAGTATGATGCTAAAAACTATATGGCTAGCCAGCCTCAGAATGACCGCAGGGGCGGCACGAAATAGCAGAACGGCGCACCGGCCCATTTTCGGGGCTTTCCAAAAATTGAGCAAGCGAATATACGCCGTGTCCAAACATCTCGTTAGTGGACGAGTGACGAATTAATAGCGCTGGTCGGCAGGTTGATGTTTGAGCCTTAGGAAAGAAGGGTGTATCGGAGAGAAATTGTTTAGAACATGGCGAATCGTGCTTGATACGGCCGGACCAGCGACGAAATTGACAGAGGGTTGAAAAAAGATCGTCAATAATGTACTTAGGCGCAGGGGTTTCTCTAGGTAAGAATGTATTAGAGACAATGCCGAACACGTAGGAGGGACACTGAACGAGTTCCGCCTGCCCTTCCAGTTACAACAAGCATATCAAATAAATTAGATCCATCCAAGGTTTGTATACCACGTTACCCTCAAGCTTTAGGGGTTTGTGTAATCACAAAGATGGGGACGTATGACGCGAATAGTGCAGAAATGCACAACCTGCAGGTTTGAAAGGGGTCGTAAGTAACATAACAAGCAAGGAGAGGGCGAGGGACGTACGCGAGGTTTGACCAGCCAGAACCGCCCTCTTTCGCTCGGATTGGATGAGAGTTGATGAGGTTGCTCATGCTGAATAACAACGAGGGCCACGCGAGGAATCTACAGGGAAGTTCGCCACTTCAATAGGAGATTCAAGACCAAGCCTGGTATTGTACGCACCGGTTGCGAGTGACCATGATGAGACCTGAGAGGAACATCCCTGAGGTGCCCAGTCCATCTAGTGGCAAGAAATTGTGTAAGCTCCCGTTGAACTGAGGAAGAGAACTTGACGGACCAGTGCTGTCGCGGTACCATGTCTTCGGCCAGGTATAGCTTGTCTCGAGTGAGCTGTCTCGAGGGTCATCTTTGAGATGCGACATTTTCAAGGAAGAGGGCCTGAGTTTCTTGTGGAGACGTTGAGTTCAACGGGGTCGAGACGGGAAATGTCCAATGCGATCGTTAAATGAACGTTCGAACTCAGAGGAGTTCGCCGGAATAGTTCGTGACTGTACAACGGTGTGACAACAGATTCCGTCGGTGATCGACAGTAGCCTTGCCTGAGGTGTTCATTGAATAATGAAACAGCTTGATTGTTATAAACCGGGGAAGGATCTAATTGTCATCTAATTTTCACAAAGCAAAACAGGTATATTATGTAGACACCAACTTTTGGGGTATTGGATTACGTCTTGTTCTCCCACTGCTGTTCCCGAGATGAATTTCATCCATCCTTTACACTACTCCCACTTAGTACAGAACGACCATTTCGGCGGTCACAATTGCCAGACCGACAGCAGTCATGAGGATCAACGGAAGTGTGTTCCAAAAGGCAAAATCTAATTGCCGAAATGTTATGCCTTTCTGTTTCAATATTGACTGCCACAAAAGGCCAGCCAGACTTGCAGAGAATGTGAAGCTGACCGCACCGATATTACTAGCCACAGCAAGTGAGATAGCCGCCGCTCTCGCAGAACTATCCGGTAGCTCAGCTACGCGCACTATTTTTGTTAGCAGAATGGTTGCTCCGATGTTCGTTCCAGAAATATTGCACAAGATCACACCAAGGAAGCCCACTAGCCATACAGCTGGGATCATCTGGCGATGCGAAGCCTTGACGAACCACGTAGCGAACACATCTATCCACCCTTGCCGTGCAAGCCCTTCAATGAGAATGAACTGAGAAAACGCGAACGGGATGAGGCCGAACGGCAGGCGTGGAAGGGCCGTGAAGAAAGTGGGGAAGTGTGCCGCGAGCCGTCTGTGAACTATGGCGAGCTTCTCGCGCTGCTCCGCGAATATTCGGGGTTCTGGAGCTTGTGAGATGGTTTTGGAGCTTTCTGGGGAGGGTGAACGGGCTTTGGGGATTGTGATAGCGGCGATCTCGGATGAAGTGGCCGTTACGGAGGCGAACGTAGGCCGGCGCTCGACATCCGTCATTTCTGTTGGTGCTTGCGAGGTCGGCATCGACATTGCCCTCTTCAGTTCGCTGACCATTGCATCTTCGTCGCCCGGATGTCCTTCAGACGCTGCTTTGGCGTCAAGCCGTGGTATACGGTCTGTGACGTAACGGTAGTGATCCCATGAGAGGTCGAAAATAAACTTGGCCACTGCGAATGGAAGGACAATCTTCCACACGTCGATGTGGAAGAAACTGAGGACGATGACGACAGTGAGACAGACGGCGAGCAGAATGCTTCCAAAGCATGCGCTGACGGGGTCACGCAGGACCTCGCGCGGTTTCAGCTCCCCCATGGCGTTCAATCTCCGAGGAACGTGCTTCTCGCCTCGAAACTGGAACGCAAGCCCTGCATAGCACGCCACACTGCATGCTAGGAAAGGGAGGATGGTATACGCCGTGAATGCTGCGTTGTTGATCCGAAATCCTTCGCAGATGACGACATTGGTTGGATTCCCCACAAAGAGGACCATGCTGGCTGTGTTGGCCGCTGCGAACTCGGAGATGAGCCATGCGATAGGCTCAAGCCCTGTCGCAGCCGTGTAGTACACGAGAAAGCCGTGCCCGAGAGAATAATGGGGTCGTTCCCCACAATCATGCTGACGACAGTGAGAAGGAGGTAGAAGTAAAAATATAGCTTGCGCCCGTTGCTACCACCCTTATTGCTGACCCAAAATGCAGCTGCCTGCAGAATTCCAGTGACATCGAGGGTGATGGCCATATAGGCCAGGGAGATGAAGAGGATGAGGATGTTGTAAGGCTTGATATTATCTGTTCATGAAATATTCAGACCTCTAAACCTTCTGAAAAAGTTTAAGTTCTGACCGGTTCCCACAATGCCGTCGCGAATCTGGGTTGCTCCGATGCACTGAGCAGCCCAAAGAATTGCTATTGCAATAATCGGCGCAGTCATGAGTCCGATTGTGAGGCGGGTCCGCCCAATAAAAGGTAGTCGGACGTGGAAAGATAGAGGTTGAATGACGAATATTGTCGAGAGAAAGAATAGCACAAGCGTGACAATGGAGAACCGGTCAATGTCGGACATGACGACGTGGTTCAAGAGGTGTTAAACTTGCTGAGGGCGTTTCTTGGGGAAGGAAATGTCGTCAAAAGGATGTAGGCGGGGTGGTTCGAACATCCGAAATCGTGGCGTTAAGTGGGTGAGTGCTTTATATATATCGTAAAAGACCTGAACAGCCATCGGCATTTCAATTCATCTAAGAACATGAGTCGCTGTATACCCACCAAGAACATGAAATTGACCAACTTTTAGAAGTCCTGGAAATGCGGCGCGAAGACCTTGGAAGTTCGAAGTTGACCGTGATCCTTGGCACGGTGATGACTTGGCATGGTCATGACCTGGCACGTGTGCACGGGGCTGTGCTCTTTGCCGTTATCTATGATCCAATTCAACTCGGAACCCTGTCACTGACAGATATCTGTTGCACACAAACTGACAGCGCCACCCTACGTATAACGCATGCTACAAGAGCTACAAATAAACGCCCAACTTCGGGGACGTAGGCGACCGAGCTACGGAGCGCCCTGCCTTCACCATCAATACCCTCCTTCACATCCGCAGAAAAAGCCATGACTGGTTGCTGAAGAACGCACCCCGCGAGTATAGAACAACGTAGAATTTCCGGCCCCCGCACACTGCTTCAGGTATCCTTAATAGTAGGAAAGACATGTCCATTAGCAGCCGCAAGCTGCTTCACAGCCAGACAGACGATGAGGAGGCAAGGAGGGTGGCCCCACCTTCACACCGACATGCAGCACCATCGGCGCCTTGGCCGTGGGTGGATCTAGAGGATGGTTCGTATTTTTTTTACTACCCTTCTATTGTGTTTCGCGATTTCTGACGGTTAACGCACAGAGGTGGACAAAAAGCAACTAGAGTCGTCCTTGCCGCCCATCCCAGAACCATGCGATCACACAACTTGTGGAGGGTGTTGGCCAGGCTACCCTCAATCATTATTCCCGAACTGGACGGAAGAGCAAGTCAGGAAGAGCAAAATTAGAAAGGCCATCTACGAAAATCAACGTACTTGTGTTATTCGACTGGTGGACGTGGACAACAACGGGCTGTTCACAGTTCCTTCGGGTTTGGAGGAAATTACTTCTACGGAGAAAAATAAGGCGGAGACTTGGGATAGCATTTTGAAGGCTCGGGTGAGTGGGTTGTTTCAGTGACTAAGCCGTGCCTAAAATTCCGTAGTCTCCGGAGGATGTTCGAGTGAGGGCAATGTTCGTTGAGAATATGTCAGGACCTGTGTTGCAAATGTTGGGGACTAGGTAAGGCGGTTCATTATTGTTCGTTGCATTTTTTGAAGTCACTTTATCCTGTAGATATAACATAGAGCCGTTCTTTTTCTCCTCGTCCCTCAACTGGATTCCTTCAAGATTCGAGGAAGAGGTTGTCCCGGGCATCGGCGACCGTAAGCCTCGATATCCATCCTAGCATTGGAAATTTCGATAACGACAAGGCATAGACATTACCGTGACACTAACATTCCTGCGTTCAGTGCCTGCAAACACTGCGATTAGTTTCAGCGCAAAATCGCCGTACGCGGCATCGTCTGCCACCCTTGGGTCTTCTGGCGACTCATTTTTAGGTGAGTTCAACCTCTTTCACAGATCGTTATACGGAGGTGCTGACACCGTGAATTTAAGCTGAACAGATGATTGATACCCAGGCGCCGTTGGAGCTTGCGTCAAGTATGCTGTCAGAACTTTAATCCTCGTCAGGGATCTAATATTATGATTACGCAGATGGTCGCCTCCTAGTTCTAGACCTTCTCTCAGTCCATACCATCCGCAAGAAACATGGCAGCACGATTATTTCTTACCACTCGGACAAGGACCTCCCAACGACTACGGCCAAGTACCTGCATGAACGTATTCGTTTTGCGGGTAAGCTTTGAAATTGTCTCAAGGCTGTATGTTGTCAAAGTGACGAAGGGTATTTACATTAACAGGTCAGAGTGTCTACTGGCAAAACATCTTTCGGCAATCGTCGGATCCAACGCTTGTCCTTTTAGCCTTTGTTTGGCATGCACTGTATGCCTGGGATGAAGCCTTGGAACATCTCTATGAGCATATATGCACCCTCGTAGGATCTCTTTTTTCAGATATGTCAAAATTTGTTCAACTATGTGCGGCATGCAGGAAAGTCGGGTCATGACATCTTCCGGTCCGATGCCAATCACCCGAGAACTTCACGTTATTCGTGCCCACCAGCTCCACTACTCCTCCCTCCTTGATGACTTCCGCAAAACAGTCCAGTTCATACGTGATACCAAAAGTCCAGCCCTCGATTCACTCCCTCCAGATCAATATGATCTCAGTTGGCGGTTGATGACACGAGAGTGCGCAAACCTCCTCACAGAGATCGAACGCCTTGAAATGGGACGAAGGATGCAAGATCGGCGGTTGAAGAACGTGATGAACCTTGTATGCCCCTTTTCCACCTTCATATAGGCTAGTGACTAAGCTTGGAGATGACAGGTCTTCAGTACCGTGAACATTCTTGACAGCAAGCGAATGCAAAAGATGACGGAGGCGGCGGTCAGAGATAGTGCAGGTACGCCATTGGTGCATAGTAATTCCACCCTTGGAATCTCACCCCTCTTTTTCGACAGCCGTATGTTGATCTAGTTGATCTTTTTCGAGATGAGGCTCTAACTTGCATGCGTTTGGTAGATGAAGCAGATTGCCTATTTGACCATGGTGTTCCTTCCATCCTCTTTCGTGGCGGTGAGTTCATCTACCAGTCTTGATGTTACTCTATTCTCAGACCAGTGTAGACGGTCTTTGGGATGAACGTCAAGGAAATCGTCCCAGATACCAACGGCACCCTCCCGCACTACGTCGAAACTGCCCTCCCCTTCACGCTCGCCACCGTCTGGATCATTATCGCTTTCCAGAGCCGGTACATTTTCCCAGAATATGTCACCTTTTGGAAACGCCTCGGCTGGCCGGTTCTGCTACTCGCGAGGCTGTTTGGGAAGGACTTGTTTGATATGGACAGGAGATTGAAGAAGGAGCAGACACAGGATTTGTCGCCTGCTAGTGCGACTTTCCGTGAGGCTCAGCAAGTGCGGTCGATCCGCAGCTCGTGATCTTGCTCTATTATTTTCTTGCCAGTAAGTATTCTTGCTGTCTGGGTCTTATTTAAGACTTTTTGCTGACGCTGATTCATAGAGTGTATTTTCATGCGTAAAAATGTGCACACGCCCATGCCTCCATGACTAATAACTAACTTGACTATTATTTATTCTTGCCACCTCTCCTCCTCATCTTCGAATATCTCTTCAGGTACCTAGGTCGAGAACTTGTATTTCCAGAAAATGTACTGTTTTGCCTTGGTAGCACATAGATCCCGCTTTTCCTCCGCCTTGCCAAGCGGACGAGGCATTTCTCGACGGAACCATAGCTTGTCGATCGATCAAGGCGTTCTCCGATTCCGTTGGTCTTCCCCTCGTCCTTCTTCTTAACCGTCAGGATGACCCTACAGTATTGCGGGTCATGCACCTACCTCGTTAAAGATCAAGATCAATTGAACCGTCCACTATTCTCGAGAATATCGTGGGTTTTGTTCGTTACTCACTCAGCTACATAACTAGCCTCACAGCTATTGATATCAGCCTGTTGGTTATTCGAGGGCACCACATAGCCGGACAGAAGCGCACTGACGGAGCGAACCTCCTGCTGACCCCACGGTTGTAAACGTGGTGCCTTACGGCGCTTGCAAGTTTCCAAAAGGGCCTGATATGAATTCCTGATGTCAAAGAAAATCCGATATCCTCGAACCGACCCTCTATCTCACCCGCAATCCCTCTCCGCTGGAGGTGCACGGGTGTCGAGCGCTCCCTTCCGTTTCCGTTTCCGCTCCCGCCTATCCTCTTACGAACGACACGACTCTCATGAACTTCCTAGCGTCGAACGGCAGACTGGGTGTGCCCGACCGCGCACCATCTGTGCTCTCGGCTCGAAGCAAGAGATCTTCGATAAGGAAGGACCCAAAGGACGACCCAAGCCGTGTGCCCCACCCTTCTCATCGACATGCCTCGCCGTCGGCGCCCTGGCCATGGGTTGACTTGGAGGACGGTATGTTACGTGTTGCTCGTGTTGAGCCTCGTGGTTCGCTCACGGGCCTGTTTAGAGGTTGACCCCCTTCAACTCGAGTGTCCCCTTCCCCCAGTGCCACCCTTGTGCGACCACAAGTCGTGTGGGGGATGCTGGAGAGGCTATCCCCAGTCTCGCTTCCCAAACTGGACTCATCGGCAGGTGAAGAAAAGCAAAATCAACCGTGCTATCACAGAGTATGATACAGCAAAACCGTGCATTTGCCACCGAGTTGACGTGGACGAGAATGGGTTCTTCACCAACGCTGGATCCATTGTGGCGACAAGCGGAGAAGAGGACCAAATTTGGGATATCATCATCAACGAAACGGTGAATACTTTGTTTGCTTCCTTCTCTCTGTTTTTCTTGAGGATCCTGATAATGCTTTAGCGTCCTGAAAGGCTTAGAGTGCGGGCACTCTTCATCCAAGACATGTCCGGCCCCATTCTGCAGATGTTAGGAGCAAAGTATGTGGTTGATTGCTCGTCGAGAAGATAATTTTCAAGGACGTTGTAGGTATAACATTGAGCCTTTTTTCTGGTCGTCGTCGTTGAACTGGATCCCATCCCGTTTCCAAGAAGAGATTAAACCTGGTGTCGGAGATCGTATGTGGCTTTCATTCTTTTTTCTCCATGGTTACTGAAATCTATTTCAGATATCACCATAACGTTGACCTTCCTGAAGTCGATGTCGAACCACCAAGCTCTTCAACTGAACGCCGCGTTCAGCAAGTCGTCGGACACTCTCAAGCAACCAAGCACGCTGTTAGGCTCGCAGAAGATCGACACCCACGCACCCCTTGCCCTCTACTCCAGTATCTTTTCTCGTGCCACCATCGGATTCTCAATATGCTAACACCGGCCTATCTTAATATAGATGACAGGCTGCTTGTCCTGGACTTATTGGCTGTTCACCTCATCCGCAATGTCAATGGAAGTACGATCATTTCGTACCACCCTAGCATGAACATCCCAACCACCACGGCCCCATTTTTGCACGAGCGAATTCGCTTTGCTGGTCAGAGTGTTTACTGGCAGAGCATCTTCCAAAAATCGCCTGATCCGACATTCGTTCTACTGACCTTTGTATGGCACGCGCTGTACGCCTGGGACGAGGCTCTGGAGAACCTGTACGAGCACATCTGTACGCTGGTAAGTATCTACTTCGTAGTTTGACTTTGACAGATTGCATTTGCTCACTGTGTCACTAGGAAACCAGGGTCATATCCACCTCAGAGATGCCTCTCACACAGGAATTGCATGTCATTCGAGCACACCATCTTCACTACTCGTCCTTACTCGACGACTTCACCAAACACGTCGAGTTCATCAGGGACACACACAACCCGGCCATGGATTCCATGAGCAAACAGGATCTCAATTTCTCCCACAAGGTCATGCAACGAGAATGTGCGAACCTGTTATCAGAGATTCGACGCCTCAAGTCCGAGTTGCACATGCAAGAGCGACGGCTAAAGAATGTGATGGGCCTCGTACGTTCTCTTCGACAGTTGTGATGTCAGCCACTTACGTGTTTTTTGGATGAAGGTATTCAGCAGCGTCAACATTACCGATAGTCGATACATGCGAGAGATGACCGAAGCTGCTGTTCGAGATAGTGCTGGTAAGCTGTGTCCTCTACGTCTTTCGGAAATGCTTTTCTCACCTCCACGACCTATGTAGCTGTATGTCCCCCTCGTCAATCTCCTAGGCGCGTGGTTTGATCAACTAACATGCCCCACAGATGAAGCAAGTTGCCTATCTTACAATGGTCTTCCTCCCATCTTCTTTTGTCGCGGTATGCCCTCTCCCCTTCCTTCTTGCCCGGTTGCTTAACGGAGACACAGGCAGTCTTTGGGATGAACGTGTCTGAAATCAATCCCGGATCATTAGCGACCCTTGCGCGTTACGTCGAGTTCGCCCTTCCCCTCACATTGCTCACAGCCTGGATCATCATCGCGTTCCAGAGCACCTACATCTTCCCGGAGAGGACGAGTTTTATTGTACGGCTAGGCTGGCCTGTTTACTTGATCTATAACATGATCAAGAAGAAAAGAGAGGCGAATGAGGAGGAGGATGAGTCCGAGTACACGATCGAATACGGTAGTAGTGCAACCAAGGAGGTCATGGGTTAAGTTCATTTTCTTCTTGTCCGAGACGAGAGGGATGTAGAGGACGGGGGATTTCGACTTTGTCGTGTTGTATGTAGTTGTAGTTGTATTTTGTCCCGTAAGGGTTATGAATCCGATGAGCGTCATGTCATGGAAATCGTGTATTGCTGTAATGTTTAGCCGAGAAGGTTCATGCATCTTGCTTAGAAAGATAGTCAGAGAGGAGGCCCGACAGTGCTTTTAAGGCGAAGTTCTCTCTGTGCCACCCTCGGTTGTGAGTGCGACAGGTTGGGCAGGTGTACACCATCGTCTCCACTCGCGCGTTCTGCTCCTTTAGTGGCAGATAATGATGTTTAGTTCGTGAGCTTCGAGATCGACGGAAACGTACGCTGTCAAAGTGGTTGTCGATCTGCTTCACGAACCAAGCCTCGATGCAGTCTGCACAAAAGGTGTGCCCACATGCCGGGATGCTGCATATATTCGCATAAACTGCGACGGAGAGAACTGAAATTCCGGGCGAAGATGTGCTTACATGTGCGGATTATCCATTCGCTCGGCGCATATACTGCAGTTTAGGGCCTCTCCCATCTGAAAGAAACCATCAGATGGTAGACTGTTATTTGGAAAAGTGTATCATTGACGAACATCCAGCATAAACTCGTCCATTCTAAGGATTTGATCGGTGAAAGATGTGTTAATCTCTCGCTCAAGCGCCAGGTCTTTCCTCAGCTGTTGGGCCTCCTGTCAAAGCATGAGCTCGAGATCCCAGATAAGAAGCCAGGAAAGACGGCGAGCTTTTTGAAGTCCATTAACTTGACCCTCGAGTTCAGCATTTTCCGAAAGAACGCGCTTGTGCTCAGTGTACGCTCGTTGCAAAAGTCCGGTGGTTGCTTCCATTTGTTCCACGGAGTAGACGATGCGATCAGGCTGCGAGGATTTTTCTTTAAGTGCACGAGACGAGGAGGAGGGAGCAGAGCTTGAGCCCGAGGGTTTCTGCGCCGAAGCACGTGGCTTGGGCAGAGGAACTGGTTCAGCCAAGACCCTGGCTGGCAGAGAAAGAAAGCTGGTCATTGTTGCCTAGACGGTTGATATGGGCAAGAGAATACCAGAACGAAGTCTTTTGCCAGAAGATCGCGTGTGAGGCATCGGAAATCCAGTATTACCAGTAGTAGAGCGTTATGGTTGTGGTTAAGACGAAAGGTGGTTGGGTCGGTATTTCTTTTCGGTGAACTCCGATTACACCTTCACACGGTTTCTCGCAATGGTATTTGTGGCGACTTGCTCAACCATCTATTTCGAGACAATGACCAATAGCTCAGAGAGAACAAGCGGGGCCTCGCCCTACTTGTCATGCTAAGCTCGGGATAACGTAAAATTTGGGGAGCGGGCCATCGTCATGGGAGATGCAAGATCCGAGGTCACTGTCCTTGCTCAAAAGATCTCATTTTCGACATGATATTGGCGAGGTACGCCTCCTTTCTAATCTTGGGTTTCCAGGCCAAATATCTGTAGCAATCGGTTTTGGCGTAGCAGTTGGTGCCCAACAAGAAACAGATCGGGTGAAGACATGACGATGCCGAACAGGTGAGCAGCTGCCTATTTACCAGCATACAAAAGCAAGGACACACCCCTAGGTATCCCTCAGCATCTTAAAGAGTGAAGGCAGTGGGTTTGCGGATGTTACTGATGCCCAGCTCAAATAAGGCCTCTGAGGTTGCAGCTGTGACCTCGAACCAGGAGTACTTGAAAGTTTCCATGAAGTAGTAGCCGCGAGGGACTTCATCCGCGTTTGCTTGGACGGCGTCGGATAGGATGAGGTATAACTCGGCGTCTGTGAGCAGAAGAAAAGAAAAAACAAGGTCCAGTCAGTTACAGACCTTGTAGAATCATATTCACCAGGAGGCGTACTATTTTCCATGTGCACAGCTGTTCATCCCTTGGCCGATATATCCTCCCTATTTGCGCGCGACGGATGTTTTGACCATACTTGGAGATTTCGGATTCCCAGCTCGAGGCCAACTACGCAAGGGTGCATATTAGCTTTTCGGGTCCGCTTTGTAGTATGCAACAGGAATGCACTTGAGACAACTACGTATGACTGGATATGCCCTGCTTTACTTGCTTCCAAGATAAGGACGTCAACGTTCCGGCGAAACGCGGTCACAGGGAGGGCAGCTGTTGGTTTTCAGGTCGCTATGGTGAATGTGCTCGCTGATGAGGTTTCAGGCATCGCCTACAAGGCAATCTGTAGGGTGTCCGAATGCCATCTCATGAAGGTGGACCACGCTTTCCACACGGATCTGCGTCACACTGTTACGCAAGCACGAGCCCCTCGGAGAGAAAGAAAGGAGAAATAAGCACATACCATATGAATCGAGATTGGCGCCTTCCGAGATGCTTCCTACTTCAATTTCAAGCAATCGAGGATGGCTCGGGTAGGGGAAAGTTTGTCCGCGTCGACTGGAGGTGTATCAAGCAATAATTATTAGAGGGTACTGGGTTAGGGAAAGTGGGACGCACTACAGTGAGACCACCACCCACATCGGTCTGAGAAGCAGTAAAATCCTCGTCGATATATGATCCAACGACGCTATCAGCACTATGGAGAGCACGAAGCGGCGTTCTTGTGGGAGAGAATACAGGCCCCATGTAGCCTAGAGGACGAAATTCCTTCGAGTCTGACGGTCGAAAGGGTGATGCTAACCTCTGGCTCCAGTAAAGATGTTCAATTGGGGCAGCCATGTTGGTTTGAGACGAGATTTGTCGAATTCGAGAGACAATCGAAGCATTTTATACCACTCCATGCACCTGACAGTGATAGCTTCGAGATTCATCTGGTCGAAGGAAGGTCTGAGTGACTCGATGGTCCACCCTAACTGAAGTTCGGACTTACTAGCTCCGATTTGTACTCGATAAATGCGGGCTCATGAGCCTTGCTTCTTCTCGAACTTCAAACATCGCTAAAGAACGTTACCTCCTAGGGGCCGCTGGGGCCGCCTATGTTCAAGTCGAGGAGTGGTGCGAACTGCTGCCGATCACGCGTCACAGTCGCGTCGATAAATCTACGATCATGTGAGTTTGTGACATGGCGGGAGACTCGGTTTCCTTCAGTTTCTCCAACGCGAAAGGTTTGGCGGAAATGCCCAAGTTCCGGGAATCTTTCTGCTATGTAAATGTAAGCATAAAAATTAAGTCGATTGTAACGAAACGAAGCATGTACATGGTTGAGGGACACAAACGTGGGACTGACGGATATAATTGGAAATTGTAAACAACTGTAAACTCTGAGGTCGGATCAACGGTCGCGTCGAGCTGTCGCCTTGATTGCTTTCCTTTCCATTCCCCACAGTCTGTCTCCACCGCCACCCGTCCTTCTCCTAGAGTTCTGCTGTGCGATGTTCAAACTTATCAGGCGCATCTCATACGGTGTCATTCCGCGCCCAGATAGGCCTTGGGAAGAAGATGGTACGTCCTCTATCTTTTGTGTGCATGCCATCTTCACCTCCAAAGCGCGTGCTTCTCATCTTCACTTTATTTCTGGAGTACATGCGTTTTATCGATTCATCTAACGTCTTGCTGTAGCTACATCTAATGCCCCACGCAAGACGCGTAAACGCCGTCTGAGTTCAACGGAGAGGGAGGCTGCTGGTGATGACGAGCAAGCGAACAAGAAAAAGATACGTGGGGATAGCGCGACGCCTTCCGTGGCGGACGCGGAAGGTGTCTTCCTCACTCCGGCGCCTCAGGCGGATACTCAAGAGGTCAAAGAGGTCACCCAAGGGGTCGAGGAGGTCGATTTGGATGGCAGGGCTCCTAACAAGGAAGCGGCGCAAGGTGAAGAAGCGGCTCCAGAATCCATCCCCCTGCCCGAAGAACAATCAGGAGAACTCGATGAACCCACCACCGATGCCACCTCTCTCGCTACCGTCATTTCATCATCGGAAGAGGCAGAGCCACCGAAGGACGAACCCTCGATCACTGCCGATGATGCATCGGATGTAGCCTCTTCATCTGGAGAGGATGCCACATTATCGGAGAAAGGAAAGCCTTCTGAAGATCTCAAAGCTAGCACCTCGCCTGCGGTAGAAGTGACCGCCGTTAAACCTATCCAGCATGACTAAGGGCTGAAGCAACTAACGCCTTCGGTCCGACGACGCATCGACCACGTTCTATACCTTTGTTTGTACTTTTTTATTGCTTTATTTTGTCGTATACGATATCCTGTCCCTCTGCCACTCTGCATCTCGGATTTCTACCCGCTATATCTACACCAATCTTTCTTGCTGTCTGTGTGTGTTTGCGTACTGTATCATCCCTACCCCAATCCATTCATTCTTGGTTTCTTGTTCTCATCCCGCATTGCCTGCTAATCCCAGCCCCCTCTATTCAAAAATACTCTGCTTTGTTCCTGACCCTATGTTGACTTTCTCTCTCTACAACACTTACTGTCTTGATCTTTTTGCAGAACCTCGAGAAGAAACATCTTCCACCCTTCGTTGAGGACCTGCCTCTTCGTCTGACTTGATTATAGCCGGTAAGTACAAGCTTCATTCGTACCGACTTCCGACTAAAGTCCGAGGTGACAGGAGAGGAGACATGCATCTGTCCTCCGATAACATGTCTGGGGCATACAAGTGAAGGTCATGCGACACCGTGTCGTTTAGCGCCCCGTTCACACGAGTACGAAGCTCTGCGCTTTCGCAAGTTAGTCGCGCGACCGCGAGTCCCCTTTCCTCAGATGAGCAACAACACCGTCAAATATCAAGCTCGTCCGTGAAGCAAAGTCATTTGCGAAAGGGTCTCCTTCGACTGCGGATACTATTTCAAGCACTCCGTTTCGGAGGATATCCTCTCCCAAAGAATGCAACGCTCGTCCGGACCCTTGCATGGTATATCAAGTAAATTTGTCGACCACCTGTGGTGCATGATGGGGAAGTGCTGATAGCTGCATAGTCAATCTAGCCGTAGTTCTGCCTCTCCTGGTCTTTCTTGGAAGTTCTTTAATGAAACGGTGTCGTCGGGGAAATCCTCGAGGTTTGGGTGTTTCTTTCGGTCTTAGGAAGCCTCGACTAAGAATAGCTTTTAGCCCCCATGATTGTCCTTCCTAAACGATTAACAGGAGGGTTTCCATCCGATAATGCGGACGATCATCTCTCTAGACGAATGTACTCTCGAGTACTGCAAGTACAGCACCACAAGCACCCTCTACCAATGGAAGACTGAGGAAGTTCGTAGACCGTCAGAAAAGAACGAAGCCTTTCCAACGGTGACGGCATCCGAGCACCTGGCGTCATCATGTCTCCAGCAGTCAAAGGCTCGAGTACACGTTATTGAGTATGATCAGCATGCATACATCATTCTCTACGCTTTCTAACTTCTTACCGCATTTTGCCTTACGTCTGCCCACGAGGCCCGTCCTACAGGATTGTCTTTGAGGTAAGCTGTAACAAACGCACATGCTTGCTATTTCTGACTGCGCCTATCCATTGAAGCGTAAGGTTGGTACGTTCATTCGTGCAATTGAATTCTAGTTACAGTGCGCCTACTGGAGCTCCCGCTCGCAGATGCACTGTCACACGATGGAAGCCCCTTCTTTCCACTGCAAGAGTGCTTGTACTGATCACACATACTCGGGACATCGAGGCAGTCCTCATCCTTCACATCGCTCCTTTGGAATCCCTGGAACTTATCCCGACTTGCCTTTCCATTCCCTGCATCGCTTGCTGGACTGACGGCCTCACTCCATGAGGCTGCATGTCAGTTACGGGTGTTCGTCCGCCCCGATGCCTCAAGGCTAGGGTGAATGCGATACGTGATGTGATGAAGATGGTCCTAGTGTCAGAAACTCGAGTAAAAGGCAAAGGTGGGCTAGCCTGTACATAGCCGGCGTGGCAGCACCCATATAACCCATGCATCTACATTCGAGGTTCACTTTCTTCTTGGACCCAGTCGCACCCCTTCGCTGTTGAGCATAGTGGTGCACGATCCTTGGCGTTTGAGGATTTCAGTGCATATTATTGCACCACACGAGCGAACGAGCAAGCACGCAGCTAGCCGTCCGCAACCTGGAGGCAGCGCAGAGTCGTCCTCTCCTACTCCATTCATCCGTTTGTTGACTCCAACCTTCGCATTGTCTGCATCCCCTTCGCCTCTTGACCTAATTCCGACATCCCGCGGACAGATCGTCTATCCCTCTCATCCACCCTGTCGCTTTCTTATTCCGCCGATCTTTTGCTCTCCTTGCTGTCTTTGCTTTCTTGCTTTCATCGCACCTTCCTAGACTGCAACCATCATGTTTTCTGCTATCTTCTCTCGACTACGCCTTCCAGGCGTCGCACCCACACAAGGCACCAACCAAGACGACAACGACGACGCCTCCTCGATGAACAGAAGTCTCAACCTTCCATGGCCTGTCACTGAATCCTCGCTCCGAAGGGGACCGTCGTCGGCATCCGCTCAGGGTGTCACTATCAGCAATCCCATTCCACGGGCGACACCGATCTCGCTGACTGGATTTGGTTATGACGAACATGCTACTGCTCCGCCCGTTTACGCCAGCAATGGTAACGCCCGACAGACCCAAGGAGGACCTTCGATGACCAACGTTGTATCACCGCCGGGCGCATGGTATGAGCCGCCAGAAAAACCCAGAGTGCGACGCTTGTATCCACCGCCGGAGGTTGATGTGTCTGCTCCAGTACAGACGCAGGGGCAGGCTGCGGCACTTGCTCCACCTGCAGTCGTGCGTTTGGACAGCGAAACGTTTGCTGCAGCTTCCGCGGACAATAGAGAGGATCAGGACGAAGAAGAAGCACATGTAAGCCTCCCTTCACAGAACTGATTTTTTGTTTGACTGACAGACCTTCTACACTAGCCTCCCACATACGCGTATACGTATACGTCGCATCCGCCGAGCGCGTCCGCATACGCAGTGCCATATCCAGACTCGAGGCCATATCCAAGCCCTGTATACACAAACCCCGCTGCTGCCAGCTCTTCCCATTCCCCACAGCGAAGTCACGATAGCTGGAATGAGCCAACTCCCAGGGCGAATCCAGCACGACTACCACACCACAGCAGCCCAGACCTCGATCGGCAGGTGGACGACAGAGAGCTGTATACATCCCCCTTCGAATCAGACTTCGAACAGACTGGATTTCCTATGCCGCCGAAATCGACCACGAGTTCGTCGGCCCCTGAAAATGGCAACGGGGGCGCAAGTGGTGGATCGATGACCAAGTCCCGCTGGGGGTTGAAGCTACAGCTACAACAATCCCAGATGGCGCCGGCCAGCATGCCTTCGCTGCCTGTCAGTGGCAACCACAGTCAGCAACAGGCCACGCGGCACACGCACCCTACGCATGTACAGAGGCACACCGGCGTCCAGACATTCGAGCCCAACGAAGGCGTAGGGACTGATGTGTACAAGAGCGCGTACAACTATCCACTCGCAAAGCAACTGTCGCCGATTGTGGAGCAGGATTATATTTCACCGACGCGTTCTGACTCGGAGTCGCGCTCCGTTATTGGATTGGGGAAGAGCGTTGGGACGGGTGCTGGCAGCAAGCAGAACAGTGCTCGGGCCAGTCCGGGGGTGGAAAGCATTGTGGGTTCATTGGCCAGGGGGAAATCGAGGCATGGGGTAGGAGAGGAAATGGAGGATGATAGAGCATCGCTGAGGACGAGAACCGGATCGGCGAATTCGATTCGCACTGTCAGTGGGAATGTGGGAGGCAATACGACGAGCTTGAGCCGATCTGGGTCTTTGACATTGTCTGCGGATGCCTCAGCGATTCAGAAAGGTGTCCATGCTGCAACCTTGAGTAGAGGTGGGAATGGAAGTGTCGGGTCCGGTAAAGAGAAGTTGGAGATTGCTCGTGAGTTTCTATAAGCTGTATGACAAAACCTTCGCCCTGACGGTTGTCCAATAATCAGGTCCTTCACCTATCCATCCTTCGCCATTCATAAATCGTCATCTGAACCGTACGGTTTCCCAAACCTCGTCCAAATCCGACTGTCAAGCCCCTCCATCGCAGACACCGTCACAGTCCCAAACACATACCCCTGTGTCCAGTCAGCCCCCCACACCTGGCATCACAGCACGGGTGCCAATTGCCCTACTCTCAACTACATCACCGAGTCCTCGTGCAACTGCCTGTCCCACCACAAATGCTACCGCGAACAACAATGGGGGCATCACCGTTCAGACGCCTACATCGGCTGGTACGACGGGATCGACGACCACAGCGACGATGTTCACCCCGACGTCGACGTTGCAAACGCCCACAAGTGCGACAGTTATTCAGCACCCTCCTGGAGCGATTGTGGCGTCGACGGCACCTACGGCCACTGGACCGTCGGAAGGAGTGATGCCTTTGCCCAAGATCCCTGCGGTGTCCCCGATTGAATTGCGGTATTCTATGTTCGGCTCTGTAAGCCCTCGGGCGGATAGATCTTCAAGGATGGCCAGGACCTCGATAGCTGGGAGCACTTTGAAAGGTGGTGTGGATAGGATGCCTGTGATCGCGGGCAGCGTGGAGGGATATTATGAGGATGAAGATGAGGAAGAGGAAGACGCAGAGGAGGGCGAGGAGGGCGAGGAGGATTATGAGGAGGAAGAGTATGACAGGGAATCCCTACACGCGGAGAGTTTCGTTACGGCCGGGACCAACGATGAAAACGTCCTCGAAGATGATAAAGGGATCAACGACCCCAATGGAGGCGTAGAGCTTGCTACGCTCGGGAAGTACAGTCATACAGTGCGACCGGCATCACCTGGGGGATCATCTAGTGTCGAAAGACTGCCGCCTGGAGCACGACGAGATTCTGAACGACCTTCGCGAGGACCTTCGCGCTCCGCGTCACGAACGGGCGCACAGATAGCGCAAGCAGATGGGCGTGCCACCCCGGGGTCTGGTGGGGGCGAGTCGTTTATCGATCGTCGGTGGGAGAGGGATGCTGGCTTCGGTCTCTCCTCCTCACCAACGACCTTCCGGGTCCGGGCAAGGTATATTCCGTCTCGTTGGCCATTTCGCTCTTTGTCCTCCGGTTCCTCTTTCACAGCAGCATTCTGGGCCTTCTGGTTGGGATTCTTGTGTCCGATGTTATGGTTGGTCGGAGGATGGCACTTCACGAACGCGGGTGAGATGCCCCCGAAGTACACCGTCTGGGAGTGGTATTTCTGGAAGAGGAGATGGAGCGTCAGGGTGTGGTGCAGAACTATTGGTTCTCGGCTGAAGGGGGCGGTGGGCCTGTGCACAAGGCGCAGACAGGGTAAGAAGGATGTTCGAGAGAGTGAGGACAGTGGAGTAACATTCGCCGAGCCGCAGCAAGAGCCACCACAGAGGAGAAATAAAGGGAAAAGACGGAGCGACTCACATTCAAAGCTTCGAGATGCGAAGGTATATCCCTCCCTCCCTCGTTGGGTCGCCGAGAGGCAGTCCACGGACGACGGACGCATGAAACTCAATGATCCAAAACGAACATTAAGGGGCATATCCTTTGGCTATCCATTCATCCCCAGAACACAGATGTCCCAAGGATCATTGCCCGACCAATCCTCCTCTTTGTTTTACCGGTTACTGAGAGCCGTGTTCGAATTGCTGGGAAAGCCCAACAGGATTCTAGATCAACTTTATGGCGTGAAGCTGAAGGAAGTACGTGGAAGGCCGGAGAGCGGACGGCGTATGTTCGATCCATGGATTCAGCGGTGCAGGTATGCGTTTTGTTGGGCGTTGCTCTTGATAGCAATTGGACTGTGTGTAGCATCGGTGTTCTTGATCATTGTGAACACCAAGAGGCTGGCAGCTGCGTAGGACTCGTGATTATCGGATTGCTTGTAGGTTGTAGTTCAGGTGTGAAGGGATCCTACATAATCAGAAGGAACCGTATTTATATTGGATTTTACCTGAATTTTATGTGAGGCCACTCGCCTGTGCCTTGAATTCTATCATACTTGAGGACGCTCGCCTTCCACCCGTCGGGCGAGCCACCTTTGGCAGGTTCAAGAAGTTCACTCATCTGGACTGCCATCCCACCGCTGTCGCGTATGCGTTGGTCAAAGGCGCGGATGACGACCTCGATAATTCTCGCGATTCGAGGGAAGAAGTCCTGTCTTAGCACGACGATGAAGACGCACAATAGTACGACGAGTTCTTGACGAACTCGTCACTTTTCTCTCCTGAATAGCGCAGCTGACCGGGGCGCACGTAGCGGAAATCTCGCGTTGGCGAAGAACATCAACGCACTAAGTCGCACAGGTGCAAACACGGTGCATCGACAGTCTTGTAGCTTTTACTTCCCCATCCTGTGCCGTACTAGTCTCTCGCGTCCGGATACTTTGATTCAGCCACCATTGGGCCATACGTATTCCGTTACTCGTTCGGCTACGTTGGGCCGCGGGCGGGTAGGAATTCGAGGATCGCAAACGTCTGAAGGTTCTTCGTCTCTGTTTTCCCGGCCACTGTAGGCCATGTTCGAATTACTGGGAAAGTCCAACAGGATTCTAGACCAATTATATGACATGAAGCTGGAAGAAGTACGTGGGAGGCCGAAGAGTGAGCGGCGTATGTTCGATCCGCGGATTCAACGCGATGTGTAGTTTTGTAGGGCGCTGCTCTTGACCACGATTGGACTGCGTAGAGTCAATGTTCTTGATTCATGTGAACGTCATGAGACAGGAAGCTGCGTAGTCCCGCAATCATTGGATTGCTTGTTCGCGTGGTATGTTGGCATCGTGGGTTCTTACAAAGTTGGGGTTACAGCCACAACCGCATCGAGGAAACAGGCAAACAAACTTGCTTCTCGCCACGACAGCCGACGACACTCACTGCAAGCCTGCAAAGCCGTTGCTTTGAGGCACGCATGTGAGGAACATGACATTCCTTCTCGCCCTCACATTCCTACTTGCTTGGGCTATAGCATTCGCGGCCGTCAGTTCCGACAGTCAAGAACTCATACCGGCCCCACCTCCATTTGCCGCAAACAGCAGATATGCGCCAATTTCTGCGGAAACGACACCGGAAGACTATGAACTCCTCGACATAGTCCTCGTGGCGTCCGTCGACGGCAAATTTCATGCTTTGAACCGCACATCTGGTCACGAACTATGGTCCATGTCGTCGTTTGCAACTACTACCAGCGTTTCGGCTCCTTCTTCGCTTGCACCCCTTGTGCGCACAAGCCATCCGTCAGTAGACGCGCTCGACGACCTCGACGACGAAGATGCACCCCGCCAGGAAACCTACATCATCGAACCGCAGTCAGGCGACATCTACGTCCTCCATTCACCCTCTTCGCCTCTTCAGCGCTTCCCATTTTCGATGCAGGAGTTGGTTGATCTGTCGCCCTTTACTTCAGCCAACAAGGAGGATACCAGGATCTTTGTAGGGGAGAAGAAGACCTCGCTGCTCTTGATCGAGTTGGAAACAGGGAAGATCAAGGCGACACTCAATTCAGAATGCCCACCGATTTTCAACCTGGACGAAAAGAAGGAGGAGAGTGGTGAAATTGATCTGGACGAGTTGGAAGGGAGCAAGCCTGCCATGTCTGCTCCGACGGAGGTGTATATCGCTCGCACGGGTGAGTCGTGGTTCAACGATTTGCTTTGGTATGGGCCTTACAGGCGTAGATTACCACATCTCCATCCACAAGATGCCCCAACCCGGTTTGCCTGCTCCACCCGCTCAGGAACTCCTCTTCTCCACCTACGGACCCAACAACAAGGATAACCGCCTCCAAGCCATGTATCGACGGACCAACGACGATACCTACATCCAGTCACTTCCGAACGGGGAAGTCATCGCGTTCAGACCTAGAACTGCGGAAGGAGGGCAACCCCGTCAAGGAGAAAACCCGCTCTTGTGGGGATGCCCACTCGGCGCGCCTATGTACGTACGTTCCTCTCAACTGATTGGCGTCAATCTTAACCATCTCGAAGTGTTGCTGTCTTCGACGTCCTGCGAACCGCCGGCTCATCTGCGAGCCAGCATGCGTTCGTCCTCCTGCAACCACGGCCCCGTCTCCAGGATCTTTTGCCAAATTTCAACTCAAAGAGCTCTTTACCTGCTTCAGCATATGTCGGCCTGGTCGAAGAAACCGGAAGCCTCTTCGCTATGAGCCCCGACAAGTATCCTCTGGTTGTGTTTGGAGGCAGCGCAAGAGACAAGATAGACGGGAAGGGAAAGAAAGGCGGCAAGCGGAGGACCCTCGACCCGCCTCATTCTGGCGACGCGGGCGACTATTCGGAGGTCGAGACGGAGGATGACAAATGCCTCCGAAACCCATACGACGTCCGTTGCCTTGTTGGTGTACGACCTCTGGAGGAAGAAGATAGGTATGAAGGCAGGAGAAAGAGGCTTCTAGACGGCCCGAAAACGCAAACACCGCCATTACAGCAGCCCATGCGTGGGTCTGACAATCCACTGGTCATTGAGGTTGCACAGGGGTGGGATGCACCAGATAATGCCAGTGGCAAACCGCGCCTGGGTCTGCCAGAAAGAGACGAGACTAGTGGTAGGAACTTTTGGGAACCGCTGGTCGTTACGCTAGTCTTTGGGCTTGTGTCGGCGTGGTTCTTGTGGAGGAAGGCTAAAGGGAAGATTGCGAAGGCGTTCCAGGAGGCCATCCTACGGGAACAACGGAAGGAGAGGGCAGAGCAGAACGGTGATGTCCAACTCCTCGAGAATGCCGTCGAAGTGCCCTTGGAGCAGACTCCTTCAACTACAGGAAGTAATTCTGCTTTGCCCAATGGCTCTGTCAAGAAGGACACCCCCACCTTACCCCTTCCTGCAACACCCACACCCGCCACGCCTTCATTAGATACACCAACGCCATTACCTGACACAGCCACTCCGACAGGACTAGATGAAGGAGACGACAGTGAGGGAGAGGTCGACGGTGTTTCCCCCACTCCGGGTAAGCGGAAAGCAAGGCGAGGTAGGAGAGGTAAGAAGAAGAAGCCTGGTGTCGTTGGTTCGAGCAACAGCGGTGGGGCGGATGACGAGGAGAAGGAGGAAGAGGAGAAGAAGCCCTCATCATCATTGATCTTGACCTCGTCCCCCAAACCTGTTGTGCAGCAGCCTTCCCTGATAGTGTCCGACACGATCCTCGGTCAGTTCTTTTGTTCTGCAGGTGCATTGATACTGATGGTCTTGCAGGATTCGGTTCGCACGGTACTGTCGTGTACCAAGGATCACTGCAAGGGCGGGCAGTTGCTGTTAAACGGCTGCTACAAGATTTCGTCACCCTCGCCGCCCGAGAGGTGTCAATCCTCCAAGAATCCGACGACCATCCCAACGTCATCCGCTATTACTACCAAGAAGCCCACGCGAACTTCCTGTACATCGCCCTGGAGCTCTGCCCTGCGTCGCTCGCCGACATCATCGAGAGCCCCGACCGCGAGCAGTGGCGAGACATCGCTATCAACTTCAACCCAAAGAAGGCGCTGAAACAGATAACGAGTGGCCTACGGCACCTGCATGCGCTCAAGCTCGTGCATCGCGACATCAAGCCGCAGAACATCCTTGTCTCGTCGGCGAAGGGCTCAAGCCAGAGCACCTTCGGGGCGAAGAACGGCAAGGGTGGCGCGTATAGGATGCTGATATCGGACTTCGGATTATGTAAGAAACTGGATGTCGACCAGACCAGTTTCCTTCCGACGGCGCATGGGGCGCTTGCTGCTGGCACCGTAGGGTGGCGGGCGCCGGAAATTCTTAGAGGCGAGGTGAAGCTGGATGAGCTGGCAGGCGATGACGCTTCGATGTCGTCTCGCGGGTCGGTGGCGACTGTGCATGCATCATCGGGAGGATCAGGCAGTGGATCAGGGTCATCGAGCAGACCGCAGACAAGGCTGACGAAGAGTGTGGATATTTTTGCGCTGGGATGCTTGTTCTATTACACCCTCACGAACGGCGGGCATCCGTATGGAGACCGCTTTGAGAGGGAGGTCAATATCATGAAAGACGCAAAGGACTTGACTGGGCTTGATAGGTACGGAGAGGAGGGCACGGAGGCGAAGGATCTCATCACAGCTATGTTAGATCCGGAGGCGAGCAAGAGGTATGTTTGATGTTCATTTTGTTTTCATATCGACAAGGCTAATAAAGACAGACCGGATACAACAACGTGTCTACTGCATCCCTTCTTCTGGGACCCTGCTCGCCGTCTGAACTTCCTTCAAGATGCATCGGATCGGTTCGAAATTATGTGCCGAGATCCCAAGGACCCCAACCTAATCGAACTAGAAAAGGGTGCCTTCAACGTAGTCGGCAACGATTGGCAATCAAGGCTAGACAAGATCTTCATCGAGAACTTGGGCAAATTTAGGAAATACGAGGGACGGAGCGTTCAGGACCTTCTGAGGGCATTGAGGAATAAGGTGCATCTCTACAAATTCTATGGCTAGCCTGGGTGCTGATTTTTGTTTAGAAACATCACTACCAGGATCTCCCAGATCATGTCAAAAGGCATGTCGGACCTATGCCTGAGGGTTACTTGGGCTACTTTACACGACGTTATCCTCGACTCTTCTTGCATGTTCATGCCGTCGTCAAGAACACAGGGTTGCACACAGAATCGATGTTCCGATCATACTTCGAGCTTCCCGATCCATGATCACCCTGGCTACTCCTTCCTGACCAACCTCTTTTGTAAAAGGCCTGAGTCCTCCCCTGCTACTCATCTAACCCTGCTCTGCACGCATCTTGATTCTACGTACATGTCATCGATAGGACATTACAATGCGCAACCTACTTATCAAGCTAGCCTATATTCTTATTCCCTCCATTCCAGTTATCGTGCTCTGTATATCTGTACCAAATCCTCACATTGACGACTCTCTCTTCTTTACGAGCTTTCATTTGCTTTCTTCGCTGTTCCTCTTCTGATCTATAACTTTGAGTTCAATCATTTAACTAATGATTAGTAGTGTACTGTTTTCGCCTTGCATTAGCAGGAGTGCCTTTCATTTGTAGATGAAGAGAAGTCTTGTATGATTAGCAATGCATTTTCATCCAAAAGACTAGCCTCAAGCTTACTCTCCCAATCCAATCGGCCGGCCCGGTCTTACATAAGCGTCTACATCGATTGATTGGGTCACCTTGGCGAGATCTTCGGAAAGGACTCACAGGGACTCACGCGAACAGCGTCTCAATATCTCATCAGGAAATACACCCTTAAGCACAACCACCATGACCCTAGACATCTTGAGCTTCATCGACAGCAAAGGTGGGAACGCGAAGGAGATTCGGGAGTCGCAACGGAAGAGGGGGCACTCGGTCGAGTTGGTGGATGAGATTATCCAGATGTATGCAGATTGGGTGAAGAGTGCGTCTTATCCTGGTGCGACGTAGTAGCCTGGGCCTTAATCGCGTGTTGTATATTTTTTATTCGCAGTGGATTATGACATGAACACGCTCAGAAAACAAGTGAACGATGTGCAGAAGCAGATATCGGCAAAGAAAAAGGTGAGAGACTATGAAAGTGACATAGCGTACGGCACTCTGAAGCCAGTGATCGCCCCAGGCCAAAGAACCTGCAGACGACTTGGTAGCAGCCAAGAAGGAGATCGATGCGCAGGTAGAGGCAAAGAAGAAAGAGGCGAAAGAATTTGAGGCCACGATGAGGCAGAAAGCTAGCGGGGTCGGTAACCTCGTCGGGAAGAATGTCCCCGTTAGTCTGACGGAGGTACGTACATTTGATTTCTCGCTCTACCAGGTTGCCTAACAGTGAGCCTAGGACGATAATGCTACGCTACGAACTTGGGACCCAACAGGAGAACTCGCCGATCCTCCTGTTAGAGTTGGCATCATGCCTCATCATGAGATACTCCTGCGGCTAGATGCCATGGATTTGGATCGCGGCGCGAAAGTTGCTGGCCACAGGGGTTACTACCTCACAAACGACGGTGTCGATTTAAATCAAGCTCTTATCTCGTATGGCCTCGACTTCTTGAGGAAACAAGGGTACAAGAAGATCCAGCCTCCATTCTTCATGAACAAGGAACAGATGGGAAAAACAGCGCAGCTGGAACAATTCGACGAGGAGCTTTACAAGGTGTGTCTGACTATTTTTTGTGCAAAGGTCCTACTGAAACTCTGCCAGGTGATTGCCTCAGAAGATGAAAAGTACCTGATCGCGACTTCGGAACAGCCCATCTCGTGTTTCCACTCGGATGAATGGTTCGAGAGCCCCGACAACCAACTGCCTATCAAATACGCGGGCTACTCAACTTGCTTCCGCAAGGAGGCGGGCTCGGCCGGACGCGACATGTGGGGTATCTTCCGGGTGCACCAATTCGAAAAGGTGGAGCAGTTCGTGATCACCGATCCAGAGAAGAGCTGGGAGATGTTCGACACGATGATTGGGAACAGCGAGGCATTTTATCAGAGCCTCGGTCTCCGGTATCGCGTGGTGGCGATCGTCTCAGGAGCCTTGAATTTAGCTGCTGCGCAGAAATATGATCTAGAGGCGTGGTTCCCATTCCAGCGAGCATACAAGGAGCTTGTGTCATGCTCGAATTGCACAGATTATCGTACGTGGTTGTCTGAGGAAGCTTTTCTTTTTCACGCTGACTGCGGTTGATATAGAGAGTCGGAGACTGGAGATTCGGTGTGGTTTAAAGCAGAAAGACCAGACGAGGAAGGTTTATGTGCACATGCTGAACGGTACCCTGTGCGCCACAGAGCGAGCGCTTTGCTGTCTTGTCGAGAATTACCAGACCCCTGAGGCGAGTTTATTCTTGGCCTTTGTGGTATTCTTTCTAACCGATGTGATGCAGGGGCTTGTTATTCCGGAAGTCCTAAGACCATACATGCAAGGACGAGACTTCCTGCCATTCGTCAAGGAGCTGCCCAAGGGTTTACAGAAGAAACAAGCATAGATTAGTTTTGTCTCAGTAGAGTAATTTCCCGGACCAAGAGTAAATTTTGCCACGTTAGTTGCACCGATACACAGCCACGCCAGACAGTTGTTCTTCGCCATATCTTGGCTTCTCTTCCTTGACACATTTGCGCAGGCCGGCGCCCACAATACGACGCTAGGAAGAGGGTAAAGCGTAGAACGCTGCTATGAACGGCGACCTGCCTAGTCACTCTTCTGCAATCGAAGAAAAACTCGAGCGCCAGCACAGATCTCAAGCATCACTTTCGTACTGGACAAGACCAGTCTCTTTACCAATACCTGGCGTCCGGACACGACGTTTACGCATTCTCGTACCAAATGCAGGCCCATTTAACCGTTTGCACGTCGGTCGCATGCGACGGAAACGCGGTCCTCTTCTCATAACCCTTGCTTGTTTGGCAGTCTTCTTCACCGTCGTACTCGTCACCAAGTCATTGGGGCACTCAGATTGGGGAGACCAATGGCAGCAAGGATCGTCAGTGGAACCGTCGACGCTCGTCTTCAAAAGGATGGATCTGCAGCGGATATGGAAGTGGGAAGTTGCCAGCGGCCATTACCCCAGCACTCAACCAAGTACGTATCCCATTTCTATCTCGTCTGACACGCGACCAACGCCTATGTAGTCCCTGCACAAATTAGATTGACGAAGCCCCTCATGAATCCCGCAACACCCCACCAGCCACCCTCAGTCAAACCATCGCGGTATCGCCAGCCTGGCGCTCTCGACTTCGTGACTGAAATCCGCGGTGCTGGTCCCAAACGCGTCTATCTAGACATCCAAAGCAAGCCACCTAACGTTGATTACCCACCTCGTCCAGTACCAGGCAGTGTCGCCGACTTGGACCATATAATGAAACACTGCGATTTCGGGAAAGGAAAGGTGAGTTCATGGGATCGGCGTCTTCTGTCCGCTTTGTTGTGCCAAGTGGCTGTTGTCCCTTGACGTACGCAAGTTGCTGGGACGGTGTGCTGATTTGGAATATCGATCACCCTAAAGGCGGCGGTCATATGTCTCGAATCTGAGGCTTCTGGCCAGCAACTTACATACTTTATAATCCCACGTTCCTGTGGAGAGAAGTCCTGGTCTTACGCGTCTTATATGCCGTATACTAATTTTCCGCCTAGTATGTACGCGATTGCCTGGAGATGTTGCGGCTTGGAGGTGGTTTGGATAATGGCGAACGGATACGACGCGACGACACGGTCGACTGGAGGTATATCTACGTGGAGCAAGCTGACAACGAGACGGCGACATATCAATTCGAGGATACAACCGCTGAAGAGCAAGCTCCTCTCTTTCGCAAACCCGCTGGAAGGAAGGTCGAGGACCCGAACGAAGGATTGTTGAAGAAGAAAGGCGCCGAATGGGAACCGAAAGTAGTTCTTTCCCCAACACTTCAACATCGACCAGCTCAGTCCCTTCCAGAAGCCTGTGACCCTCAAAACCCCCGCGTCTATCACATGTTTTGGACAGGGCCGTTTACTGACAAGCCGTATCTCGCCTTAATGTCTTTCCTTTATACACAAAACACCGGAATTCACCTCGACGAATGGCCACACGATTCGAAGACTTGCCGCCCACAATTCTGGTTATGGATTAACCCCGGACCTGCTGCTGCTGTCCCTAATCCCAACGCCGTGCGTGACATGTACGATCAACTCAAATCCAGTCCTTGGGCATCTCCATTCCTCCACCCACGGTTCAAAGACGTCATCCAATTCAAGCTATGGAATACCACGGAGCAACTCGATGGTATCCCGGAAATTAAGGACGAATGGAGAGCTCTCCAGGAAAGCCTGTTTAACTCTGGAGGGCACATCATCAGCGTGAAGCAGAAGGCCCCTCCTACCACGGCTTTGTCGGGGAACGCATCGGCCACCACCACTACGACCCAGAAAGCAGATGAAGATGACCTGTTAAACCGCACAGGCTCGAAGTCATCATCGTCATACGACCGTTTATCCGTCATCCTTTCGGACATGGCTCGCTTCATCCTTTGCCATCGGTTCGGTGGAATTTATCTTGACGCCGATACAATTCTTCTGCGTGATTGGGAAGAGCTTTGGGGTTGGAAGGGTGCCTTTGCCTACCGCTGGTCGCGATTGGAGAAGTACAACACGGCGGTGCTGCGAATGAACAAAGGCTCAGCGCTCGGCACGTTCCTCTTTCGTACGGCGCTGAAGAATGGCCTCGACTTCCACCCAATGTCGGTGTCAAGATATACCGCGGACGCGTACTTGGAGGGGCTACTTCTGAGGCTACCGGACGCGCTGTTTGATGCCGCTTGGTTGAACACGGAGAATTATCAACGGGACAGGCCACCACAGCCCTACTTTACTGAGTAAGCTCTTTTGGCCCAAACTATGCACCTTAGTTGCTCACAGTAAACCCCCTAGATTTGGCGATTTCTTTGATACCCCCGCGCAAAACAGCGCCGCACCTCATGCCCTTGGTTTCCGTGGTTTCTTCAGAGGATCATACTCGTACCACTTCCATAACTTCTGGTGAGTATCACCTTTTCTGGACCGAGCACCTGGTAACCCATTTGCTCAGGTGGAAGCCCTTCGACCCTGCTCGCAACTTCCCTGACCTCGGGCTTCGGTTCAAAGCTGGAGAAGACATTGCCCGTGCTGCTCTACGAGAGGAAAAGCTGAAATCTGCGTTGGCTGCCAAGTCCAAGCTGGCAACGGGCACCAATACCGTCGTTGCGGTAGTACCCACACCTTCAACATTCGAGGAGGAGCTGGCAGACCTGACGGAAAGCGACAAGGTGGATCTAGATTGGTCAATTGTGATGAAAAGGACTTTCGAAGCGTATATACGGGGCGAGAGGCCGAATATGTATGGAGAATGGATCAAATGGTGAACCTATAGACGATGTAGGTTGTTCGGAGGCCGCATAGAGGGGACGTCCGTCGGATCGGGTTGGGTTGTTGGATTGGATTATACACTTGTGGATAATGCGTTGTTATTAATTATTTTCTGATTCGCTTCTCCTACTAACTTCGCGGTTTCCTTTCACCCTGACGGTAGGAGGATGTATATATTCACTGTTTAATGGGGACCGCAGAGCTCTGCTCGCGGATGTTGTACTTGTTCAAGCTAGTGATGGCATATACAGAAAGCATGATTATTATTGTCCAAGGTGTTCAAACAAAGCGTATCGAAGTCTTTCAAGTGTCGCTGACTTCGAAGAACATACTCTTCATCCCGACTTAAAAACTGGGAATTCTGCAATGCGCAACTTCGTAGCCTGAAGCAATTCAGTCAGAGGCTCACACCGCCCACAAACGATATGCTTACCCCGAACGGCGTCAGCTTAATCGTCCTAGCTGAGCCTGTGCACGCCGGGTTGGTAGGCGGAGACGCCGCGAAAGTATCGCCCGCGATCGGCCACGAGACAGGACAGGCAGATACAGTAATCGAGAGTGGTGGTTTGCCAGAGTCGAATATGGGCGAAGGAAGTGTCGCAGCAGGAGTGTCGGGCACGAACTCAAGTGTAGCAGGGTCAATAGCGTATTGCCAGGGGGCTGTAGCGTCAAACTGAAGGTCAACGGCGAGGGGCTGTTGGGCACTTCTGGAGAGCACCGTTGCGCTGCGCGGGACTACCAGAAACAGGAACAAAATAAGCTGCAGACTATATTCAAGTAGGGAAGACACGAACTGTCAAAGGCATAGTGCAGAGGTCCACGATGAACGGCAATCGAGCCATGGGGCCGACTCTCTGTAACGGTAGAGTCAAAAAAGAATCCCAGAGATAGAGAACATACCAGTGGTGACAGGTGCAGGCAAGGTAAGAACGAATGTGGTTGTGCCTGCCTTTGCTGAGACTGCTTGGAGACCATTCACCGGTGCAACAGGTTGTGCTGCTCTTCCATCGATGGCAATCGTACCACCAATGACCCAGCTAGGGATGCGGACATAATAAGTGAACGCCTTCGTAGCTGTGACCGTCGTGGCAAGGATGTCGCTGAATGGGTATTGGGTATCAACAACAGCTTTGACTTGATTCTCTACAATACATATCAAGCTGAGGACCCGAAATTGGCTTCCGTAGAAAAAAAATCGCACCAGAGTTTAAAGTGACAGCTGTTTCGAAAGGACCGAGGTATAGGTGGACCAATGACCTTTTATCGGGAGTCGTCAAGAAGGCATTTGTAATGAACTTGGGCCATCCTTGAGGGTGGTTGACCGTGCAGCATCTGAGAAGGCTTAGCATGAAGCATGACGACACGTCAGAAGATGAATGGCTTACGGATAATTAGGCTCGAGACCGAAGACGTTGGAATAAGCCCTATAAGAGGTTAATTCCTATCTTGAGCATACTCGGCTGTCTGGCCGACATACCCGTCGTTCGGGAATGGGTTTCTGGAAAGGCCTTTGTAAAACCTCTTGTAAAATATTGCGATATCTGTTAAACTTACGGATTCATATTCTTGGCAGCGATTTGGTTCTGTTGCTGAAGATACTGCCTTGACCACATATCTTCCGGAAACAAAATGAACGAGGACCTTTGAGATGCGGAAAGGGTAGCATACCGCCCGTCAACGTCGCGGGAAGGGCGTTGTATGTGATCCTTTCGACCTGTGTGATACCTCTAGTTTGCAACGGTTGCACATCCGATTAGAGGATAGCACTTACTCGATCAGCAAACTTCGGGTCGCCCATAACCTGATATAGGTACGATCCACTAGCGACTATCAGCCCACCATCGATACAGGATACATTTTGATATCCTCACGAGAACATCGTTTCCTACGAAAGAACATGGATAAAATCGAGTCAAATATCAGAGAGCTTGAATAAACTCACCACTACCAAGCATAGTTCGGTTCTGGTATAGCATACATGGGATGAAGCTTCATGTGCCGGAGAAGGCTAACGCACCCTCGAACGGCCTCCAAGCCAGCGAGGTATTCGTCAGCTGAATAGATACCAGACGGACGGCCATGGTATTTGAAGAGCATGTCCCAGCCCTTGCTCGCGACATCCAGATCTGGCATCTCCGTTATGGTCCGCATATTACATGATCATTATTGAATCCCCTTACCAGTCTGGTTGTGAGTAAAGCGATACGTAGATGGCAAAGCTTTGAGGCCTTCAGCCATGTTGACCCCATGCCACTATCGGACAGACGTAAGGCTCCGCAAGGCCATAGATTGGTGGCGACGTGGCAGACATACCGTCAAGGGCAAGCCGAAAGGATTCTGTACTAGTTGAGCTGATGTTTCTCTAAGACAGCTAAGAGAGTCATACGGGTGTATGTTCCACTGGAAGAGTCGATAACAAAAAAGAAATTAGCCCGCTGATCGTCTGCAATTCAGCAAGAAATTACCTGCAGTGGTAGGGAAATACTAAGACAAGAGTCAGTCGGTCACGAATCGAGAAATTAAATGGGATATGCCGTACCTGTTCGCTGAATACCTTCTCCCAAGGAACGCCGGTCCACTTCAGATACTTCATGGTGTCGATGAGCAGATCCTCTTTTCCATTGGGGTGATAGTCGTATAGCCTGGGCTTATTTTGTAGAATTGACCTTTAAAGCGCATATACTAGACGTACCACTGAAGGACCATGACGAAATCCTCCCAACGAGTCTGAGCCCATGCATCAACACCTTGGCCGGCATGCAACATTGAGTTGGCGACCACAACGAACTTGTGCAACGCCGTCACGACTTGGTCGGTCAGAGAGGGGTCGTATTCAAGCATTTGTATGGCGCCGAACATGAATGGGTACCTTCCAATGTTGAAATCAGATTTGCAGTATTTGCTTGAAAGACCAGTACGAACCTGCCCCAGAGGTAGCGAGGCTTGGTGGTGTTAACCTCTGGGCCGAGCCACCCCGTCGAATCTTGATGAGAGAGAACGTAGGACAGGAATTCGGAAGCTCTCGCATTGATAGCCGTGTGGTTGACCAGAATGCCGTTCGGGACCATGGCGTTCTGCGGCCAATCAGAGGTGTGCCTGTGAGGATACGCTACGACGTACAAACCAGTAACTTCCAGCTACAAGAGATGTAGTATTAGCCAGATCTCGACGAACTTGAGACTTGACAAACCCTCCTCCAAATTGGAGTAGTATGAGTTCCCGCCCATCCAATCCGTTTGAGATACACTATATTTCATGGATTACAACAGTCATTTACCGGGCGGAAGCGTGAAGGCTCACTAAGCGTAAAACTCGTGTTGGTGACCAGCTAGGCCATTGGTCTGAACTTTCAGCTAGATGAGAGGTGTCAGAATACCTTGGTCGCCATAAGAGCAAAGTTAGGGGCACTTGGTCCATTAACCATCCGGATGGTTTGATTTTTCCGAGTGGAATGGTCAAATATTTCAAGGGTGCAACTAACATAGCCCGATACGGCCTCAATGTAGGTCTCAGAAATACAGAGAAAATTATGCACGTACGTCCATTCTGTGCCTCTGCCTGCAACAGCAAAGGGCAGAGAGCCGTGAGGAGCAGCAAAAGTGGCTTCATGGTGCTTCAAGGGAGACGAAAGCACAGCGGAAGGTCCTATTTATACCTGAGGACGATCGTCACCGGTCCGCGAGAAGTTGAGATAGAACCCGGCGATGGTCTATTCTTGTTTAGCGTGTATTATGGCACAAGGAACCGGAGGAGATAGAACTTGATTTTGAAGTGCAGAAGTTGTGCAGCGTATGTGCAGACCCACAGCTGATACTGCATCACAATCAAGGGTGCAATACCCCGTGCAGGAGGTCCCTTGAGAACCATTCGGAGAGGAGACAGAAATTTGGTATGGGAAAGAGAGAAGAATGAGCTAAGAAATGGGGATCCGCACCTGCACCTTCTGACCGACCCACTCGTGCTATATGACCTCCAAACGCGTTTTCAAACCCAAAGAAGCGGTAATCATATTGAATAGTGTTTTTCCGTCGAAGGTGAACTGAATTCAGAGGACAGAAGAATCTAGAACGCTGGGCGTTGCAGGAGGTTGACACTGGCCAAACTTCAAGTTCCTATCTCAAGTCGACTCTTGCTAGCTGGACGGTTTGAACAGAGCCCGACAGAGAATACGGAGGCACTTGTATCTTTGGTAGTCCACTGTGAGGAGAGGAGGGACGTAGACCTTTATATTGGTTGAAGAAGTCAGGAAGAACAGATTCTGTCAGGTGGATGTAGAAGGCGGGCCGGAAGAAGCCGAAAGCTCCGCCGCCACCATTCGGATTCCGACTTGTAGACACAACTTTAGGGCCTTCGTCACACTCTCTTGCTCGAAGATTAACCTCTTTCTCTTGCTACTGAGTTTTGCTCTTATTTCCATTTATCTAGGAGCATTCTGCGGACGTATTTCGCCTAGCCACAGCTGATGTTGTTTCCACCGAGATCTCGAGTGTCAGGGAAGTCTATCTCGGGAATCGACTTCATGCTCGGACAGGGATTCGATTCCGAGTACAATGACACCGTCCACCCAGCAAGACATTTTTGTTCTAGCTATTCTTGTCTTAGGAATGGAATTTCTCGGGCGTGAGCCTGAAGGGTATGAAACTGCTGCCTTGTGCGACAAAAAGCTTATTGTCTTCTTTGTCCAAGCCGCCAGCTTATGTCGGTCACCCACCTTCCTCTATTATTGTCGTGTGCGCATATATGCATCCATTTCGGTCCTTTAAGCCTTGTTTACTCGCCTCTGTGAGCCGAGGGGGCTCGTAAATCACCTATATGATTCGCACAATTAGAGGATTGGCAATATAACCTCCACCTGTTGTTCTCTTTCAAATTTCGACCTCCTACGTCGTGTTTTGCGCCCAGCTGGTCTCTGTCGCCGATTTGAACATCGCTAGGCCTTGGTACCCGTCGAAATCTGTTTTTTTTCGGCGCTGTAGCATGCCCGTCCAAACTATCTCTCTCACCGAGCCATCTTTAACCTCCTCCGGGCATAACAACGTCGTTCTACCATCAAGGACTTTTCACATCCCCCGCATCAAGATCTCGCTGGTACGTTGACGTTGATGGGCTCCCACCGCTGCGCCTTCGTGTGGCGATAAATCTGCTTTATTTTGATTCCTGATTTGCTTTATTGCAGACCACTCTCCTTCGGCATGGATACTTGTCGCCATCAGGCCCACAAATCGCCGAATTAAAACATCACAACTCTCTACGTCTAGCCTACACACTGCCTGAAGAAGTGATGCGGAAGAAAATGCTCGCATGTGCCCAGCTCGGAGTCGGCGAGAGCGATGAGTGGAGTTGGGCCAATGTTACGTACGTTTGTTCGGCATGGCGGAAGGTGGCCATCGAATACCTGGATCTGTGGAGATATATCGACTTTTCGCACCCGAAACGGCACGCCATCACCACTGGAAGGGCAAAAATGTCGGCCTTACATATCAAGACTACCGTTTCGGACACAAACATTCGCCTTCTGCATCGAACGCTACAGCTGGCGCACAGAATCCAAGACATCCATCTCACATCGCCTATCCAGAAGATCTACCCACTTCTCGAAATCCTAGCACACCCGAATCCCGCCCTGGAATCCTTGATTCTCCGCATTCATATACCCAAGACCCAGGGCATCATCAACGCTTACGACCCGCTATGCTTCCCAACCAGCGGCCCTCCGTTAACGAACCTCAACTACATGGAGCTTCGTGCTGCACCGTTTTATCTTCTAACTTTACGATCCACCTTTCTTACGCACTTTCATCTTCACGACCTGCCCTTCATGGAACGACCGACTTTACGATATTTTCTATTCATGCTCGAGCATCTGACGCGCCTCGAGTATCTTACCCTTGATCGCTCTTTCCCCATCAATACGGAATTTGATGATGTCCAGCTCTTGGAACGGCGCATCTCCTTCCCGCAGTTGAAGAACATGTCTCTTGTTGGGTCGATCCGAATATGTTGGAGTGCATCATGATACTTCTGTCCGCTCATCTCTTCGTGAGGATATGCGCTCTTTCGGGTCTGAAGGCCAGCATCTGGAAGCTCACCGAGGCCCTCAACTCGCAATCCTCCGCCAGCGCTTCCGTCCTCCCCCTCGAGACGCTGGTGCTAACCGGCCACGAAGTGTCTCCGCGCTTCACCGATCAGGGTTCAGAGCCGAGTGTGGGGGAAGTGGTGCTGCGATTGATCTTACGATCGCCCCCGATGAACAGGAGCACAATCATAATGACGACGCGCTGATTACCGCGCTCACCGCCATCTTGAGGGCCCTCGCCCTGTCTCAGATCCATACGCTCGCTCTCCAGGACGTGGACATCGTCACACACAGGTCCTGGTCGCAATTCCTCCGGACACTTCCTGCACTCCGTGTTCTTGATGTAACAGGTCGAGCACCGTCCGGGCTTGTGTAGGCACTCCTGTTGAACACGCGGTCTCGCGACCAGCACCTTCTCGTCTCGAGGCTGCAGGACGTCTATCTGCACAAGGTAGATTGCTCGAGTGGAGGGTTCATGGTTGCACCGACTGCACCTGTGCACTCCCACTTCGACCTCGACGATTCGCGATTCCTGGACGTCCTTACCGCCAGTTTGCGTGACCGGCGCCGTTTCCGCTTGGGGTTACGTAGCTTGTCGATCGCACGCTGCGAATTCGTCCTGCAGAAGTCACTCGAGGATTCCCGAATGGCGATTGCGTACCTCGTTTGCGACCTTAGGAACATCCTGAAGGATGAATTGGTCGATGAAGCAAACCCATCACGGTACTGGGGAAGCTGGACTTTAAATCATCCACAAGCTCGACATTACTACCGCCTTCGAACGCTCGTACAGCTTGATTCCTAAATTTGGCATCTTATTATGCTACGAGAATTTCGTTTCCTGATGTACTTTAGCTGCATGTTTGCAGTGTACTTATTTGACGAACTTATTCTGATAATGCTGTTGGGCGCCAATGGTTGCCTTTCGCCACAGCCACCAAATATTCTCCTATTTTTAGATCTGAGATCATGCTTACGACTATTAGGAAGAGTGGGCAATGGCTTTCGATGTCCGAAAGAAGAAAACATGAAACGAATAGCCTTTCCGAGGGTTCTCAAGAAACGGTGTACTCGGCGAGGTTTCATCCTATTCTTCTATTCCTTCACCTCCTGGTAACTATTGTCGGCCAACTCACATCCGTTGCGCCCACCGAGCGTCCTATTTTTCGCTGAGGACTGCCTCGGGCAACGTAAATACCAGAGTGCAACTTGAAGATGACCCTGACCAAGGCGTTCAACTCGTTGAGGGGAGCGGGGTGTTCAGGATCAAGTGATACGGTGCGGAGTGCCCGACTGCGAATCCCAACCAGTGTCACAAGATGAGGAGCCCGATGTCTGACTTTTGTCAGGAAATTGAATCATTGACGACAGATAGCGTCCTAAAAACATTTTTTCACGTTTATTAAAAGGCAAGACGGAGGGACTTAGCATCGATAGTTTGGGCCATCGAACCCGGTTCAAGGGTCTGATTCTGGTCATCTGGACGCTTCATGCTTCATCGTCCCTCACCAAGTAAATAAATTGTAACTGATCTGCAGTGTGCGCCTTTGGACGAGGTACTAAGATTCAGGAGAAACTCCGGGGTTTATTAGATTTATCCTCTTATTTTTTCTTTAATACATAGTTTCAAGTTTAAATGGCTCTGTTCCGTTGAGCATGGGCTTAGCGTCCATAAGGCTCGATATCATCATTCGACTCGCATCAGAGGAGCGAATGCAGCATGTTTGGATCAGCCGCCATTTGTTGCAGCAGTCGATTGGGTCAGAGTCGGACAGACGGACAGGCGCCTCGACAGATGCCTTCTCTTGAAGGTGGCAATGGGTAGTTCGTTTGGATAGGATCAAAACAGAGAAGCATTCGACATCGCGGTCAAGGACACTTCATAGAAAATACAGATTACCCTTGGAGGAGGCTTTCTCGTATCTGCTATTGAATAAATGCACCACTCCAATGGTTCAAGCTAACCTTGAGCTTAAATGCAACGCGGTCCGGTGACCTATTAATATATCTGCACTGGAAACCTAGCACATCAGTCCCAAAACCTTGGAGCCGTGCCCCGAAGGGAATTAACATGACAGCTACCTGTCTTGGGTGAGAGAGGGCAGTTTTATGGCGTCGTGACAACATACTTTGTGCTGGATCATGATCATTGATATGTCGAGTTCAAACTACATTCTCTAGAAATACACCTCGTGGATGTTGGTGGTTGTAGCGGCTCACAAACGCGATGCATCCGTGTTGCATACCTCAGGGCCATGGCCCATGGTATGTGGTGCGGAACGGAAATGATGGCCAAGCCTGCGGCGCAAACGGCTCCCATTGAGGCAAGCATACACAAACTTCCGGGTTTAGCCGAGTATGCTCTGACCAGTGACCCCGAACTCGAAATTCCTCCTTGATGCCAGAAATCCCAGTAGGCGCGCAGATTTTCGACGTCGTCTTTCACCCCACAGTCTCGACGGTCTATGCTGGCCTCCTCACAGGCCACGTCAAAGCTTTTGCCTACGATGAACAAGGCAACCACAAGGCTCTTTTTTCCGTTCGGCCATCCAAGTCCTCATGCCGAGGCTTGTCGTTAGATGAAGATGGGAAGCACTTGTACGCGGTTGGGAAAGCGAAGGCGCTGTAGTATGTCATTCTGCGTCAGTTCTCACTGTCGAGGACTAACTGACATATGTCGACGTCCTTACAGCACAGTTGATACGGCTACTGAGGCTGTTGACGCTCGGGCTGGAGCACATGAGTCCGTCGATATCCCTACACTCCGGGCCTACATCTGACATGTAATGCATAAGCTCGACTATAAATCGCGTAAAATATTTGATGCCATGGCTGCTAGCAACAGGAGACGATGACGGTGTCGTAAAAGTGCGTTAGGTGCTGTTAGTTCCTTGACGAACACTGATGATTAGATATCGCGCCTTATCTAGCTCTGGGACACGCGTCAACGAGACGCTACGCGGACGTACACGCAACACTTCGATTATATTACGGATTTTCTCTGGTTAGACAACAAAAAGCAGGTCGTGGCTACGAGGTACGCCGCAATTCCGTTCAATGGGACGTTTGGCGACGGAGGAACCTTCTCCGGATTTACAGCGGCGATGGCACGTTGTCTGTCATGGATGTACGATCTCAAAAGCCAGAGCCTGTTGCTCAATCCGAGGATCAAGAAGATGAGCTTCTCTCAATCGTCTCCATTAAAGGGTTCGTTTGTTTTTCCATGGATTCTAGCTCTAGGTTCATGCGTCATATGGATACATGAGAAACCTTCGCACAGCGGAGGTAACATGTAACGCTTCACTAGAATCGGCGCTGTCCCGTGGATCCCGATCGCGCGGGAATTGATTCCGCAGCATCCATGTTCACAGATACTCTGCTAAATTTTGCCAACTTTCGACTCAGTGCTCATTTATGAATACCACACAGCGCTTCAAAAATAGTAGTGGGAACACAACTTGGGATCCTCTCCATTTTCAATCGCTCTAGCGGCTGGGGAGACTGCGTTGATCGTATACCTGGGTGCGTATCATTCAGAATGAGCTTCGAAGAGTCTATGTTTATAGAACTTCAGACACCCCCTATCAGTCGACGCGCTATGTTCTTTGCCCTCTGAACTGCCAAATGTCGACACCTCGAGTACCATTCTGACTGGGTCGTCCGACGGGATGGTTCGCGCTGTTCAAATTTTACCCACTAAACTCCTAGGTGTCGTGGTCGACCATGGTGAATGGCCTATCGAGCGAATCTCAATAGGAGGAGGGTGTGGCCAATTGACCATCGAATCAAAAGACAAGGATCCAAACACTGTCACGTCCGCCGGTAATGACGGCAATGACAAGGAGTCTCTGCAAAGGAGGTGGTGGGTTAGCAGTGTGGGTCATGATGAAGTCTTGCGACTGACAGACCTTGAGGGATTTTTTCGGGACAATGAGAACGACGAAAATACTCGCGGGGCCCTGGGTGTGGATGTGCGTGGCGAGGACAGTGACGTCGAGGAAGGCGCTGATCCCGGAGGCGGTGGGGAGGTCTCTCAGGAAGTGCGGGGATCTGGGGACCGTGGCCCTCCCTCGGCCGACAGAGAAAAGGAGGGAGAAGATTCGGGAGAAGAGTCCGAGGAGCCACCCCAACCCAAAAAACGGAAGCGGCAATCCGAGAGGGAACCTCCTGCGATACCCACCAAAAAGAAAAAGGCAAAGAAAGTCGTCGTTGTTGAGCGTTCCTTTTTCGATGGCCTGTAACTCGAGCGACTTTTTTTGCTTAGGAAACTCGTGTGTGTCTGTTCACGGAAAGCCGTCCTATGTGCCCGTAAGACTCATCATAATTACAGATACGCCCAGCATGTACTCTATGACGCCAATTCCTCTTCTTGCTGCCGAGAGTGGGGCCCTTCCCGTCCCATTGATCCCCGACTTTCATTTTCTCTTTTCGACCCCTCGGCCCTAACATCTACTGCTGGATCTTGCACTCTGTGGGCGACAGTACCGCCAATTCGAGTGGGCAATGCGACATGTTCGGATTTCTCCCGACTGCGATGGCTGACCAGGTGAACGGCAACTTGAAAATAAAACGCAACCCCAAAAGGGTTTTTGCGAGTTGGCGTTGCCGTCTTGCACAATCCTCTTACTGATCAGGTGCGTGTTTTATCAATTATATTCCTGTGATCTATACCTTAATCATGGCCGGCTTATCATAGCGCCACAGGATTCCAATGCTGATGCTTTGTTCGCTCTCCAGCTCGGGTTAATTGCCACGGGTGTCTGCGTCTCAGAAGAGGTTTCAAGGAATCCAACAGTGATGAGTGCGAGTGCGCATGAGTGTCTAGTCCATAGCGGAGAGTAATTCCGCTTTTTTTGACCAAGACCAGTGGTAGTACTGTGTGAGAAGTGGCTATCAAGCCTGCGGAAGTGAGTTCTCCTGTGTGATGGATTGATTCATGATTCGGTCGACCGTGCTAACGCAGTCAATTACTTGCTGGTGTCGTACATCTTTTAATTTTTCCTTAAACTTCAAGGCATGGAGCTTCGCAGGGACTTTCCAATCTACTTGGAACCCTTCCCCCATGATGTTCTGCAGGGACGCTGCTATCTGGACACCAGCAAACACCATATCACATCTACTGAATGAACGCTGTTCTAATACAACTTCGATGCCTACAAGGACCAGACGTCGGTCAATTTTGCAAGGATTACAACGAATACACATGTACCCAGCAATCAGACAGCTCTTCATGAGCCTATCGTGCGCGTCATCATAGATGATTTCATCCCGATCTGAGTGGAAAGGGTCAGAATCGGACATTGCGTACTTGTTGAAGTTTTGATGTTCATCAGCTGTTGACGCTCACGATGCTTTTACAAAGTTCTTACGTGCTGCTAATTCCTCACACACCAAGTGTAGGCATCGGATATTGGTATATTTTCTCCGTATTTCGCTCTCCCTGCTGTTTCCAGCTTTGTGGCGCGAGCCCCAATTTGGGATGGCTTCGAAATCTACGCGGTGTCCACGTGACGCCCCTCATCAGAATGGGCGGATCATGGACTCCTTCGACAACGGCACCATGCTTTCTGTCTAGACGGTCCTCTTACCTTTCTTTTAACGTGTCTTCAAGGTCGAAACGTCGAGGAATGTACTCCAGAAAACTCCTGAGGCTCACTTTGACCGTTGGAAGACGCTTCACAACGCGAGGATTGTCGAGTCGAGCATCGGACATCCTGTCTTCGCTCGGGATTCCCACCAATGGCGAGTTATCTGGGGTCTACGATGGACAGTGGAAGGGCTCTGGCGACCTGATGTCGTCCGTTTGCCCTACAACAGGAGAAGTACTCGCCCGGGTGAAGACTGCTACTCCTGGTGAAGTTCGTGATGCGCTGGACCGAACCCGTGAGGCCTACACTCACTTTAGAAGTGAGTTCCCGAATTGTGCGCCTGCTACATCTATGATAGCGGTTATTTTCTGTCACAGACGTCCCTGCTCCTCGCCGAGGCGAGCTCCTGAGACAGATTAGAGAAGCCCTATCGGCCCAGGTATGGAAGTTCTTCTAACTTTTTTTCTGGCAGATCAACTAAAATCTGTCAAAAGCGTGAAAACCTCGGCGCCCTTGTGTCCCTAGAGATGGGGAAAATTAAAACTGAGGGTGTTGGAGAGGTGCAAGAGTTCGTAGATATTGTGAGTTTCCATGGATAAGTACAGGACTCAGTCTGACATCGAGGGCTATCGCAACAGTGCGATTACGCTGTCGGTCTCTCTAGAATGATGAATGGCCGCGTCGTGGCATCAGAGCGCCCCGGTCACACCATCCTAGAAGGTGAGAGTTATGATTGACAAGTAACAAACGTGTCAGACTCACATCTCGATGTAGTCCCCAATCCGTTGGGAGTCGTTGGCGTGCTCTCTGCCTTCAATTTCCCTGTGGCAGTCTACGGATGGTGAATGTGTTTTTCTATTCTTTTAACAGTTTGTGTCTAACTCGATCTAGGAATTTTGCTTTAGCTATGGCTGCGGGAAATGCCACGATCTGGAAGCCTTCTCCCACAACACCGTTATGCTCTATTGCTGTTACCAAAATCATCGCAGATGTGCTAGAGAAGAACGGAATACCAGGTGCTGTGGCTAGTCTCGTTACGGGGGGCAAGGAAGCTGGAAAGGTCGTCGTTGGGAGCCACGATGTGGAGCTCGGTAATTATGCGTTTTTTTTGTTACGTGAAGGAAAAGATGAATAATTCCAATAGTGTCTTTCACTGGCAGCGAACACGTCGGGCGTGATATTGGGGAAAAAGTCGCATCAAGATTCGGGAAAGTGATCTTGGAACTAGGCGGGAATAATGGTGCTTTTTGCCCTTTTCGCTCTCTGGAATTGCGAAGTAATTGATACCTCGTTCTCCAGCTTCCATCATAATGCCTGATGCTGATCTGTCTCTTGCCGTTCCTGCTGTTTTCTTTGGTGCCGCGGGCACGGCAGGCCAGCGCTGCACTTCGACCCGAAGGCTGTATCTCCAGAGACAAATCGCCTCGGAGTTCTTAGAACGTTTGCAGCAGCTTTACAGTTCACTTTCTCCTGGTGACCCTCTTGTTGATGGGACGCTACTCGGGCCGCTCCATTCGCGCTCAGCCTGCGAGACATATGCCAAAGCGGTGCAACATCTTCGCGCATCGGGAGCTGAGATTCTTACCGGTGGTAACAAGTACAAGGAAGGGCCTCTGAGTGCAGGCAACTTTGTGGAACCTACAGTTGCCATCCCGAGATTAGCAGCACCAGATACTGACGAACTCATCTGGAAGACAGAGACCTTTGCCCCAATCCTCAATGTTGCTGTCTTCGATGATTTAGAGCAAGCTATTAGCTGGAATAATGGCGTTCCTCAGGTACCTTGTTACTCTTTGTCCAGCTGTTTAAATGCTCATTATTCCTATCAACTCAGGGCTTGTCGAGCAGCCTTTGGACACGCGACCTGAGAAACCTTGGCAAGTGGATAGGGCCTAGCGGCTCGGACACAGGCATTGTCAATGTAAGCCCACGGCCTCGATTGCTCTTGGCCTCTGCTCAAATGTTCCCGATTCCACGTTTATAGGTCAACGTTGGCACCAGCGGGGCAGAGATCGGGGCTGCTTTCGGTGGAAATAAGGTGAGCACTGCCAGCCGTTGCGAAGTCTAAATCTGTTTTGCTCATTTCCAAACCTACAGAGTACGGGATGGTGTGTCGAATTCGTTCACCTGTTGGTTCAAATTCGTTGTTTATCATCTCACTTAGGGGACGAGAGTCCGGAGGCGACTCATGGAAGCAGTATGTAAGATGGAGCGCCTGCACCAGCGAGTCTTTTCTCTTCGTGTTCACAGCGTTGCATGATTCTAAGCGACGTCTTCTAGTCAATTTCTCGGACGAAGCACCGCTGGCGCAAGGCGTCAGCTTCTCTGCCTGAATCGAGAATGATGATTCACGGCTGCCTCACCCAGAATCTCAGATTGAGGAATCCGTCGGAATCTGTGAAATGGTTACATTTAGCATCTACTTCCTCATGTACAAGTGTATATATAGAATCTCATTGGCATTACATGCGCTCGGGCTGGTCGCAGCTGAACGCTTGATCCGAATCTGGACAACAATCGCCAGGTAGTCTATTCATAACCTACCCCGTTTTCTGCGAAGGAGCAGTTATGAAATCCCAAATGTCGGGATTCCGGGGTTTGGCGTGATGCAGACGAAGCGAACGCGCTGTGTGAAAGATAAATTCCGTCTTTTTTCTTTCCGGGGATGGCTTTTGATATCTTGGGTGTTACAGACGTTACTAAGGTCCGTTTCAGGCCATCGTGTTCAAAATGTCGGACGACCGAGATCTGATGGCGACCAAGCGCCAGAAAGAGTCCGCGAAACGAAGGCCCACAGTTAAAATGCCGATGGACTGGAGAACCTGGTGGGTCCATTTAATGACCGTACTGATTTCTATTCTCCTTCTTTGACCGTGCCGCCATCTATTTTCCATTCCACCCTCCCCATCCACCACGACATGTCGACTCCTGATGACTTACCATGGCCAGAACTTGGCAACGTTTCTCGCGGCGCGACTCGAGGCAATCAGGGCCAGAAGGGCGTTCTTGGGCCCCCCGATCGAGAAGGGAGATGTGTTTTGCAATTGCGGGTGCAACCTGGCGTCCTTGCCGTGAAACTTAATCGACAGGCAAGCGATTGGTACCGCACCCTCGACAACGAAGTCAACCGTGCGCTCAAGATGACGAAAACTTACTGGAGGAAGGCGCGACGACGGCAGGACTATGATGCACGAGCTGATCAGGATCATATGGAGTTGCATGAATGGCTCCAACAGTTGAAGGACAAAACCATGTCGCATCTCGAGCTCCTTATGCAGAAAGGCGACATCCAAGGGCCCCCCTACACTATGGCAGACGATATCGAGCTTACGTTTCTCCGGAAATTCATCGAGCGACAGGCTGCTGGGATTCCGCACAATCCCCGTCTACGCAACTCCGTCGGAGGGGAAGCTCCATACGTCCCCAGAGAACACTCCGTAGAGGAATTTACGCCCGAACCGTCAGACCAATCCTTCCTTGACCACAGACCCCCAAACGGTACGCGTCACATAGCATCTTCATTGCCTTGGAGTCACTCACACACCTTTGAACCAGAACGCATGCCTGATGATGCCAGCGCTCATATGACGCACTCTAGGACCTCCGGATCTCCGCTATTGCGCACTCCTGAAGGGCTTGCTTCAGAGGCAAGCTCGTCCAGTAAGGTTATGCTCCAGAATCGATGATGTTTCGTCTCAATCAGGGTTTCTTAGAGCAAGCACTTCAAGCCGCCCGAGCATCCCTTCTGCGGGCGCAGAAGGAGACACAAGATGCCTTTATGCGTTACACTTCTTGCCTTGATATCGAACGCCAGGCCCGTCAGGCGGTGGCCAGCGCCGAAAAGCGTCGGGATGACATAAGTGTGTCGATACACCCTAGACCTCGCTTCATCGATTAACTATTTATATTCATTTCAGTGGCCATCCTATTAGCACAAAACCAGATACCCATGGGTAGGTTACTTGGCCGCGTACCACACGCAATCACTTACAATATTCCCAGACGCGAGGTCCAGAAAATCATCATTATCAGGCGATGGCCGCAGTCCACCGCGGTATCCCATGGAAGTAAGTTGGCTGCTAATTCCTCATGATGAGCGATATTCACAGCGTTGGGAATAGGAGGTCCGAAACCCTGTGGACCCGTTCATGAACGCCCGAGTGCAGCAAAAGCCTATGGAATGGCCTACGGACGGGCAAGCCCTCTATAACAGTGAGCCTATACCTCACATGGAGGTGAGTAAGAGCGTGCACATGAAACGAATCGAACACTGAAGGCGACGGTAGGACCAGAGTGTGCGGTCGAGGAAGCACTCACGGACATGGGAACACACCCCTCAGATGCATGGTTAGTTCCACGCAGGATGAGGTATTCAACATCTGACCCCTGTTTGTAGAGAATGGCTATCCTTGCGAGGTACCTGTCGGTGCTCCAGAATACATGGACTATCGTAGTGACCGCCACTATGCCTCCCAGGACATCCCAGGACTCCCTCCGCGGAAGAGGATGCACCATGCGATGATCCCCGGCTTCGACGTAATGAATGGTACACCGCTACCGCCCCAGAACATGACCCTCCAATCATGACGCCCCGCCTTTGCACTCGTACATTTCCTTTCATGATACCACACGCTCTCGGCGCATATATCTACGATCTTTTCTCTTTCTAGATGCTATCCACTTTGCTCATCGTCCTGTACTATACGCATGGAACACCTAATTTATTGTATAAACTGGAACAACGGCACGTTCTCCATTGTACTTAGTAGCACGTTGTAAGTAGCATTTGTTCAATGCCATGATTTCAGCGACCTCTCGGGGTAACTCCATGGTGAATTTGCTGTGCAATGTACCCCATGCATTCTTCAAGGTGATCGGTTACGCTCCCTATCTGGATCTGGCTTGCGATTAGGAGCCGTTGTTCAGAAGTTGCATCAATCTCTCGGGACGTGTTGATATAAAAACGTACCAAGCCATCAATTGCTATTTCAACATCATTCCATCGTTTCAGTGGCGACACCATAATCGGGCGCTCAGATGCGCTGTTGATAAGTCCAAAGTGGGCAGAGGTCGTCTCCAGAAACTAGGACATGGAACTAAATATGGGGAAAAGAGCGGGGACAGCCACCTGAAAGAAGTCGTGATCGGACCCCATAATAGAAGCCTATTTGCCTTTCATTCTCCTGAAAGGATGCGGCAATTCGTATTTGGTCGACTACCGAGTTCTTCCGCCACCCAATCTCAACGGGAAAGGCATTTATCATATCGCAAGGCCCGTGTCGCCTTTCTCGACTCAATCGAGAAGTCCTCCTGCCCACAGTCGACGGCCCACACCGTACCATCAAGGGAGATATATTTGGGCCACACCTGAGGTCCAGCTGGTCGGCAACTGTCTTCCTCCTTGAAAACAATTGAACGATGCCGATAGCACAGAGATAATCATACTTCTCGAGGACCTGATGGTGATGGCTCCTAGGACAAGGATTGAAGGGTCAGATGCTTCACACGGCGCGTTTTCATAGAGAATCATTGTTCGTCTTCTTCAGTTGTGAAGTAGATCCTTTCAGATAAATAAAAGGCGTATTTGGGCACTTACTGAAATCACGGAGGTAAGCAGAGCTCCGTCGTTTGCCTCAATCTGAAGATTTCGCAACGCAACTACGGCGCATAGGTTGCCGGAGGATCTGTGGTTCGTCTAGCCGTTCTGGCGAGGTCGCAAGCTTCAGGCAGGTGGTCTGCTAGTACTGGCGCGTTGTAGAGACCAACGACGCGTATGTGACTGGAAATGAGACATGGTTTGCAATTCCAACCTCGCGGGCACCACTGGGTTGTGGGGAACGGTGGGAACCTTGCCAGCACGGCACCTCGGCAGGCTATTTGCGAAAATTCATAGTGATGGGCATCAGGCAGGATTATGTCAAACTGAGGTCGTAGCTCACGTCAAACTGTAACAGGAGCTTCGTCTACTATCTAATCTCAGGCGAATGAACGCCATTCGGGCACATTTTCCACATTTTTATTTATCGACATGTCTGAAATTTATCAAGAGAACGACGCGTTCATGATTCGAAGATAGCCCTCTGCGCCACACGCCAAATCGGGAGAGGTTCGGGTACATTTCGGGTTCCTGATCTAATTTGGGTTTTTTAAGTCGCATAACTGCATGTCATTGGTTCTGAGCGTTTTATTGATTTACTAAAACCATTTTAATGTTATTTCGTGAATAATCCTTCTGAAGGATGTATATTGCACAGAAACGGAGTTTTAAATTTAAGGAAGCCAAGCAAGGACACACAGGGTTCCACAAACCCGATCGGGATCTGTCAATCACCTTCCCCATCATTTCTCGTCCGACCGTTGCGTCAGCGTAATCAGCCGAAAACGCGATGAGAGAAAGAGTGGGGGACCCAATTTTCTCTGTAGACAGAGTCTATAGCCTGCCAATGACAGCAGCTCTGGATCGTGAGATGACCAACGCGGTGACGAAGGGTTTCACCCTAAATTTAGACGTTTGACGGACCGCTCGCACCGTGACTGACAGTTTGTGGTCCAGAGCACTATTCAATATTCCGTGAGCGTTATATGTTGATAATTCCGTTCGAATTCTCGTTATATGGGTCTGCTGACGTTTCTCGGATTTCAGAGTGGATAGCCCCCTTTTTCTCATGACGCGGATAGACTTGCTCGTGGCGCAACGGGTCCGAACTCAACGTTTGTTGATGCTAAGCTCTCCTACACTGGCCAACGTTTGGTAGGAGATATATGTGGGGTGTTAGCCACCTGACGGCCCAAAGTAGTAGCCGGCTGTGGGTGTTCATCTCGGAGGGCCCACCTAGCCTGTAAATTCCTTGAATCTCAACTAGGCGCCCAGAAATCCAATCCTTCCATACTACTTCTACGTATGAGGCCGACTCGGGTACGTAATTCCCGCCGTACTAGTCCCTCTAAGATCCATTGATATCATTGTTGACACTTTCTTACACTCCGGTCTCCGAGGATGAGCGATGCTAGCGCGCAGCCCAACGTCTCCGTTCTAAATGAAGAACAAACCACACGGTACTCCCAACTGACATGTGAACTGCTCCTAGTTATTTGAAGCAGAGAACCCGTCGTTTATTTCTACTAGAGGAAGCGAAAAGATTTGAGTCGCGGAGCTGGCATACAAAGCAAAGAAGAAGCCCACCGTCTTATTCGTAGCGAGGTGCATTTTGAGGCTATTTCAAGATCTCGGGCTGAGCTGAATCCGTAGAGAGGTCTTTTCTTTAGACCGATCCTCGGAGCTGCATCATACGGCGGAAGTGACTCTATTGCTCATTGTCCTCTGGAACTGTGCATGGCACTCTCAAGTTCAGCTCAAGTGTATAATCTCCGTGGTGCAGAATTATCGAAGGAACGCTGGCTAATTGTGTGAATTACGAACAGCGAGAGGTATTTCCGATGAATATAATGGTCAAATATCATGCTTTTTCATTGCTCCATGGCCCAGCTGGTTAAGGCGTCCGACTGTTATGGCACTTATGCAACCATCGGGAGATCGAGAGTTCGATCCTCTCTGGGGCAGTTTGTTTTTATTTGACAAGAATCCGATGGAAAAACGTGACAAACAAAGGGCAAAAGAAAGAAATTGGTTATAATTATGGTAGCTTGCTAGATTGTTGAAAGAACTTAGAGGGTTTTCCTGCATTTTTAGAGCTAAGGACTCGCCTCTTCGGTATTGGTCTGAATCCATAGATGGTTTCCCAAGGGCCTCTCGGGAGAATAGGCGCTCGGAACCATTGCACAATGTAGACGCTTGACCACAAGGACTCGAGCCAACCCCAGATGCCGCGGCTGGGTGCTCTGAGAGCCTCGTCGTCATTGAGAGTGGAATATGGTGCTTTGTGAGGCATGTACGTTCGTGGTTGACTCGCTGTGGAAAATGTTACTTTATAGGACGCAGATGAGACTGCTGACCTCGATGACGTAAGGATGGCTGTATCGGTCTCGGATGCTCGAGTCGGGTCTCGACCACATCCGTTCTCTTCCGCCTCCTTTGTAGAATAATCCACAGCGTTCATGAACCATTGAGCGCTTCTGGGCTACATGCAATCAAACATCCAGAACAGACGATGCTAAAAATTACAAGATGATTGACTATTCAACAGATGATGCGTGGTGAATACCATTCGGCGATAAAAACAATACATAGCTCGATATGCAATGTGAGGAACAACGATGAGAGGAAAAGGAGAGCAGGGTATACCGCTGGAAAAAATATAAAGATGTCGTGAATTATAAAGAATCTAGTTCAAAAATCCGCGGCACTTGGCAGAGCCGCACAAACATGGGATCTTGTCCTGCTCGAAAGGGAAGTGATAGTCTGCGTGCGTCATCGGTCAAGGAACAGCCACAAAGGTTAGCTTTTAGAGACGCACCGTAAGTGATTTCATCGCCCAACTCGATCTCCTGTTTAGCGTAGATGACGATCTTCTTCTCCCCGCTGATCGTGATGATTTTCGCTGTGCAGTTAGGGTCACAGGAGTGATTGATAAGGCGCCTAACGGAAAGTGCGTAAGCATATGTAAACATAGAGGAACGAATATAAGCAACGACGCACCCAAGGTTGCCCTTCTTCGTAGCATCCACCACAAGGTCCTCGTCGATACGAAAGAGGTAACTGCTGCCAATACCCTGTCGCTCGTATGCCTTCTCCCGCTTCTCAGCCACCTGGGCTCTGATGATCTCGCCTACGTATTCGATGACCATCTCGCCCCGCGAGATCTTCTCCATGGCGTACAGGCCCCAGTCGTGAATGGGGGAACGGGCAAACCGCAGATGCTTCTTCCGAGTCTGGAGCTGGTTGAACTTGAAGGTCAACTCGTTCGCTGCGGTCTCGCCCTTGGACAAGGCTACGGCTCGTTGCACTTGGTTAATCTCTTCCAGGCCCTGGGCACGCCGTCTCGCGTTGGCACGGTTCGACCGAGAAGATGTAACGTGTTGGGGTTGAGGCTCGTCCACAATCGGCGGCGGTACTCCGGTGTTAGCTGCACGCGCTTGATACTGGGCAACATACGCGGCCTTCTCGGCGTGGGTGATCTTGTAGTAACCCTCAGTACGAGCGCTGCCAGTGAGGTGCTTCCGGAACGTAGGAATGTCGGAGGTCGAGGGAGGCGGCTGCGGCTTCTCTTCTTCAGGAACTTCACCCGAGAGGGCAAGTTTGGCGTAATAGAGGTCCTCATCATCTTCACATAGACCCAAGCCCACAGGGTCGGGAGGAGGTGTAGGCAGACTTGGGGGTGTTGGTTCGCGTTTCCGGCGCTTGGGCTCTCGTACAGGCACAGGCGAAGGCGAGCGCGATGGCGTTCGAGAAGAGTCAGCAGTGGCATCCAACCGCAGTTGCGCGACCACAGGCGATTCGAACGACTCCGATTCGCCCAAAATGACTTGGTCGACTGGCTCCACTTCCTTCTTCGCCTTCTTGGACGCTTTCTTCCCTTTCGCCGGGATAATCTCCTGGATTTTCTGTTTCTTCTTGACAGGCTCCTCCTCTTCGTCCCTGTCCTCTGAAACGGCCCGTTTGAGTGCAGCCTCCGATTCGATAGCGGCCAGACGAGCAGTGTCGGCCTCATCTTCTTCTTCCGATTCGAGGTCCTCATCGTCGATAACCCTGCGCGACTTCTTGGCCACAACCTCCGTCTTTCGCCTCTTCTTCGGTCTCTCCACCTCCACCTCCGGCTCCACCTCTTGCTCCTCTTCCTCAGCCACCTCTTGCTTCTCCTTCTCCGGCTCCTGTTCCACGGAAACATCCTCCTCCTTTTTCTTCTTGAAAGAAAGTCCCTTCAGCCCCTTCTTCTCCAGTGGCTTGTCCTCCTGTTGCACCGCACTCGCCCCTTTAATCTTCTCCTCCACGATCAATTTCTTCAAGTCTTGCCCAACAACCCGCTCAGAGATGTCCTTCTCCAATAGACCCTTTAGCTCCTCCAGGATCATCTTCCGCGCCTCTGCAACTAATTCAGTCTCGGTCCAATGTGTCTTCTCGCTGGCCTCCTTGTACGCAGGTGCCGAATGTGCAGAGAGGGTAACGGACTGAAAGCCTAGTTGTTTCGTGCCAAGGACGGTGGTGGCACGATGAGCCACGCCAGAGGTCGTAAATGTCACATATATACCAGTATGATCCCGCAGAACCTGCAAAGAGTCCAAGCATTCTTTGTCTAGTAGTCAATCGAAAATAAAAACACAAAGAACGCACCTTGTCCACCGCAAAACCCTCAAAGAACGCCTTTACCGCCTCATCACCGACAGACGCAACGAGCTGCGCGCTTCCTTGCACCTTGACATGCTCGTGCCCGTTCTTCGCCAGCGCTCGCGTGACTTCCAGTCGCTCCTTCTCGCGGTCGGCAGCTGACTTGTGCTGAGCTGCAGCCATAGGCTTCCGATCGGATGACGGTGAAGGTGACCGAGAGATGTTCATCGGCGACGCCTTGTACGCGGCATACTTATTCTGCAGAACGTTCCTTCCACGCGAGCTACTTTGCATCATCGCCCTCTTAGTCGTGGTACGCTGCTGGGCATCCGCACGGGCTCTGGCTAGCTTCTCCGCGACCTTGTCTACTTCCTTCACAAGGACAACGATCGGTTTAGCAGGAAGGGCGTGCGGCTTCGAGCTGGAAGATTGCCCGTGCGGCCGACGGTGGTCGTTGCCATCCTGTCCCCGAGGGCCTTTACGCGGAGCAGGGCTGGAGATCCCAGAAAGAGGGGTGCCAGCATTCCCACCAACGCTGTGACTGCTCGGGGTCGCGCTGGAAATGCCATTGGGCAAGTTGTTGCGTCGCTTGTCCTCTCTGTCCCTCTTCCTCCTCTCATCGAGCTCCTTCATAACAGCCTTTAACCTCGACCCATCCCCATCGTAAACTACGCGCCATTCCTCGACCTCCCCCAGCTTCAAGGGTATGCCAGCTCCGAGGCCCCCTCGCTTCCCATTTTCCTTCTCCAAACACCTTTTTGCCTCCTCATGCAACTGGAATTTGATAGAGAAGATTCCCAAGGCGCTGCCGTTCTCTTTATCGATCTGTGGCTCAAACGAGAGAACTGTCCCAAACTGCGAGAAATGTCGACGGAGATTCGTGTTCGATGTGAAAGGAGACACGCCGGTGAGAAGGATAGACGTAGGTGGAGGTGGGCCCGTGGAATTCTCATCGAACTGGATGGAAATGATTTGATAGAGAATTGCAACAGTAAAAAAGGGCTTACCTCGTATCGCACCTCAATGAGATCGTTTCTTGGCACCCGAAAGGACGATGGCGGTCTGAACTCCTTGTCCTTATTCTTGCGTGGGTCCTTGACCACGACCACTTCCTCCCTGGTGCCGTCATCAGGATCAATGACACTCATGACTTCGCCTTCAAACCGGAGTAAAGATTCTTTGCCCTTTCCCTTCCCTCGTATTCGCTCTTGAACAACGGATGGGCTACCATGCTTCCGAATATGGTCGATCAGTCCACGATAATGGGCTGGTGGAAGGAGAACAGGGTATTTCTGCGGAATATGACCGGATGAAGCCGCCAAAGGATTGTCGACCGCTGGATCGTAGAGAACCTTGAAGGATCTCAGCCCTTCGGGATGTTCAGACCGAGGAGGCGGCCATGCTGGAAGAGGTGGCAACGAGTAGAGTTTCTTCGGCTCTGGTTCTGGTTCTGAATGCCGGGATTCTGAATGCCTTGAGTCCGAAAATCGCGACTCCAAGTGTCGCGAGTCCGAGTGTCGCGAGTCCGAGTGTCTGTATCTTGACGATTCACGAGAGGAATCCCGGGGCCGCGAAGAGGGATTCCAAGAGGGTGGAGACCGAGGACGTCTAGGAAGGGCATGGTGTTCGTTTGAAGATGGTCGAGGTGGAGGCACATTTCTCGGCGACGGTGCTCTCTGCTTTTCCACGGGCGGTAATCGCAAGGCCGGTGTCGGTGTCGGTGCAGCTGGCGTCACTGGTGACGGTACGGAAGCTGGTGGCGCCGACGGTACAGCAAGTACGGGTACTGGTATTGGAGGTGGTATTGATGCTGGGGCTGAGGGTGGTAGAGGCGCGGGCGTTGAGGCAGGTGGGGGAGGTTCAGGTACGAATACCGGAGGTGGTGGTGGTGGGGTGGGCGGCTCTGAAGTGTGCGGTGGTGGAGGAGGAGGATCTGACGGAAGGGGAGGAGGCGGCAACTTTGGAGGTGATGTTGACGGAGGAAGAGGTGGAGGAGAGGAGGTTGGTGGTTGAGGCGGAGGCGGAGGAGGCGGAGGTTTCGATTCTGGAGGTGGTGGCGGCGGACGTGATTCTGCTGGAGGAAGTGGGGGAGGTAACGACGTTGGAGGCTTCGCTTCCTCAGGTGGTGGTGGTGGTGGTGGCGGCGGTTGGCTTGGCGGTGGTGGTGGAGGGGGTTCATCCCTCGGAGGTGGAGGCTGAGATGATTCTGAGAGAAGAGAAGGCCGATCACGAGCGCCATTCCGATTTTGCATGGATATGTGTACTGCTGGCCGGTCTTGCTTTAATTCTCCTGGTCGTACAGGTACAGCAGCTGGAGAAGTTGCCGCAGATGTTGAAATCTTGTGCCCCATACTACTGCTAGATGCACCACTACCTCCACTACTTCCTTCGTTAGTACTCGTATCCGGCCATCCATTTGTCTGGGGACGAGATGACTGCCAGCTGTGATTGCTCTAATATGAGGATGCGAAAATGAGGGATGAGCGCTAAATTAGCCATTTTGCCTTACCAAAGTGAAACGAGCATTTACCTCGGCACTTAGACCAACATCCCGCTTTTTACCCTTGATTGATATTGGATTGCGATTACCTTGCAGGCCGTGGGGTGCGACGCCATTTGGAGGCCCAGAGTTTGAGTACCCTGTGTGGCCATTCATCAGGTGTTTTGGCCCTGGAGGCGGTAGTCGAGCATGGTTGTTGGCTTGCAGACTACGAGGACCCGTCGGCGGCGTCGCTCCAATCCTGCTATTCGGGGTCAAGGGAAGGGAGCCCGAGGCACCTTTTGGTGGTTGTGGATGTTGTTGGGAGTTGTGAGGTGCCAAGGACGATGCTGAGGACGAAGAAGGGGGCCCAGATTGACCTCCATGGGTGCCTAGCAAGGCCCTCGGTCCTTTTGGAGGAGCCTTGCCCGACATATGTCGCGGCGACGGCGAGGGTGGTGATGAGGAAAGGGAAAGGTGCGTTGGCTTTGGCGCGCGTGGCAGCCAAACAACGGCCACCAATCTCTTCTCACAACCACCACCATCCACAATGGTCATCAGCCCTCTTCGACATATTCTGGCGTTCTCCCGATTCGGCCACGGGGTGGAATACAGGGGAGAGACGACCGGCTCTCTTAATATCATCTCGTTTTCACGTTTGTGAAACTGGGCTTGCCTCGTGGCCGATTCACTCCTTTGTCTGCTCAAGATATAGCGATCCTCCGTCAAGGAGACCCCTCGTGCGTCCCCAACAGCCCCACCCTTTTTCTAGAATTTTCCGCGAGGTGTAAGGAGATATGCTGTCTGGACTGTATGCGCCTGGTCCGAGCGTCGTTTCCATCGAATCATGGACATCGTGCACGTGGGACAGTCCTAGTGGTCAGCGAAAGTGGGACGAGGACTCAAAAGGAGAAGTCGGTAATTCTTCTTCTTGTGTCGACAGAACTTCTGAATGAGAATCTTGGTGCCGTTATTTCCTGGGTGTTCACAAGTGAGATGTTGGAGACGAGGTGATGTGTCTTCACCCACCAATTCCACATATTGGACCCAGCGCTGAGAAGTCGGAAGGTCAACGAAAAGGGGCTGTGCACCTCAGCCACCACCTCAGAATACGACAATGCGGGGAAGAGCAGAACTCGTGAAAGACCATTCGGTGAGTCTCCTCGTACCTTCTTCTAAAAATATGACCTAAGAAGCTTTGACTCCGCCAGCAGCCAAGAATATCTTCGAGAAGTCATTCGCCTCGCCTCCTTACACCAAGGAGCCTCCGGCCGGAAGGGTACCAGAGCCCACCTCGAGGTCGTAATTCCGTTGACACTTTAGTCCCGAAGCCCTTGCCTACGATGCACGGTGCATGCAGTTCGTGGTTCGTGCGTGGGTGCGGCATGGCCGACCACCCGCGTATTATTGGGTGCACTAGTCAAGCTCGAAGCTCGAAATGGCGGCACAGCTCTATTGCACCCCGACCGGCTGACTGCGAAGATTTTAAATATGGAGGAAAGGAGCGAGGAGACCTACGTTCGGACTTGGTATTTCAGCTCATCTGACAGGATTTCACGGTTCCAGTAGCCCCAGCTAATCGAAATATTCAAATTCCTCCTACAAAATGATATGCTCTGTGAAAATCGTGCAACGCAAAGGCACAACGAGTGCACTGCACCGTCTGGCCCGGGACCGAAACGTTAAGCCCTGTTAAAACGTTGGACTTGAGCTCAGTCGTCATCATTTCTGTTGACTTGCCCCTCGTGACGACAAGCACCGCCTTCCAGATCCTAAAGCAGCCCCTTACCAAGATCCCGGTTATCAAATACTGTCTTGTCTACGCCCTGGCGAGTCGAAAGCTGCAAAGGCGCCCTGTGGCTGCACCCTTCCATCAAAGCTAGATTTATTGCTGCCTGAATCGATTATCGAACAGAGATATCGGGAAATTTAAAACACGGGCGCGGGTCCATATTTATCAAGTACAGGCGAGGAGGCGGACGAGGAGGATGCCTGAAGCGGTAGTTGACTGTGTCTCCTACGAGCAAAAGGAGCGTTGCTGGTTGGAATTTAAAATGGGCGTTAAGGGTTAATTAGGATCAAGCGCCCAGCTCAACATCATAGGAGTACAAAACATCCTAAGGCCAAGGGATTGGCGCTGTCACTCGTTGGAACTGACAGATTCGTGACAGAGAAGGAACCCTCAGCCAGGAAGTTACATAAATAATGTCCCAGGAAATTTGGCTATCCACATTGGTGCAAATGCCTAGAAGTACAAAAAATGCCAGTAAAGATCGTTAGTTCTCGATTCTAATGTATGTGGTAGGGGGGTATTATCCGTTGTAAATGCCTGTAGAGGAATACAAATGCGGGAAGATGTGTCAAATGTCATATCGAAGTCTAAAGAGAAGGGAAAAGATAGGCGCTGCAGCGCTGAAGGCTATAGGGACCTCAAGGCGTTCAGAATATTCTCGTAGTCCTGCTCCGTTATTCGTCGACCCTTCTTCTCGCGCACCCACTTGCTGCTGTCCTCGGCTGAGGGTGACATCTGTCGGTAAAGTATCCTGTTGGACAGTATCCAGGAATAATCCGCTCCCTCGTCCTCTTTCCCCCTGCTGTACGTCACCATATCTCCGAAAACGTCCTCGTCCTCGTCTTCGCTTACCTGGTCCGAGTCGTCAAGGGCCTGATACTGGCTGAGGATAATACGCTGTGTCGTCGGTGCTTCAGGGGACAGCGCCGGCACTTTGATCGGCTCAAGAAGATCTGACAACACCTCGTCGCGCGAGCAATCCCTGGCATGCGTGAAAGTAAAGCGCGTCGGTTTCTCTGGAACAGGTGGGGGAAGGGAGGGCGGTGGTGTTCGCGACCGCGGCGATGGTATTGGTGTGTCCAAGCTCCCGAGGAGCGGGCTGCCACTACACGGAAGCGATTGCGAGGGCGCGTGGCGTGACAGCCGTAGCGGCTCGACTTTGAGAACGGGGATGGGTAGTGGCTTTACGGCTGGGGCACGGGGGCGCTCTGTGGAAGGAGGAGAGGGTGAGTTCGTATATCTGGGCGGCGTTACGGGGGGTAGATTTAGGGCGGGGGGCGGGCATGGTAATGGTCGGAGTGCACGCCGAGGCGTCTGCTGATCCGCGACCCCGGCACTGCTACTTGAGGTCGCGAGTGAGGTCGACGGTGTCGAAAAGGTTACGGCGCTGGCGGTTGGAAGAGGAGGAACTGGAACGCTCGGAAGAGGTCTAAGGGTCTTCACAGGCGCGCTCTGTATCGATTGCGGTAGCGACATCCCATCCTGGATGAGCACGGTGAGGCCTCGACCAGGGCTACCCTTCGTTTTCTTCGAGGATGGTGACTCATGGATGGTCTTGGGACGCTCAGGACGGGGACGGGCTTTTGGACGAGCACCTTGGGGCGACAGTGCGCTGTTCAGATTTTTTGCGCTGGCTTTCCTTGGCACAGTTCTTGCGCCAGGCGTGATAGGCGGGCTGAGTGGGGAAGTGAGGTCCATCATTGGAAGAGAAACAAAGAAAGCGCAGACGAAGAGCGAAGGAAGAAGGAGGAAAGCGAAGAACGGGCCAGCCGTTATATACACCTGCACGAGTTCAACTTGGGGAAGGTCAGGATTGAATTTGAACATTCGGCGCGAGGATCAGACAGGGACGCGTCTTTCAATACAGCACACCAAATTTGGTCACTCCGATCGCATCTCAGCCACTTCACCCGGATCACCGAAAAACATAAATTGTCTTGTTCCCGGTATCCAGTGCCAATACCCACTCTGATGCACGTTTTGCTGAGTGCACACAAACCTGAACGCGAGAGCAACGCGGAGAACATGCCGAATTTTTGAGCAGCATTTTTACCTGCAGGCGTCGAGGTCAACGAGTAAGGATAATTATAGTCCTTCATCACCGCTCTGGCGTCGAGCCGCAAACAAGAAACCAAATGTGGGCACTCCAGCGGGGTTTGGAAGGTGTCTGTTGCGACATCGGGGGTGGAGAAGCTGCTAGAAGGTGGATACCCTCGACATTCGGGAAATTATACAGCAGGTAGGAGGAAAGCCGGCTCTGGCCGGCTAACGACCTCGAGGTGAAGGACCAAAGGTCAGACTCAAAATATCTAAATAAAAATTGAGCATCATACTTTCGGACAACCAGCCAAGTCACAAATGCCCGTCTTTCGCGGGAGGACAGCTCAGGATTAGAGTTGACCTTGAAAACGGGAGGGGAAGTCAACTATCTTCCAACTATGACAGTTACGTTTCGATTGATTCCAAAGAGCGTCGTGTCCAGAAGCTAGGTGATTATACTGGATTAGAATACAGTTATTGATACGATTGTTCGGACGAGTTGCTTCTTTCAGTCGAATAGTTTGGAAGCCCTGCCAGAAGGAACTGAAATGAAACTCTACTCAGGAAACGGAATTAGTAAGACGTACGCGAAAGTCCACAGGTTCTGTGGGTTGGTGTAGGTGTCGATGGTGTATGGGAAGCGGACTGAACCGAAAGGTTGGCGTCAACCAAGGACTCCTCGATGTCCCTAGACCAGGAGGGGCAACTTACACGTGGGACGCGATGACAGGTACGCTGTCGAAAAACGGCAAGGATTGTGTCAGATGAGTCTCCCCAGTGTAAGACAAGCGAGCGCTTAGACGCTTACCTATGGGCTCACTCTTATTTATCCAGCTATATGCTATTAAACGAGCGTTAGACGAGTTATAGAAGGCCAAGGGACGGGAAAGATCGCACCAGTGCGCCAATTGTGTCTGCGGATAGAAATTGAGAGGGTGTCGTGTGAGGCGAGTACGATGGTGAGATGTGCAGAAACACGAATGCAAACAACGCTTACCGGAAATTGGCGTTGACAAGGCTGATAATGATTGCAGCCAAATGCGACATCAATGACAACCAAAAAAGCTGCGGTTCAAAGTTTCAAACTCACAAGTCGGGAGGGGCCAAAGCATCCTGGATGATAATTGGTCAGAACAGGTAGTGAGGCATACACGTATTTCGAGAGAGATAAATGAAAAGCTTGAAACTCACGTTTTTCAGACCAACAGATTTGATTTCTGTGTCGAGATCGCGCCACTCAAGCACCTGGTTGCCCGCCATGCTCTTGAACTCCATGTCCTTGTCTTTTGGTCCGCCAAACACCGCGATTTTCGTACCATATCGTTCGTTCATCGCCGTGCTAAACATCGCGCAGGTTGAGGAGCAGGCACCGTTGGTCACTAGACAAGAGAAATCAGCAGGAGTTCCGGCATACTGCTGCATCTAAAATCGCAAATCCTTGGATGCAAACTTTCTGCTTACCGATAGCGATTTTGCTGTCGGCCAAGAACTTCGATGAGAATGTACTGCTGAGAATTTAAAGAACTTACATACCTTAGATCGAACGGTGGAACATCAGGAATCGGCTGAGCGAACGCGCAGGTGTCCTAGAAGCCAAATCAGTTGAGATGGAAGAGAAGGCAGATTTTGACGATAAACAAAGGGTACTGACATGGAAGCGCTGGGAAGTAAGATCTGCCTGACCATTTAATTCCAGCTCAACGACCGGCTCATAGTAGTTGTAGCTCATGGGCATCCTGGTTCCATTCAAGAACGCCCCTAGAAGGAACAATTAATTCAACCGTGATCGCAAACGTAGAAATAGCGTCCTTACATTGGGTTGGGTTGAAGAAAGTCCGGATGGCCTCGTGTCCAAGAGCAACATGGGCAGCCACCATCTTCCGCGCAAGAGGTCCAGCGCGTTGGGTGGATTGAAACCCACTGGGACGAACAGGTGGCCATCAGTCACCTACTAGCCGTTAAGCGCTCGAATCTTACGGGTAATCGAGCTGCGAGCCCACAAGGTAGTTGTGCAGGAACTGGCCCAGACAAATGTATCCGCCTGTATGAAGTTGGACGGTGATTAACGCACGAGCGACGCTGAGATAAAAAGATCCAATTACCTCCATTATTCGTCAAGTCGATGAGAAGCTTCGTGGCACCAGCCTCCTTCAGCGCAGTGATACCAGTGACAATATCTTGTTGGAAACTGATGAAATCCCAAGGCACGAATGACCCAATGAAGATCTATAAATAGAACAGTTAGGTCCGCTCTCTTCTAGGAAGGCTACTCACGACACCGGTCTCATTGTCGGGGAGCAGATAGGGTTTGATGATAGCAGAGGTGCCAGGCATAGGCGTAGCATCAGGAAGGAATGCTTTCGGAAGAGGGACTGGGTTGTTGAACGAGAGGTCGATGATGTCGGCTCTGGGCTCTTTCCTGAAGTCTGGAGGGGGAATAGACCTGGTGACGGTGATGTTTGTTTGGTTGGTCATGACATTCAGGTCGACGCCGTTCGTTTCTTCGCGAGCGAGACAATTGTTTGTCCAGCTAGGCATTTAAGATTAGCGTCGATGCGAATATCAAACCAATGCTACAAATCTTACTATGAAACCTTGTCGTCGAAGTTTCTGCCTGTGTAATATGCGGCAAAAGGAATATCAACCTCCTCAACCTCTGTCGAGTTCGCAAGCACGAGTCTGACTTTAAGGTGGGTCTTCGTGATGTCCAAAGATTGAGCGAAGTCCCCCATGCGCTGTGTGAAGCCGATGCCAGAAACACGGTAGCTTGTGTACACCGAGTTGACGCGGATGCCGTGATCGAGGTGATTTCCGGAGACTGTTGTGGCGATGTGGTCGACGTATGCGTACGGATCCATGCCCTCAACTTCGACCAATCGAGCACCAGCGAGGCGTTGCCAATTGAATTCGATGGAGTCGAAGTATTCCTTAAACCAATATCCGATTTCGTCGACGACAGCGACAACATCAGGAGCAATGTGGATGCCTTGAACGCCATTAATTTCGAGATCGATAATTGGCGCAGGGTTGACATTCTGGAAAACGGTATAACAGTTGGGAATGTAGCCTGACAACAAAATAGAGTCAGGATTGGGAGGATATGCAACAGTCGACGTACGAGTGTGCCCGTCATTAAGTTGGTTGATAAAATCGTACACAGCCTTGTTGAAATCGTAATCCGTCTGATGCAGAATTATGGATGAGGAACCAATTATATGACCTACGGCAAAACCCACCAACCTCGAACTTTGTCGTGTTCAGCCTGGCTATCGTCGCCCGAATGTCAACCGTAGAGTCTTGGAAAGGCACTGGGGAGTCCAGATAGTAGTTCTCGAATGTGAAGAAGTCGAACACGCGGGCTACGTTAGTAAGGATATTTTGACGAAGGTTTTCATCGAATGGGAATGATTTGTAGCACGCCAGTGCATCTGCCGGGTCCATGTACGTCTTCCAGGCAATCTTAGCACATGGGTCCGTTTCAACAGGAGCAGGGATAGCCTGAGGAGCTGCAGCCGAAAGTAAAGGAGCGACGAATAAGGGTAGAAGGCGGCGTAGAGACACCATTGTTGCCCCCAAAACGCTGGTATAAGAGTTTGTCAGAGAAAAGAATGTGAGTTGGAAAGAACGTCGTGGGATGGAGAAAACTGCCACCACATTACTCAGAACGCTGGCATTTATAGGATCACCATCTCCAAGCACGGCTGAACTGAGGCCCATGTGCTCTGCGGACTGCCGGGTTGGTGACACGACCGCCGCGAGAAACGACGACCATATTCAAATGCAAGGCAACCCCGTCCAGAGCGAAAATAAGCGCTGTCCATGCGTTCATGCGGATCCAGAGGCTGCGATGAACGTAATTGATTTCGTTTGTGTACGAAGCGTTTAGAAGAGCACAGTTGAGCCATTGTGATATGATTGTGATGGGTGAGCGGAAGGAGCGTCGATCTTGTCTCGGCCCGGGAGAAACTCGCAGCGCCTTCCTTATTCGGAGTCCTTTCGGCACTTTCCGCAGCCCCTGTCTCTCAAAGAATAGTCTCGTAGAGTATCGTCCGGTGAAGTCAGTCATCAACACATAGCGACAAAGCGCGGAAAATCTTTTATATCCACGTAAAAGAGAGGTAGGTTGCGACTGGGGGGGGTAGATATCCCCACTTCCCTGCGAATTTCATTTGTTTGGAGCAGGATCGTGTAATGTTTGACTGCACTGACAACGAATTGAATGAAACACAGGAGCGAGGGAATACAAATTCTGCGGGCGACACGGGCGGCTTGATAGCCACAGTTCATGTAAACAGTTTAGAGGCGCTGGAAGAACGCCCGTAAGATGCGACCACTTGACGACATAAGCGACGACGTACGCGAAGGTCCACAGGTTCTGTGGATTGTTGTACGTATCTATTGTGTACGGAAAACGGACTATTTCAATTAGTTCGCCATCTAAGGCTGGAAAGGCTGCGATGGGTCTTACATAAGGGCAACTCTGAAAGATAGGCTGATGAAGCACGTCGAGATCAGGATTGATCTTCAAAGCAGGCTAAGCACCAACGCACCAATAGGCTTGCTTTCGTCCAGGAAACTCCAAGCTAAGGGAGGGAGATTGAGGACACTCTGAAGCTGCTCGAGGTCAATGCAACGAACCAGTACGCCAGTTGTGGCTGTGGAGGGCAAGGGCGGCATGACTAACTGACAAGATGTCGAGAAAGACAACACTCACCGGAAGTTGGAGTTAACAATTCTGGTTAAGCAACATAGACTAAGACCATGCGTGACATAAAGCTTAAGATTTACTCACAGGTCAGGAGGTGCCAAAGGATCCTATGGGAAATGTTTGAATAGTTGTGCAAATAATCCATTTTGCAGAAATAGACTTACATCCTTCAGACCGACTGACTTGATCTCCGTGTCGAGGTCGAACCACTCAAGCACCTGGTTACCTGCCATGCCTTTGAACTCCATCTGCTCGCTCGGTTTTCCGCCGAACACAGCTATTTTGGTGCCGTGCCTCTCGTTCATCAAAGTGCTGAACATAGCGCAAGTAGAAGCACAGTTTCCATTAGATACTGGGGAAAAGACATTTCAACGCAATCAGCGTGATGGCTTCGAGGCAAGACAGAGACTTACCAATCGCGACCTTGCTGGATTAGGGGATAGAGCACGGGTCAAATTTTTAAAGATCCGCCGAACCAACATTGAACACTGGACAAACCTCAGATCGAATGGTGGGGTTTCAGGGATAGGTTGTGAAAACGAGAATTCGCAAGTGTCCTTCCACGGATGTCCAAAGCCTGATTACATGAGAATATGTAAAAAACACGTACGTGGAAGCGCTGGGATGTCGGATCGAACACCCCATTTACCACGAGCGGAGAAACTGGCTCGTCGTAGTTGTATGTGTTCGGAAAAATCGTGCCGTTCAAGAAAGCCCCTACGAAGAATCCTTAGCATCCGGTTCCAGGAAGATGAAAGAAGCCTACAGTTTGCAGGGCTGTAGAACGTCGAAACATCGTCGTCGCCCATGGCGACATGGGCAGCCACGACCTTCCGCGCTAGAAGATTACCTCGCTGGGTCGACTGGAATCCGCTGGATTTAGGAAGTCATAAGGATTCCTGCTCTGACGGTAGGATCCAAGATAAATATTACGGGTAGCCAATTTGCGAACCAGCAAGATATTGGTGCAGGAATTGTCCAAGACACACGTAACCGCCTGAAGGACAAGGATAGAAATCAGATGCCTTGAACCAGGAATGAGGTGTAGGAATCCGGACCCCCATTGTTTGTCAAATCGATCAAGAGCTGGCTGACGCCTGCCGCCTTGAATGCAGTGATAGCTGCGACAGTGTCGCTTTGGAATCGGTCAAAATTACCAGGGGAGAACGAGCCGACAAACATCTAAACGCGCTGTCATTGTCAAGTCAAAGTATTTTTGATCGATCCTACTTACGACGCCGGTTTTGTTTCCTGGGAGGATGTACGATTTGATGACATCGTCGCTGCCTGCAGTAGGAGGCGCAGAGGGGTGGAATTGTTCTGGGAGGCCAACACCTTTGCTATCAGAAAGATCGATAATGTCTGCCTTAGGCCGCTTCTTGATAGATCTCGCGAAGCTAGACTGGGAGCGTATGTCAATGCCATTTGTCGCATCATTGGCGGCACAATTATTGGCCCAACTGAATAACAGTTGTCAAACCGGCGTCTGTGAGAGTGCGAAAGGCTTACTAAGAATCTTTATCTGTGAAATCCTCCCCAAAATAGTTCGCCAGGAAGGGGATTTCTACGGTTTCGGACTCTGTGGACTCAACAGGAACGAGCCTGACCGTAAGGAATGACTTCGAAACGTCCACTGGTCCAGCAAAATCTCCGAGACGTTGCGAAAAGTCGGCTGCAGAGATGCGATAACTGGTGAATACTGAATTAACCCGAATGCCATGGTCGAGGTAGTTGCCAGACACGGTTTTCGCAATGAGGTCGACGTAAGCGTATGGATCCATCCCTTCGACCTGTAATACCTTCGCGCCTGCAAGGCGTTTCCAATTGAAGTTGATGGAGTCGAAGTAACCTGTATATTCGGTGCCCAGTAGACTAAGGAATTCGACAGAATCTGGCGCAATGTAAAGGCTCTGAGCTCCATTCACTTCGAGGCTGATCGCAGGGGCAGGAAGGAGGTTCTGGAAGATCGTGTAACAGTTCGGGAAGTAACCTGTGGTTTGCCTGTGAGTCGGCACGGTAGCATCTATGTGGCATGGGCTCTTACGCGTGTGACCATCGTTGAGCTGGGTCGTGAAATCGTAGAGAGCCTTATGGAAATCATAGTCGGTCTACAGTCACCAGCATGTCAGAACGACACCTTCCAGAAAACAATATAACAAACATGAAATTCGGCTTTACTAAGCTTGGACAAACTGGCACGTATGTTCGTCGTCGACTCCTCGAATGGTGGTGGGGAGTTCGAGTAATAGTTCTCGAACGTGAAGAAGTCAAAAACGCGAGCCATGTTGGCAAGGACATTCTGGCGAATGGTTTCATTGAATGGGAACGATTTGTAACAAGCCAGGGCGTCGGCGGGTGGCACAAACGCTTTCCCAGCAATCTTTGCGCAAGGATCTGCGGTTGGCGGTCCGGGGACTGCCAGGGAGAGGAAAGGGTAGCCCGAGAGGAAGATGGCGAGGAGTGCGCGGGGGGGCGTCATCCTACGACAAGAAAGCAAGGATAGGCCAACGACACGTCAAAAGCACCGTCCGAAGCTCCTCGTACGACACGGTGGCTTTTATGTACTTCTCCCCCCTCTAGGCCGATATCATGAGAGGTATATGGTTGCAAAAAATAGAACAGATCGCCATGTGCTTCTAAAGATGATAACGAAATTCCTGGTGAGCAATAGGTATAATGAATTACTACTCTTGTAGCTTCGCGTACTCACGGACTTCTTGATAGCGCCGTGGACATCTTCAAGTTTACGGGTGGGACGACGAGCACTGCCATATGAAACGTCCGATTATTACAGATGAAGAGATTGTCGCTGTCGTCGGTCGAGGTCCAAGGGTCTGCCGAACACGACCAGAGGCTACGCATCTGATTTGGGTAAAGAACACGTCTTTTGAGAGAAACAGTTTATGGCGAGGGGAGTCCCCTGTATGCGTGAAGCCGTCAATCATACCAGTCAGGTCGAAGACTCAGGCTGTCGAAGAGTGGCCCAACGGAAACAACGGCAAATGCCTTTTCACGCTTTCTCCCACTGCACTTCAACTTGACTCCAACTAGAACAACAGCTGTAAGCATTAAAGCACATTCTAGTGTGCATATGTAAATCCCAGAGCTCATTACTCCTTACTGGGACTTTGAAGGCTCGTGGCGCAACGAGTCACTGCGATTTTGATCACCTTTCCCCAGCTCTTGTCTTTTTCTTCCCTGACCTGGGTACCTTGAGTGTCCGACCAAACGTGGCTCAAACCCAAACCACTCATTTAATTCTAATATGGTGTCTCTGCCTTACCCAGATCTTCAAAAAATCAGGAGTCGTTTACTTCAGATCCACGACGCGATATCAAACTTCAAGCCGCTTACACCGAGACCGCCTATCCTTGATTCTTCATTAGATGCTTCGAACGATGTGACAGAGGAAAACCAATGGTTACACCAGGAGAACGTTCCGGGCTTGAAGAAGCTCAAAGAAAACATCAAGATCGACCTTGGCATTTTGGACAAGGTAGGTTGGAACCTCTCCTTCCCGATGTCTGCAGACATACGTCTTTTCTTCAGTAGTTCCTCAACAGCGCCAACTGTGCGAACCTCCCTTCACTTTCGACCAATGCACCATACATTATTGCCGTATGGAATGAAGTGTTGTGTGCCCCTGCGCCCATCGCCTCTGTTTTCAAGACCTTCCAATTAAAACCATCAAGTACCCCTTCGGACAAATCCCTCAAGCGCACCGCACATCAACAGCGCCCTCCAGGTGCCAAGGTAGATGTGGTGGGGGACAACGGTCGCCTATGGATCAGAGTGAATACGTGAGTTTCTCGGGCTACTCATTCAAGTACTAGTTTGGACATTTATGCCTTACTCAGAATCAAGAATCCGCGTTTGCTTTCTGAGTTCCGCGAAATCGATTCATACCTAACCGATTCTGGAGAAGGCTCGGCAGACGACTGGGACCACGATGAGCGCCCATCGCTCGCGCAAACCGAGTTCGACAATTCAGTATTGCGAATGGGAAGATCGTTGATTGAAGCTGCGAAGGCGAATCTAGTCGAAGGAACTACCGAGATTCCGCGGATTACCTTGCGTTTGACGCGTCTAGATCCTCAGCGACCCAACGACGATGGTACCCCTCCAGATCCCCGGATTGCTCAGACAATCAAAGAGCTAAGGAGTATGGGAATCGAGGTTCAACTTGGCGAACGGACCCTAGACGAATTGCCTGTTATCGATCGTGTCGAAGAGCAACCTCCATCTTCTCCTTTGACTTTCGTCCCAACCACAAACATAAACCGCGACCTATCAATTCTCATTGCCCTCATATCAGATCTGACCCATGCACCCCTTCCTGCATCGCTGGAGGAGGCAAATAAACGGTTCATTCCATCTCAAGAATACCGCGAGTGGAAGCAAAAGAAACAAATGCTCAACGGAAAGTCGAAAAGGTCGCCCACTGGCAGGACGCCTGAAGCATCGAGCTCAGAGTATCCAGCGATAGAATCAGATATCAACGACTTGCCCCGCGATTTTATCAAGCATGCGAGAGCCTTGACGAACCAACTTCTGCAAGAAATGAGCAACGGCTTGATACAGGAGATTCATAGTCAAACGATGTCTCAAGAGTTGATCTTCTGGACCACAGCAGAAGCTCGCGACCGATGCTTGCGGATCGTTTCAAAAATCGGGGGAATCCACGAGAAAAGGAGGGCACGAGCATTGTTCTGCCTGCGAGCAAAGGATTCGTCCGAGATCTCTCTAGAAGACGCACAGAAGCTCTACTGGCAAGACTCACGCTTCCCCCTCAATTTCATCCCTCTTCTGCCTATTCACATCTTCCCCGGCACAGATGTCGCCATGGGCCTTCGCAGCCATCTTGACCGACCCAAGTCCGAGTTCGGAATGGAGCTGAGCGGAGTATGCACGGATATCCTCTCGCAAGAAATGATACCCCATCCCCGAGCGCTGCCCGAGGATCTGGTCATCGCTGACTCCTCAATCCCTTCGGATCTCTCCCCACTGCAAACAGAAATCCAGCGGGCCAGTGTCACGAAAGCCAGTCCGCGCCTGACGGCTCATACGGTGGATAGCATGCGCTGGGGTGCAGATCTCGGCTGGACGACGCTAACTGCGAATCGCTCCAGTGTAAAGGCAATTTTGAGGGAGCTAAGGACGGCCAGAGTAGCAGGTAGGTTTGCGGGCATGGGCAAGCCAGAAGAGGAGGATACGGTAAATTTAGCTGCGATATGGATCGTCGACCCTAGGAGTTTGGCAGAAGGACAGCAATCCTCGCTTCGTTGAGTTCGTCGGGTCGTGTGGTGGGTAGAAAGTAGAGTGCTACTGCCACTAGGTTTCTGATGCAATGCAAGTGGAACAAATATTGCTTGGTTTAGATAACATTCTTTTTATGCAACCCAGAAATAATGCAATGCTCTTAATAGGGTGTGTACAACGATGCAAGACGTAAATTGTGGAAGATGGGAGCACGGGCGAAACATTAGATGGCAGGCGGTGATGCCTTGCAGAAAAGCTTGAATTTCACAGCTAAGCCGGAAATGAACGAAAGCAGAATATATGAATAAGAAAGTGTCCAAATTCTCCCAAATACCTTTATGTAATCTCTAATTCCGGATAGTATTAGGCGTCACCGTCGCATCCGTCGCCTCTAATATGTGCTGGCCGATCCGCGGTGTCGATGGCGCAATATTCAAGGCAGCATCGTCTGTGCTGACGAAGGACGAACGCCTGGGCGTCGACGCTGTCAGTGATTCAGCTGCCGTTGCGTACGAGTACATGCTCAATGCCGACTCTGAACGGCTTGATCCAGCAGTAACGTCATGATAGGAGCTGGGCGGAGGTGCTGAGAGTTTGCCGAACTCCGACACAGCTTGTGCAGGTATTTGTGCAGTTGATGGCGGAGAATCAGCGCTTTGAGACTGGACTGAAGCCTTGGACATTGAGTTGTGATTCGTTGGTATTGACGACGCAGACGGTGCTGGAGTTCCCGAAGTAGGTGGATCTGTGGCTTGCCTTGATGTGTTTGAGGCGTTCGCAGGACCTGTAGTTGACGATGGCTGTGGCTGTGTGTCACTTTCGTCAGGGTTGCGTTCTGAACTTGTCCTGTCTCGCTCCTCAACATCTGCTGTCGAGTGTCGGTCTTGTGGTTCGGGCGCATTACTTGACGATCGCAGCCTTGAAGGACCAGCCGCAGAACGCGGCGACTGAATATCGGACGAAGCCGTTTCAAAATCAGGAGGGGGTGACAACAAATCGAGACGCGAAGTTGAGGCAGCGTATGCAATGGCATCAGCCCCATATGGGACACCGAACCGTGCAAACGATTCCCTCGACGATATTAACTTGAGCTGTTCGGGTGTCGGTCCAGTTTTTGGATAAGTGAACTCTGTCCGTACGGCGGTGTGTGTAAGCGGAGCTGAAATAGAATTGAGAGATATCATGGATGGAGAATTGAGCCGAGCAGAATTGAGTGTGTGGATAGATTTTTGCCGCGACAGGGTTCGGAACATTGAGGAGGATAGAATGGAGGAAGTGGAAGGGGATGCACGGTGTCGACTATTCGACGACTCAGCGCCATGGGATTGATCGGAAGAGATGCCCGACCCCGCCGAGTCTCCTCGATTATGAGAATTGGGGTGGGCTACAATCGACATTCGGGTGAGGAGGGTGCGGAACCCAGACTGCCGTTGAGGACGGGATTCTGGAGAAGCGGGTTGTGCAGGAGTAGCATCAGATTGCCCATGAGGACTGGGCGAGGATTCCTGGTCGAGAACCTCGAAATATGCAGGCGCGTCCCCTCTTGGATCTGGGAGGCCTTGAGGCAATTGATTACTTTCTATGCGCATTAGGGAACTGGTTTCATGAGAAGTGTTGTCGAAACTGCGCCGTGGGGGCTGATCTTGTTCGGGAGATGACAAGCTTTGGAGAGAAAGGTCCCCGTAGATGCCGTCCCTATGGAGCAACGGCATCTCGTTAGTCGTCGCGGGCATAGGCGAGTATCTAGAGACTTGAGAGTTGTCATTCGAGAGGATGGACTCGTCTCGGTCCTCATCTACAGAGTTCATCACAACCGCAGCCGGCATTGTTGCATCCTCCATGTCCCGACCGCTATATAAATGTCAGTGAATTCAATCGAAAATGCTCTGATGAACTGACCGAAAGATGACCAGCTCCTCCTCACCCGGTTCCTTATTGTAAGCTGGGAGAGAGGTAACCGACATTTGAGACGGCGTACGCCTAGTTCGACGCGTCCTTCGAGTGCGCCTCGCAGTTGCAGCAGGAGGCTGATTTTCCCCATTTATAGTGCCAGCCAATTGCTCCGCCGTGAGCTCTCTTGTTGTCGTTGAAGCTGGCCCAGCAAGCTGCTCAGCAGTGAGCACTGTGGTCGTCCTTGCACCTGAGGATGTGGAGTTCGAGAACCTGAACACTCCCAGTACTTTCTTGAGCGATATCTTCATCCATGACATGACCGCGACGATGAAGAGGATGATCACTACGACCACAATCGGAACCTTGATGATGTCAGTTTGGATGCAGCAGACGGAGGAGCAGAACACACCCAGATTTTTGGAGACAATTCCTTGTCGTCCCTTCTCTCCAACACTTGTGTGTCTACCGGAGAAGCGCCGACTGGGTTCACTAGGAGAGGCACGAGGGCGAAGAGGGGCAAGAGGCGGGGTGTAGAGAGGCCACTGGTCCTGCTGGGCGGCAAGGACGAGCTAAGAGCGATTATGACACTCGTGTGCACGTTTCGTTTGTCATAAGGTCGTGAAAATGTCATGAAGAAGATAGAGGAAGAGGAAGAGACCTGAAGGGAGAGAAAGTAGAACGGTCAGGCCGTCAAGCCAATAATGCCTCCGTAATTTACCTTTTGGGTAAGCCGGCTTACACGACCAGTCCACGTGAGGGCCGGTAAGATAACGAACTTGTACGAAACTCTGGTGACAATCCCGAGCATGTAAGTATAACGAGAGAGTTTGATGAGTAGAAGGAGCCCTACGGAATTACAACCTGGAATTGCTAGAATCATAGGGGGGTCGAGAGCATCAGAAATAGTTCTTATCAGGCAGCATCGTCTCATTGAACACCCGGCAGATCAACGGCAGATACCTTCCAGACTGTCAGTGCTTTCCACAGCGTGGATTTCCTGGAATTTCCATCAGCATGGTATCACAGGGTATCGCCCAAATTCCCAGATATAAGAATAGGTTCACCGCAATCCCCTCACCTAAGCAACACTGAGTAAAGTGCCGTGCAGGCCACTAGAACAGGCAGAGAGCCAGGTTCCTGAACTCCTCGTCCTCTGATTTCAAATTGAGCAGGAAAGATAACGCCTTGCAAGGCACTCAAAGCACTGAGAGCGCCAGAAAAGGTATTCCACTCGAGCGTGCGGCGGCGGCTATTGGACGCAGAGCCGAAGGTGAGAAAGGAGGCGTCAGATAAGGGCGAATTGGCGACATATCACGAAGTTACTACATAAATGAAGGCCGGTAGAAACAGGCAGGCAGGACGTCGACGTCCAAGAAAGGATGCTTTCCGTAAAGTTGCGGCATCGTCATTCCGAGTCCCTTCAACACCAAAAGCCCCAAGGCGATGAAAATTGCGGCTGTCAGAGGGATTATTCGAAATGGTGGGCGCTTGCTATGTCTTAGAATATTGCTCAAACCATTATGCTCCCCGATTCAACTCGAAGCTTGGCATAAATGAAACGGACACCCGAGTAAGAGTCTTGATGCATGCCAGGAATGCCTAGTACTAGATGAGGCTCTATTAGCCCTTGAGTTGCTAACATCCCCCCCTTCGGGCGATTCTGAAGCGCTGGAAACCTTGAAAAAGAAACTTGTCGAAGAACAGCGTCTATTTCAGAAATGTCCTCTAGCAGAACCGAAATACCGAGATGATAATAAGTGGCTTGATGAACAATCGCTTTCATGAGAGGCATAATGGGCCCTAGACTCGAAAGAGCCGTCTTTCCTTCGAGGTGTTGAGTGATTGGACCTCGAATCAAGGGATTGGAATACTGTTGGAGTGGTGACTATGGGATAGGGAAGTTATGTTCACGACATTTCAAGTCCAAGCGTTTCCGTATGGATTAGTATCCATACGGAAACGCTTGGACTTGAAACGAGCGCTTGAATTCGGCGACTGCATTACAACAACGGAGGCAGTTGTGGACCCCTGCACAGGCAGTTGGACGCTGGGAACTGGACGAGGTGGCATTCGGGCCGTGCCTCCGACCTTGAGCCCCGCGGAGGCCAATCGAACTCATGACGTCACGCGACTGAGATCGTTCCCATTCGGGCAAGATGACTTCCAAAAGTGGACGCCCCAATATGTTTTCCCCTCGCCCCAAAGAATTGCCTCTCTCCGCGGTATATAAGGGCGCCGACATCCTCTCAGACCCTCGTCGCTCCTTTCACTCTTATCCCCGTCTTCTCCCATCCACCCATCCACCTCTTTGCCCCTCTCTACCCTGCCCCCCTCCCCTCTGCCCGACAGTCCCTGTGCCCCGCCGTCCCTTCTACCCCGCCGTCCCATTCCGGTAGCCCATTGCCGCGTCCCGGCGCCAGGTATGTCGGTCCTCTTCTCATGTCTTTTCATTTCATGCGCGCATCCAGTGCTATTCGTCGACTCCCCATGGGTTGCCAATATTGACCTGCTGTGATGCACGAGATATGAATATGGGTACTCTCTAGCTCGTGCTCTGTGCCGTTCTGAGGCCCACCCTGTTTAGGCCTCGGCTCCTCGGGGGCCCGCGACTGGTCCGAAGGAAGTAAGCGCTCTACTCTTGTTCAACGCGCATTTCGCTGCACGATCCCTATGCTTTTTCATTCAGTACTAGCAGATACCCGTGCGGCTGCACGGTGAAATCCGTAGATAATTTATAATTACTTCTTTGGTGTGCTCGGGGTAGCCATGAAATTGGTTGACCCTTCAGGCTAGGCCAGTTGTTGTTGTTGTACTTAATCAAAGCGAACTCCCTTTCGCTTTGCGGGGGTAGTGGAGGCTGATTTCACACGTCAGGAGGTAATCTACGGGGAGACTGAAGGAAGGAGCGCCTCTGAACACCTGAGCACGCAAAATTAGTTCTGGAATGGGAAGATATCAACCTTCAGCAACGTACCTTGGGCCTCATGCTCTCCCACAGATTGTACACCATTGCCTTTGGTACCTTCGGTAACTTCCTCTAGTTGGAAAGTTAGCCAAAGAATATCAAGAAAAAAGGGGCTAACAACTTCGTACCTCTATTTTGGTGCAATTCTTCGTGGACAAACTCGACCATGTCCTCACCCTCTGAATCTGCAATCTCATCATCTGCATTCATAAGATGGGTTTACAACATAAGACACAAAGAAAACCCAAATTCTCACCTGAACACCTGAGTGCATCATCTACTGCCTGCCGAGGAGTCACTTCCTGCTCTGGCACTCGTCAATTTTGTTGATTAGGGGCTCCTGAAACATTTGGTTGGTATCATGCACCTGCCGGCTGTAGCATCTATGCTTACCCCGAGTGCGAGGCGCAGGTTGGGAGGGGTTGGAAGAGTTGAAGCTGTAGAGAGCCACATTCGTCGAGGTCATGATGATGGGCCAGGTGTTGCAGAGTGTTCACGCTCCTGACATTGTTGTGCAGCCAGTGATCTTCTACTGGGAGGTAGTCGTACCTCTCCATGGATCCTCATATGGACGTGTGGGCGATCAGGTTCCTGGGATGGCAAGATCAGTGCAGGATGGGTTGGCGGGACAGTTGGAGGTGGGGCACTCTGACGTGCTTCGCGCTCGCGAGCTCTGCATCTTTTTTGGGCAAGAGATCAGGCATTTGGCTGGGCAGTAGGTGGTTGTGGTGTCAGCAGTGGAGTGAGAGGCGCAAGGCGAGGGCACATCTAATTGTTCATAGATTCAGGATATTGCACATATGTATAGCATGTTAACGACAACTCACCATTGTCCTGCGATTCGACGTGACCGATGTCGAGCTAGAGGCATGTGGAGCTCGATTTTCATCTCCATTGTTCTGTACGCGTCGGCGTCTTGGAGAGGCAAGTAGCTCGCTTTCCCGAGCAGTCCAACTGGACAACCGTGTTGCCGTCCTTTGAACACGTGCATCTGCTGGGGGAGTTGGAGTTTCTGGTCGAGCAGCAGGGAGGCGGCGGCGGCATGGGCTCTGATTCGCATTTTGAGCGAGCTCTCGCAGAGCCTGGCCAGCTTTCTGCTGCTGCTTTTGAAGGGTAGTGAGAGCGTCCTCAGACCTGGTTTGCGTCTATCAGTGGCAGAAGCAGGACAAACAGCGATGTACCTACATGGATAGTCACCAACCCCGCTAAATGAAGTAGAGCAATACATCGCATGTCGTTGTGTCGGTGATGTAACTGCATCGGGGCAGACCCCTGCCAAAATTGATCGAATATTCACGAAAATCCGAGGCAGCAAGCGCACCTGAACCGCTTCTCTCCTAGTCGTGGCCTGCGAACACCATTATTAGGGGGTAACACCGAGCGGGAGTTTCAGGAGTGGGCAATCCCGATTCCCAGGGCTCCGGAGGCAACAGCACCAGTCTTTGAGAGGTGTAGAGGTGTAGTAGGCCTTGAATAGATCTCAGACACCGTGTTCTTTGCCTTCATTGTCATGAAATCAGAAAAATCTATGTTAGCGCACGCACGAAGTGTTGTGGAAGAGGTGAGTCGGCCTCGACGTTGGAGAAGGATTTGAGCAGCCAATCAGATTGCAGGTTTTGCTTGTTTGTCTCAGCCAATCAGAAGGCTCCTTTTGCTCGAGCGTGAGAACCACTTCTGTTTAATATTATAGATTTACAAGCCTTTTCGCTGGAATGACGACGTCGATACTTCATTTCCACATTTTGCGCGCCTATCTACTCGTTCACCCCTTTTTCTCTTCTTGTCACTTTTCACCTCAGAACGTGAACGAATGACGCGTGCGTTGTGATTGCTCCCTACACTTATTGGGGATATGTGTTTCGGTTGGACGCCGGTCATCCTTCGCAGTAGCATGACTGAGGGTCTTCGGGACGGAAGCGTGGCGCCACCTTTCCCTTTTTCGTCTGGCTTCATCTCATTCGCCCTTTTAACTCGCTTAGTATATATGTTGATGACCTTGGCATGACTAGATGGTCATGGGTCTTTGTAAAAGCCGCATCGGTCAAGTCGCCCGCACGCGAAAAAACCAGCGGCCGTTTGTGGAGAAGAGCTCGGCAGAAGGGGTCAAGTAAGTGTCAATCAGATGACCCTTCAAATAAGCTAACACAGTATTAGCTATAGTATTGAGTATATAGTACACTGTGTACACACTGATGGAAAGAGAGAAATATTGGTGAGCTGGACGAAAATGTATGCCTAGTCCTTACCAATTGGTACTTAGTAGATATACTCGGGCCGAGACTCCAGAAGAGAGCGATTCGACGGGGCAGGTGAAGTTTGAAAGGTTCACTTGGGGTTCTTGATGAAATGATGGATGATCATGTTCGACTCGGAAAATATGGCCAGAATGCTGGATCACCCAAACTGATCGCGCGTGTAACCTCGTAGGCTCGTTTCGAAGCAAGGAGAAATGAGCATGTGAAGGGAACTCACTTCAAGAGAGGCCTGTAATTTGTCACAACTAGTGCCGATAACCGAGAATCACCTGCACAAGGGACAAGGAATTGGACCAGCCCCGGCCCGAGGAGCTCAGCGAGAGTAGACCACGTGACTGGCAGGGGCGCGACTTGCCTGATTGGGAGAAGGGCGGGAAGAGAATAAAACGACGGAAGCATGGGCGCTCGTGGGCGCTCGTTGATTGAATGAAGCTAGAGTGAAGCGGCCTGCACAAGAGATGGGGGACAGGGGAGCCGGAAAGAGGGGCGGAGAGAAAGTGGATGGATGGGGGAAAGGGAAGGAAGAAATTTGGAAGAGTGGGAGACGTATTTATACTCTCGCCAAGAGATGTATAATCTTGGCCGAGGAGGATGCAAAATGGCGATCTGGATCGGGCGGGTGTGTGGAAGGGCGTGACAGTGACTGGGTTGAGGGTGGTGTGTGACATGGTGCTGTTGTTGTTTCTTGCTGTCGTTTTCGCTGGACCCAGTCCGGCGCGCAGAGTTACCGCGAGAGCCATACGCGCTGCAATCGCACAATCCCTTTACCGTCCCCGCCGTCCGCCGTCCCGCCCAGTTAGTCATCCACCATTGGCCATCGCAGAGTGTGCCCGGCCTCCCGCCGCTCCCCGTTCGCAGCAACAGTGAGCTGCCATTCAGGTCCGTCCTCCGTCCCGCACACCGCGTCCATCCCCTGCCCCTAACTAATCTTCTTCCCCTCCAGCGGATCCCAGCACGTGCCCCACGCGCGTCATTCCCTTCCGTAGCGATTACACGTATGTCCCCTCCCCCCTCCCCCCGATATGCCTCTGAACAGCATGAAAAGACGACGCGACGACTATGAACCCCAACGCATTCTCCCAGCAAGGCCCATCAGGCATATCCCCAGCCATGCTGAACTCGTTCCAGCACCAGCAAAAGCAACCGACCACTCTGAACCCCGCCCAGCTCCTGAACGGGACTGGTACGAACATGAACATGAACTCAATGAACGGCATCAACCCCGCCCAGCTCATGCAGCAGCAGATGGGTGGAATGGGTAGCATCAATCCAGCTGCCCTGTCTGTGCCGTCGCCATCGCCCCAGCAGTCGCAGTCGCAGTCGCTCAACATCAACAACATGCTCTCCGCCGTCGGCATGTCGAGGGACCAATTTGCCTCGCTCTCGCACCACCAGCAGCAGATGGTCGGCGCCAAGTACATGGCCATGGCCCAGCAGCAGCAGCAACACCAACAGCAGCAGATGCAGATGCAGCAAGGCATGCAGATGCAGAGTCACCAAAGCATCGGCCAGTCCTATGACCGACCGTCGAGCTCGGCCTCGTCGCATTCCCAGCCAGGTCAAGCCCACATGATGCCCCCGCCTCCTCCCCGTCCACCAACGGCCCAGGGTGGCATGCACCAGCAGTTCCCTGCGCAACAAGGACAGCACATATCGCGACCAGGTACGGCGCTTTCTCATCGTTCGCCGACGATTCCTGGTCCGGGTTTAGCGATGATGGATGGTCAGAGGCCCCAGAGTTCTCTTGTGAGTATTTACCTCTGCATCTGTTCCCCGCTTCAGTTTCCAGTCCTCCTTTTTTTTGGAGACCGCGAGGGATGGATTTGTCAAGCTGGTTCTAGTCGCAGGTTGCTTTTATCGATCCTGCATCTCTCGTCGGGCGACAACAGTGTGGCGCACCTGTTTGAAGATTTTGTCTTTTCTTCCCTTTTTTTTTCAGAAAAATTCTTCTAGTTGCCTTCCTTTATTCATCTCTCTCGTCTCTTCTATTTGTTCCCCCTCTTACGTCTTGAGCGCTACCTTTTTCTTTCCATGCATTCCACATCCTATTTTTTCTATCTTCTCATAAAGGCGCTCGTTACTGACCGCTCTTTTGCTGCCTTAAATAGTCACAGCGCGACGGAATGAATGGCTTTAAGCCAAGTCAACAGCAACAGCAATTCAACCAATTGCAGCAGTCGGCCTCGAGCTCAAACGCACCGACCCGGAGTCCTTCCCAACAAGGAAATCTTCCCAGTCCACAGCAGCAACAAGCCAACCAGAACGCGAATGCGAACCTATCTCAAATACCGAACTTAGGCCCAAACCCGCCCTACCCCCTCAGCACCTCGCCAACAAACCGCGGTGCAAAGAGGAAGGCGACAGGGGATGTGATACAGGGGAATATGAGCGGAATGGGGAACATGAGCGGCATGGGAAACATGGGAAATGTAGGAGGTATGGGCCACGTTGGTGCTATGGGTGGCAATATGGGTGGTATGGGTGGAGGCATGGGCGCCATGGGGGGGATGAACCTGAATATGAACGCCAACGCCATGGGTATGGGCAACATGTCCGGCATGAACATGGGTATGGGGGTACCAGGAAGCCCACGTATCGGTTCCAGTATGACCATGGGTCCCCCTGGCCTGCCCCGGAGCGTCTCAGGCGACAATATTGGTATGGGCATGACTGGTATGGGCATGGGCGGCGGAATGGGTGGAAACGTGGGTGGGATGGACAACGCGAACATAAACATGATGAACGGCGCGCGACAATCCCCTCGCCCCCAGAGCTCGATGGGGATGAGTGGAATGGGCGGTATGGGCAACGTCAACATCGGTGGTGGCGGAATAGGTAACATGAGCAATATGGGCGGCATGAACAATATGGCCAGCATGAATAACATGGGCAACATGAACATGGGGATGGGGATGAACGTTGATGTTCCAGGTCGTATGGGTCCTCAGGCCATGTCGAACGCGCCTCAAGGCATGCGAACCAGTAACATTGGAAGCCCTCAAACCCCAATGCGCCAAGGTTCGCTGCCGCCTCAAACACCCCTACCTGCACAGCAAATGCAGATGGGAATGGGAGGGATGCCACAAGGAAGCATGGCTCCGCAGACCCCAATACAAAGCCACCAGTCGATGCGACAGGGCTCCGTACCACCCTCTGCTGCTGCTGGACGAGGTAGTTTACCACCTGGAACAGGAGGCCCCATGGGTATCGGCGCCCCATCCAGTCCTCTTCCAGGCGTCGCCGGTTCGCAGATAGCACCATCGGTGTCTGCATCTTCCATTGGTTCGATGTCTGGAGCGGCGTCAGCAACGGCAGCGCTGCCCTCATCTGCAGGTGTAACAGGAGGTGCACCAATTGGAGGAATCGGTCCACCGGGTTTGAGTGCGTCGGCGTCTATCTCATCGACCTCCGGGCCGTCAGGCTCCGTCCCACCTTCGACCTCATCAGCTACAGGAGCGCCAGCCCTTCCACCCTTGCCTACAAACGTCAAACTCAACCCCGCCACGACAGCCATCACTGCCGTGCCACTCTTGACGTCAACATCTGTCATACCCGCCTTGGAAGATGAAGAGCTACGAAAGATCAAGGAGTGGATGGAAATTGACAAGGCGTATGATGCTCGCTTACGCACGATGCGCCAGAGGGCGGGAGAAGAAGCCAGAGTGGCTCTTGGTCTCGGCGGGGGCCCGGTTGTAGATGGCAATACACGTAATAAGGGCTGGGCAGGTTCAGGTGCGATTACATGGTGGGAGCGCGGTGCACCCGGCAACGGTATGGGTAATTGGAATCGGTACAGGAGAGGTCGTGAGGGTTTCGACGTGAGGTATCCGAAGGTTCGCAGAGACGGGCACGGACAGAGCAGGAGTGGGCGGAAAGGTGCAAAGAGGGAGGGGCTGAGGCTGTGAGTTTTGTTTCTATTACCACTGCTTCTACCTTTGTCACTCCGACGCTGATGTTCTTTTTTGGTTGCAGGCCGAGGAAGATTGACCCGGAGGACGCCAACAGACCAGAGCAGCTCGTACCCATCCGGATTGAGTTTGACGTTGAGCATCACAAGATGCGGGATACCTTCGTCTGGAACCTCAATGGTACGTGCATTCGCCTCCTTTCAGCCAAAATAGTTCCTGAAGTCGTTCACGTCTCATCATTCAGATCCCGTCGTAACGCCCGAAGCCTTCGCCCAGTCCGTGGTAGAAGACTATGGCCTCGCGTCGTCCTACCATAGCATCATCGTCAAGAGCATTCAGGATCAGCTAAGTGACTACAATGCGCACATGGCCAATCTAGACTCGCACGACCATGAAGACTCTGGGATGATAAGGGGCTCCCTTGACGAGAAGGAGACGAAGTGGTGGGAAGCTTGGAGACGCAAGCTGGAGAGGGACAGCGGGAACACCTCTTCGAGAGATAAGGAGAAGAGACCCAAGAGAGAAGGCAGTAAGCAGCGGAGCAACAAGAAGAAGCGGAAGACGGTGAAGCAGGAGTCGGAGGAGGGTCAGGGTGATGACGCCAGCATGTTCGCGGACAACGAATGCGAGTACGATGATGACCGGAAGGCGGTTTCGTTCGCTGGCGACGAGGAGGAGACAGACCTGGACATGGACCTGGAAGACGAGTTCAAGCCACTTTCAATTGATGAGATCAAGGTCAACGAACAGAACACGCACGAAGACATGAGGATTCTGATCAAGGTGCGTTCATCCACCTTGAGGGAAGATAGACGTCTCACAATATTTATGTTATTTCTGTATCCTTTTGATGCAGCTGGACATCATTGTAGCGTCTATTAAGCTCGACGACCAGTTCGAGTGGGACCTTGATAACCCTGATGCGTCGCCCGAGGAGTTTGCGGAAGTCTACACGCAAGAGTTGGGCCTTGGCGGCGAATTCAAGTGAGTGCAAAACTTTTCCTCCTCCTCCCTTACATCGCCCCTTCCTGGACCTCCGTCGTCGTCGATGATCTCCACTCGATCAAACACAATTATTGATCTGTCGCTGTGATATAGAACTGCCATTGCCCATTCGATAAGAGAGCAAGTTCAGGCGTATCAAAAGTCTCTCTTCCTTGTCGGTCATCCGTCAGACGGCTCGGCTGTCCAGGATGACGAACTGAAACAATCCTTCTTACCGAGTCTCACATCTGGTGCTCGCTCTGTCGGCGAAGTGCAAGCTTTCACTCCGTTGCTGCACTATCTCAGCGATGGAGAGCTCGAGCGCACAGAGAAGGATAGGGACAAAGACCTCAATAAGCGCAGAAAGCGGAACACACGCGGACGCAGGGGTGTTGCCCTGCCGGATCGCGAGCCTATCAGGACGTATCGTACCCCTGCGATTGGATTCCCAGAACTGGATGCTGCGACTCTCGCGGCGGCCGTGGCTGCCAACGCGCCTGTTTCACGTCGTGCGGCGGCTGCAGCTGCGTCGCTGACTATTGCAAACATGGTGGCCTCGGAGAATGGGTCGACGTACATCCCGCAGACGCTACTCCAGCAAGCACCACAACCCACGCCGCAGACAACGGCGCAAAAGGACACCAAGAAGCCGAAGGGATTGTTCAAGGCTCCTACTTTTCCCCAATCTGTTCTCCGGCCGAGAGCACTTGTTCACGCACCTACACCGTCCACTGCAGCGGATACATCAAACATGCCACCTGGGCCTGTCGACAACGAGGCACCGCGGTCTTCTTCGTCTGCCATACCTCCGCCAGATAGTAGGTCAAACAAGGCCATCACTGCGAAGAGAGCTAAGGAGCTCGAGAGAGAGGCGAAGGAAAAGGAATTCGTTGATGGGCAGCACCCTAATTATATTGATGGTGTGTGGCACTGCTCGAATTGTGGCTGTCCGGAGAGCATTGCCGTTGGACGACGGAAGGGCCCATTGGGAGATAAATCGCAATGTGGCACGTGCGGTATGGATTTTCAGTTCAGGTTGCGGTCGACATATCACTGACGACATCTCGTATCAGGGAAATACTGGCATAGACACAGGAGACCACGGCCTGTGGAGTACAATTCAGACCCTGACTTCCATTCTGGTCTCAAGCAGAAGGAGGCAGAAGCCTTGCGCACGCCAGCGAATAAGAAAAAGGGTGCAGCAGCGGCTCTTCGTGCTCAAAGTGCGGCGAACTCTGCTACCCCTCTCGCTGATGTGTCGGAACCGCAGACACCGGCTCGATCAAATGGAGACCTGGAAGCATCTTCGTCTAGGATGTCTCCTGCCCCTACTGCTCCGATCATCGATGATGATAGAGCCATGTCACCTGTCTCGACTGCGTCCAGTGCATCAGAAGCACCTCTGGCCCAAAAAGTGAAGATGAACGGCGTCAACCACACCAAGGCTCCTGCTCCCACTCCTGCCCCACGTCCTGCGACTCCTGCCAGGACCCACCCCCCCGAACCAGCACAGCCTGCTCCTACTCCTGCCCCTCCTGCTCCCGAACCGACAGCGCCCCCAGCGCCGCCGGTTGTACCTGCACCCGCACCTGCACCTGCTGCAACACCGACTAGTCCTCCCAGAACATGGGTAAGCTCGGTTTAAGTAAGAATGTCAGTGATGGAGATTGACACGCTTTCCCAGCCTCCGCAGTGGTTGTCCCAGCAAATGCAAATTATGCAAAGCAGATATCCCAACGACCGATTCGAGGTTATTCTGCGTCGCGTCGGTGCGACCACCACTGCTGAATGGCGGATCAAGTGTCTGGACTGTCCTGGCAAGGTGAGTTTACCTGACGAAACACTTCTTCACTTGAGGTGATAACATTGAATTGCAGCTGTATACCCCTGGACCTCTAGAAACTCTCTCAAATTATGAAGTTCACCTTAAAAATCGTCAGCATAGACAACGCGTCAATGATCGTCTTGCTGCTGCAGCAGCTAACACATAGTTATTTGTCGAAGATGGGAACGTTACTGGTACCCATTTTCATTTCTTTTTTTGGTTGTTTTCTGGTCTTCTCTTGCACCTAAGTAGCCTCTTCGTACCCTGCTCGTATGTCATTGCTCCTTGTTGTCCTGTTGTTTTCTTACATATACAATGTTAAGCTCTCTGTATTGTTATCATCACTTCCATTTGTAATGCCAGACTATGTGGACGAATGTCAGATTGTCGTCAGTTCTGTCATACCAATTTCTAGTACTTAAGCACTTACGGCCTTGACACAAAGGCATCAAATGTCTTCGATTGCGATCCCCATTTTAGGGAATCAATTCCTTTTTCAGCTTGGCTCTGCAACTCTTCTACTCTACGGTATCCTGGCCTCATTTATTTCTGATGACTCCATCTTGCAAACCGGCAGAAGGAGAAGCGTGTCCATGATATCTGTGTTTAAGTTGCTGATATATAGTCACCACCAGCATTCATACTTTTTCATTCTCCCTTACATACCTATGCGGAGGCTTCCTTCTTCCACATCTGTTCTCGAGAATATATTCATTGTATAAGCCATAAAATATCAACTACATATTCAAAAAAAAAAAGACTTCATTTTCTTTCCTGCTGCGTTTCAGTTCATACAATCAGTATATGAAGACATCTCTTCAATCCCTATCGATAAGGTCTTCCTGTCCTTCGAACGTCTTCAACCAGTTCTTGATGCCTCCTTCGAGAACATATGCAGTGGACTTGTGAGACCCTTCACCCTGCGCATCCAGGTAGTCTTGGTACCTGTATCCTTGCATCAGCAAGAATGTTCTAGACTTGAAATAAGATGAAGAAGGAAGTACCATCCAGCAGATCTCGGACCGCGCCCATTAGAGCTTTGACAATAGAAAATAACGCGGGGCGTCTCCTTGAACTGCTCGTAGAAAGAAGGCAGGTCATCATAGAATGTCTGTGCAGCCCAGTTATGACTTCCGCGTACGTGCCCACCCTACAAAACGCAGAGACATAACCGAAGTGTCAGCGACCTTTTCTATGGCTCATCAATAAACAGGGTCAGGACGGAGGGCTCGTACCGCATGGTCGTTCCTGCGCACGTCAATGATAGCAATGTCCTTGGATGCTGCTGTAGGGTCGCGGATGAAGGCTGCTACTTCTTCGGCGGCGAGGAAGGAGGGAGAGGAGTCGACGGTTGGGTAGGCGTCCCACCAGCGGAGGAGGGCGGTGGGTGGATTCTCAGCCGTCGGGCCGTTCTTCAGAGCGTAGATCTGGAACGATCCTGGGTCGCAAAGCAGATTGAGGATTTTCATTCGTGATGGATTCTCAGGGGTGGCAACTTACCAACCCACTCATTTACGTCGAAATCGGGTTTGGTTGGCTTGATTCCCGGGGTGCTGGGGTACAGCAACTGGGATCGACTTGATTATCGCCGTTTTGGTAATAGACGGACAAATCATTCTTGGTGTCGATGAAGAGAACATCTGAAGCTGGTAAACATCACCCTTGACAAGGTTGCATTGCAAACTCACTAGAAAATCCCGCATCCGCGAGAAGAGACTTGTACTGTTCCTCCAGGGTGGCACCGGATATACAGGAAACGTACGCCAAGAGGTTGTTCTTGATGTTTTCTGGCAAAGGTTTCCTCGCAACAATCTTCCTAATTCAGATACAAGAGATCCAACATTGGTGTAGAACGTGGCTCACATCGTCTAGGACAACCCTACCACCTGGTTTGAGAATCCTATGCACTTCCTTGAGGAGAATGGCCTTTCCCTCGAGCGGGAGCAAGTTGATGACACAGTTGGAAAGAACGCAGTCGACGGAGTTCGGTTCAATGGGCAAAGGCTCAGTCAGGAGCGCCTGGACGAAAGCGACGTGTGGGGGCTTGAGACCTTTCTTGAAGGCATTCCTACGAGCCAATGCGATCATATCCTAAGAAGTTCAATTATAGAATAGGCGTAGGGAAAGTGGTCAGATAAATGAGACTTACAGCTGACATGTCGAGCCCAATTGCTTTGCCTGACGGTCCAACCTTTTCAGAGGCGAGGAAAACATCGATGCCTCCGCCAGAGCCGAGGTCGACGATGGTCTCTCCCTAAGTGAGCAAGGAATATTTCGATTGGAGTTTTGTCAACGTATAAGCAAATCTTACCTCTTTAATAGATGCGGCTGCCACAGGATTACCACAACTCAACCCCATATGAGCTCCTTCAGGAACTGACTTAAGCTGTTCCGCGGTGTACCCAAAGGCCTCTGCAACACTCTTAGCATCTACGAGGTAGGTTGAAATAGTCATATCCGTTCGTAGGGAACACACGGGACCTACAGGAAGCAGCCACTCCCTCTCGGGCGAGAGCACTGTATGCGGCATTCACAACGCCAACGATGTCTGCCGTAGGTGCATTGGAAGAACCACTAGCCGGCGTTTCGTTTGCATTCTTGGCTTTGTTGAAAGGCATGGTGGGCAGATTGAAGATGGGAATACAGAGATCTAGACATGGCTGCTTATGAAGGGGAGCGATTTTGAAAGTGAACATCAAATTCGCAGAACGTGCATCCCTACCGGCCCGCTGGCATTCGGTGAATGCCGGAATCTCTCATGGCGGAATTCCATCTGCGACAATCGACATCTAGTCTCCTACCAAGGGTCAAGCAGCCTCCGAAGGCTTCGAAGATCTCAGGCCAGTTCTTTTATGCTGCAAGTGACGATGGAATCGATGAGAATCTCCTGATTTTGCTCCACGGCCTTGGTGTGTCGTGTTGTGTTCTTTAACATCCTTTAGTTGTGAGCGCATCGTCTAGGAGACACCCACGTACCGTTCTCGAAGCTAGGAAAGTCCTTGAAGCTTCCTCAGACTGCAGTTCTTGCACTGCGTGCTCCAGAACAGTGCGTGCTTGGTACTCTGCCTACATTAAATTCATTTATCTCGTCAGGGTGCCATTTCTTTACGAAGACGCGTATCAGTGGTACACGTCCTTCGATGATCTAGGCGAAATCATCGACCGACCAAACCCAACGCCAGCGTTCCAGTTCCTCAATACTGTCGTCGACCATCTAACGAATGACTGTGCATGGCCTCTCAATCGAATACATTTCTTCGGTTTCGCTCAAGGAGGCTCTGTTGCTGCTGAGTTCGCCATAGAGAGATGGAAAGCCCAATTTCAGCCTAAGAAAGTGATAACCTCTGGTCAAGAGGATGAAGACCCAGATCAAGCCAATTCATTCAAGTCTTTCGCCTCTATCGTCACCATTTCCGGCCCCTTGCTCTCATACCCAACACTATCGACTCTCTGCCCAACACCGACCCTCGTTGCCTATCGATCTGCGCCTTCTGAGACCGCATTACCTACCAATGCTCTCAGCCCAGTCAAGAAGGCGTTCCAGTCTGTCACCGAGTCGAAAATGAGGGCAAAAAGCGCGGGCATGCCCAGTTCGAAGGAAGAATGGGAGCCCATCATGCGTTTCTGGAGCCAGCATCTTTCGAGGAGGCAGGTGGATGGTCTGTACGAGGCCATGACAGGGGCTAGCGCTAGCACAAAATACAGTGATCCGGCGGTCCTTGGGACACCCTAAGGTGATTAGCGAGTTTTGGATCTCGACATCCTTTCTGTGAAATAAAAATTAGATTTCCATATTCTACTCCCCTAAGCGCACACTTTGACCAAATTTTGAGGGAAACGAGAGAGAACTCGCTCCAAAAAGTGTGATTCAACAATCTGACCAATTTTGATGGCAAATCGATCCTTGGGACTCCGCCGCCCGCAAGATTTGGCGGGTGGGAAAGTGAAAATGATGGCTTTCCTGAACAAAAATTCACTGTTTCCTCGCTTTTTCCTGAAAGTCATGCCCATTCAGGCCAAATCCTGTGATAATCTGCTGCCTGATATGGCCTTAATGTGTCCAGAATTTATGCAAAATTTACGTTGGCCTGATTTTGCACGACTGGGTCCATCAATTGCCTGATCGCTGCAAAATAGGCCATTTCGCTCACCCACCGACAACCTGTCCTGTTCTGCCTTAGAAAAATATTCAGCATCTGTAAGATATTACAAAAAATAGCTCTGCCAAATATTTAAGGATTTGAAGGAGAATTGCTCTCAAAAAGGCCACTGTCTCAAGGAGTGACAGTGTCCCAAGGACCGCCGGATCACTGTAGGTAAAATGCCTGCAGTGCAAATCATGTTTGGACCCAAGGAGCAATTCATAGAGCATGCATCACATTGACAACACATAGGCGCAGATGTACGAGAAATAGGCACATAAATGGATGGATCGAGAACGAGAGACAAAATGCAAATTAAAGTGTCAAGAAATAACTGGTTGTAAGACCTAGGTTTCGGATTTCGTGAAATGGTAGCAATTATGAATATAGTCAAGATCGTAGTTGTTAGTCGTAAGAGTGTCGTAGGTATGTGTGGTGGGTCGTAAACAAACTGGGTCTACCGAGGTTGCTCATACATCGAACCGTTCGATGAGGCCGGACCGAACAGCCCACTGGGTCGACGCTCAACTGGAACAATGGTGGGCTCCACCGACAAAGGCGTGAGGTTGTCGCGATTAGCTGGTGGATAATCCATTAGTCCATAGTTTGGCGATGAAAGTTAGGAATCGAAAACTCACGCATCCAAGTAGCCCACGACGTCAGCTGGTGTCTGGCATCATCGTATTGTTGTGCCATAGGCATCGCTGGCGGAGGTGCAGAAGTCGAGGCAGCAGCCTGCTGCGATTTCTTCGTCTTTTTCTTCTTCTCGCGAGGTGGGGGAACCTTCCTCCATGCGGGCGGCACGAAAGCGGCCGCTGGAGGATCAGGCAGAGATGGTGCCATGGCTTCAGGAGGAGGGGCGGGTGGAGGAGGCGGTTTCCTGCAAGGGACAACGTCAGTTTTGACTATGAAGTTTCTAGGCCGAGGCACATACCAATCAGGTTCATACTCTCCGCCAGGACCATACTTGGACCTCATGCAAAGCAAATCGCCGATTTCACTGCGGCAAACACTCGTTAGTTCGAGTTGGAGATCAAGATCAAAGCTTACTGTTGAAGTGCCCGACGTTCTTCTCGAATCTTTCCAACTTCGCCCAGAAGCATTCGCACTTCTGTTGCCAAAGCTCGGCTGAATTCATCGAGATACTAGACGCACCGATAATTACGAAATTCAGTATTTAAGAGCAACGATGCACTTACGCCTTGGACGTTGAATGGTACTTGCTCATTGGCAGTCGACCTGACAGCGTTCAGGGTTTCTTCGTGGTGCTTCTCGCAATCGGCTCTCCAACCTGGTTGAAACGATGAGACAAGAAGATACAGAGACGCCACATACACTCACTCTCGGACAATTGCGTCAACAATTCGCGTTGTTGGGCATTCTGCGTCTGCAAATCGTCGATGATCCTCTCCATGGCTATTGGAAAAGAAAAAGGGTCAGTCAGGGCAAGAAAAAGAGAAATACCAACACAGACCTTCCCGCGACTGGCGACGTTCATCGTCGGCTCTGTTTCTATCAGTCTCCATGTCTTCGTGAATCTTTTGGACCATGTCCCGTAGCTCAATCATCTGTGCCTCTTTGTCCTGTCGACGTACTTGCTTCTCTTCCCATCGGGCATCCATCAGCTGTTTCTTCGTTTCGCACATGTCACGTTGGTCCTGAACAAGGTTGGTGATGTCGCCCAACTGTGCACGCACAAACTCGTCACGCTCCATCCTCTCCTCTCTCTCTCGCTCTCTCATCTCCGATTCTTGCGTCTCTCGCTGCTGCCTCTCCGCTTCAAACTCGCTGCGCAATTGCGAAAGCTCGTCCTCCAAGGCCTTGATCCTGTTGTCCTTCTCCTCGATGACGCGATCTTTTTCTGCCCTGAGCTCGGCCAGCAGCTGCGCACGTTCGGCTGCCATTTCCTCGCGCTCTCTAGCAGCATCTTCTCGCTCAAGTCGGATTGTTTCCATCAATTCGGCGGCATGTTGCGTCGCCGCCTGTGTAGCAAGAGTTCTGATCGAAGCAATAGACTCCTTGTCACCCTCCTTCTGAGCAGCCGCCTCAGCCTCAGTTATGGGGGCCTCCTCCTCAGGTTGGACAGGCGGAGCGGGAGCTGGCAAAGCAGCAAGGCGCGATTCCAGTTCGTTCCATATTCCTGCAGCTCGATCCCTCGCCTCTTGGTTCCTTCGCTCCTCGTGCTCCAGGAAAACTTGCTCGCGATGATCTTCGTGGTGACGGAACTCAAGCTCTCTTTGATCTTCAGATTCCTCTGCGGCAGCGGAGATGAGTTGAAGACGGTTGGCTGCTTCATTGAGAGCATCCAGTTGTTCTCGGTTTTCGTCCGCGACGCGGAAATCGAAAGGGGTTGTGAGTCGAGGAGGGGGTTGGGGAGTTGCTGCACGTTCGCCTGGCACAATTGGAGGCCGTGCGATCTGTTCGGGTGGCTGTGCCGTGGGAGGGCGGCTGAGTGGTGGCCGTCCTGTCTCTGCTCTTGGTGCTTCTGCTCTCGGTGCTTCTGCTCTCGGTACTTCAGCGAGAATACTGGGAACACGAGATGGCCCCGGTGGCGGTGATCTCTCGCTCCGAATACTAGGAGGACGGACGTGAACAGCGGGAGGAGGAGAATGATACGTAGAGCCTCGGGGAGAATAAACTGGTTTAAATCAACAGACGGTCAATCACCAAATGAACTTTCACTGACCTTGCGATGCAACTCGATGAGGGGTTACCGGACGACTAGGATAAGCACGCCCTGCGTCGCTGCCGGCGGCGCTAAATATTGTAGGGGGTCTATGTTCAGCACCTCGGGAAGGAACAACGATTCGAATTTCGTCCCGTGGACCGCTTTCTGCTGTCGGTGCGACCCCTGTCGCTTGTCTGGAAATTGGACGAGGACTGGCAGTTCTTCCCGTTCGTCTTGGGGAACGCGGTCTGTCTTGATAACGGCTCCGGCGGGGCGAATAGATACTTGACGTTGGCGAGAGTGTCCTTGCTCGGCGGACTCCGGGAATAGGACGTCTAGGAGAAGGAGTATAGGAACGAGGTCGACCAGAAGGATATCCACGCTCCGTACGATAGCGATCACGGGAGTCGAGGCTTCGAGGCGAGTAAGAGCGCCTATAACTCCGACCTCGGGGCGAATAATAGGGACGGCCGCGAGAATCATCTCTTGGAGAATATGCGCGGCTGCGATATCCGTCTCTTGGAGAATATGGACGGCCACGATACTCATCTCTGGGAGAATAATATCGACGACGTCTAGGAGAAATCACCGCATGCCGGGCTCGAGAAGGGCTGCGATGAGGAGAATAGGAGCGTCTGCGATCACCAGGATCGCCAACGACTTGAACACGGGTGGGAGAGCGGCGTCTAGGTGAAGGCGAACGAGTAGAGCGGTGAGTCGGGTAATAGCCAGGGTGGCTAGGCATCATTCCGATAGGTGGTGGAGGAATCACAGCCACTGGAGTTGTCGAAGGATAGTGAGCCCGAGTAGGCGTTCTCGAGCGAGAGCGATGACGTCTCGGAGATGGGCTCCGAGTACGGCGACGACGCGGAGAAGATGGTGTCCTCGAACGACGCCGACGAGGTGAAGGAGATCTAGTATACCGGCGCCGATGCGGAGGAGATCGTGAGCTGGTGTAATAACGACGGTGAGGGGATGGCGAGCGACGAGATAAAGGCTGCTGTATAGCGCCAGGAAGAATGATTGGTGCATCCCGGCGTTCTCTGGATCTTGAGCGAGAACGACGGGGTGAATGTGGAAGAACAACGGGCATTGGTGCCATAGCCGTGCCAGGAACAAGCACTTGCGGTTGTGCAGGTGCGGCTTGGCTTACTGGTGGGGCATAGATAGTGGGTAGTTGTGGTTGAACCATGACACGGTCGGGAGAATGGCTCCGCCGCCGACTGCGATGACTCCGTCTTGAAGGCGAGCGAGCAGGCATCATCATGACCGGTCCTTGGGCACCAGGGCCAAGAGGTTGAGATGGAAGGATTGTAAGGCCAGCAGGCATCTGTGCTGGTGGTGGAGTATGCCTACGCGGTGAACGAGAACGAGACCGACGTTCAGTTCCGGTGATAATGACAGGTGCAGGTGCAGGCGCAGGCGCAGCAGCGGGTGGAGGAGTCCTCCTCTCTCGGGAGCGCCGTCTTCTACCACTACTCCTCGACCTGCTCGAACGAGGACTACCTTGTTGAACTATTACGGGTGGTGCGCCCGTCATTGGGACGCCCATTGGCATGCCCGTCATTGGAACACCCATTGGCATGCCCGTCATTGGAACACCCATTGGCATGCCCGTCATCGGAACACCCATTGGCATGCCTTGCATTGGAACACCAGTCATAGGAACACCAGTCATGGGCATCCCAGAGGGAGGTATCCCTAGAGGACTCATAGGCATTGGCGTCATGCTTGGTACGGTCTCCATGGGTGGCATGAAGGTTGGTGGCTGTTGGACTACTGGCGGAGGCTGTTGAATAATGACCGGAGGTTGCTGAATCCCTGGTTGCTGCGCTGCTGGCTGAGACGGCTGCTGAATAATAATGGTTGGCTGTTGCTGCTGAGGTACACCGTCGTACATCGAATGAGGGGCCATAGACGGAGCGGATGGCGGGACGACATGAACGGTCGGTGTTGGCGGATACATCGCGGAAGCAGGTCGACTTGGGGGATAGGCTTGCATTGGAATGCGCGGAGAACCATTGGTGACCATCAGCGGAGGACTGGGTGATCTGCTCCTTGAGCGAGAACGAGAGCGTCGACGCCTGCTCCTTGAACGAGAAGAGTAAGTTGGACTACCATACCGTCGGCTCCTTCCTGTCCCAGTGCTTGGACGACGTCGGGGACTGCGAGTTCGGCGAGTGCTACTGGTAGTTGAACTTTCAGGACTTGGAGGCACGTGAACGACGTTTGGACCCATTGTTGAGTACATTGGTGTCGGGGTGGGTATAGGAATCGCGGGTCGGGGTGTCCCGGTGCTGCCAGAGGGAGAAAAACCCGGAGGAATAAAGATGGGAGGTTCTGTTGGAACGCGAAGCACAGGCTGCGGTCCAGGTCCTCCGGTATGATATCCATCCATCGGGATGGCCGGCGCGACCCCTGCTGTTGGAGGTATTACGCCGCCAGGCTGGACAATGATAGTTGGTTGAGGAGCTTGAGGTATCACAGGACCAAATGCTGGTCGAGGAGTGATATCCGGGACAACGCTGGGGACGACGGGACGGTCAAACGGTTGAAAGCCAGCTGGATACCCTCCATACGGCTGTGGCTGTGGCATTGAAGGTCCAGGGGGGCCGGGGGGGTAAAACACTTGGGTATCTGATTCAGTCGTACTTGACGGTGTTGAGGCGGCACGAGCTTGTGGATGATAAGTTACGAAACAAGACAAAAGCAGTACTACTTACCATGCCTTTGCATGTCCCGAATGTAATCACTGAGTTGATCGACTCTTGCAACAACTCCTCGTAACTCTGATTGTCGATCATGGACATCGCGCTCCAGCCACTCGTTCAGGCCTCTCATGTATCTCATTAATTCACGTTGTTGGTCGACAGTGGCCAGCTGTGCCAAGCGATTCTCCTATCTCACGAATTAGCTCTCCATTGATATTTGCATCCAATTGAGATCGTACTCTGAGAATTTCCATAAGTGAATCGAAAAGCGGCGGCAGTTGCACAAATGTCTATTTCGGATATAAGTCTTGCGGCAGCATCGTTCTAAGAAGAAACTTACGGGACCAGAGGGCATCGGCATGTAACGGATTCCAGAAGGTTGCCTTGAAGGGCCAGCTGTAGGCGAAGGGGCACTTGGACCAGAGGCAGAAGGAACAGCCGCACGCCGCTGGGTACAATATCAGGATGTTTTTATCACACGAAACTGAACAACTTACAGGCTGTCCAGGGCGTTGGTACCAGCTTCTGGTCCCTCGTGCAGGTTCGTCACCGAAGTCCGGAGGAGCGGTCTCAACTCGAGGAGGTCGCGAGTCATAAAGGCTCGTGGGCTGTTAAAATACTATCAGCGCACGCTAAGGTAGCCAACGTACTCTACGAACCAGAACAGGTTGCGGAGGAGGAGGCACTGGTCTGCCTTGAACTCGAGGCGGTGGCTGAGGCTGAGGTTGAGACGCTTGCTGAAGAAGGTCGCGTTGTCGTCGTTGTTCATTCAAGAGTTCTTCAGGACTGATGTCAGGTGGGTGTGAGGGCCGACGGAATGTTGCAGCTTGCGTGATAGTGTCGGGCTCGGATGGTTCTACTGGTCGTACTCTAGCCTCTCGCGCACGATAACGCTCTGACGGCCTAACAAAAACCAGAGGAACAGTTGGCGGGCGCGGTGGCACGGTCTCGATTGAAGCTGGACTCGCACTTCGCGCACGATCGCCTCGTTCCGTCGGTCGATAGATAAACGGCCTCACCTGCGGCAACTCCGGTGGCGGGCGTGGGCGAGGGTCGTGAGCAGAAGAAAGGATGGTGTCCAGCTGTTGAGCAACTGATGGGCCAGCTTGCGCAGTCCTGGGCGACGGTGCATGAGGACCATCTTCCAGGGGAGAAGCCAATTCGTGCAAAATGGATCGCAACCGTCTCAACGAATCAGATGATTCTGAGATTGATACCGTGCGAGTGGCTGTTGGAGCGGGAACAACAATCTCCGGTCCTCTGGGGTGGCCTTGCTCAAGGAGATTTTGTATGAGCTCCTCAATACGCTGCAATCGATCAGCAAGCTCTCCGGTGTGATCTTCCGGGGCTGGGACTTGTCGCTCCTGCAAAGCTTCCAAAAGATTTCTCGCGGAGGCCTGGGCCCGTTCCAAATCCCCAAGTTGTGCTTGAATGCCCCGTAGAGCTCGTTCCAGGGCATCCGGAGCTGTCTGCCTTACAGTGCTGGCCTCCGAAGAGAGCTCACTTGAGGGCGACAAGGGGCTTGACGAAACACTCGACGAACTAGTTTCTGGAGGACTAGAGGAAATCTCAGTCGTGATGTCATCCTCCACATCCTCAGCTTCGAAAATGCCTGTAGAAATGGGTGGAGATCGAGGCTCATCAAAGAGGAAGTCATCCGAATGATGTGACGACAAATAAGAGCCTTGGCTGCTCGCGTTGCTGGTGGCACGACTCAAGGATGTAGCAGGAGCTGGAGGCAGAGTTACCTCCATGACTCGCAGTCCTGAAGGCCGTAATGAAGACACTACGCTGCTGCCACCAATGGACCGATCTACAAGTTGAACGCCAACACGTACTCGCTCTTCCACTGGCCGGCCTGGCACGGGGTCAATTGGCGCGGTCGAGGGTGGCGGAGTGCGCTGAAGAAAGTTTGCAAGGTCACGCAGCTCCTCTCGCAGTGCTCTGACATTTTCAGCAATCTCTTCGTTTTCGAGACCGCGAGCTTGATCGTAGGTGTGTAATTCGCCGACAAGTCGATCCATCTCGCGAGCGAGATCTCTTTCTGTGATCACTGTACTGACTGAGGGTATCGTCCTCAGGCTGGACTGCTCCGTTGCCCCGCTACCCTGTGGCGTGGTGATGCTAACAATAAGAGAGCCTTCTGGTGTGAGAAGCCTTTGAGTTGGAACCGGACTTGGAGTCAGAGAGGGGCTGTGGTGCTGCAAACATAATGTTAGCAGATAGACAAATAGGCATTCTTCGAGGGACCTACTGAAGGACGTGGTGTGCTGAGTAACGTTGGCACGGTGGACGGTTCTGAACGCAGGTCAACATCTGGCTTTGGCTCTGGCTCGAGCTCTGGCGGTGGCTGAGGCTCCTCCCAGTCGATCTCTGAGCCAGATCCAAATATAGAGGAGCTTAATGAAGACTGCGAAACATATGACGATGACGAATATGTTGATAACGTCCTTCCGAGGGAGCTCGATGATTCGGAACTGAACATGAGGCTTGTGGGAGTCTCGACATCTGTAGCAGAAGAGATGGAAGGCGGTAATGCAGGAACAGGGGTCAAAGGCTGCAAAGGGGATTGGGGCGGGGCCGACGTCAAAGGAGAAGGAGATGGTGGGATCGTGCTCATACGTCCGATGGAGGACGGTGACCCACTTGGTCGAAGGAAGGAGGTCTCAAACGACGTCTCAATGCTTTCATGGAGTGCGATAGACCGAATAGACGGCGAAGGTTGGAGAATTGATGATTCGTATGAAATGTCAGTTGCCGTTGCCCATGGTTGCGGGCTCGGGGGTACCAAGGAAGACGACGTCTGAGTAAAAGTTGTTAGATCCGCGGACGTCGAGAGAGATGATTCAGACACGTATGCCGACGTAGTCCGGGGCAGGACAGGAGTAGAGGGTGGCAACGTTGAAGCTGTGGAGGCAGATGAAATGTCGAGGGACGTAGGTGTAATAACTGAAGTTGAACCCAAAGTCGAAGGAGGAAGAGAAGAAAGCAGGCTAAGGCTGACAGTCTCTTCGTCAATTGCATCCTCGTCCTGATCAATAGGGAGTTCGGGTTCTTGCACTGACGACTCCGTAGTTGGAGGGATTTGGAACGAGGTGGGTGTTGCGACATCTCGCTCCTCCGTAGACTCAGCCAGTGGCGATGGTGTTAGAGATAAGGAAGGTGATGATGACGGCAAGGACGGCGGCAGGGACGGTGGTATCGACGGGCGTAGCGACGGTGTCGGCGTCGGAGACAATGATGGTGACAACGACGGCAAGAGTGGGGAGGTCGGCGGAGGCTGTGTCACCGGAAGGGAGGGCAAAGACGGCGACGGAGATGGAGAAGGCAGGCTCAAAGTAGCAGGAGGCGGAACTGATGGAGGTGCCGACGGTGGCAGTGGAATCTCCTCAGGAAGGAGTTCGGAGAAAATCGATGGTGACCTAATCGTTGGGATAGCCGAAGGAACACGTATTATGCTGCGTTCCTCCTCCTCCCGCCCACGGTCCAGATCAAGATCAAGGGACGAAAGGACAGGAGTGTTCAGCTGCGATTCCGAGGGTATTTCTTCCAGCTCGTCCTCAAAGCCGACGTACTCGGACGGAGGCGAGGGCTCCGATGGCTCTGACGCTGTCAGGAAATCCGTTTCGACACCTGGGTCAGAAGCTGTGCGATACTCCGTCGAGACTGATTCAGCACTCAAGTACTCTGAACCTGGGATCGTCGGGAAAGATTCGAAGGAGGTGATAGAAGTCCTCGAAGACTGAACAACCGCAGTGACATATTCAGTGCTTGCCTGAGACGCAGTGACGTATTTTTCTGAAGCTGGAGCTGCTGCTGAGATAGTCGGCGATGGGGGAGAAAAAGGCGCAGCCGTCTCAGACTCAGATGTCAAAGTCGGTCGGGTGAGGTCTGTAAAGTCGGAGGACGGACACACGTCGTAACCTGTCTCGCTTGATGAAATGGGTGTATGGCCTCCGATGCCACTGCTCGAGGTGCTTTCAGCTCCATTGGTAGCCGCCTGAAGGGTATAGCTTCCACTATCCAAGCTTCCGGGAGTGTAACTTCCGCTCGGGGTGTATCCACCACTGCCTGTTCGACTGCCGGTACCGCTATAACTTCCACTCCTCGACCTCGACCTTTCACTTCCACTGTAACTGCCCGTCGGGGTACGGCTACGGCTATGCGAATAGCTGCCAGTATAACTTCCACTCCCTCTTCCACTTAGTGACAGCGAACCGCTGCCGGGGGTGTAGCTGCCGGTAGGCGTGCGCGATCCACCTCTAGCATCGTCATTCTCTTTATCCGACGAGGAATGGGATCCTTCGGTTTGATAACCTGATGAATATGACCTCGATGTGCCGGCCACCCGGCGCCGTATTTCTCTCGCTCGCGACAACGTAGAAGGAGAATCAGCAAAGGACAGCTCTGAATCCCCATTTCTGGATGAGCCGGAACCAGTCAAGGGACGGTATGTGGATGTGAAGGTTGAGGATGAAACTTGAGTGGGAGATGTCGCAGTCGTGGGGCCAGTCATCGTACGACGACGACCGGTTGAAGTAAGGGACGTCTGGGAGAAGTACGTCGACGACACGTTCGATCGAACACCATCCGAGGAACCAGCACTGAAGAAGTGCTCATCGGATGCCTCTGACCTCGCCCTGTCACCGCCACGCCCGACGCTGGGAGGAGGGGTAATGAAAATGTTCTTTCCGAGCGAAGACCCGCTGGAGATCGTTACTGGAGAGCCACCAAAAAACCTTCCCGCTGCATCTCTGGCACGGCTAATCGCCATCTTGAACTCATCGTCCAGGTCCGTCATGGACCCACTCCGTCGTCGCAAAGACCGTCCACGTGTGGGTGTAATGACTCGAGGATCGCCGGGATAGACATACTCCTGGTTCTGAATCACTGTGTCGTCAACAGTGCGAGTGTGGTGGGATGTGATAATAGATGATTGACGAGAAAGGCCAGATGTAGTTGACTGGAAGTCGGAGATGTCTGGAAGCGAGCTGAGAGGGGGAACAAAGACCGTGGATCGCGACCCATTGCTGGAAGTGCTGCTGCTGCTATTGATAGAGAGAATAGTCCGGATGGACCCTGTCGGCGATCTGGTAACAGAGACCGAATTTGGCACCACAAGAGGCCGATTGACAGCCTCCCTATAAGACAATATATCTCCTGAAAACCTTAAAGCCAAGTTTTCAAAACTTACCAAAGCCTATTCACCCATTTTTGCCTTTCAAGCAGACTTTCGGCCGCCAACCGCTCGACCCCATCTGCATACAGCATGTGAAATGGTACGAGCATGTCCATAAGCGGAAGTGCATCACGCTCGCTCATTTGCTGCCTTGCTGCGATTGTTCCAACATCGTCGCGGGCGCTTGGATGAGTCGGCGAAGGAGCCGATTGTACACTTGTACAGTTCAGGAGGTCAAGCGCCACAATACCGCGACCACCTCCCGGCGCAAGCCAGGAGAGCAGAAGCATGTGTGGATACAACAACGCCTGGCATCTCTGCCAACGATATGGAGGAGAGGCATGGACGTTGAGGTACCATAGCAAGCCAATATGAACAGGCTAGAGATGGAATGAAAAATGCGAGCAGCACACGATTGATAGTAGACTTACTGGCTCTTTACTCTGGGCATAGTTACTAAACTCGTTGAGATCGAAGCCAGGCGGTAAGACGCCGCTACGACCGCTCCTGACGCTGGCATTGTCAGGTACATCTTCTAGGGCTGGGCGAGTGGGTGTCACGAGCGGATTGCTGATTTGACGTGACTCTCGAAGCCTCGCACGTGCCCCTTCAACACGACGCCGAATGCCATATAGCCCGTCATTATCCTGGGGCGGCGAGACCGACGTGAGGGGCGACCTGTCGCCCGATCGTCCAGATGCCGGCGTGCGTTCCTTCCATAGGGCAACTATGTTCCTCACTGAAGCAAGGGGGGACCTTGGTGACGTTTGCGGCTTTCTTAAACCGGAGCTAGGAGTGACAGAAGTGCGAGTAAAGGTGTCTTCGGTGTTTCGATGAGTGTAAGTCTGCGTGTCGGTGTTGGTATATGTGTCAGTATTGGTGTCGGTATATGTCCTCGACTGCATGCTTGGCGTGGTATATGATCCAGTACCAGTGTTTCTGTTAGTCCAAGTGTTGATGTTAGTGTATGTGCTTGGTGTTTGGCTGGTGTATCCTCCAGTTGCCGTTCCGGTTCCCGTCACTGTCCCACTCGTTGTAGACCGAAATCCCGATGTTGTGGTTGGCCTTTCTGGAGGGGAAAGCAAACTTGGGCCGACGTTGGACCCCGACGACCCACTTGCTGATTTGGTCGGCGAAGACGAACGCGACCCATACCCATACGATGTTGTTCCATAACCGTACCCTGCACTGGTAAGCATGGGGCTTGAAGCTCGATAGCCAGGTGTAGAAGATGTGCGGGTGTGTCCTGGAGATTCAAACACAGCAATGAGCTCTCCGAGCCGTCCAGGAGCTGGCAGCGTCCTATCTGAACTTGGGTCTGTCGAAGCTCGAGAATGGGAAGGCGTAACTCCCAGTAAAGCCGACCGTCGAAGGTTATCGGGGGTTGGATTAGCTGGTCGCGAAGTCGAGAGTGAAGCCGATGAAGGACGTGACTCCTCCGTCCTCTCCGTGATACGGCTGAGACGAAACCTTGGTTCGACTTGATGTTGGGGTGGAGACCGAGGCGAGAACGTCGGCAGAGAGACGAAGGAAGGAGAACCCGTGTAGGTGCCGGAGTAGGTGAACGTCCCCGTAGCAGATGAAAACGTCCTCCCCCCCAGTGGTGAATAAGAGCCCGACCAGTCGGACACTGCTTGCTCGGTATTGTCAATCTCTTCGTCCAGATTGTTGAGAGTGGCGTCAACTTCGTCGATAGAATTGTCGTCGTTGTAATCATCGTACTCCTGCGACGGGGAAGGAGATACGGCGACGCGCCTCATGTGCTGCTCTGATTCGTCTCCATCCGATGAATAGCGCTGGATATCTACACGAGGGTTAGAGGTAGAGGAAAGGTATACGATATCACGCACCCGACTCGCGCGACGTGTAGGAATATCTTGAAGGAGAAAACGTGCCTGTATACGTCGTGGTCCCCTCTGGAGGAGACCATATTTCGGTAGGTTCGCTGCTCATCGTTCTCTACGACGATGGCGATGGCGGCGGCAGCAACTTTCAAGAAACTGGAGACGACTGGTACACAAAGGTGCCTTCCGATTTAGGAAACTCAACATCAACAAGTAGTTTAGGGCTGGCTGAAACGCGACGCGCCTTGTTATCATGTGATCTACTCTCACGGTTCTCAGGCAATGTGCATCTTTTGAACTTTGACTTGCACACTGTTCAACATCAGACAGCAAATTTGGACCTACACATATGTGCTGTAGGTCGACATCGGATGGATTTGCGAAATTTCTTTTCTCTGTTGTTCATCCTGCTTCAACCGTTCAATACAAAGGGTGACAGATTCCCCTCACACGCCAATCTCTGAGTCTCTTCCTGCTTCAATAGACTCTTGATGTCATCTGGTTCTCTCTCGGTTGATGAATTTCTGGGGTCGGAATTGGAAGCACTGCTCCTAGAAGGCTATGGTCTCAGCTATAGTTGCAGCCCCTGGACCTTGACCTGCTTTCTACAAATTCTCCAAGGACAGCACAGGCTCTACGATAGCTAGCTCGTGAACCCGTGGCATCTCTCCAATCGCTGTGGAATTTTACGAAGCTCTACATTGGACATGTATTCGGACAACCCAGACGTTCAACGGGTAAATTAGCAATCATAGTATACATGTTCGTCGTCTCTGATGCCGGTTAGTCCGACAGGGATCAACCTGGCAATTGGACGTGTGGTGACAAAGACAGATTCTCCATCCCAATGCCAGACAATGGCATATGGACAACGTCTCTGAAACCCCTGTTCGAAGAGGACCGAAGAAACCCTGAATTTGCTGAATTTGTCGGTATGATTTTGCTCTCGAGGAATACCATGCCTTCTAATTCCCCCTTATGTAAATTTCTATGTATGTTCTCCGCCGTTGAGACAGCGTTTGTTGTTGAATCCCGCCAGTTTCTCCTGGCCGATCACGTACAGGCAGCGGTCTCTTCAGTCGTATTGCATCTCACCTTGAGGATAACCATGGAGGAAATAAATCGGATATCCTGTCAGCCGTCGACCCTTCAACACATTCTCGACGACGTCTCCGATTCGGATGAATATAGGCTGCTTCCCCAGCCTGGTTCCCAATCCGACGAGTCCCCGTCGGCGTCGTCCTTATGCAGTAGTTAAGGGGATTCCGGTATTATCCAACCATGTTGTCTCCGAAACACCGCTTCGCGACTTGGAATATGTGGTGGGAGGGTTTTGGACTAACGTTTGATTCAATAAATATTCGCTATCCTTCCCTGCGGTGTTCCTTCATCACTTTACCACTGATCATCGATCGAGTACCAACATTTGCCACAGCCTTTAGTCCTCGTTTCAGCATTGAGGCACTATGAGCAGTAGTCAGCGCACCTGGGTAAATTCCTCATTGACCACTTTCCTCATTGACCACTATCTCAAGAAATGGTAAATTTTGGTCTCCAAACTACTTCCCGACCCAACACCGGAACGATTACAGTCAAGGGTAAGGGAGCGGCAAGCGACTTGGAAATTAATTGTGCATCGATATTGACAAGCCACTTGAAGCAGAAATCATGCAGCTTCCCCGTGTCACAGCCATCCAGTGCAACGCAGGGGTTGTTTCAAAGTTGTCATAGCTGTTCGTCAAGGTCGATCTGAATTGCAGGCTGAAGTACATGGAAGAAGAAAATATAAGTCTGGGGGTTTGAGTCTGGGTAATCTAACGCCCATATCTTTGTGACCACAGATTAGAATAATTGAACCAGTCATACAGAAAAGCTTACTTTTGCAACTCCCATTCTCTGTTGTCAAGCGGGCACACATTGCGTGTCTTGAGCCATCGCGATATGCAGTGGAAGTGGAAAGCATGCTATGATGTTTCAACATATAAATGAGATGGCGGGGCGTGAAAAAAAGAGGGACATACATTGCAGATACCCCATGCCGCGTTGCACTCCTCGCTGGTCGCGGAGACCTGATTGGCTTGACAATCAATGCCTTTACATCGAGAGAGTCATGATGAACGATCAGGGCTAGATGTCGAGAATGGGAGAGCAAATCGACGACTCACAAAGATCCATGATGTGATTCCTGCAGATGGCGCAGTTGTCGACGACGATGTCTGAATACGGGAGGCGATCGTTAGCGCCCACAACCCCGACGTTGCAGTGCCGTGAATAAGACTAACCCCATGCCCACAGTGAAACTGCATTCCACTGAATAAAGGGGAGGAAATGAGTATATCGACCCCCATCATCGAAATTCGCGGGTAAACGACAAGAACACGCTGTACCTTCTTCACTTCGAACCGCGCTTTGCCACTGTCCTTGCCCTCTTTCTTCCCCTTTGTCTTTGGTTGCTCATCGACGTCCATTGAATCGGCCATGATCTAATGAGATGAGGGGTGGGCAATAAATGGGTCGTTGAACACAAGTACGCCAGTTACGGGATGAGTAGTTGGGAGGATAAATGGAAAGAGTCATCTCGCAGTGACCTTTGTTTGGCTTTTCCTTCCGAAGTACGCACATCATGTACGTAATGGGCTGGGCTGTCAGTGTGTTCAGGTTCAACGCAATCCGTGACTCTTTCACCTACCTACTCGCAACTACTAGAGCCATCTTGCAATGGCAGAAGCTATCTGGACATTTTCTCAGTCCTTCACGGAACATTTTCAACAATTGCGGTCTGGTCTGCCCCATCATCCTGACCAGATGACCTCCACCTGAACTTTCAACTCCAGAGTTGGAATCTCGCGTCGAAACTGCTAGAGCGGGACCACCTCCTTCACAGGGAGTTCTCAATGAACTTTCCATGTCGCTAGCAAAAGCTACGAAAGCTCTCGCTGATGCAACTAGGTCCATACCAAGTTACGATCAGAAACAATCTGAGATTGTATGTTCTACTTTATTTCCTTCGATCGTGGTGATTTACGTGCAATCTAGCAATTGAAAGCGTTAGAGAAATCCATCGAAGCTCTACGAGCTTCATCCGCCCCGAAGTCCAAGTTCGCTTTCAAGCGCAAGGTTGCATCACCTCCTCACCTACCGTCGACAGCACCCACGATCGCGGAAGCTTCTAAGGCAGTCGAAACCACAAATTTGACCCCTTCAACGCATCCAACTCTCAGCTTTCATTCCCGCGAGCTTCTCATAAGATCTTCTCTCCCGGACCATCCTCAGCAAACAGACTTGTCAATTTTTGATCTGGACCACTGCATTGTTGACCTTCTCACCATAGACTCGGAATATGCCTCCAAGGAGGAGCTCTCTATCTCCGCTTTACACGTACGGAACCTATCGCATTGTATTCTTTTATTGCCTCCTATCGATGGAAGCGCTCTGCTCCATGACATATCGCATTGCACAATTGTTCTTGGCTGCCATCAGGTGTGTTGGACCGATTTGAACACACAATGGTTAACTCGAACTTCTCGGCCTACAGTTTAGAATGCACACATCGCAGAAGATTGACGTCCTTCTATCAATATCTTCCAATCCGATCATAGAGGATTGCAACGGCATCCGGTTTGGCCAGTACCCAGCTACGCTTCTTCGTCGCGAGAAGGTCGATTTACGACATATGTGTTCCTTTAGCCGTAATATTGACTCTCCTGTAGGACCTCACGTCATACTCAGTCCAAGACTTTTCTCACATACGATCAACACCATCACCTCATTTTTCTCTCCTGACACAAGATGGTCAGGTTGAAGTGGAGAAGAAGGTTTCATCCGCAAGAACCATCGACGCCCTGAACGAACTTAAAACCATTGTACCCCAATAAGATCACGGAGTTACAGATGGCGACTGAACAGCTCCATTCGATCTATCGCTGGCCTTTGTCATACGTTTGCTCACGAACTATGCAGTTGGTAAGCAGCTGAACAGTTGGAATTAGGAATTAATTGGAACTTGGCGGGCGATTCTTGTGCAGTCTGATTCTCATTAACCACAATGCTCACGTCTGCCTGTGCCAGTCTTCCATGATTGCTAATTTCCTGCCGTACTGCCCTCATTTACTTCTCTCCTCCACAAGCTTGGGTGAACGGTGATTCCAAGGCTCTTCGACGCCCTCTAAAGCCCGACAATTATTATTATGCAGGCAACAAGACTCATCATCGCACTGTCCTACATAGCATGTCAGTTGATATTTTGCGATGTGTCCAAAACAAAAGTGAAGATGGCAGACTAATGGCTGTCCAGTCGCGTAACGAGGCACTTCAGCCCGCAGAGCCTCGAGATGCGAAACCCCCGAGGCACATCGCCTTTCCAATGAGTTAGCCCAGTTATAGTAATAACAGCCCCTGTCACGCTTCCACGGTCTACTTCGTCAGACGTGCCCCGCTTTCTTCAACTTCAACACCTTCTTTCTCTCTCTTCGATATTTTGACCGCCCAGTCCTTCCTATCTCTTATTATTGCAGGACATGGGCGACGCAGGTGGAGATATTATCGGAAACATATGCTGTTCATGCTGCAGTCAGTATTCTACTCCACCTTGACGCTGATCAAGAGCCTGACGAAATTTTCGAACTCCAGGTGTCTTCGCCATTTCTGCACTTGCTCCTTGGTGTAACACGCGTATGTATCTCCCTCTGTTTCCCTTCCGGGTCTTGGTGAAACTTGGAACTGTCTCGATTAGAAACGTATGGGGCCAGAGGCTGCTGTGGCAGCAACTCCAACGCAGGATGTTGCGGGTCTTGTTGCGGCGACTCTTTCGACGAGGATCAATTCGACAAGCAGGTCCAGAAGGACCTGGAGAGGACCAAGGATCCAAACGCGACTCCCGCTCCGAATACTGAACAGTTAGCCCCTGCCCAGGGAATGTCTATACAAGGTGCAGTCGGCGCGAACGCGTAGTCTTGGCGAATTCTCGGCATAGATTAGCAGGTGGAACTGAGGTACATCTACTACATTTTCTCTGTCATTTGACTGCTAACCTCTATCTATATTAGAAAATTATCTATCATACAGGATGTCCCATGAACCACGAACTCTTGCGTATCCACAAGGCGAGGCTACTACTAGCATGAGGCTTACTTGATTATTAATAACGATACTCTGAATGTTGCTATCGAGATTCGAGAGAGGAAAATGGTGTACAGGCAGGCGTCAAACTATGCCAGTCGAGCTCCAACTGAACGTGGCCGTCCCAACCTGACCTGCCATCTTCGTTTCGGCGGCGCCACCAGGTTGACGAAGAGGAAGGGCCGAGGCAAGAACGCGTCTTCGATGAAAAATGCAATCAACGCGTGCAACCCTTCCTTGAGGTAATTGAACAGACACCTTCAAGGACTAGCTCCAGAAACAACTATTGCTGATGCGGTTTACTATTGTGGGAAGTCTCTGAACAAGTCGTAGTTCATGAAAGAGGCCCAACGGTCGTCCAACATGATGGCATCGTTATTGATGGGAGTGAAAGATTGCGGATACTGTTGCGACTGTCCCGCCGATGATCCAGCAGAGGTGCTGCTGAGCCGCGCAGGCGACCCCCGCCCTGACAAGTTGGCACGGGTGTTAGATATACGTAGCCCATACGCAGGAGCGACTTCGTGAAACATGCCGTTCCAACCCCCAGACAGGTCTGCGAAAGTCTGAAGCCGACGGCGTTGTTGGGGACGTTGTGGCGGCGGCCCAGAGATTATTGATGGAATCATTAATGGAGGGAGTCGGAAGTCGGTGGAGGATTGTTGGTATATGTCACGCGCTGGACCAGTGGGGGGAAGTTCAATGTTGGCTTGGGAGGACGGCGGGTACGTGAGTGGGGATGACGATATCGTTGAAGGATTAAGTGGCACCTGCTTTATGGCAACCATGGATGGTTCCATGCGCATTGGTAGAGATTGAATGACGTGTGAAGCTTGAGGCTGGTGTATTCGAGGCGCCATTGGGACTGAAGGGACGGCAAATCGAGAGGGTGATGTTCGGTCGGGGGAAGCCCGAGCTGACGGGAGAACCGAGTCTTCTCGTTTGATGATTTTGGTGCCTCCCGCGAAGTACGACAATTCATCGACGTCGTCAGCCTGCGATGGTGCCGGCTTGCCTTTCTCATGGTAGTACTGATGGGCCTGGTAGGCCTTTTGTAGCATGGCGTTCAACACCGGCTAAAAAAATGTCGTAAGTATGTCAAAACGCTCAAGCAAAAAAGGGAATTTACCAGCGCCCTAGCGGCCCGACTGCTTGTCTCCGCGGCACTGGTGAACACCTTGAAAATCGCTTCAAATTCATCCAGAGGGGGCGGCTTGAGGTTGAGATGCACCCCACGGATGGCAACGGTTCCCACGATGACCTTTGGTCAAAGAACGTTAAGAAAACAAGTCTGCATGTTGAATGCAAGACGAATATTACCGCTGCGGTGAACGTATTTGTCCATATGCGCCACACACGCGCACACAATAACGGTTTTTAATGAACTGTTCTCTTGTATCTTGCATGACGACACAAGCGCTTGCATACGCCGCATGTACCGATTGACTGTATGGGCTGCTTAGAGGGTTATCAGGATATTCTGTCATCGCCTGGGCAAAATAGGGCCGATGAAGGAACAGCAGCACTTAAACGCCGATTCAAAGTTATACTGTCAGTGTGGCGTCTCGTTCCTTCAGAAGCGCGATGACTTACTGAGGTCCTGGTAGTGCGAGCGTACAAATGTCCGCATTGACATCGCAGTCCTACTCGTTTGGTTCACCGACGAATCTGGTCTTGGAGGAACAAAGTCGCGAATCTTCTGATCAAGCTCCATGACCGTCTCGTAGGTCGGGGGTTTTGCAGCGAGGATGGCGCGCACGAGCGGAATCAGGCATTCCTGGCTCGCTTTGAAGCCCCATATGCCAACTGTCGGAAAGCCGAAGCGTCAATGAAGTCGATGTACTAGTGTAGAAGGTGGACCCACAGCCGAGCGGAACTTCCCCTTCCTGAAATAAATTCTCGTCCTCGGGGCTGGGAATGCGGCAATCAATGTATGACATCAAAAGACTGGGCGGTCTCCCCGTCACCAAGCTCTGCGAGAGGGGAAAAAAGGAGTGCGTCAACACTCGACCAATGGTTTTGTGAAAGATGCTACGAAACGAGATGGGCGTGTGATACGCATATGAAATGCAGTGCGTTTGTTTTTCCACTTACCTGCCACAACACAGCAGACATCAGGTTCCAAAAATAGACCCGTCGGTCATATGCCTCCCTGCCCTCAAAACCCCACATCGATGGGTCGACATCTAAGTGAGAATGACACCCAAGTTAGCTTGGACAACCTCTTTGAATTACAGAGGCTTCTGAGAAAATTTCCAACTCACGGAAGCCTATCTGGTATTTTTGGAGGAGTGGGGTGGTTGGCAATGACACCGTCAGAACAGGAACCCGGTTAGAAGAAGACGATTACTCACCCCAAGCGCAACCTGTCCGGCTAAATCCAGGAGGACATAGGACTGTTCCAAATTACTCTCCTTCCCACTCATTCCATTGTAGATGCTCATGAGATGAAGGACCTGGGATTGATTCATTAATAATTACGGCAGTAATAGGTCTTCCATACCTTGATAGTGACGACGGATTGGGCACCGAGGACGGGTTGTAGAGCAAGTGTCGCCCTGGTGAGGCGATAGTAGTGTTGCGCCTCGAGGTTGTAAGGTGGGAGATTGAGATCTACCAGTGACCCAATGCCTAGAACAATAAGAAGCAGCGCAAGATCATGTGGGCCGTAGGGAACCGGGGCTTGCTTGTAAATGATGGGAATAAGCTCGTTTAGCAATTTGTGGCGAGAAACGATATGGAACATCCAGGATAGGTGCTCGAGGAACGTGTCGCAGAGCGTAATGGCCCTATCCATGGATGGGAGGAAGGACTCAATCATTGGCTGCACGGCGGAGACCACGACGTTCGGCGGCGTGAAGGGAAAGGATTGGTAACACTGATTAATTTGTGGAGACAGATAAGAAGGGTCTAGTTCTTCGAGGACGTGGCTGCTAGGTTGCGTCGATGGAGCTGCCCCACCGTCAGAGGTCTACGGCGAGTAATGAGTAGGGTATATGCGATGCGACATCTGAGACAGACCATAAGAAGGCTCTTAATAAAAATCAGTACATGCAGCAAAGATTCCACGAAATATGAAACTTACTTCGGCTCCTCCAGTAGGACCAAAAAAACGAGAACCACCGTGAGTGTCGACGCACAGCGTCCCCAGTGTTTCGGAGAGTGGCTGTGGTGACTGAGATTTCTCATCGACGAGCGGCTTTAGGACATCTGGCTCTGGCTCAGGTTCTTCAAAATCTTCACCGACGCTGAGAAGTGGGTGAGGTTCGTCGGACTCGGATGCATGGATAATCGCGAGGGCGTCTTCCAATGAACGCATACGGGCTTCTAGCTTGGAAAGTTTCTGACGAAGATGGTCCGACGCAGCCAACACGAACCTACGGCGGTCAGCTTTGGAGTGGTTAATTAGGAGGAAGGGCGAACACACCGACTTCCTTCACCTGGAGGAATAGTCCCTAAAAGTCATGGTCAGGATCCAGTGATAGCACCCGAAGCGACGGAGGGTGATGCACCATTTGGGCAAAGCGCGCCGCAGCCTCTTTTGACGCAGGTCGAGCATGGCACCGTCCTATCGCAGCGAATCTTGAGTCGTCGACACTCGGCACACGCGATCTCTCCCCTGAAAATTATTTCGTCGCCTCGCCACGATGACCGCCCGACAGAATGACGCACCTCATCCTCCTCGTCGCCTTTGTGGGCATCCTAATCTTGGTGGCTAGAGTATCGCGAAACGCGTCGGTGCTTGTGGAAGCATGGGGTTGGGCGGGCTCCTCGCTGGGGGAGTGCCTGCGCGAGGACGAGCTTGATTCCATGGGCGAGTTCTGGGACATGGAGCGGGACAGGAAAACGAGAGAACATGCGCCAGACAACAGAAGGATGGAAATAAGCAAAGTAAAGTGCCGCAGACTTGCTTCGGGTATGTATATTATAGGGTTGCCCGCTTGCAATTGTAAGAAAGAAGCGACTACATACGGGCCTACGGCACCTTTCCGAACTGCAGAGAGGCGCACCGCTGCAGAATCTTTCTCCAAATCCTGTACTGCACGTGCCGATCACTTCTCACGGCCTTGGCCAAGCATTTTCTTCCTCTCGCCTCGCCTTGTTCTGCTTGCTCCTTTAATCTGTCTCCTATGACTATTCGCACCTCTGTCGCTCAAACTGGTTCTGTTTTTTCCACTGCACGCCCGTTCGACGCCCTTTCATCTTTCCTTTCAGTTTGACAGTCTCAACGAAAACTGTCGCGTGGCCATGTTGCCTGACACAATCCTTCGCAGGATCCTCCTCGTCTGATCTGGCGCGATATGATGTGATGGGTGCCCGATGACCAACAGAAAAAGGCGCTGGCAATCGGCGCGCCATGTGCTACGGGGAAGCAATGGGGAAGAGTGATCGATCTTCGATCATCCCGTTGACTGCGCTCAGTCTCCTATGGGCGAATTGTATCGCCGTCGGTTCAATCCGGACTCCCACTCCAAGCAGAACGGGACCCACCACTACCCTTCATCCGATGTTCCGATTGTTCACTAGCCAACAGCCAGCATTAAATTATGCCTACCTCCTCAAATCTGGTTACATGACTCGGCTGCCATGGTACTTCCAGCGCATTTCCTACTCGAGATCCGACCTGCATTTCATTCCCAGATTCCTGGTTAAACACGCTCACCTTCCCTGCCTGAACTCACAGTGGAGCTGATACTCGTGAACGAACTGCGCATCAGGATGTCGTCATGGTCATCGGAGCCTCGGGCCGCGGGTCGTCTGAGTTGCCGTTGAAAGTTTTCTGGATTATGTAGACCCCGCGACTCGAGCCCTCACCTGCCCTCAGTCGCTGCATCTCCATTCTTCCTGCTCCTGATTGAGTAGGACCGGTCCCTGTTCACGCGTTCATCTCCCCCTCTCTACCTCCGACGTCCTGAACCTTATCCCTACGCCACAAAGATTTCACAGAGTTTTGAGTTTGGACACGCTGCAATCTTGAACCTGGACTATAGAGATATACTGCTAGGATGTATACGGGCTTTCGGTCCTTCATAGTGTGTTCGAAAGTCCCAGCGATCAGTGCTTGTTTAGCGCCCAATGTTTGGGCGGTTGTTGGATCACGCATTGAGCCGATCGTCTATTTTTGGATCAGACCCCAACCTTCAACGCTCAGCAACGATCTAAATACATGCCTTGTTCTTCGGTAGTTAAGTGTTAACTTAAATGCTTTTCTTCTACACCCCTGTTCGGTACTCAACGTCCCAGTGCTGGGTTTGACACAAGCTGCCTTGGAGTGTAGCGCTGTGAGAATGCCTCGCCATTCATTTCATATCCGTCAACACACGTCAGTCAATAATATATACCCGACATCAGGATTGAGTAGTGAGTCCAAACTCCCATCTTCTTATCTATCTATTCCCCCGAACGCCGGATATAAAACTTGGGGAGCAATATTGTTGACACGGCCCCCGAGTTCACATCTGTTCACGTCCCCAGCATGTCGACCGAGAAGAATTCCCACTGGGCGTCGAGCAGCCTAAGGGCACGCCTTTAGCAATAGATGGTGAAATGAATGATGTGGAAGTAGAGCACCGGGAAACAAGTGGGGAAAGAGGATCTTGAAGGTATCGTAGAGAAGCGCTTAGGGCAGGTAATGCAACACGAAGCAGGACATAAACTATATCGGGTGGGATGTGCCCAGCTGCATTTTTCAGCTGCAAGAGACGCAGAATAAATATCTCAGAAGTCAGAATGTGTCGGATAAAACCCTGATGATCGAGGAAGACCTAGCTGGGAAGACCAAATTTCTTCTTTAGCCAGATATTGTGGGCGAAGTACTGTGGATGTTTATCAGAAGCCCATCCTCTGATCGCGGTTTCGGATTTCTCTCACTACAGGTCGCTGATTTGTCCCAGTAGGCATATATGGATAATCTCACATGGCGGTTTGGAGATCTTATCGCCCTATGAGAGGCCATCTCAAAAAATAGCGGAGGACAAAGGATACTCTACTCGCGTCCTTCACGGATATGCCAGTTACTGGGAGATATCTGTACATGTTCCATGTACGCGCCAATTTTCAAGGAGGTACATAGAATCGTCTTCTCCGTAAGTAATGATTTGCTAATGCCCGTCCGACGGTGACGGTTTTTGCCGCCGTGGTCGGCTTTTAAGGTGAATTCAACAAAGCGCTGGTGGGATTAGCAATCATCTCAATTGAATCTTTCTCGAATATGCTACCTGGATGACTAATATCTACTCGCTGGGAGGGCGCACATCCGGGTTTTGTTTGCGTCTGTCATCACCTGTGTCCATAGCGAAGTTGCCAAGAATGGGTTCTTTTCGAGGATGAATGTACTTGGTGTTTCGTGTTTCGGCGAGACATGTACGTCCGGCCCACTTTCTGGCTCCTATGCTGAAGCTCATTGCGCATTTCTCGGAGACAGAGTTAAGACCGCCGGTCGTCGGACTGACTCGTCCCGCCAGAGTTGATATGCATACAAGTGCCTCGCTTGTAAGAACCACCGCGGTTAGTGCACTGCACACGTACCCTGCACGTACCCATAACGCGGACGATGGCCATGGAGAGCGCGCACATCATTTGACTCTCGATTGAAGCCGCTTCTTCCTGAGATCAGGGCTCTGTTGGGATTCGAGCGACGCAGATTGCAGGTAACCCTCCCAAAAATTTCACGATGCTCGCCTTGGGCCGCGCCATCCATCTATGGAACTTCTTCCTATGTAGTATCCTCTGACCTCCCGCGGTGTTGATGTATTTTTGAATGCCCTTTTGACACTATCAAGAATCGCCATGGCATCTCGTGAGTCGCATCTGAAGGGCGATCGTAGGGTTCGAGGCAACTATCTGCGACCAGCCCATGGCCATTCCTATCCTTTAGCCACATGCGGTAACCCGTGGCCACACAGCTGCTGCGGAATCGATGTTGGCCTCCGACGGTCGTCTCCTTCCACTGGCCAGCCCCTACGTTGATTCCTCTGTCGCCTCTCGATTCCTGGTCTTGTGAGCGGTCTCATTCTAGGGACAGGCGTGCTGTCACGAAGTCTCACGAAGTGCTGATAATGATAGCCTGGCAGCTTCGCGGGCGTGTGAGGTCACCTATTCATGAACGGTATTTTCACCTGATTTGCCTCTCCAACCTCTCCGACCTCCTGGGTCCTCAGAATACTTTATGCTGTTACCCTGTGCCTCAGCGACTCCCGATGAACTGCTGCGTATCCTCGATCGTTTGCAGTGGCGATACTGCAGATATGTACCTACAGACGGCGACGGCGTTGAACACCGCGGAAGTCCTTCCGCAGTCCCAGCTGTCTGTGCTAGACGGCTCCAATCCCGTTCGATAGGCGCTCTCTCTTCCGATCGTCGGTCGTTTCTGTGGGACTAGTCCTGCACTGACACGGTATTCCTAGGGATCCTCGCCTCTCTCACGCAGCGGCAGGTGAATCCACATCATTCGCGCAATCTCTGCTTTTTGGGCGAGTCCGTGAACGGGATGCACCTTCTAAAACTATCTCACCGCAGTGCATATTTCGCTTCTTCCAACGTCATTTGTTTCCCTGAGAGCTGGGAGTTCTGTGGGGTGGGGAAGCTCATGTGACGCTCTTGCCTACCGATTGGCAGGGAAAGCAACCCTCGGTACCGCGCTGGCTGCCTTTTCTGCTCTCATGACTCCCATCTCTCCAGTGGATTGCCAAGCTAAGCGATTGTTAGTGAGGACATCACCATTGTTCCTCACCATTGTTCCCTAAAATAAACGCTGCTTTGCGATGAGAGAAGTCCTATTCCAACTTCTCAACTTCCTAAAGAGGCCTTCCGTTGGATAACTCCCAGGCGAACCAATTCTCATGATCGTAGTTATCATTCGATCGGGGTTTTAGCTCTGGATGGGGACATTGTTGCTCTCAACAATCACAGCTGCAGAGCAAAACCGTCCTGCACAGTTCTGATTCCTCAAACAATCCTGGAGCTACTCCCTTATCACAGCTGTGAACCCGTGAAACCTTATCCCAGCGGACGGAAGTCGAGTCATGCAACAGAAAGAAACTTTTGTTAACCAATCGCCTGGTGATTTTATCCAAAGCAGGCCCTCTGATTGTTCTATATCGGTGGGAGAAACGTGGGTTCAATGAGGACAACGGCGTTGCACAGACGGGCAGCTCGAAGGAGGTGCGCAGTGAGGCCCAACACATGCCCTTTACCCCCGTGCCCGCGGCGCGCTTCGTAAAAGAGACGGAAATTGGGCTGAATTTATGGGGACCATTACACCAGTGGCGTAACGGCCCGTCACGTTGTGTACGTCTGTGGGCGCTTAAACCCTTGATTCAGTTTCAAGTTGGTGCACGGTGGGGAGTGATAAATCACCAGCGCATCAGGTATTCCCTTTCATCTCAATAATCAATTAGAGTATATTGCACTGTTCCTAGCGAGGGTGCACAAACGAAAAACGTGTTTCGCTTTTTGTGATATGCGACCTTGCATGTGTGAGCTGTAAGCGTCTACGACAGAACACCGGCGCTTTCGCCGGACACTCGTACCATTCCATCCGAATTAACCGCAAAGAAAATCTTATCAAGCAGACAGTTGGGGTATGGAGAACATGAGGAGTCGGAAATTAATTATGGGCCAAAGCAATGAGTCATAACTCCGTTTCACGCTTCATTTCATGTCTTTCTTATTCATGGGAACTCACTGTGGCGTTTGTCGAGTTAGAAGGGGGTATCGCATTTTCGTCAAATTAGTCAACCTCTTGTTGTGTACTCTAGATCTACTTCGTGCCAAGTCCTCCATTCACCGATTAAAGAAGCGCACAATGGTCGGGAATCGAGCGGCCAGATTACTTATTATTGTGGTTGAGTACGGTAGAGCGATTATATGGGAGTATACGACAGTGAGTATGTTGTGAGGAGAGGGGTATTGCATTGTGTATATGCGTGTGATGTGATGGTAGGCACGAAGTACATACAGTACGAGAAGCATGGGCCAGGCCGCAATAAGTAACTAGGGGATACGTTTGTTTTACAGGGAAATGAAAGCAAGAACGGAGAAGGAATTGAATAAAAAACCCAAAGCTACTGAGAAGATAAGAGATGCAGTGTCCCATGAGAATGCCTTTGTCTAGGAGAAAAACGGTGGTCGTACAACCCCAATCAAGATCCGCAATGGAATGTATCGAAAATGTTGGGGATGGTGGCGGCGTGAATATTTTGAGAGGAGTCGTCGAAGTATGCAAACGGTCTGGTGATACATGCTAGTCAACTGAAGGACGCGCGGAGGTCGAGCTCCGATATCATTGCAAGGCGGTTCCCGCAGTCACAGCGGATGTAGGCGGGCTGGCACTGCCGATCATACGCGCAGGAGGGGAAAGAGACGAGGAGACAACGGCGGGCGACAACCTGGGCCACGTCACTGTAAGCATGCCGTCTGCGAGAGAAGCCGAGACGTCTTTCTCCTGTGAAATGGAGAAAAAATGAGTCATTTTTTCTACGTATTGAATCACATATAAATGATTTACCTTTATGCCCTTCGGAATAGGAATGTTGCGTTGGAAGGTGCCGAAACGAAGCTCTTGGACAGGTACTCTGACTGCCTGGCTCGCGGGGTTGTCGACTTCCATGTGCTCGGACGCGTCTTTCGAGGCGACCTCCGAGTCTTGCGGAGAGGGTTGGGGAAGTATGGTTTGAAGATATGGCGGGCGCCTCTCGCCACAAACGATGAGGTGTCCTTCTTGAATTTGGACGGATATGTCGCTATTCCTCAATCCTGGAATCTCGAAGATAGCAGAAAAGTTGGGTGACCGAGGGTCGTCAATGAGGTCCATTCTATAAATAGAGTAGAGTTCATTGAGCGACGCGGCGAAAATCAGAGAGGGACAGAAAACTCACCTTGGCGCATATTTAATGGGACGTGTTGTACTTGTAGAAAGGGCGGTCGCGGCTTTCATTCGTTGATCTACGATTTGAAGCCGACCTTCCTTGATTGCTTGGAGGAGCTTCATGTTAGCGGCGCGGTTAATCGCTTGCGCGACGGCTGGATGGCGGAGTAAATCGAATGTAGTCTGGTCCAGAGAACCAGCGGGCGAGCGTTGCTTGGAAGTCATCTTCGGGTTCATGACGGAGTGGGGCGTATGTGCCCTCTCATCTAAGTCCCAGTCGCTTAAATACCCTCGCATCGGCAAATGCCGGCATGGCCGAGAGAAACGTAGACCAGATCTGGAAGCGATGACTCGACAGAGGGAGAAAGCTGGGCCTGATTCACTTATTCATCTCGATGACTCTAGAGGGTTCGGTGTGTCTGTCAATTCTGAACCCCACAAGCGGTGGGAATCGGCTTACGATCCATCCGTGGTCGTTTGGTTGGGGTTGAGTCGGAATGGCTGTGTAGTGCCGAACGTCATTTTTACAGTACAAATGCTGACACCGTCTTGGTAATGGGATAGGAAGCCACCATCGGAGCCTGCATGTGTCTTTGGTATGAAAGCAGTGAAGCGCAGTCGGAGGAGTAGAAGTGTAGGCGGATCAACACATCCGTCGAATGCAGTGTACGCCAAAGAGTGGAGAGAGGTGGCGCAAGTTGTGGCTCATGGGAGTCCGAGCGTCTGTTAATTGTGCATGTTATGATCAGCGCAGTAAATAAGTCCCGAACAAAGGCTGTAGCACAGCCTCACCAACGGAGGAGCGTGGGAGCGTAGGGTTAGGGCTTGTGCACCAGTCCAGTGAGTGAGCCGTGGCGAGGCGGCTCTTCTCAACTGCCACACTGCTGCTCGCGCTGAGTCCTCCGTCACGCGTGCCGCTTTTCTTACCTGCCCGCCTCTTCCAGAACAGGAAACAACTCTTCACGGTCGACGCGCCTCTGAGACATCCTCCACGCAAGCTGAGCATGTAAGCTGTCTCTCGCTACATGAGATCTACGTTTGCATCTAATACGTCTGCTTCTCCTCAACGCAGACCCACCCACGCTGAACCAGACCCACGTGATCGGCCCTTTGAAGTTGAAAGTTGGAAGCAACATGTCAAATTCAAAGGTCGTGTTCGGTACGTCATAGCTACTACCTCAGCATAGCTTCAACTCACCGCCCTGTTTAGTGGGAAACGTTCCTTACAACATGGGGGAAGAGCAACTTATTGACGTCTTCAAGTCGGTCGGTCAAGTTGTAGGATTCAGGTATTGTATTCGGCAACATGAACCATAATATGTGTCCCTTTGAATCTAAACTTTAATGCCAACCATTCAGGTTGGTCTTTGACAGAGATACCGGCAAGCCGAAAGGGTATGGGTTTTGCGAGTTCGCGGGTACATGAGTCTCCTCTCCGTGTGCATGAATGTAGCTCTGTCTGACCACAAGTCTACCCTTTATTGCCTTGCCTCAACATGATCCTCGAACCTTCCAACCCTCAAATTTCAAAACTCAACTCCTCAATACCTCAAACTCTCAAAACTTCGAACTCTCAATCGTGTGCTCCCTGTCCCTTGTACTGTCAAACTGGTTCAATCATCAAACCTACAACACGTCCGCAAATATGTTGGAAATGTCAATGGTGTGAATGTCTCAAACGATCTTGCAAACCGCCTGCCTCAAATGGAACTGTGTGCCTTGCACTACCATTGTTCTCCTTATATGTGAACTCTGGCGAATCCGATAGACCACGATACGGCAGCGTCTGCTGTTCGCAATCTAAACGGCACCGACGTGGGTGGCAGGCCGCTCAGAATCGACCTTGCCGACTCTGATCCGTTTCTTGAGGGCAAGACAACCGTCAGAGGTGAACTCCTCGATGGGGGCTATCCTGGCCCATCTGAACCTCGTTCGCAATGGCGATCGCGAAACAACGACCCAGAGGCCTTCCTGGCTAACGTCCCACCTGGAATCCAAATTCCGAAGGGATCTTCTGCCCTCGATAGCATCAGCCAGACACTCGCGACGATGCCCCCCAATCAGCTCATGGAGGTTCTGGCGCAGATGAAAGTAAGCAACCGCTCTTCTCCGCTTACACTCCTTATTGACGGCGTTCTCAGGCGTTTGTGATTACCCACCCTGATCAAGCACGAACACTCCTCATCAAACATCCGCAACTGTCGTACGCCTTATTCCAATCACTTTTGCTGAACAAAATCGTCGATCCCACCATTCTTGAGAGAATGCTAGCATTGTCTCACGGCACCCCTGCACAAGCCGCTGCAGCTCCGGTTCCTCCTCCAGTAGCCCGTCCTATGTCGCAAGCCTACCCCCCTCCAGCGCATTACCCACTACATATGCCCCCTTTTCCTCCGCAGGCCTACCAAACTCCACAGTCCATGCCACCGCCAACGTCAACGGCTACACCTCCTGTTTCCGCGATGTACCCAGGACATGCACCGCCCATGCCGCCCGCGGGTCCTTCGCAGTACTACCGCCCCCCTCCTGTGGCAGCACCAGTGCCGGCCCCTGTTGCCCCTACCCCTGCTATCCAGCCTCAACCCCAAAAAGCACCTGGTGTGCCAGAGATTAGCGAAGCTCAACGTGTATGTCAAATTTACTTCCCGCACGATCGCCTCTTCAGCTGACCATTCTTAGGCTATGTTGATGCAAGTGCTGAGTCTGACTCAGGAGCAGATTAATGCTCTCGCAGATACGGAGCGTGCTGCGATTATGCAACTGGTGGGTTTTTCATGTTTCGTGCCTTGCGTTGAACTGACGACCTTGCCAGCGAAATCAATTCATGGGTACTCTTGGCAATACCTGAGTCGATTGATAACTTTTTTCTTCTCTTCTCAGTATACCTTGCATTCACTAGATAGTACTGTGTCATATTCCATGCATATTGCATTCTACATTCGATGGACATAGTCAATAGCTCATCCATCCACTGGACCTTTCTTCGGCGATCTTATCTTATCGTTGGAAGCATCTCAAATTTTTTCCGCGTGCTGTGCCAGCCAATGAGCCATTCGATAATCTGAACGTGACTCGATCGATTTTGGATGCTCGCACTGAGGGGTCTCCAGGCCTTTCTTCCTCGAATTCACCGCGCCAGATTACCTCTTTGCCACGTAGGACGTCCCCTCGCAGCTTATCGGAGCACACACCCAGCAAAGGCAAGGTTACGCTCGTTCGCCATGGCGCACCCACCCTCGTCGTCGCAGCATCCGGCGCAGATCCCTGCGCTCGATAGCCCACATGCAGGAGATGGGAAAGACGGGAAGAAACTGAAGGATAAGAAGGCGAAGACTACAGCGGCAAGCTCGCACCCTCTAGAGGTGCGTCGGACGTGTCGCGCGCCAGCGTTAAGCTTATGCAGGGTTTCCAGCTGCAGCCACCTCCCGAGTTCTTCGATCATCGCCTGAAAATATTCAATGAACTCAAGGCCGAGTATGATGCCTTCGTTGCTGGTATGAGTCATTCCACTAATACGACTGTTCTTCAAGTTAACCATCACCATGATTCACAGCGCAACCAAGGGAGGAAATTACCGTCACTCTACCTGACGGCTCCGAGCGGAAAGGAAAGAGCTGGGAAACCAGTCCGATGGATGTCGCGAAGGAGGTGTCGAAGAGTCTGTCCGAATGCATCGTTATTGCAAAGGCACGTCTATTTTCCCAGATACCTCTCCTGTTTCCTTACTCCGAGATGACCAGGTCGATGGTGAACTATGGGATTTAGAACGTCCGCTAGAGAAATCATGCAAACTCGAGTTGTTGGACTTTGAGCATCCAGAAGGTACGCGTCTCTGAATCCTCTTTCTCAAGTCATCGCGTGTTTACGCGCCGCCTCTACAGGAAAGAAGGTGTTCTGGCATTCGTCCGCCCATGTTCTTGGAGAGGCTGCTGAGCGGCACTATGGCTGTCACCTGTGCCTTGGACCTCCTACGGAAGATGGATTCTTCTATGAGATGGGTATTGAAGACAGGTCAGCACATTCTTCAACTTTATCTTCGCATTTATTAATGGTGTTCACAGACCTGTCACGAACGCCGACTACCCAGCACTCGAGAAAGTTTCGGAGAGCGCGATCAAGGACAAGCAGAAGTTTGAGAGATTGGTGGTTTCAAAGGAGAAGCTTTTGGAGATGTTCAATGTGCGTTGTACTGACTTTTCTGCGACGTCTTTCAATCAACGCTTTGTGTGCAGTACAACAAATACAAGCAGTATCTCATTCAGACCAAGGTCCCAGACGGCACCTCCACGACTGTCTATCGTTGTGGCCCAATGGTCGATCTATGTGTTGGGCCCCACATACCTCATACCGGGAAAATCAAGGCTTTCATGATTACCAAGGTAAGACGATTTACCTCCTCTGTGACGTCCTAATATCATGACATACACCCAGAATTCTGCATGTTATTTCCTCGGAGACGCCAACAACGATTCGCTGCAACGCATCTACGGCATCTCGTTCCCAGACAAGAAGCAGTTGACGGAATACAAGGTATTCCTGGCTGAGGCTGCGAAACGGGACCATCGTAAGATCGGCAAGGACCAAGAACTATTTTTCTTCAACGACTTGAGTCCTGGAAGCTGCTTCTTCCTGCCTCATGGGACACGGATATATAACTCGTTGGTGGAACTCATGCGGGTAAGCCACTGGTGCGCTTCCTTGCTACCATTTGCTTTGCTGAACACAGTTCATAGTCGGAATACTTCAAGCGTGGATACCAAGAGGGTAAGTGTACATTCTCATCCTCCGTAGTTTCAACTAAGGATCTTACGTGTAGTCATCTCACCAAATATGTATAACAGCAAGCTTTGGGAGACCTCGGGACATTGGCAGAACTACAAGGATGGCATGTTCGTCCTTGACATTGAGAAGGAGAAATGGGGGCTGAAACCCATGAACTGCCCGGGCCACTGCCTGATCTTCGACTCACGAGACCGCAGCTACAAAGAGCTGCCCATCCGAATGGCTGAATTCGGAATCATCCACCGCAATGAAGCCAGTGGTGCGTTGACCGGTTTGACTCGGGTTCGGAGGTTCGTCCAGGACGATACCCATGTCTTCTGCATGCCGTCGCAGGTACGCTCTAGCTACCTGCTCCCTCGAGGTATTAAAGGCCTTTTCTTCTAGCTCGAGGACGAGATTAGTGCTCTGTTCGATTTCATGCGGCACGTCTATGGTCTGTTTGGGTTCGAGTTCAGTCTAGAACTCTCCACGCGCCCAGACAACTATTTGGGCGAGATTGAGACGTGGAACCAGGCTGAGGAAGTGGGTCATTATCTCGGAGTCCATTGCCACCTTCGTTGATCCTGTTCCACCCACAGCAACTCAAGCAAGCTCTCGAAAAGCACTACCCCGGCAAGTGGGAACTTAACCCCGGAGATGGCGCCTTCTACGGGCCGAAAATTGACATCACTATCCGTGATGCGCTTCGCCGGTCATTCCAATGCGCGACAATCCAGCTCGACTTCCAGCTGCCTGAACGATTCAATCTGAAGTATCGCTCTGCGGATGAATCTGTGATGCCTCGGCCGGTGATCATTCACCGTGCGATCCTCGGAAGCCTTGAGCGCTTCATCGCTATCATCACGGAGCACTTCGCGGGTAAATGGTATGTCGGACGCGATCTCAGTACACCATAGCCTCGGGATAAAGCTAATCGCGTCTCATGCGCGCTCTCATGTAGGCCATTCTGGTTGTCGCCTCGTCAAGTCCTCGTGATTCCCGTTGCTGCTCCCTATGTCCGTCAACTATTCTAAATTTCTCACTCCTCATTGGCTATGCTCACAAAGTTCCAATCTCGCAGAAGGAGTACGCGGCGGAAATTGCAGGCCGCCTCGAAGCGCTGGGCCTCTTCGCTGACGTAGACAACGGTGACAATACGCTACCGAAAAAGATCAGAAACGGAGAGATTGCGCAGTATAACTTCATCTTAGGTGCGCGTCTGAGCTATGCTTTTCTGGGGTCATATGATCTGTATTCTATTCGCGTCGCTTACATCTCTCTCTCTACAGTCGTCGGGCAGGAAGAGCTGGACGCCCGATCCGTCAATGTCCGTAATCGCGATGATGTCGGGACGAAGGCAAAGGGAGAAATGGTTCCTCTGGATACGGTGGTCGACCAACTTGTCGCATTGAGAAAATCTCGTAGTTTAAACAACAAATTGGCGTAATTGTATCTGGGCATTAGAATTGTTTTTTTCCTTGACACAATGTTGCAACCTCCCGGTAGTAGGCGCAATTGGACCATATACAGGCTGAACATAGATCGATGCTATGCTCAAATATATATGCTACAATATCATAATGAGAGGACCGTGGTGACACAGATTAAATAAGTAATACAATATTATGAGCCCTGCTCGACTTGTTCGACCCTCCAAACCTTGATAACCCCCGCGCGGTCTCCGCTGATAATCCCACCTCGGAATGGTGAATCTATACACGCAAGTGCTGTTATAACATCCTGATGATTCCGGAGAAGTTGTTGTTGGCTATGTGTGATTAAAGAGATGCGTTGAGGCGCGCGGCTTGCTGAACTACCGGGAGGGCCGCGAGGCCAGGTTTCGACAAAGGTGGTCGCTCCAGCATTTGTAGACGTGAAAGTACTATGCAACAACTGAGATCAAGAAAGAAGGCACAGAGAGTGAACTTGCCTGTAAGTTGGTTTCTCGTACTCGGAATCTACTCCACTAAGCACTGTTGTTCGATCAAACTTGCCCAGATCCCACAAGCGAATTTTTGAATCCTCTGAGCCCGTGATCATAAACCCTCGGGCTGTTGGACGCGAGGGGACTTGTTCCAATTCACCAAAGTCCGATCTTTGTGTTGTCGAATAGGCACCAAATTCCCACCCTACAACGAGGGCACGAACATCGGGTGCAGGGGCCTGAGGTAATTCCTCACGAGGAGGATAACGAGAGGCGCCGAGTGCATCCGTTTGATTCTGGCGGGCACGAACGAGGGCAGCAATCGCTGCAGCGGGTGTAGTCTCTGCGTCTGCTGCTGTGACCTCTTCAGGTTCAGGAATAGGGTCCGCTGGCGATCCTGTTCGCGTCACGTAAGTCTCCACCAACGCAGCCTTCTCGATGTCCCAGACTTCGATTAAAGTAGTAGACAATCGGTCTGCGCTCCTTCTCGACGCTTCGAGAGCTACGATGACCCATCTTCCACGAGCCTTGCTGGAAGGGTGAGCGACGCATTGATGGATTCTAACAGATCGACCGCCTGCAGAAGTGCCTGCATGCCAACTTCGTATCAGGAGACCGAAGCGTTTGTCCCATAGAGTAAGGACGCCGGTTGATGTACCAACAAGTATCCACGCCTTCTTTCGGTCGATGCACATTGAGGTAATCGGCCCATAGTGTCGAGGGTTCTCCATTGTTTGGAGAATATTCATCGTCCGAAGATCCAAGACAGTGATCATAGAATGAGTAGTGGCGTACACGAGGTTGGAAGCCGAATCTGCGTAGGAACATGAAACGCCAGTGAATAAGCTCAAATAAATTGCTAACGAGATGAACTAACCCGAGTTGTAGTGCGCCATGCACGTAATGTACTCGCCTACATTCTCGACTCGATGTTCTCGCACCACTTGTAGTTTGTTGTACTTGGGAAGAGCCCCATTCTGAGTGATATGAACCCTGACCACATGTAGACTGCCGTCGTCCGCCGCACTTGCGAAACAATGGACCCCTTCTAGGATGCAAACACATTTGACTCTTGCATGGTGCTGGCCATATGTTTGCCTCGCCTTGCTTGTCACGTTCCGCTCCAACCGCGCCGTGTCCCAAATCTTGACTGTCTTGTCATCCGAGCAAGAGACGAAGAACATATGGTCAGGAGATACCGCAAATCCAGTGATTGCCTCGGAGTGTGACGAAAGATTGGCGATGAGATTTGCCTCCATACGCTTCGTCGAGGCATCCCGTGATGAAAAGTTGGGCCTCGATGGATTTCGGCGGCGAACAGGCCCATCATGCACCCTGGGGCCGAAGTCTTGCTGAAGTTCACGATTGTTATCCAAATACAAATTTTCAAGCAGATTGCTGATTCCCGGTTCTTGTCCATCTTGCGAAGATCTATGGTGAGCGAATACACTAGGCCCAATGGGATAGGCTCACCGTATGATGAAATAGCTAACGAAGAGGGGTTACGTGGGACCACTCTCGGCCCTCGCAGAGTAGTCGACATAGACATAGGTGAGGATCGCCCAGATTCGTCTGGAGAACTCTCCGAACGTAGTTTGTAATGAGCATCGAGCAGGCCAATCGCATTTGCTTTGGATGAACCGATGGCTGGAGCAGCCTTTTGACCATCGGTGCTGCCAACTTGAAGCCGACTTAGAGGACGGAATGAGACGGAATTCGTGGTCGAAACAATGGATTCGGTGGGACTGGAAGGACGATCGGAAATGACGGGACTGACTGCATTAGAGAGAGAGGTGGTTGAAGAACTTGCCACGGGGGTCAATGCCTGTCTGGTGTCGCGAGGAGTGTTAGCGACGCTCAATGAAGATGCAGATCCGTTGATGGTCGCCAATCTCCGACGAAGATCCTCGAAAGGAGCGCCTGTCGTGCTATAGTCTCCGCTGGATATTCGATACATGCGAGATGGACTTAGGATGGGGATACGTGACGAAGACGTGGTCGACTTTCGAGAGGACGAAGAAGGAACAATCGACCTTCGTGTACTTCCGATATCACTGTTTCTTGCCTTCAGGAAGACCGTTTGTGGGACCACACCAAGTTTCTGCAGTTCGATGTCTCCGATGACCTTGAGACTTCTACCGGAGTCCGGCTCGTAGTTTAATCGTGAGGCAAAGCTTGACGTAGCGTTCGCTAGTTTGAGAATATAGTCACGCATTGAAAGGAGTTTATTCTCGTCACTTGTTGTCAGACCGAGTTGTTGCAGCTTAGTGAGTTGTGCCTCATCTCTGCTCATAATAAACAACAGTTGCGGAAATCAAATATATGAAACTCACTCGTCTGATTTATTCCGTGCAATGCTCATATTCCCTGTTTTCCGCATGGACATGACGCTTTCTCGCGGTGATTCGACCTTGGTTGTTCTCCTCTGACCTCGCCAGAAATTAGATTTCTCGGCTTTCATTGCCCATTGGACTGACGCGTCCAGTATTTGTCTTGGAAGCTTGAGGAAGTGATTGTTTAATAGCGTATTGGAAGAGACTGAAATGGCATACCGGTGGTTTCATGGCACTGAGCAAGCTTTGTTCATCGATTATGACGATATCGGACTTCAAGAAGTGTCGTAATGACGGATACAAAATGCACCAAATATCGCTTGGAGGAAGGTGTTGCCCAGCGGACGTGATAAACGCTGCGGCGCCTTTCATGGTTTAGTGCAAGATGCTAGAGTGATTTTCAAGCTATACTCACCTTGTCGAATCCATATGTTTGGATGGTACAGGAATCCAAGAGTAGCACTCATCAGCTCCCATATTCGCATCTTCTGGAAGAGGCCTAGCTCGCACAGACTCGTAAGAGCTGACAAGACCTTCGCAACTACCGAATCCTCGACATCTGTATCCTCTCAGCAAATCAACAATCAACATTTGGATGTGATCTGACCTGAAAGGGCTTGCACCATCAGAGGTAGGATATATTCTTCAAGACTTCTTCCACCAGCACAGGCAGCGACATCCACGATGCTTTCAAAAAATGCGTAACGAAGCAGCCAATCTCTATCGTTCAGGTATGTGATCATGTGACTAAGCAAGACATCGTTTGTTTTCTGTCTGCCGAGGAAGATGCATAAAGACGAGATGTCGTGGAGAACGGCCCGCTTGACAATGCTTGACGGATCCATGAGAAGAGCAGAAAGATGCTCCTGGATGTGGTTTTGCAGCTCTTGCATATTCGCGTCGTAAGAAATCTATAAAAAGTCGATCGTTCAGAACCATTGCCAAAGGGACAAGAATTCACCTCGATGTTAGCATTCTCATATTCGTGTGCTTCTGGGGTAAGCTTGAAGGCCCCATGCGCTTTTAACGCTTGTCCCATTTCTAAGTATCGGACAGCCGTATCCGCAAGCTGAACGATGCACTGTGCGTAAGTGCAGCGGACTGACACTTCGGAGTCTTGGACCAAGTGCTTGATATTAGGGACGATGTATTCGGGGAATATGGCCACATTTGACGGTGTTATCACGGAGACGAGCATGAGCTGAAAAAAGAAAGTTAACACAGGAAAATATGCAGTTCAAGACCTGACTTACGACTTGCATCAGTGTTCGTAGAGCAGATGACCTTACCGACGCGGAGTCGTCATGAAGGAGCTCCACTATATAAGGAACCATCCGATCCAATTTTGCTTCGTCCGTTAGATGACAAGCCAATGCGAGGAAAACGTCCAGAGCGCGAACTTTCGAACTTGGGAGGCTGCAGTTGCGGATATTGGCAGTGACGAGGGCCAGGATAATTAGAGCAGGTCCATCTTCGCGATTTTTAAACCAACATTAAAAGAAAAAAGGAAACTATCAAACCTTCTGTGGCAGCAAAACGCCTCCAATGCAAGGTGCTCCGCAAACTGGGTTCGTGGTTAGGGATGTGAAGTTCCACGGGTAATATATCCTTGAAACCAGAAACCAGATGAAGAATGCTTAGAAAAAAAGCAGGGAGTAAGTACCTGGAACGGTTTGGAAGTTGTGCTGAGAGCGGGGACGTATTCAACTTTCACGTCCATGTCAGGGCTCGAAGCTGTTTCTGGGGCGATATAGGGCTCAATACTGGCATAGTCGGACCAAATCCTCTCCATTCTATGGTCAGAGTCACTGGGTAAAGATTCGCTCTTGCCTTCGTTCACGGCACCAACAGTGCTATTCAAGGTACCGGAGGCGCTAGGTCGTATTGTGGTCCCGGATATTGACGTCGGAATAGAAGGTTGTGTGGGGGTAGAGCCAGACGTGTTGTTGATGCTCGACGTTTCGCTGGATAGTTCATTGACCGAAGAGACATAGTTGTGGAGGAAGGAGTAGAATGACTCTGGGAACACCGACCCTCGGGAAGTGTGAAGCAGTGTGTCAAAGGTTGGGCGATCAGATGGGTCAATACTAATCATCTGTTTGACGAGGTTCTACTGCCTTTAATTAGTGAAATTCGCAGTCGAGTTGGCCCAAACAGTAACTCACTTGAACCCCTTCATCTTCAATCGCACCGAGGTGACTGTCCACCTTGTATTCTCCCTCTCTATACTTGAACAGCTGGCTCAAAGTGAACAGAGGAGCTCCTTCCAGGAATACTTCTGCAATAACACATCCGGCGCTAAAGCAATCCATGGGCTCTGTGACCTTCCCATCTCGTTTTCCCTCCAGTTCGTCCATCGCTATCTTTGACTTCTTTGCGCTGATCTCGGGATTGCTGGCCTGAGTATAGAACCTCTCGGGCGCAAGGTAGCAGGTGCGGCGTCCTGACATATCAAAGAAGAAAGAAAAATCCGATGGATCGTCAAGAGGAAGATAGGTGGGCTTGTATGATGCGAAGTCGGTGAGGTAGATCCAGTTCCATGACGTGACCAAGATGTTCTCGGACTTGATGTCCCCATGAGACACCTTTCTATTTCGCGCGTCACGTAACGCGTTGAGAAGCTGGAAAGAAATCCACTTTTTTTCTACAGTGCTCAAGAAAGGTCGCGTGCTGATGTCATTGCGGTTAGAGCAAGGTTAGAATAACAGTCGAGTGCGACGCACCTGATCCGGTCATAAAGACTACTTGCGACCCATTGTCTAATGATGTAACCTGCTTTATCCGTCTCGACGAAGGCTTGATAGTTGTAAATATTGGCAATTTCTGCTAATGCCTCCCTGTCCACTAGAAAGACCGTAAGCGTGAGATACTCGTGGGGGCCACTATCCTCACTCTTCAGGCGTCGATTATGTGTTCTCAAGGACAACCCAGGATCTGGTTTAACAAATATTTTGACCACAAGGTATCCATTTCTGTGTCGACACTTGACTGTCTTTAGGAAGCGTGCAGAACCCAGGCTTTTGGGAATATAAGTTAATGAACATACGAATAGTAGCTGTGCACACCTCTTCTCAAATATGATATCTCCTCCAAGCTCTGCTACAAACGAATCCAATGCAACCGTTGTGCGTGTAAGGGCTGATCCAGACTGTACATTTCCCATCTTGAAGACTGAAAAGATGTATCAAGCGTGTCCCAGGTAGAAGAAAGCCTGAGAAAGCACGATCAACGGCTTATATGGTGGCTGGAATAGCGGGCGACTTTGGCGTTGAGACAGGCCAGGTGAGGTGGTGATTGAGAATGAGACCGCGTCACTGCAGCACTCCGAGTTGGTCGTGGCTGCCGGCGGTGAAGCTTTGAAGACCACTTCAGGGGTGTTCAGGACTCGAGTCTTGGAGGGATAATGTTTGGACGGGCAGTCAACGGCAAGCAGACGACACAGCCACCTGCCACTGGATGCGTCGGACCAAGAATAAGGCCCAACGCTTTAGAGGTCCAACTGCTAGAGCAATATAGACAGGGTTTGGGTATGGATCTATCGAAGTGCTTTGTTCTGATTTTTATAATAATAGAGCAACAAAGAGTAATATGAACAAGGCAGTTAAAGACTCTGAATCCATCCCTCGGGATCAGCATTCAACTTGTCCTTGGTCTCCCATATTACCAAGTGACCAGCGTCATAATCTTTGACGGTCGCGTTGGAGCAGAATCCCGGAAGATTACCCTTCCCAAGAGCAGGGAGCGCAATAACTTCCTTGTCGCACGCAGCATAGAAGACAGGCTTGGAAACATTATACTTCTCTTTCGGGATAGCTGGGGAGCAATTAACAGCAAAATGGGAGGAAGAATCCAGGGGTTGCACACCTTTGGAGTCCTCCAAATCCAGGGTAGAAGTATTGACCTTGTACCAGCTCAAAGAGGCGGATATTCAGGTATCGAAGAAACGGCTCTTCTGGATGTCGAACTGCTAGGAAACCTTTCCATCTAGGTAATGCCAGGCTCACGGTGAGGATAATGAAACAGCGCACAAATTTCCTTGCATGCCGTGTGTTTGGAGCAGGTGACGGAGAAGAGAGAGGTAGTCGCGTGAGGAACAGTATAGGCCGACACCTCCCAGGTGACACCCCACTATGCTAAAAAGGGTCAGACACGCCAAAGAGTATGCAAATGAAAGAGCAATAACGGGTACCTTTGCCAGGATCCATCTGAATCAACTTCATCTGCTCTGCCCACGGCTCGAAGCTGCCAGTCTGTTGGTTGCCATACGTCAGTGGGATGAGCTTCTCCTTGATCTCAGGAGTTAAATAAAACGAGGTTGTTAGCCCGAGAGGGCCAGACATATTTTCTTGGCTATGAGAAGAAGTCATCAGAAGAGAAGAAGAGCACTCTGGTGCCCTGCTCACCAGTAAACTTCCAGCGTCTTACCAGAAAGTTTCTCGACAATGAAATCCAAGATGTCAGAGCTCCAACCATAGGTAACTAGTTCGTGCCTTTAAGCTCCGGCTGGCATAGAGAATTGGTAGGAACCCACAGTCTGTTCCTGGCTCGAACTGGAGGGGAATGGCAGGATATGGTCCCTGGGACGAGATAGTGTCAGTGATAGTCGCTAAGCAGAATAAGGTGGGAATAGTAGCCACCTTGAGAACATTAAAGAACCTTTCGTGGACATCCTCATTTTGATTGTAGGTGGTGGCATAAGGCTCTGGTATGACGAACACAATATCCTCCTTGATTGGATAATACAAGCCGCTCGAGAAATTGAGTAAGTGTGCAATCTTCATGAATCATCTCCTCCTTCGCCGGTCAGTAGGAACTCTCGTCAGAGGAGACGTCCTCCAAGATAATTGGGTTCGCAAATGTGGGGAAGAAGGTTGATACTGGCGCAGAAGGGTCCAAGAGCAGACGCTCAATGAGCTGGAGGGTGGCTAGCTAGAATTTTGAACAAAAAAGGTCAGAAGCGTTATCTTAACTTGGACAGTGGCATTGATACGCACATGGGTGATCATCTTTGTCTGGCTGTATAACCACCACACACCATCCAGATCGACAACGCCGCTGTTGGGATCCTTAACCACTTTGCGCCCACCAGACTTTGAGTAAATTTCCCCGTCGACGTTGGTGGCACTGGCGATGAAAGTTGGCAGCTTTTTCTCTACCAGGACCGCCGCCTGTGCTTGGTGTCAATGAAATATAATACAGAAGCTTCGAAGACAACTTACGGCAAAAGCATCGAGGGCCTCCTTCCCATTAGCAGATACCCTGACCATTCTCCTACTGCAAGACCTGCTTGAACGCTAATAGAGGGGGAGGCTGGGAAAAAAGCCAAGAGTTTGAACTGGACTTCTAAACTCTTATAAAGTGGCCTTTATATAGAATGACAACCCGTCTCCGGCATTTCTGCTTGAATTCTTTTCCATGGGCATCACAAGAGAGCGTCGTTGACGAAACTGTCGCACTTTTATTATTGCGGTACAAGGCCTTGCCAATATTGTGAAATGAGCTACACAGGCATTTGGTGGACTGGCACTGCAGGAGCAAGAACTCGTAAAGCAGGCACGAGAGCAGTAGAAATCACTTCCTTTCTCTTGCATGGGTACGAATGGCGAACCTGAGAATAACAGCCACAAGCCGTGTAAAAACTCCAAGAGAGATAAGTAACAAATAGAGAGCTAACCTGGAGCTACAAAGTTCACGTCCAACAGCAACACTAGAAATTCCAGACCGCCCTTACACGGTTCAGACATGATGTTGCGTTTCCTTATGCTTGCAGGGAAGGCTCGAAGAAGGGTATCTATCCATGTAGCTTCAAGGATGACCAAGAGTTCGGTGTGATAGTGACTGTGGTTCAACGAGTGACTTCTATAATGAGCGACTCGATCAGTGACAGAGTGATCCCGGTCAACCCAAACCCTAACGGAGTTCGAACTTGCCCTGACTCCTGCCCAGTTCAGTCCCCAAAAACTTCGTTTCCAATAAACATTCAGTCCTTGCCAGATCTTAGCTCGTACTGCAGAGCGTGGCTTTTCCCCCTTCTTTACGCATTTCTCACCCTTTCGTGGCATTTAAATAATCGCACTCTCCGATGCAGCTAAGACTTCAAAGCGATGCTTCTTCCTGACCTCATATTGACCCATTTGTGGGCGATTTTGAAATGATTCATGCGTCAAAAATGCTTTAAGGGAGTAAGGAGGCTAATACTCTAATTTGAGACTACGATTGCCTCCGCAATGTGAGCCCATTCTGCGTTGTAATTCCTTTTCAATGATTCGCCTTCTTGACAAAAGGTCTCATGAGACATCTACCGGCATGCACAACTATAGGCAGGGAGTTCCAGCGGGCTTTCGAAGCTTGCGTGGTGGAGGAGAAGAAATTTGAAGAAGCCGGTGACCACCCCCCACCTATGAATAACTCACAAGCACGCGTAGTGCTATACTTTGAATCCCGAGTCGGATTCATAACGTGCATCTATGGACCACAATTCTGTTTCTGCGGGGTCCGCGGACCATTTCTACAGTAATCTGCTCCAGCTATGGGCTCCAGCGGTCCTTCTCTCCTTGATGGTAGGATAAACCATGGCCTCATGACATGAGAAGAACGGAGCTCTTTGGAGCATCAAGCTCCTTGGTCGCAGACGGACGGACATATAACCCCGGTGACTATCGATTGTATGCCCCAGAAAATCATGCTAGTTGACACACTTTTTTCACGCGGTCTCGCAGGTGTATTGGTGCCTCTGTTTGGTGGTTTGACTCTCCTCTACCTTATTTCTTTGTGGTTGCAATCCCGGAGGTCAAAGCTTCAGCACTACCCGCCCGGTCCAACGCCGAAGAACTGGATTGCAGGGAACTCTCCCGATATTCCGTCCTATAAACCTTGGCTGAAGTATACCGAATGGTCCAAGAAATATGGTATGCCTTCTCCTTCACTCTGTTGCCTCTCAGCATAAATCGGTGATCCAACAGGCGATATCATGCATATTCGTGTTTACAATCAACACCTCATCATTTTGAATTCAGTTGCTGTCGCTACAGATCTCTTAGACAAGCGAGCAAGGATATATTCAGACCGTCCCCGTTCTATCATGCTTGACCTGTAGGTTCTCTTTGACTATTCTTCCGCTCACTTCAACGCATGCACTTAGAATGGGGTGGAATTTTGCCACTGGTTTCAAACCTTACGGTGACTCGTGGCGACGCCATCGCCGCCTTCATCAGCAAGCGTTCAAAGCCGATTCGATCGCTGTCTATCATCCGATTCAAATGCGCAAGGTCAATGAAATGCTCTATGGCCTGCTCACCGCACCTGAGGATTTTTCTGGCTTATACAAAAGGCGGGTTGATCTTTCCATTATTCTCGCTGCTTATTTGAACATCGTCCTGTTCTTAGCGTTTCGGCCGCGATTGTCATGTCGATCATGTACAACTACGATATCAAACCTCAGCACGACCCATATGTCCAAGTCGCCGAGAAGGCAATGCAGTCGTTGTCGGACCCTGCATTTGTGTCTTTGGTTGAAGCAATCCCTCCTCTACGGTATCTCCCAGCATGGTTTCCATGGGCCGGTTTCCAGAAATTAGCACAAGAAACCAAAGAAGCCACTGACACGATGCTCGAGATACCCACTGAGTTTGTGAGAAGGAGGGTGGTAAGCCCCTCATGTTCTCTCAAGGCCGTAATAGCTGATGTTCTCCTCAGGAAGAGGGATATGATAACTCTTGCTTGATGACAGATCTTCTGAGGTATTGCAAGACCACGGAGGATGACATAGCATTGAAGGAAACTGCTGCAACTGGATATCTGGGTACGAGCATTCTAAACCATGTCACGTCCTCGACTTATTTTTGGGTGCCGTTCATAGCGGGTGCCGATACGGTATGACGCCAGCATTCTGTGAAACCACTCTAAGCTGACTGTATGGCTGATAGACATCCTCCGCACTTGGCACATTTTTCTACGCCATGGCTCTTCACCCTCGCTTCCAGAAGAAAGCACAAGAAGAAATCGACATGATTACCGGCGGCGACCGTCTACCAATCTGGGAGGATCGCCCGTCCATGCCTTACCTTGAGGCAATTTTCAGAGAAGTCATGAGATGGAAGGCAATCACGCCTCTTGGTCTTTCTCACAGCACCACTGAGGACGACGTGTATCAAGGTTATTACATACCAAAAGGTGCGTCTATCTCTAGCTGCTGGGCCGAGTGTTTACTGAACCGTCATCCTAGGGGCAACGGTAGTCCCCAACATATGGTGCATTGTTTTGCGCCTCGACGTGAAAGGTTTCTGAATTGGGACGCCGTATTAGGGCCATGACACACAACGAACAGATATATCAGAACCCAGAAGAGTTTGACCCAGGTCGATTCTTGACCTCATACGGGCATTTGACCTCAGACGACGTAGGATACACCTTCGGATTTGGGAGAAGGTGCTCAATTTTCGTATTCCTGCCTCATTTCAGTTTACTCATCGAAGCCATTGAATAAGAATCTGCGTTGGTCGCCATCTGGCATCATCGACGGTAAGCCGCCATTCCAATCACCCAAATATCTACCCTAACGCCACTGTTTAGTTCTGGTATGCAATCGCCAACATTCTGGCTGTGTTTGAGATCGACAGGAAGAAAGATGCGAACGGGAACTACCTTCCGCTTGAGGTCGACTATTCTAACACGCTGGTCAGGTATGTGGTTCCCAGCAAGTTTCTGTCCGTGAATATTCAAGTTCTCGTGACCTATTCAGCCATGCCCAGCCCTTCAAATGCTCTATCACGCCGAGATCCCAGAGTATCAGTCAAATCATATTGCAGGAGCATGCCGCTGCGGCCAAACGTTGAAGCCCGTAGTCCGTTTCGTGAAATTCAAACGCCCATTGTAGAGTTCCACCCAAAGTGCTTTGTATTCGCAATAAATAGCGTTCTAACACTGTTAGAGCCTAAAATGCAACCCTTCTATCTCTCCTGAAAGTCGTTCGAGCACAGAGCAAAGTGGTGACGTCATGGAATATCCCGCCTGTGGGCGCTTGCCAACGCCTTTGGCTCGATCACCTCAATGAGTATCGAGCCACGCCTTTAGGACAGATGCTCGAATCCTGGGGTGCTCGTTCGTAGGAAGCTAGCACGAGGAAAATACACTCAAGGCAGATACGTTGACTGTGACGTGAATGTTGCTGTGGGAGGGCTATGGTAGTATGCTGAACATTTCTCGTTCCTTTTACCCCTACAAAAGACAGGTTCACGTCGCTCAATCATACACCGAAGATCTTCATGAAGGTGGCGATCACACAGCTGCAGGACTCGTCACAGGAGCCATTTCGTTCAGAACGATGTTTTGATTTTAACACTGTCGAAACAAACAACGACCCAACAGGACAACTTCAACCCGACTTGACCAAAGGCCAAAGTGTGTCCATGCTACCTGTACAAAGGTGCAGTGCATGGCGTATATATAGGCGGACCGACAACCTCTAAAAAAACCCAATCTGCCTAGAGATGCTCGACGAGTGCGATTCCTCGTGGCCTCCCTGAATTGATTGCCGACTGGCGCTTCAAGTGAAGTATGGCACGCCTACTCTCGTAGAGTCATTTACTCTGTAATATTGCATCAGATAAGTATCCCTGTGATCATGTAGAGGCTGAAACGTACTGGAACGAGCCCTCATCTTTCTGCGCTTGCGCCTGAGCCTGCGAGATCTCTTTTTCTTCCACTTCTCTCTCATGGTCTGTGAAATGAAAACAGCACCATCAGTAGGCCGATACTTAAGGGAGGGGGCTGCACGAACTCGGTTATGATTGTGGAGAGCTTGGAGTTGCGGGAGGCAACGCTGATGGTGTGGAGGTTGGTACTGTACAGTTCTTACATAATTATTCCCACATGTACAGTGTGCCGAACCAGGCATCACACCAGATATCAGCTCAGTCCCCTCTGACTCCGTCACTGTCGTACTGAACGATGGGGAGACGCATTCCAACTGCTCTACATAATGAACTATCTGAGTACGCCTCTCTTCTCAGAGCTTTACGAACTCGAGACGCACAGGATGTTACGAAGCACCTTATCAAGGGCTCCCCATTCGCTGCGATGAGCTCGACTTCTGTCGACGGACTGGATCAAGCAGGCGATGTGGCACCAGTGGCGGGCCCGGGCAAGCAACCGCAGAGTACCGCTTCGAGGCCAGCTGGAAAGTCGCGGAGGGCAACGGCAAAGGGGAAGGAGAAGGCCGTCGCGGCTGTATCTGGACCCTCCAGTAAGCCCAAGCAAATAAAACGCGACCACTGGACTCGCTGGCCCCTCCTTCTTGACGACGTGATAAAACCCGAATGGACATTAGAGGATGAAGTCGCCGTTATCGCATCGCAGGTTTTGAAATCCCGCGTGTCACCCTCATTTCCCATTCCTATATCTGAGGAAAATGACGGCAGGGAAGATGATGAATTCGTCTATGTGAACACGGAAGTAGATGAAGACGACCCAGACCATCCGTTCTACACACCCTACCTGACATCCATCGTGGCCAGCTACCTCTCGACGATGTTGGCTCTCCTCGCGTCTCACACCCCGGCTCGTCCTGCGAGCATGCAAAACCGCATAGAACCGCTGAACTGGCGTGCTGTCTTGGATGTTGTCGTGTCTTGTGGTGTCCCTGAATTCAGTAATCCTAAGTAAGTTCTTTTCTCTTCCACGTCAATGTTGGTTTATGTGTTGTAGGGTTGTGCACAATGTCATCAGACGGATGGAAACCATCTACGGACCCTCGATCTTGCCAATCGAAGGCCGGATGGCCACTAGCTATCGCGGCATGTCCTCTCAATTTCCCTCTCTATCGCCTCACTGATTTTTCTCATTACAGCTGTCGAGAGGATGAAAGGAAAGGAAGCTGCTGCGGAAGAATTTGCTAAGTTCTTCCAGAGCTATGAAGCAGACTACTTCTCTCAGGCGTCACCTCCCCCTTCCTTCAAGCCCTCGAAGACCAGGACAAAAAGAAAGCACGATCAGCATGGTTTGCGATTTTTTCCATGCGCCCTACCTTTTATCGACTCAAGATTCTTCCCAACAGATGACAACAATCCACGTGCACCGAAGCACAAAAATGTCACCAAAGTGCGATTTGAGCTGCCTGACACTGCTGCGAGCGGCGGTGAATCCTCCGTTCCGTGCGGCAAGGAGTCGCGAGCTGGTCAATGTAACCTACCCGGCTCGGCAAAGGAAAATCCGGCAGACGATGCCATCGAAGCTTCAGTATATCAGCCGTCTGGCTTAGGCCTTCGTCGGAGCTCCAGGAAAAAGACTACAGTGAACTACTACTATCCGCCTCCAGAAGAGTAATCTTGTTCGGTTTTCTACCTATCTGTCGTCGCTGTTGTGTATTAATAATCCTTATCAGAACTTGCATTTGGGAATACAGTGACGGGCTTCGCGTATTAAGTTTACTCCAAGTAGGGGGCCGTAGTGTCAATCCTAAAAGTCGCCAATCGCAATTTTCATCAAATTTAGGACGAAATTTTTTCAGCTAAGGGCAAAATCGTGTCAAGAGAAGGCCTCATGACCAATAATTCATCTCCTGATGCTGACTTATGTGGGACCTTGCCAATGAGGTAACCCTGGTTAGTATAAAACCAACCGGGGCCGCACTGTCCCAATTATCAAACCCCCTGCGTACAGTCACTCCTTCAGCATGGTTCGCCTATCTCCAGGCGGGAAAGAGGCGCTCGATGCCTTCATCGTACGTCAATTTTACCTGCATTCTTGGCGCATCTCTAGATGTACGTGTGTAGGCGAAGATCACCCAAGAACAGAAGTTCCCCTCTTTTATATTTGGCGTTACTACCATCGACGGCGAAATTTACTTGAAGACAGGTGGGAATAAGGTGGTGAACGACCCCAATAGTGGCACTGTTGACGAAGATGCTGTGTGGTGGATATGCAGTCAGACAAAGATGATAGTTCATGTGCGTACCACTGCCACCTTTTGTTCTTCAACAGTATTTCTGACCTAAACTTCACTTTGCATTACAGCTCGCCGCGCTCCAACTGATAGAGCGGGGGCTCCTCAACCCTTCGACACCTGTATCCACATTGTTCCCGGTGTTGGCGAACCCGATTATCCTGGATGACATTACGGCCGAAGAGAGCACTTACCGTCCAGCAAAGGAGGAGATCAAGGTCGCCCACCTTCTCAATTTCTCTAGCGGGTTGTATTATCCCGCCATGGAGAATATTGGGGCGATATTGCCGGAGGCGTATACTACGACGTATGGAAAGGAGGGCGTCCACGACAAGTTTTTCGAGATTCTCAAGGTAACTTCTACTTGCCATGCCATGATCATGGTCAGGGTTGATCTTGGGTTCGTGATAAACGACAATAGAGCTCATATCCCGCGGTCCCTTTGAAATTTGAACCCGGGACAGACTGTGAGTTCGGGCCGTGTCGTCATGTACCGTACTGAGCAGACGGCCGTCAGTTGTGTACGGCTTCAGCTCTGATGTCCTGGGCTTCGTCGTCGAGAAAGTGTCTGGAAAGACACTGGATGCGTACTGGTATGCACTCTAAGCTACTAGCAGGGTTGATTTGCTGACAATGTCCCAGCAAGGAGAACATTTTTGTGCCATTAGGAATGACAGCCTCCTTCTATCTGACGCCTGAACTCAAGGAACGCCTTGTTCCCCTTGCTTACAGCGATAGACAGACAGGAAAGTTCGAGCCATGGGCGGACCAATTGAAGTTGATTGAGCGGGACCCGAGCAAAGGTACTATCCGCCATGTTTTACTCGAAGCTCAAGGACAGCGTCTGACCAATTTCGAACCAGCTACGTGCCACATGGGAGGAGTAGGCATCTATGCGTCATTGCGGGACTACCTCAAGCTGCTGCAGCACCTGCTCCAAATACATGCTGGAAAGGCCGAGAAGCCAATCCTCTCTCGCGAGACCGTCCACCAGCTCTTCGTCTCGACCCTTCCAGCATTGGGAGCTCAACACATCAATGAACTCTTCGCGATGATACAGCCGCCGATCACAGGGGTTCAGTGGGGTACCGCCTCTGGCATTTGTACCAAGGATTGGCCAAACAAGAGACGAGCCGGGTCCGCCTTTTGTGCGTTCTCCTTCTGAATCCAGAGCAATCGAAACTCAATCTTCTCCTCCCGTAGGGTCGGGATGGGCAGGCACAAATCATTTCATTGACCCAGCGACGGGCATTGGTGCTGTATATGGTACGCAGATAGGCCCGAGCCCAGCCATAGATATAGGGATACAGTCGGCGTTTTTCGAGTTCGAGGAAGTCCTTTATCGCGGCTTAGAAGGCTGAATCCAAGTGGAATAGAATTGTTTACTGCATGGATAAGTGCTTAACTGGCATCGTTTGTTCCGCCACATAGGCGGCTAAATAGACACAACATTTGAACATGTAAACGCAAGTTAGTGAAAATACTGGCCATTGCTGGGTCAACGCCTGTGGCAAACAGAAGCAAGAATCTCCGAACACTAAGGCATCTCCGCTGCAGCACGTCGGTTGTTCAGGATTGTTTGAGCGGTGTGTTGGGACCTGATTTTGACGGAGCAATCGAAGGGCAAGGGGTGACTGGGGTATGCGATAAACATTGAAAATCGAGTAAATTATGAGGGCTTGCATACCTAACCAAAGCAAAAGAATATTCCACTTCAAGCGGAAGGTCATTTCCCATAGCATCTTTCTTCTTTGTTATGTCGAAGGTGGCTAGGACATTAGCCATTGCATACCAGAACTATTCAGAAAATGGACCGTGAGCAGATGCAAAAAACCAGAGCGGCACAAAGCGGCATACGGTAGAGGACGCCAAATGGCGGCCGACACAGATCCTTAATTAACAGTTTCGTCAAAGAGCTGTAGAAATGCCGCCGTTGTGAAACCTGCATACCTTCTCCCAAAGCCGAATGTGTACCCCACATTGTCATTGTTCAATTGGCCATCTTCGGTCAAGAATCGTTCTGGGTCGAACACCTCTGGATTCTTGTATGTTTGCTCGTCGCGAGTCATGCCCCTGATTAGGGTTGTAAGTCATACATGAGTGCAATCGACGGTTGAGAGGACAAACCAGATGTTCGGCACCACAATTGTACCTGGCAGAATCGGTAAATAGAAATCTCGTACTTGTGAAGAAGATTAAGTCACCTTTGGGTATGTAATAACCCCGATACACGTCGTCGTCGGTGGTACAATGAGGTATCCCAAACGGTGTGATCGCCCTCCATCTTAAAACTTCTCTGAAGACAGCCTCGACGTAGGGCATAGAAGGCCGATCATCCCAGTGTGGCAGGCGATCGCTACCGACGACCAGGTCTATCTCTTCTTGAGCCTTCTTCTGGACGTGAGGATGGGTAGCCATTGCATAGAAAAAGGTACCGAGAGCAGAAGACGTCTTGAAGAAATGCTATTAGGGTCGAAGGAAATTTCAAAGAGTAATTATTCACTGACCGTATCAGCGCCAGCTATGGGTTGGGACAAAGAAATCAATTAAAGTCGTCGGGAGAGGAGCTTCCAGTGAACGTACCAACATATCCAGTAGCAGCAGCCTCCCTCAAAATGTCATAACCCTCTTGGGATTTGCAGTATTTCATGAGATCAGTCATTAGGCAAGGCGAATCATGCCCTTCAGCCTGACGGTACATTAAGCTGGTTATTCGGGAATACAAGCTCTGAGTCCTATCATCTTTTTCTTGACAAAGTGCTCTGCAGCCTCGAGCATGGCGTCCGTTTCCACTCTGATCTTTGCAGCTTCTCGTCGAAAGCTTCCACCTGGAAACCAGGCAGGTAGGTACCAGAAGCCAGGAATGATGTCGACAAGCGAGGAGAAAGCCGGGTCTGATAATGCTGCCATTGCCGCCTCTGCATGACCGACATAACGGTCGTTCTGCGGTGCAAGATCGTAATCGTACATGACCGACATGACGATCGCGGCTGAGACGCTATGCAGGCAGTCAGACTTTCTGTCTGTAATAGACTGAAGAAAAAGACTAAGACCTTTTGTAGAAACTCGTAAATTCTTCAGGTGCAGTGAGAATCCCGTAGAGCATGTCGTTAACCTTGCGTGTTTGGATCGGCCTGTAGGCAACGAGGGAGTCCAATTTGAACGCCTGCTGGAGGAGACGGCGATGGCGTCTCCACGAATCGCTGTAAGGCTTGAAACCGGTGGCAAAGAGCCAGCCCTTTCTGCGGCATCAAGTGACTGTATCAGAGGGACGGCAACTTGAAAGTAATGGAGACTGGAGACACCGACATATCAAGCATGAGTGACGGTGGTCGGTCGGAGTATATCCTGGCTCGCTTCTCCAAGAGGTCCGTCGCTGCAACAACCGAGTTCAGGATGAGGTAGTGCCGACCGTAGATACGAATGTGCATAACGTCGCCTATCAGAAGGTCAGCGTCGAATACGAACGACAACAAGAGACGCATGCCGTATTTTTTGCCCCACTCAGTGTAGGCATACCAGGCTTTGTACTCAGGAACGTCGGCATGGTTCCCTGCGAGCCAGCTCTTTAGAGGCGGGCCAGGGGCATAGTGCTGAAGCATCGACCTCCTGATTTGCGACCACAAACGACGGAGGTGCAGAAGAGTCAGTATTCCCAATAGCGCAGATAACGCAGCTGTCAAAATGCTGGGAAGAGAGTATTCGGTGAGCATCCTTCTCTGGAGAGGATTGCGAGTGTGGTTGGTTCTTGTACGCTGATATTTTTGGGACAGAAGAAACTAGCACTCCGTGAAGCTCGATCGTCGCACACAATCCACTGCGTTCAAAGATAGAAAGACGATATACCTCATATGGATTGTCGAAGACTCTTGACAGGTCGGTCAGGGTTTCGGCGAGGTTCAACTGCATGATGGTCAGGATCCAAGATGTGATTCAGAGAGTCGTGCGGGGCTCGGCATGCTGGCATGTCGACGGCTGGACGACATTCCGTTGCTTCTCTGCTTCACATCCGCCTTCACCGCATTACTTTCGAAGTTCGAAGCTTACGGTGTACGTGGTGTACACATCGTCCACAGGTCTCCGACACCAGAACCATCATCTAAAGATATCATGAGACGGCCATTGGACAGGATGAAGTGACCAAAATCTCACAGTGATAACACATCCCTGGAAAAAGTGGAAGGCTCCAACCTTTCGTTTCAAGCCCAAGATCAATCACCTCCTGCTGGCAGTGCGAAAGGATTCTGCAACACGGACAACAGTAAAAGAATCTATTGGAGGAGAGGTTGTAAGTGTAAGACGAACAATGCATGATAAAGAATGAGTACATGACAATATGCACTATAACCGTAGAGTTTGGGCATCCTTGAAGGTGCAACAACAACCACAGGCTCTAAGGATTTAAACAAGATATTTGCCGGCGGCGCATCCGATATGCTCCAGTCGTATAATTACACCTAATCTGCGAACATCAGTCTACAAAAGGTCCCAGTCCAGAGGTTTCACTGCCGTCTTCAGGGCCTCCATCAAGAGCTCATTTTCACCTACTTGTTCACGGTATATCCGGACGAACTTGAGCAATTCGTCCTTCGACTTGCCTTCGTAGAGCTCGAATTCGATTGTCATCTTGTTATCGGCGAGCCACGAGACGAGATAGTCGAGGTCTCTGCGATCGGAGCTGTTCTTGACCAACGTCTTCGGCCTCGTCGACTCCAGGTTATGATACCAGCGCTTCATTTTTGTCAGAATGAGAATACCTGGGTGCAAGATTTCGATTGCTGAGAGTTTGGATTCAGATATCGCGAAAACTTGAAGAAGGGTGGAAACGGACATATTCCGGATCCGTATTCGACTTTGTATACTGGACCCGCTATATTGGGCAGACCAAGTGTCCCCGCAGATAAAGTCTCTATTAAAACATTGTTCTTGCTTGCACGAACGAGCTCATCGCCGCGTAAATCACCCAGAGGTTCCTGGTGAAATAAAATTAATGTTTCAGCACTTTAGATGCCGGAGAACGAACGAACTTTGACAAAGTAAAGCTTGATTCCAGCAGATGCAAATTTCTTGCTTAGTTCTTGCAACTGCGAGCGCAGAGCCACCATATCGAGATTCTTTGTTTCGATGAGCACATCTATGTCGTAGAAAGTCGTTCCCGTCAAATAGGGGTAACAGTGCAGTTTACAAAAGGACTCATCTCAGTGGGTCGCCTGTTTCCAAGAAGAGCCCAGGCGAAACCTCCGATGTAGGCATGAGGACAGCCGAGTCTATCCAATGTCTCCGAGAGGTACGACGCCGCTGCTGCCTGGTCTGTGCGCGAAGTGGTTATCGAAATGGAAGTGGCCATTTTGGTGCACCGTGGGCGTTGTGGTCGAAGGTTCCTGCTGACTAAGCACTGTGGCACTGTCGAAGGTCCGGCGATCGACGATGACAATGACTCCCATTCACCAACCACCACCATGATGCTTCACACCTCCTCCTCGAGCCCGCCTGGGTTCGACCCATTCCCACAAAAGCTCAGTCAAAAGCCGATCAAGAAAGACATCCTCGACAACTCGCCAGCGTGGGTCGTCGATGTCGCACTGCAAGCCCTCCAGCAGGCCGGAATTGAACCGGTTGAATGGGGCTCACTTTTATACAATCGCATGCATGTACCTACCATAATCAAGGTATGTGGCTCGCACTTCGTCGAACGAACGACAATGCCGAGCCATGTTGTGCAGGATTATTTCTATCTTGTACCTGATGATGCACTAGCCAGTGCCTCAGGTGTCTTATCCAACCTCGGTTTACCCTTTTGGCCCCCTTCACAATTGCTCATGCAGACGGAGGGTGATTTTTCTGCGAAGGGTACCTATCACCGAATATCGCGCTCCACGCTACCTTCTTCCATTTCAAGCATCGCCCTCTTCCCCCTCTCCTTTTCTACACTCCTACCCTCCGAACTGGAGAAAAAACCGCCACACCACATCCGACCGTCAACACGATGCCCATCTATACTCGTGCCTCGTCCACCCGCCGTCTACGCCTCCCTCATCCGTATGATGGCGAAGTATCCTCGATATTGTTCGACCCGAACGGTTCTTGCGTCAGATCTATCCGAGCTAGTTGGGTATAACCTCCTCGATCTCCAACTCGGATACATTGACCCAGAGGATGAAGGACTGTGGCAGGGGCTCGATGTCGATGGACGGATGGAACGTTCGGTTGCTCTGGTGCGACAATGGAGTTGGGACGAAGAGTGGCGGGAAGGTGAAGAATGGATTGGAGATGCTTTGGCCAGCATTATCGATGGGACTGCTGATATCTCTCATCTTCCTAGCTTTTCATAGGTTTGTTGTAACATTACCGTACACTACATTCTCATTCAACACTTGAAACAAGACTTTTGTTGTCCTGCATGTTGTGCAAACTTCAAAGCTGTTCAAAAATGGGTCCAGTTTGAATATATGGATTTGGGACCCAGCTTCCGCTGCATTTGTTTCCAGCTTGAGAAAGCCGAGTATATTACATTTGCCAACTAGTCTTACAATGATTAAATATCACAGCACATTAAAGTGATCATGGGCAGTTCGCGGACTATGAAGTACAACTGGCCTTACGAGAATGTCGCGGGCATAGCGTATGATTGGGTTTGAGTCCCTCGCGGAGAACCGAAAAGCCATCCTCTCGCAAATGGATGAACAAGCTGACATGAAAAAAAATCACGAGGAGACAAAGAAGGTTCGCGGTCGGACTGTGAAGAACGCCTTCAGCAAAGCCATGGGCATTAAGATCTGAGAAAAATACAGATTTCAACTAGAAGGCGTAGTCAGCGGTGAGAATCCTACGACCACCGCTCCATTACGCGCGCCTGCTCCCTTCACACCAATCCATCTTCCGTATTTGTGCTCCTGTCCAATGCCCGCGACGAGGAGGATGGAGGAAATAGGATGGAGTTTATGCTTCGCTGTGTGTGGTGGGTCTGCTGAGGCATCTCGGGACCACGAAGTAGTGTCCAGGAAGCCCTTTGGCATGCTGAGCAATTGCAGTGAATTGATGACACCAGGTATCGGGACATTGCCAACGAGACTGAACGATTTTAGCTTGGAGTCGAGCTTCCATATTCGAACGTCTCCTTCCCAAGAACCTTGAAAATTTTGAGAACAAGAGGGCACATGTAGGAAAGTGGCAAGACCTACCAGAAGCTATCAGATCAGAGTACCGTAAACTCGCCAGTGCCGTCACCCATCTCGGTGTCTGGACGACGCCTTCTGATTCTGAAAGCACTTCATTGAGCCCATGTGCAAGCGGTTGCGTGAAAATCGGTTTTTTCTTGAGTGTGCTCCATAAGCATATCGACCTGAACGAACGTAAACACCTAGTCGAAGGAGATTGTTATAAGAAACGCACCCGCTGTCTCCTCCGCTCGCAAACGTCGTCTCGTCTATCATTGCAACACATTCCAGGCTGCCTTCCTCGAACTTCTTGCTTTCCCGTTCTTTTCCTTTGGCTTTCGGCATGAGCTCCATGCCGTCGACGTCTACATCGTCACCCTCGTCATCTGCTCGAAGACCACCTTCCAACACCTCGCGTACGCGGCTGCGCCCTCCGCCACGGAAAACCAACTGAGTTTCATCGACAATTTTCCAGTACCGCACAGTTTTATCTCGCCCGCCGGCACTGATACATGTCTCGCCGCGTAGTGCATCCAACCCGAAGACAAAATCTTGGTGTCCAAACAACGTTTCGACATATCCCATCACCGAAGGGGAGAGGTCGTAGACTTTGAGGGTACGATCGAAGGAGGCGGAGTAGAGCTGATTTGTCCCTTTCCGAAAAGCGACGACCTGATTTATGAATGGTTGAATTAAAAAGAGGGTGGTGAAGGAGTGGTTCCTTACCGAAATCGCGTCCTTATGCCCCAAATGTCCAGAGAAAGCTTTTATCCATTCCCCCTTTTCCGTATCCCAAACACACACCCTCTTGTCACGCCCAGAGCTCGCGAGAAGCTTCTCATCCCCACTGATAGCTAACGACAGAACTTCGTCCGTGTGCCCTTTGATTTCCGGATCTGGTGGAGCTTTTCCCTTCCCTTTTCTATCTGCTGGACGAGCTTTGTAAAACGCCGCAACTTTCTTTCCAGTAGCTAAGTCCCATTTGATGATGTGACCCTCTTTTCCGGACGTGAAAAGGTATTTTCCTGATTCTGAGGCGACTGCTGAGGTCACCGAAAACCGATGGCCTTGTGTGCGAAGGGTAGCATGCGGAGGTTGGGTAAAGTCAAACTACTCGATTTATCAATAGGATTCTTGTGAGATGGACACTGAACGTACCGAATCCGCGATGAAAAGGTGGACTTTTCCGGAGTGCTCGAGGACGTCCTGTTTTAGTCGAGATGAAATAAGTTCCCTGTCGATTTCCGCGGCGTCAAACTCCCCTTCCGCTGCTTCTGTTTAGCTGCTTTCTTCCAGATTGTTGTAGACACGGGCTCACCTAAATTCGTCTTCAAATTGTCCAGATATAGCTTAGCGAGGCGAAGACGCTTCTCGGCCGGCGTTTCGTTTTCATCTTCGTCACCGCTCGCCCCTGGATCTACTTCCTCCACACGCAGATCCATATCATCCACTCCTCCCTCATCATCATCCGTTTTGTCCGACAGTTCCTCATCAAGTCTCTTCTTGGAAGGACCATATACTTTTGTCGTGGCTTGTTTCTTGCCGTCGCGTGTTGTTGAAGATTTACGGGAAACTTTCTTCGCCGACAAGGGACCACTGGAGTCTGAACGCTTGCGCTTTTTGGGTTTTGACGAAGAAAAGAACGGGTCGGGCATGGTAGTGGACGTCAAGTCAGAGATGATCACGAATTTCAAAAATTGAATAGTTGTTTGTGCCTGCTAGCATCGGGAGTTGAGTCCCAAAAAGGAAGGCCCCTGATTCTACGCGGTCGATTATCTCTTCCCTCTAGCGGATTTATTAAAATAAATTTAGTTGTGAGCAGAATAATGTTGCAGCAGTTATACGGCTGCGTAGGCATATGTGCAGACTCTCAGGGACCTTCCGAACTACGGCTGCTACAAAACTTGATATGACGTTGGTTGTGCTTTGGAGGTATATAAGTACTTCAATATCCCGGTAACAAAATTTATAAACTTGCCCTTAATTTTGAGACGACAGACTATGTTGTATGCTCCTAGCCAATGTTGAGCCAATGTCGACTCTCGTGAACAGTGGCATCAGCATCCGACCATCGAGGAAGTCTCTCGAGATGTGACAGGACTCAAGAGCTCTCCCGGATGCAGTGCGGTTTTAACACATTTCTCGCCCAACTATCGGCCATAGTATCAAGATAACAAGAAGGACGTCGGGAATATTGTGTCTAAACATAGAAGATAAGATAAGATAAGATAAGATGGTTCCCACGACCGACCACAGCCACCCATAACTTGACATCGAGTACAGTCAAACCCCTCTCAACCCATACCTCTAGCAGGCCATACACCCCCATAACCCATAGGTTGTGGCCGCTACCAAACTGAAATTTACACCAAAATTGACCTCTCATAACCCATGACCTCCTATAACCCATACCCTGGGCCGTCCACCGAGGCGTATGGGTTAAGAGGGGTTCGACTTAGTACCCATTGGTATCTCCCGCAGGCAAAGATTACGCCAGTCATGCCTCTCCAAACCAGGTGCTAGGAGACAGGAGTCTCCGTTCTCTGCCACCATCTGTTTGCTGTCTGATGCGAGAGTTGTGAGTGATATATACATTCCAAGTGATAGCGATTCCATTTCTTCTGCCAGATGCTGACGAGCTATTGCACTAGTTGCAATCTTCTTGTCCGTGCTCGGTGCCGCCTCGCCACTGGCGCTAGCTTACCATCTCAAAAACTTTCCCAGCTCACCGCATGACGATACCTACGGATTTCCCGTGCTGCCCTGCCGCCGGTATGTACGCTGAGGACTCGAAAGAACTGTTCGAGCAGTGCACGCGCCGAAGTTGCTCCCTCATGAAGTTCGTACCCTGGAACCACATTCGCGTATAATCTGCGCGGCGGGGGCAAGACCCACCTTTTTCCTTTCGATTTTGAGGGCGACATCGCTCTCGAAAGATGAGGACTGCACAAAGGAATGTCGGTGGCCGTGCCACTCTGCCATGAAAGGACTTCTCCATGAGTGTCGGACAGCATGAGAGATGAGCATGTTCCTCGGATGGATCAATCATCGATTCAAACGGATGTATACCGAATGAATAGTTGATACATACTACTAACTTGATAGTGGATCTGTTAGACTCCGATATCCTAACGGTTGATGATGGTGATGGGTTCATGAAGATCATGGGCGCTTTCAAGACCTTTCGGGTAGTTTCAGGCACCCCAACCAGCGCCCATGACGCTCATATTTCCGCAACTGAATGTGGATTTCTAGCCAAGGACCCTCTTAGAAGCGATGAAGATCGCTATCACCGCGACTCGACGGCCCACGAGTTCCTACGAGTTCCCATTTGACTGATCAAAGAAACTTGTGTCGCCTTCATTAGGAACCTTCCTCATCGCTACGGCCATCGAATGGCGGTGCTGACTGGCTGCCAGCTGATCTATATCGAGCGTATTCGGCCCTTCACAAAGCTATGGCTTTCAATCAGGTGGGCGATCCACTGTTATGAATCACTCTACTAGGGAAACTGGTAATTATCTGCACGACGTCAGATCTTCTATCCAGCGCAAACACAGGCAAAGTGACGCGGCATATCTACGGTTCTTATCCTTGTGGCTTCTCTTCTTCGCCGTCAATCCTCGAACCCCCCATGGATGCACCTGCCGATGTCGTGAAAAGTGTTACCCAGATGTGCGTCTTTTCACCCTTTCTTGGAGGATTCAGGACCGATTCAGCGAAACACCCTCGCAGACGGATACACCATTATCTATATGTGGTGGCATTCGCGTGCCTGTTTTACGATCATGTTATCACCCTCGACGCTGAGATTAAATACGTCTGGAGACGGAACAAGAATGCCAACGCCTACCTATTCTTCGTGAATAGATACTTCGCCTTTGTGGCAAATATAATCGTCTTCATTCCTCGGCTTGGAGAGGACGTCGGAATCGAAGCGTTGTATGTAAGTAAACCCATTCCGAGTCCATGTCCAGTTTAGCATCGTCGCTCATTTCCTGCAGAGGTGCGTCTTTTTTTGGCTAGCACAATAATTCCTCAACAAAGTCTTTCTCAGGTGTTCAAAGACAGGTTTTACAGTAGTTCGCGAACTCCTACTAATTTTCAGTGGTGTATTTATCTGTGGTCAGCATTCTCGTTATACCCCATGGCCCCGCGTTCTCACATCCGACTCAAATCGCAGTACTCCTCACTCTCCGGATCTACGCACTTTACGAACGCTCTCGCCGCATGTTAATCTTCTTTGTGTGTTTTCTGGTCAGTGGCATAGCGGTCTCTATTGTACGTAAACATTTCTGTCTAGGGCTGCAATCGACTGACTTGTTCGACAGTTTGTGATAACACAAAAGAGAATCACAAGGCCGGACCCAGTAACAGGCTGTGAACTTGGCCTGTCGCGCGAAAAGTGAGTTCTCTACAAACATATTTACCTGGAGCTTCAATGATACTTGCATTTCAGTGCTTATCGTAAGCTCCTCCGAGTCCTCTTGGCGTTAATTTGTTTCTGAACCTCGACGCGCTCCTTCATAGGAAATGCGGCAGTTTGGGAATGCCTGCTACTCTTTGACACTGTGGTTTTTGGGTTTATTTTGTACAGAATATGGAGCGATCGTCGACGAATTTCGCTAGCCGAGGTCAGAATCCCTCTGCGTTACGTCTTGCTAAGAGATGGTACGTTGTTTTAGTCGGCTCTACGTCTTCACTTGGCCTAATTCTCCTCACGCAGGTGTCGTGTACTACGCGTAAGAGTTATCAATATTTTGATATTCCCTGCTGACCTTACGCGTAATCTGCTGTTCAGAATAATGGTGCTTGTCAATTTGGCAAACATCCTCACTTTCTACGTGAGTACCGACATGTCTCTTCGTCTGGAGCTAGGCTGATTCTCACTTATTTACCTACAGATTGCTGAAGTGGGTGTTCATTATCGACGCGGATACCTCGGATTATACTTGACGCCCTTTTCTTCAAAACAGCCCCTCCTGCGCGGTTGTCTGTCCACGTTGGCGAGCAAGTAAGCAAAATGCTCCTCACGCCGAATTAATCTGATTTCCTGGTAGCGTATCAGTTATAATGATGACCCGACTCATGCTTAATCTTCACGAGACGGCGGGTGATGGGATATTCTCCGAGTCAGCACCGCAGATAGGTACATTAGCATTTAGACATTCGCACGATGCGGAAAGCAATGCATCTGACTCCGTTTAAAAATCTCACAAGTCCTTGAGTTCCTCTTTGCCTAATTGTTATACATAAATGGCGCAATTTTCCGATTGAATATCCTTGACGAGGAGTTGTAGCGCGGGAACTAGATCTTATCTTGCGTACTATTTTTAGACGCCGGCGCCTCACTTGCTTCTATCGGTGTTTTCTGTCTTTCTTCCCCTCATTACCTCCTATGAAACTCACAAAGGTGTCTATTACTTTTGGGAAAATAACAGGTTTTATCTAATCTTTCAATCTCAAATTCGTCGATTGAACTCAGTCAGGCCGGGACACCGCTCGTTCTTGAGAGTACTGACTTACAACTCCGACTTCAAGGGACGCATGAGTATACTAATGGGACTTACGACCAGAATATATTACGCCCGTTAGAATGCAAGAGGGTCTCGGATGTCTGTGCCGAGAAGCGGGCTAATGAGTTCCTCTGTTGATGCTGCCAGATAGTACTACGAATATTTTCCACTATCGGTTCAGCTACGTCCCCGCACACGCCCAGGAGCACATTTCTGAGGGCCAGGGTAGACGTGCAAGGATACTTCTTTCACGATTCTCGATATTTCTCTGGACTAAGAAAGTACAATAAACGCATTAAATCTCTGCTCAGGCTCTCTGGCTGCTATTTTCTAAGTGATTTCAAAAAATCTCATGTCCTAGAATTCATTGCCACTCAATCCTCCTTTCTGGACTTCTGATATCTTCAGGGAATCGAATGAGGGCTTTAAATACGTACGAAGGTTCACTCTAATTTCGTTGTAGTCGTTTCGCTGTTGAGTCATTTCGGCTCCAGATGTCCGAAGATCCAACCGGTCCGGGATAAGCGGGGGACAGCGTTTACTGCTTTACAGCACCTGGAGGTTACAAAAGCCAGGCGTGTCTCCGCCTCTTATCGATCCCAAACGCCACCGTCTGTACTGGCATTCAAAAGTGCCCAGTCACGCGTGCCGTCTGGCCTCCATGTTCTCTCCGGGCCCAGCCTTTGTCAGGCCGTTCGCTTTACGGACCTCCGTATCGATAAAGTGCCCCACCGCTTCCTTCCGAACCCCCACATTCCACATGCGACCCCTCACGATCGACACTCTCAACCCCGCCTTCGACAAGGTCCAGTACGCCGTGCGTGGCGAACTCGCGATCAAGGCCGAGGTTCTGCGAGACAAGCTCAAAGAGCCGAATCATGGCCTCCCCTTCGACAAAGTCATCTCGTCCAACATCGGGAACCCGCAGCAGAAAGGCCTCGACCAACCACCCATTACCTTCACAAGACAGGTAGGGATCACAGTTTGAGGATCGTTGCTCATGGTCTTCACGCTGTTCGTGCAGGTCGCTGCCCTCATGGAATGGCCGGAGCTCGCCAAACTCGCACCTCACGCGTTCCCCAAGGATGTAATCGAACGTGCCAACGAACTCACCGCCGAGATCGGATCCATCGGAGCGTATTCGCACAGCCAGGGTGTCCCATTCATCCGCAAAAACGTCGCAAAGTTCATCGAAGGTGCGTGTGCGTTCTCTGGTGTCCTAGAAATGTGACTCATCTATTCTTAGAACGCGACGGCTATCCATCCAATCCCAATCACATCTTCCTCACCGGCGGAGCGTCCGCTGGCGTGTCGCTCATGATTAACATGCTCATCTCGTCACCCAAGGCTGGCTTCCTCATTCCTATTCCCCAGTACCCCCTGTATACTGCTTCTCTCGCCCAGCACCAGGGTCGCCCGATACCCTACTACCTTGACGAGTACTCTGACTGGTCGACGTCGGTCGAGTCCATCGAGGCGGCGATTGAAAAAGCACATAGCGAAGGCGTGGAGCCCAAAGGGCTTGTTATCATCAACCCGGGCAACCCCACGGGCGCACTCCTCGACGAGACGACGCAGGAGCAGCTCGTGCAGCTGTGCGAGAAGCACTCGCTTGTGCTCATGGCAGACGAGGTGTACCAAAACAACCTGCACAAGGCCAAGACGCACCCATTCACCTCGTTCAAGAAGGTTGTCTCGAAGCTTCAGTCGCCTATCCCCCTCGTGTCGTTCCACTCTATCTCCAAGGGCGTGTCAGGAGAGTGCGGCCGGCGCGGCGGGTACTTCGAGTGCACCAACTTCTCCGAGGAGGTGGTCGCGCTCATCTACAAGATGGTGTCGGTCGGCCTGTGCCCGCCTCTGGCAGGCCAGATCGGCGTCGACTCGATGGTACGCCCGCCCAAGCCCGGGCAGGAGAGCTACGAGCTATGGAAAAAGGAGACGGACACGATACACGTGGCGCTTGCCTTGCGCACACACACGATGGCAGAGCGACTGAACGCGCTGCCGGGCGTGTCGTGCGTTGACTCCCCTGGAGCTCTGTATTTGTACCCGCAGATCAAGCTCTCAAAGAAGGCCCAGGAGGCGGCGGAGGCGGCGGGCAAGGTCCCTGATGCCTTTTATGCCCTTGCTTTGCTTGACCAGACGGGTATCTGCGTGGTACCTGGCAGCGGATTCGGGCAGAAGGAGGGAGAGTGGCACTATCGCCTGACGTGCTTGTGCCCCGGTGTGGACGAATACGTCGGGAAACTGGAAAAATTCCACTTCGAGTGGGTCACGAAATACGGCGAAGCGTAAGATGGTATCTCAAACAGTCAAGTAAATCAATGTATGAGTAAATCTTGGATTCATAGACTCATTTGCTGAAGGTCGATGCCTACAGACGTGCTAATATGTCCTGACGTGACCCTCTGACAATTGAACTGCTGAACAAGACTACACCGACCTCGCAGACTCAGCCATTGGTCTGAGAGCCTTGACCGTCTCAAGAGCTTCCAACGCGCTTAATGTCCCAGATTGCATGGTTTCTGTGGAAATGTCACCCAGAACATAGGGAGCAGGATCGTAAGTCCAATCCATTTTATCACCCAGTTCAGCCCGAGGGTCGTTCTGGTCTGTAGGTGCTTCGTATGACGACTGCTACCTCAGGTAGCTACGCCACTAGGGATTAATGCCTTGATGATTTCCGGATATCACCATCCCAGAATGAAGTAAACGCATTTTCGGATCCGTCATGGGCAGGCGGGCTGTCCATAACAGCCGAATAAAAGACACAGTACTAGAGACCTTCAGCGCGTTCCTGTTCGTCGACATCTTGCGGTCCAATCCTATCATGTAATTGCGATGGGCCAGAAATAAGACTATCAAATAGGTACTGGTCCGCAGGTATCTTCGCGCGTTCGCGGAGAGGTTGATCCAGAAATCGGCGACAGCCGGGAAAGCTATGGTGCGCGGTAGCCAATGCGCAAGTATTTCTGTGGTGACATCCCGGAGATGAACCGAAAATGCGCGCAAGGAACGGCAAAAAATGATTAGTGAGAACCGTAATATGCAAAAAGAGTAATAGTTACCGGCGGGCTTCTTGAATGCATTTTCACCGGCTTTGTCAAGTGTAAAGGATTCAACACGGCGTCGCTTGGTGGTACGATCCATGAAATCTGGATCAAAGGAAAAAGGTTAAATGGGAGCTAGTTGATCTCATTCCCCCCGAGGCTCACATCCGGTGCTTGACTTCGCAGGAGGATTTGAAGGCTCACTTCGCGCTGTCAATTTTCTTCAGACAAGTAGAAAATCGGAGGGCGGAATATTCGCACATCCTTGTGAAGGGTACGCTGGGGCGAAGTAGGTAAAGGACGCAAAAGAAAGAGAGAGACGCATACTCTCTGTTCCGTTTATCGCGTCAGCCTTCGCGAGAGTGGGAGAACACAGCACCCGGCATGACTAAGCGCACAGCCACCAAAAAAGACTCCGCATTTGGGAATTCGGAGAGCATTCCTTACATAAGTTTAAGATTCTGTCGTACGCCCTGTACCGGCTCCTTCGCAGGAGATTCGCAGATGGAACAGCAGTGCTACCTACAAAATCTAACGTCATCACCTTAGATAACGTGGTGTTGTTTTGGTATTTCCAGTAACGTGCGCCACACTGCTTGGCGCTGTCCGTGGGAGCCTCAGGAAGTCGAGAATCGCAGACTTGGCGCAGACATTGGAAAATGTCATTAACTCCTGTTGGTCCTGTGTCATCGGGTTGCAATTGTAAGCATTTAGGAGTGACTTACCTCCGGACAACTGGGAGTGCGACGGGCGAGGATAAGGATTCCGGACACGAGCTGACCCCATGACCGCCACCCCAGACACGAGGGCTCACATGAAGGTCCAGCCAGGGCGAGAAGTCATTTCGTGCTGCGGGGATGTGCTATGGCTGTGCGTTTATATTGCAGAACTTAAGGGTTAAGACCAGCGCCCGTCATGGAGTAATCATGACGCGAACAAGCTGCTTTTGACTGCCATTCTTCTGCATGCCAGCGGACGTGAAAAGTCTTTTTTGAGAGCAACCATGATACGAGGTGAATCTCCCGAAAGAAGAAATACTGTTTGAATCCTTTGTTTATTGTGCGTCACCCTTACGCGTGTTCACCCCCTGAAAAAGGACATATGCACTTTACGGACTTCTTGTGGATGTGCAGCTTCCCGGCCTTCTGCAATACAGTAGCACTAGTATTCCCTCAGTTCGCTGGCACAGATCCCAGGCTCGTGTAGGCTGCAAGGCGTCCATCTCAAGAACTCGGTACTCGGTGACATGCTTCGCCGATGGGCAACAGCAGGCGAAAAAATGGAGAATTCCGTAGCATGGACGCCCATCACCATGCACATTCTTGAGTTCTATCAGCGACGCGGGACAGGCGGACAAGGGTACTCTGGCCACGCTAAGTATAGCCCCTCACGAGGCTGTGGTCTAAGAAAAGATACGCCGCGGTTGCTGTGACGGGCGTACGGTAAGAATAATTTTGGCTTTCTCTGCTTCCTCGCCATATATCGGATGCTTGAGATCTCGACAATATTTGCAGGTATAGGACGTGTTCAAATTGGATGGATTTAGTATACACAGCGGACCTTCTCTGTGATGTAACCAAATACCTCGAATTCGCTTGTCCCTCTTTCTCTACGTTTTGGGCCTGGGTCGCTGTCGATATGTTATCCATCTGCGACTGAGCCTGTTCGTCATCAGACTGTCATGAAGTGCCGTGCGTGTGGCCCCACTCAAAAAGGGATGCTGATTCATATTCATATATGAAGCACCCAAATGGAAATTTGCCAAAATCACTCAAGTCAGAGGTGCACAGAAACAAAACCAGTTTTATTGTCGGATCAAGAGGTCAGGAGGTTGGGTCGATATATCAAAGCCAAAAAGAACGGCGTAGGGACGGAAGAGGCGAACGTGAGGGATGGTATTTCAGATGCTCGTGGTGGGCGTGCTTCCTATATTCGAAGAAAAGGCGGCTATGCAGCTGAAATTTCGCTGGATGATCCACGGACGCGAACTCTAAGTATAGGAGCGCAGAAGAGCGTGTCCCTTCGGGGAGACGAGTGTGCGATGCCAGTGAGGAGATCGCGTCCGATTGACTGGTGTGTGGATGTTGGATGGCGTTGAGTTGGTAGAATGGACCGATATATAGGTTCACGTCAAGGAAAGGGAAGGTTTACCTCGAAGCGAGAAGGGAGATTGAATAGGGTATTCCCAGAGGCACTGGCAAGATAAGAGGAGCGATAAAGAGGAGGAGAATATTCATGGAGAAGGAGGCAGGCATGAGGCACGAGTAGTGCAGGTGCTCCCGGGGAACCTCTGGCGAAAAACCCGCAATTCGACCTGATGGGGAACCAGCTATAAGCTTTTTATTCAGTAGTGTCGCAGGAAAATGAAGAAATTAAAACATAGCTGACGCTTGTATTACTGAACACCTCTGAATAATTCTGGGAAGGGTATGGATTTATGGACAACCGCGAAGGTGTGCCGCATGTACAGTTCAGGTTCAAGGAAGGAGTCTTTACTTAAGCAAAACGTGGAGATGCTTGGCAGTGTTTGGCCGAAAGCTGTGTATGGCCCGTGCGCGTATAAGGAGGATCGGGCCTGTAAACGACCGTCAACATCCCATAGACTGCCCCCACCGTTGACGATGATTAAATACGCCAGCAACCACATCCAAGGAGCCCACTTTCAATAACCCGCGCAGCCTCTGTCGCTGGCAGGCTCTGCCAGCGTCGCTCAGCCCATACACACACACCCATCATGGTTGGTCAAGCCTACACACACTGTGATCCCTTATCTGACCTCTTCGTCATCGTCTAGATCATCAGCAGCAAGAAATACGCGTGGTACGATTTTCTCCAATTTTTTTCGTCGTCGTCGCTCATTTTCTGGGTAGCGAAACCTGCATCAAGGGCCATAGATCCTCTGCATGCAAACACACCGACCGCCCTCTCTTCGAGATCAAGAAGAAGGGCCGTCCTGTAACGCAATGTGAACACTGTCGGGAGCTTCGCAAAACAAAGCAAGTCCACGTCAAGTGCATCTGTGAAACCAAGGCGGACTTCCCCGCCCAAGGTGTGTTGACCCCTACGCTCCTCGATCTACTCCGGGCTCATGGACAAGACCACCTTTCATGCGTCTCCCGTCTTAGGTCATAAGCAGGGATTTGAGAGCGCCGCGTTTCCCAACGGCTTGCCCGAAGCCTTGGAAGCGTCGGTTGCGTTTCACAATCCAGATTCCGATTCCGATCATGGTGGTATGCAGCTGCTGTTAGGCCAAATATTTCGTCTTCCAGCGCGCTGATCTTCCGCTAGGGCACCGGTGCAAGGCAGGAGATGTATGCCACTGTGTCACGCCCAGAACCAGGGTCCGGAAAAGAGGCGACTCGGATTCCGTTGCTGCTTCAGGACACCCATCGTCTAGCCAGATACTCGCCCGCATTGCGGAGTTACGCCCCGTCCTCCCTCGTCCTTCCGGCCCCGTTCACAGCCCCTCCACTGGCACCTCTCATGGCCATGGAGGTCGTCATCACGATGCCGCTTTCAACCCGTATGAACGTGCATATGGTATGACACATCAACACCCTGTACATCCTCAGTCTTACGCTGGGACCTCAAATCCTGCATCCTCCTACAACGCGCAGAGCTTCGCCGAGCCGTGGACTCAAAATGTCGCGCTTGATGACGCGGGTTTCCCATCGTTGTGCGGATGCGGCGACGACTGCAATTGCCCAGGTTGTATGCACCACAACCGTTCGACCGCGGTGCCATTGGCCACCGCGTACGCTTCATGTACGAACCCCGGCGGATGTTCGGCGTGTCTAGACTGCACGATCATGTCCCTTCCTCCTTCAGCCTTCTTGCCGCCCAACACCGCCTTGTCAATATACGACTCACAGAATGACTCGATTGATGAATGGCTTCGACAATTATCTTCAACATCATTTTCTGACCCTTCCCAACCATCTCTCCAACAAGACTTTTCAACGTCTTCCAATTTCCAACAACAGACCGTACCATCCCAAGGTTGGGCCATGGCCGGTGACGCGCAGAACACGATGCCCCCAGCCAATTTTTTATACGAATCCTCCGCAATGCCGAACATGACCCCCTTCGCGACGTCCAACATGCGTTCCGACTTCTCCCCTCAGCCACAAACCAACCTCAGCGCGGTCATCGTTCACGAGCCTCCATGTCCAGTGTCGACGCCCGTTCGATGATTGACCCGCTGCTCTTCGACGCCACTGGTGTCCTCGGCAGCTCCCAGTTCTTCAACCCCAACATGGACAAGGCTCGTAGCCGCTCGCCTTCAGAGTCCTCGTCGCAGTCCAGCCACCACGGGTCCGACGTTGGTCCCATTAATGGCAGTGGGACTACACCCCCGTACCGCCCTAGTGGACGCGTTCAAGGCATGTTTGCAAACACGCAGGGCGTGCGTTCTGCGCCTCAGCTCAACATACGCCCTGCACAGGGACAGTCCGGCTGCTGCAAGGGCCCGCCGTCGGCCAGTTTGTCGTCCTCACCCGCCTCGGCGTCGTCTTCATCGGCCCACCGCCACCCGTATGCTGCGAGCAATCCAGATACCGCTACGAACATGAACCGATCGGATAATCGTTATGATCCTTCGTCTATAGCTGGACTTTCGATTTATTGAGGATTCCTTTTTTGTGATTCTCTTGTTTTTGAAAAATGGACTCCGTCTTGCTGCCTGCTTATTTATCGTCTTACGACCATGGGTTGATTGCTTTTATTGCACCGCCTGTTGGTGGTGACGTGTTGCTTGCATCTAACGTATGTGTAGTGGACTGTCCATCGTGCCGTAGTACATCTTTACTGCCTTAGTGGGAATCTCTGCGAGAGTAAGGAATGCAGCGAGTTTGTTGAACATGGTGGACAGCCGAGACTAGTTGAATAGGGAGCGTAAAGCCTGAGTAAAAAAGAAGGGACGCCTGCGAGAGGGAGAAGGGAGAGAAGACATCACTATGACGAATGGACGTGAGTCGAAGGCAGGAACACATAAAGAACAGCAAGGAAATAGAACAAAAACGGACAAGAACCTGTCTTGGATGGCAAAAGAGAGGTAAGTAGCGGAATAACGAAGGGGAATCTGTCATGGCCACCTTTTATACATGGGAGCTTTAGTCCGGCCGACAGCTCCAATGTTGAAATCATTTTCGGTTGTTGCTTTTTATGATTAGAACTCGCCAGGATGGGATCGAGGCGTCTCTAGGAGGGGGCCAGTCGGCGATTTCAGGCGGACATTCCAAGCCGATAGAGACCAGCAGTGTGCCGTTTCGGTTGATTTTTGTAGTGTGAACGTGTCGAGGTTGTTCAAGTTAAGGTAAACATCCCACCGTAGGCTGGAGGGGATGATATTCATATGCAGATCACAGGGACCTGGGAGAGGCTATCACCAGCCTAATTAAGGGCAATTCATTTTTGGTAGGAAAAGCCCAGGAACAAGGGGATTTGCGGTGCCTTAAAGCGTCCGGGTCTTCAGAGCGCTTGTTGACCTTGTCTTGACCACGTATGGAAACTCCAGGGTGTACATCAGCTCATGTGGGCACATCTAAGTTGCGGCAAGTCCTAAGTCGATCCTCATCCGATCACCGTGTGTCGCGAGGTCAAACGCGTGGTCGCAGCGATGTCGATGTGACTGAGCTAGTGCCAGCCGCTAGTCAATTGCAGTCGTCAAATCTTTTCTCTGCGACGGGCAACGTCTAGAAGGATTTTGTCGCGTGAATATCATGTGGTGGAGCAGAAATCCATAACTTGCTCTGAGGTCTGTGATCGTGGGCTTCGACCTTGAAAGATGCTGTAGAATATAATGCACTCGGAATTCTACAATGGGTATCGAGGCCCTGTGTGATATAACCGAGGAAAGGCACCTTCGCAAGTCTTCAAGTTTGTCCGCAAAATCGGCGGGTGGAATATGCAATTTGGTTTCTATGGAGTGGGGATCATGACAACACGGATCGGAGCAGCGGGTGGGCAATATCCGTATGGCAGCCTGCAAGAAATAGGAGAGCACTGGATTGTAAAGCCGTATCAATTAGGTCACGAGCTGGAGAATTAAAGGAGTGCGTCAAGGCTTTGTTCGAGAGGACGACTTGACTTAGTGGGACGACGACGTTCACAGCCAGCAGAGCCAAGGACAGCAAAACTTCTATAAGATGTCTATAATCAAATGCGTACTTCTGTGGAGTCCTTTTTGGAGTCCTTTTGAAGATCTTGTTCTAGACCGGATTTCAGTTGAACAAAGTCATTCCACTGCAGAAGGGCTATCACTTACGAATTCCCCATACGTGTGTACATAGGTCCAGAAATTCTGGAATTCATACGATAAGTTACAATTTGAGTAACAGATTCTGGAGAGACTGACCGACATGAAGTCCGTCATAGAGCTTTTTAACCTCAGCGCGAACCCTGGAGGTATCGTCCTAGAATCCGACAAGGCGTTCAAGTCCTTCTCAACGGCCTCTATCCGCCTGACATGTGCGGAAACCTGACAACGATTAGGTGACTTTCGTAATCGTCATACCAGAAACGAGGAATGGCACACCTTCTCTGGCTAATCTTCAGCTCCTCAACGCTAGCCTGTCGCGCAGTAGATGCTTGTTGGTATTCCTCCAAGTGGTACGCCGCAAATGAAGATGCTAATGAGAATCCAAACAAAAATGCAACAATACTGCAAGAAACGATGAGCTCTGAAACACAACAAGTTAAAAGAGGGACATACCCTCCCCGAAATCCACCAATTGGCTTCTTCTGAACGTGAATCATCCCTAGGTTCGACGTGGCCTCGTTCCGCAGAACGGCCAATGTCCTCAAGCTGCGAGTTTGGACTGCGTGCGTTGATAGTCTCGATAGATTCCCGAGACGAGCGTATAAGGCCATGGTGACAGGCATGAGGAGCTTTTCTGACCTACTGCCGGCTAGACTCGAACCCATTCTCGCTTGGGTTCACGGCTTCCTAATGGTGGGATTATTGTACTTACTAAAGAGAATGACACATCACTTTCCAAAGTACGGAAATGGATACTGTGATACACGGGGAAATGAACCCAAGGAGACTGGTACGGAATTACCGCAACCGAGTCGATGGGAATTTCGAGCTCCGACTGTCGAGCAGGAAAGGCAATAACTCCGCACGTGCTAGGATGCGTCGACGCGTCGAGCCCCTATCGCTGTTGATCAGTATCACATACATACCCCACGCAAACGATTACACAAAGATGAAAACACAGGAAAGTCAGTGAGCCGTCTGAAATGTTGTGTTGCCAGAGTCATGTCTTAACAGGACATGGACATCCTGAAATATGAGCATGCAGAGAGAGACAAGAAGGAGCAGGAGAGGAGGCAAAAGGAAGAGGAGCAGGAGAAAGCAAGGTATGAGTGGGAGGCAGCAAGCTCTTCACGGCATCACGAACTCTGTGTTCCCAATGCTTCACAGCTTTGGGAAGCTCTGCTTAAAACCAACGACCCCCACTGCTCTTCCCAAGTCTCCCAACTATTTCAGCATCGTGGTCCCTTCCTACTTGACCACATCTGCAGGTGCAAGCCTGAAATTGCCAATGACTGGGCTTTCATCCTTCTTTTTCAAGACTCGAATAGATAGGACCGCACTGAGTCAAGCGTTTGAAAGGTGCACGAGTACCTCATCCAAGACATGTTCAGGCAACGTAGCTGAGGCGACGAGGAATTGACAAAGAAGGGTGCATTGGTCTTGATGTGAGTGCAATGATAGATTTCCAAATTCTGCATAGTTGGGTCAGTGAACTGCTCTGTGAAATTCATTCGAAGTTGCGATCTCGATGATACAATGATCACTGGATATTTAACATGTACATGGAGTTTATGCTATGTAACACATTTATAGAAAAACACCCCCGGTGAAGGTTTAGTAGAGCTCGCAGAAGAGGGAGACACGTCGCGATACACTAATAGAGATAGGGGGAATTTCCTTTCCTGCTCGATAGTCGGAGTTCAAAATTCCCATCTACTAGGTTATGGTAAATCCGTTCCAGCCGTTATGGTATCAAATCCCTGCCTTGGCACATGATGATTCCAGGACGGGTGGTGTTGAGCCTACTTAGGTGCTTCCCCTGACTGGATCTTTGGTTTTAGGTCTATCTTGACATGTGGAGCTACGTTAAAAACCGCGTACAGGACAGTGTCCCGCAGCAATTGTCGCCTTCGGTGATAGACAAATTTGCCGCGAACTGGAGTTCCACCGAGTTCCAAGTATTTGTGAAAGCACTTGCTAATCTTGTTGACAGTTTGGGTGTCGAACCTGGGACGGATGGGTGGCACCGCGCAGAGGCTATCTGGGAGTGTGTTATCGAACTGGAGATTGGTTTTTGGCCGGAAGAAGGGGAGGAGGTAAAGATGAAAAAGGTGTTGATTTCGGGGTGGTAGAAAATGCGATAGATCATTGGCACCCACATATCGCTTTCCTTCAGCTCAGAGTCCCTTAATTCCGTCATCAGTTCCTTGCAATTGCCGGTGTTCTCCCTTTTCGGGCATTTTTTGGCCCACAATACTGAAATTTCGACGCAGGTCAAAGCCTCCACTTTTGGACAGAGGTTTGCCAACCTTTGGCCCTTAACCCAATGCCAAGAGCTTCCTGAGGCTGACTCCTCTTCAATTGAAAGCGGTCACCAGTTGTGCATTATGTAGGCTCACATAAGCACCCTCTCAGAGTATTCATTTTCTGGAATGGCTGTAAACTTGTGAAACTTTGACTTAAGGAGCTTTAAGCCTTAGAGTCCACTCCTGACAGAGACTGGATGTGGACCACGTCTCATTTAGGGCTGGTCACCATACCATATACGGCTATGGCCGTAAAAAATACAGCCGTACTCAGCATGACAAAATCTAGGTACGGTACGGTAACCGTCCGTACCCGTCCGTTACGGTTTACGGACGGTGGAAACAGGCACATCAAATCCTAGGGGATGAACTAAGGTGGGCTCGTCAGTAGTAGAGAATCAGCACTGGGTCTGGGGTGTGCAATACTGCACTAAGTCCCCCCGCTCTCTCACGGTATATCTCTCTGTCAATGGGACCTAATTAAGCATTTTGAATAACTTCAGGAGCTTCATATAGTATAGCAATTGGTTTGTTTACCCTAGCATATCCATGTGTATTTCACGTCCCAAATGCCATAATCCATCTTGGACTCAGTATGTGGAGTCCGGACGGGCAGCCACTCGGGCCACTGCTTCATGCTAAGCCTCTTGTTCTAAGAGATCCATGGCAATTTTACTTATTTGTAGATTATGGAATGCTTGACAGTGTAGATAGGCGACGAGTCAAGTACTAATTTCACGACTATTTGTTGTCGCAGTCAGGCCGCGACTCTACTGAGAACTTGAGTTCACGCAGGAATTTTTGGGAAAGAGACTGAAAAGGGTTATGGAGGCTTGCTCTCGAGGGCTCCTTATATATATCCTGTACCTAGACCATTTCGACATAATTCTACATAATTCCTATACTTTCCCGATGAGAGAATGTCAGAGACGAGTGTCGAAGGTTCAACCTCGGTCATCTCGGCGAGAGCAGCAGTGTTCCCGGCTTGCCGGATTCCAACAATCTCACTGCTTATTTCAGATTTAGGCCGCTTCGAGCATCGGATTCTCGAGATCTGGGCTCTTTCAGGTAGTACAACTAGGCTCAACACCACCCGTCCTGGAATCATCATGTGCCAAGGCAGGGATTTGATACCATAACGGCTGGAACGGATTTACCATAACCTAGTAGATGGGAATTTTGAACTCCGACTATCGAGCAGGAAAGGAAATTCCCCCTATCTCTATTAGTGTATCGCGACGTGTCTCCCTCTTCTGCGAGCTCTACTAAACCTTCACCGGGGGTGTTTTTCTATAAATGTGTTACATAGCATAAACTCCATGTACATGTTAAATATCCAGTGATCATTGTATCATCGAGATCGCAACTTCGAATGAATTTCACAGAGCAGTTCACTGACCCAACTATGCAGAATTTGGAAATCTATCATTGCACTCACATCAAGACCAATGCACCCTTCTTTGTCAATTCCTCGTCGCCTCAGCTACGTTGCCTGAACATGTCTTGGATGAGGTACTCGTGCACCTTTCAAACGCTTGACTCAGTGCGGTCCTATCTATTCGAGTCTTGAAAAAGAAGGATGAAAGCCCAGTCATTGGCAATTTCAGGCTTGCACCTGCAGATGTGGTCAAGTAGGAAGGGACCACGATGCTGAAATAGTTGGGAGACTTGGGAAGAGCAGTGGGGGTCGTTGGTTTTAAGCAGAGCTTCCCAAAGCTGTGAAGCATTGGGAACACAGAGTTCGTGATGCCGTGAAGAGCTTGCTGCCTCCCACTCATACCTTGCTTTCTCCTGCTTTTCCTGCTCCTCTTCCTTTTGCCTCCTCTCCTGCTCCTTCTTGTCTCTCTCTGCATGCTCATATTTCAGGATGTCCATGTCCTGTTAAGACATGACTCTGGCAACACAACATTTCAGACGGCTCACTGACTTTCCTGTGTTTTCATCTTTGTGTAATCGTTTGCGTGGGGTATGTATGTGATACTGATCAACAGCGATAGGGGCTCGACGCGTCGACGCATCCTAGCACGTGCGGAGTTATTGCCTTTCCTGCTCGACAGTCGGAGCTCGAAATTCCCATCGACTCGGTTGCGGTACACTGCCAAATGTATGATATCTCATAGTCACGTTTTCTAATTTCATTGGACGCATACATCGATGCACATGGGTTAGATACGGAGTCAGCTATATAGCAGCTGAAAGGTTTGATGTTAGGTTAGCTGGTTGGCACATGTTCAGACATGACAACTATGTAGTAGGAAGAGCATGCTGAAGATCTTATCCCATCCACCTGTCAGATCAGGAAACAGCTCCATCGCAGCTGAAATATTTAATGTTAACTCAGCTGGCTGGCACATGTCAACATGTAATATCCATGAAGCAGCTGGACTATCCTGGGCATCTTGTTCCACCCATCTGCCAGATACCAAACCAGCTCCTTCATGGCTAAAATATTTGATGTTGGCTCAGCTAGTTAGCAGGCGTTTAGATGTTGCAGCCATGTAGTAGTAGGTCTATCCTGTGGGTCTCGTCTCATCCACTAGTCAGACAATTCACATATAGTGACCATGTAAGGGCTCGAATCACATAATCTATTTGGTACTATGTCGCCGGCACATGCTTTATATGAAGAAATTTTGAATATCATGAGAGTTACCTTTGACGCGATCGCGTGTCCTCCTCATAGAAGGGTGTCTGCCGTGAAATAGGTTCACTCGAGTCAAATCAACGCCGCCACTGCTACAACCAGGTCATAGGTACCTCCTGTAATCACAGCGTGTAGCATAGTCCTTACAATGTAACTGGAAAAAAAAACCCTTGTCATTATTGTGTATGCACCAAAAAAAAATACATGTCAGTGTCCAAGAAATCAAGATGAAAGCTACATAGCATGAATGTTCAACTCGACGTATGCCTTTGCCCGTTCCCTCTTAAGCATCGACCTCGTGTTCTTGATGCTATGAACCTTGCGCCACCAGTTTTGACGTGACAGGGGTTTGGCATTGCCCTTGCGAATGTCTGCTATCCACTGCTGGAAAAACTCCTTGTTAGTTTCCGTCCATCCTGGCCAGCCATAACCCTGCTTGTCCCAAATGTCCGGAGGAGGGAACCACAAGACCGTTGTTGTCTGCTCGCCACGCCCTGTATATGAGGAATCAATTCACTATTGAAGACACTCACGGAAGACAGACCTTACCTGTATAGAGGCAGTATGTCCCACACAAACATGCAATCTCCTCACCAGTGAGGTCGTCATCCCAGTAGAAATACCCGTCGTGTTTAGACGGGACAAAGTACCCCAAATGATGCACTGTGACCTCGATGGACGGTCCTTGCAACCCAGACTCCTTACTACCGAATTCCCTTGCAATCCTCCCTACAATGCCACCGCGAAGTATTGCAGCTCGCCCTTGCGGGCGGCCCAGCAGCGCGCGGCACTCGAGCATAGCACTGTCGAAGTCTGCTGTCGTGAATTGGTGCTTGTTAAAACGGTTGGCGTTGTCTGCGTATGGGAGATTGAGCTGTTCGGGCTCCGAGGAGGCCTGCAGAAGGAGGGTGCGGAAGGGTATGTGGTGCTCAAGTAGGTGGTAGGCGATTGTCAGCACCGTATGCATGTTCGGAGCGGAGGCGACCAGTCGACAGATGTAAAGAACAGTCGTGGGGCGATCAACACCGATGACCCATTTGCAAGAGGGGGAAGGAGGTAGCTTGAACACGTATAGGTCCTCACTGATGCGTTCCACAGTGTCGAGCGCAAAGGATGTTGCCAAAGGCTGATCCGATGTTGCGTTGAGGTCGTCGGAGGGTGCTGGCAATCCCGAAGAGCTGTCAATGAGGCATGAAATGAACTCGCGAATTAGAACCTTGTCTCGGTCTGAGACATCAGGTTCTGATTTTGTCCCGATGACACCCAGGACATCTGACCAACTCCGGAGGTTGGGTGCTTGAGGGTGGGGTGTTTGAGCAGTAGGGGATGGGTTGAATCCGTACATAAGGCGGAGGGAAACCAGGAGGTTGGTTTCAGCATCCATGGGTACTGCTACTTCATCAGGTTCAGGAGAGGCGGGGGAGGCACCAGGAG